CTCTCGAGACGCGGGCGGAACCTGCCGTTGTCACGTGGCTAGCTTCCGTTATGTCAGATGCCAAGCGCGCACCGTAACGAGAACAACCCTGGATTACGTTTGGGGACTGGAACCAAACTACCTAGGTAGGTAGGTAAGCTCAATGACGGAAGCCTTGGCATTCACAATTCAAAGCCAACACACTCGGAACTGCTCGAGGAATATACGTCCACTGGACGGGGAGACTCGCAGAAAAAGTACAAGCTCGACTCATGGTTTTCGAGTCATTGGCTGCTGATGATATGCAGCCCCTTTGCCGGTCTCGTTCAGTAGCTGCAGCTGCTCCTGGTGAGCCGACACTACATCCATCACGGTCTCCAGATGCTCCATGTCACATCAGTTCCAGGTTATGATTCAGAACAGCAACAATCCCTGGCCATTCAATTGGTAAGGCTGGCAGACAAAACGATTAACCCAAACAACGGGGGTATCTTTCCGTGAGGCTACCAATCGTTGCTATCCGTTCGCAAACAAGACATGTGTCATGATTGACGTCGCCGTATGGTCGCGCAAGTAAAATACCACTGTGCCGCTCTCTTAAGTACTTCCGTTCCCTCTCAAACCACATGTCTTCCGATGACCTGGGTATTCTTCAGCGAGGCTCGGCCCCATGGTTTCTGCAGCAATACCGGGCAAGGTACAACTGTGAGATACTCATGCAACAGTTTGGTAGCATTGCACAGGCCCTCGTTGCCCTGTTCGCACTAGTTACTCGAAAGACTCTGTTCCCATCCCTGCGCCTTGTCAACAACATGTGCCGATGAGTGACCAGGAATACGATCCAAGATCGCCCTTCATCGGTCAATGACATGGGCCACGAACTGTAGCTTCCTTGTGCCTTGCCCTTTTCGGGGATTGCACTCTAAAAGTTCTAGTTCCACATATCATATTATTGGAGAACAATAATAGACCTGGAGCTGCAATTCAGGGGCGCATGAATTCCAAGGATAACAACGTTCTTCTGGAAACCTGACAAGCTCTGGCGGGAGAACCCCAATTGACAATGTCCTCCACCTGGCTGGCCGTCGTGATCAATCACATTTGCAGGCTTGTGCCGAGGGAGACCCGATTAATCTTAGGGGACCTGGGACAGACAGACACAACTGCACAGGCTGTAAACGCAGTGATGATGATGAGTGAGTACTTGTACATGCTTGTATGGACAGGTATGATGCGGTGCCATTCCAGTCCGTTCAAGCCGCCCCATCAGAGATGAGGTCATCGCTTGACACTGCCACATCTAGACTATTGTACCTAGAGAAGGCAAGGTCTAACCCACACATCGATGCCCCTGCCATGCATGACCCCCATCAGGCACAGGACAACAACAACAAGGTCCAAGAGCGTCAATTCTGTGGGAGCTTCCGAGATTGAACCGTGACGGAAGGAGTATGGTTCAACTTGCCGCCGGTGGTTGCCCCCTTGGCACAGGGGGAGATGTGAGAGGACGAGGGTCCGGCCTGCCTCCCCTGGCACCTGCCTCAACTCCCCTGCTGCCCCAGACGTCCAGGGTCGTCGTGTCGGGTCTTGCCCGCCGCACAGACAGCAGGCAAGCTCGACTGGTCAGGCAATTTGTCCACTAATCCCTTGAGCCTTGAGCTTCGTCAAATCCATCCATCATCCATGGATGATGATCTTCACGCTCCGCTTCTTCCATTCCCGGCCTCCTCCCTGTCTCTTCCATTTATATGAATTTCCTGTGGGGCCTCTCTCTGTCTTCACCCCCTCCACAAAAACAAACGCGCCTACGGGAGAAGGATCTGCGTACTCCGTACAGACGCAGCGTCGAGGCACTTGGACAGGCCTTTCTCCACCCAGACAAAGAGACACCATGTCCTTGCTTTGGTAACCTGCCTTTTGGGGCCTCTCGTTTACCGCTTTGGGCCAGGCCTGGACACTGGAGCGCCTAGCTATTGGCATGCTGCAAGCAGGCGACTGGTTCTGCAGGCAGGTCGACGGACCCAGTGAAGGTAGTGTTCTGACGTCGAGAAAATTCCGAGCATGACAAGATCGACTTCAAAACATCAAGCCACCTAGCCACTCACTCCCGCGCACGGAAAGGTTCCAACCGAACGTACAGCTTTGACAGCTAAGGCACGGAGCTCTGGTTGGCTGCTCGGCCCGGCAGGTTGGCCCTGTTCCGCCTGTCAATAGACGCCATCCGCCACCTGCACCGCATCCCATTCGCAAGACCCTGGCTGTCGTTGCAGTTGACCTGCCCTTCACGCGAGGCCTGGTCTCCACCCTCAAAGTGAAACCTGGCGAGCTGGGTTAGCTGCCGGACTTGGCGAGGCCAGACCTATCAAAACCTGCATTGGAGGTTGCAGAGGGCCTATTGAGCAAGTTTAAACCTGGTCGGGAACGTCTTGCGCCGTGTGCAAGCGTACTCCACGCATCCCCACCTCCGGGGGAACTTTTCGAGAACGAAAACAGACACAAGGGGAGGTAGGCACCCTAGGTATTTTTAAAAGCAACATAGCAGCTCGACCGCTGACACAAGCAAATCCACACACCCTTGATCAGCTCGTCGCGACACTCCTGCAGAAAGCCACATTGGGGCGGGCACACCCACTTTGTCTGCAGTGCTGTCATGCTGTCATGGACTAGTTTGCGAGGTTTTTCTGGTTGGCGCTGCCGCGCCGTGCCCATTACCCATGTCTTCGTCCTTCATGACCCGCCAGGCATATCGACGAACACATCTCTGCTGCCAAAAGGACGCTCGATAAGAGTCATGAGTCGCGGCATCTTCCATTAGCTAAGGTCACAGCTTCTCCGGCTGCGTGTGGCACCGACATAAGCCCGAAACGTCACGGTCTATTAGTCTATCCGTCACAGCCCGCCGCGCTAGGTCGTGTCAAAGAGCTGCCACTGACTGCACCCGCACACACACGAGCAGCCCATTTGCCTACCCAGTCGATGATGCTAAGACAAGTAGGCGCTCGGTAAGCTCAGGCATCTCTTACTGGGGTATCAGCCTGGGTTATCGTCCACGTCTCGGTGCGAAGTAGCTCCGCCCCTATGTAACTACTTCGTATGTGCCATCACATCCATCCAGAATCCGGTCTTCTCCTGGCCGAGTTTGGGGCCAGTTCCTGATGGCGGCTAGTGTCTTCCAGGTCCTGGACCAGCGATGAAGGCAAAATGGGGTAGGTGCTCCGTTTCCATTCGCAAATCTGTCTCGACTGTCGGCTTTGACGGTTGTGCCGCCTTGGAAGGGGGTGTCGATGTCGAAAAGTTGAGGCGTGTAGCCCCGATTTCTCTCGAGTGAAGAATCGGTCCACAACGGCTGTCCCCGGGACCACTGGGGACCATGCCTGTCAGATGTCGAATCTTCCCACATCAGAGACCCCATCATGTGTCGTTTTGTATGGGTATATCAAATGCCTGGTCAAGGACGCGGCACAGTCTCATCCCAAGCCTTCACACTATCAAAACATGTGCCATACATACTGGACCTCTTTCATCGGCCGTTGTCGTCGAGACGTCACCGGCGCCGTTTTGTGAGCCCTCGTCTCATTTGCTAGCTGTCAAGGTATTTCCCGATGCAGCCATGCTACCCTGGTCGCCTTCCCTTCTAGACCCGCCTAGTGATCTTTGAAACAAACAATCGAACCATCATCGGGTAGCTGTTGAATTTCACTGCCACATTCGCTCTCTGGCAGGCGAATCGCATCTCTAAACATTTTGGTGATTGCAGGACCAGCCAGGACCACGGGCACGGCTTTGTTCCTAGCATGTGACTACGCAGCTCCTTTGGGAGATTGGCAATCTTTCCGACCCTGGTTGATACCTACGAAGCACACTCCTGGTAAGGCTGGTGTGGTGGATCTTGGGGTCGAGTCGACCGTTAATGCCAGCTTACGTTCAATCCTTCGCTGACGACCTTCTGTCTAGCCTTTGACGTGGTCGACTGGGCAAAAGGTAGACCTTGCATTATACAAAGTCAGTAGTCAGAGGAGATTCTACATCTCGCTTGTCAAAAGCTAAGCGAGAGCTCTTGGACCAAACTTTGGCTAGACCTGGTTCGCGAGCACGGCTCAATTTGTTCCACAAGTAGTAAGATCGTGAATCCAGCGAGCCTGGGGTTGCAACGCTCTCGGCCAAGGCTCCTTGACGGATGTCTCTGCCAGCCAAGTCAACCTTTCCAGGCAGCCTTGGGTTGCATCGAGTCGCGTCCTCAGAAGACATGCCGACCCGACGTTTCCCCGATGTGACACTGGTCTGCTCCAGGCACGTTTGCCCGGTCAGTGCTCATGTTCCAAGGCTTGTCTGGCACATCAGGGTCGTGAACCTGGCAGCAAAGTACAAGTAGTTCCGGACACGGCCCACCAGCTTTTATCAAATCAATCTACCTGCCATCTTGCTCTCTGGGCGGTACCCACTGCCCATCTGTCAACCTGGCATAGTGTCCACTCGGCCCAGACTTCTCGTAAACGCAGGGAAACCGGAAACCTGGAATGACATGCCGGCGGTAAACCAGGGAAATAGATGAAGCGCATATACATACGCACTCGTTGTATATCCTCGTTTCGGACGCGGCCCGTCTCTCTCTCTCTGACGACGGGGCTTCCTTTTCCATACGTGAAAAGGAGACAAATACCTGGATTCCAAAGCCATAATAGGTGCGCATGCAAGTCGGACATGAAGTTATAGATAGAGAAGGTATATATTTGTCTGGCATGGATAATTGTCTGCCTCCGTTGCGCTGTCCCCGTTGCCGTTATGAACGCCGAATTTGGTATAACCTAAATGAGCACCGACTCGACCCGCGGCGAGTAGTATTCCGCTTCGTTTTCCAAATGCAATCAATCATCCACATCTATGTACAGATAAAATAGAATAGATCATAACAAATAAAAGGGCCGTTTTTTGGGAGAAATAAATATGCCCATGTTTCTGGTAGATCCGACGGGAGGAAGGCCACGTCCCAGACGAGACGAGTGAAGCCAGACAAGATAGATTTACTTGTTCCGTTGCAGCAGCTTCCAGAAGCGGCCGTCCTTGACGGCCCTGCGGTGCGCATCGCCCAGGTCGCCCGCCTTCTGGAAGGCAGGGTCGTTGCGCAGCTGCTCGTCCTTGGGGTCGATGTCGTCAAAGTCGTCGGCCCCGGCGGCGGCCTCGCCGCTCAGCTTGTCGTACGTGGTGGCCTGGTACGAGTAGGGCGGCGCGGGCGTCCGCGGCGAAGGCGGCGAGTCGTGGACGACGTCGGCGTCGTTGCCCACGCCGCCGCCGCCGCCGCCTCTGCCTCTGCCTCTGCCTTCCTTCTGCATCTTCTGCAGGCCCTTGGCCAGCGGCTCGACGTACTGCGCCTTGGCGCCGAAGTCGTCGCCGTCGTCGCCGTACTTGTCCTTGCCCTTGGCCGAGGCGCGCTGCGCTGCGGCCGCCGTGCTGTTGCTGCTGCTGGTTGTTGTGCGCTTCCGACTCTCCAGCCACGCGGCCGCCTCGGCAGCGACAGACGAGCGCTTAGCGGGCGCCACAGCTGCTGCTGCTGCTGCAGGCCGGAGGCTCCTGGCCTTGGTCACGAGGGCGGGAAAGCGGCCCTCGAATTCCGTCTGCAGCTCCGACTGGTGCTGCTCGACGGCGCGCATCCGTTCAGCCTTTTTGGAGGGGATCAGCTCCGTCGAGGGCACGCGGTCCTCGTTCTCCAGCAGGTGAACCCATTCGCTGTATCGCTCCTGGTTCTGGCGGGATTCGTCCTGCAATTGCCTAATCAGTAACGGAACTTCTTGATAGTCTCTATTTTGGTAGAGGCGGGGGGGCGAGAGGATTGACTCAAGGCTTACCTGGGACGGGGTGGCTCTCTCGCGGAGACCGTCGACATAGTCCTTTGCCCCCTGGGTCATCTTGTTGCCCGAGATATACTTGTCAAACGAGGCGGAGAACTCGCGGTAGTGACCCTTGAGGATGTAGCATTGCCCCTCCCAGCTCTCTCGCTTGAACTGCTCGTACATGGCATCAGCCACGGGGCACTCCCACGGGAACTCAACAACTCGGTCGTAGAAGACGATGCACTTGGCGCTCTTCCAACGGGAGAAGCAGCGCCTGCTTTGCTCGTCGGTGAAGGCCATCTCAACGAGGTCAAGGTCTGACGCGGCATCGCGGACAAAGCTGAGCGGGATTCGCAGGTTGACGGCGCCGTGCACGTGCGATTTCTCAAAGTCGGTGGGTGAGCGCAGGTCAACGAGCAGGACCTGGCTAGGAGGGAAGATCTCCAGAAGAGTATTGAGATGGCCCGGGAGAATCATCTTGGCGCCTTCTTTGGCCTCGGGACCATGGTCACTAGGACGCAGGTTCTGCAGGTTATCGTTCATCAGCTGTTGCTGACGGCGGTTGTGGAACCAGGCCTGCACATGTCTAGTTAGTATCGGATGTTTCTTTTCCTGTCAATGTGCAACTCACATCGATGTCAGAGAGCCTGACGCCCAGCGTGGACGAGAAGAACTCCATAACCGGGAATGTTGGGTGGTGGTGCTCTTCCTGGAAGTATTCCTCAAGTCGATCGACGACCTGAGATGAAAGGCGTGGCCTGCTGATCTGAGAGCTGCTTCCGCCATCATAGATGGCACCGGTCTGGTTCAGTCTTGACCTCGGAGACGGCTGTTCGACGTCCCTCCGGCTGGCAACATAGGGCACGCCCACCGCTGCCGCGGGCGTAGTCATCTGCCTGTTTAGAAGATCAAGAGGTCGGTCGGGAGGTAAATCCATGACCGCATATCCATGTTGCCGCCTCGTCTGACGTAAAGTGTAATTCTGAAGCTGATCTCGCAAATCTGCAGTCATGCTTGCGGGGGTCAGAGACCGCGACGTTCGTTGAGATATCGTCGTGGCTGTGGATCCTCGCCTATAAATGGAATCAAGGCGGCCTCGTTCATCGGCAGGCGTGTAAGTAGTGCCAGAGATGATTGACTGGCTGTCATACTCGGCATCATCTGCGACCTCTTCCTCGGCTTCCTCTCGAGAGGACTGGCTGGTCTTGATGAGATTGTTTGAGCGGATGAAGGCCACAAATGAACACGCATGGTCCTCGGGTAAGAGATCCCAGATCATGACTGGCATCGAAAGTAGTAGAAGTGTAGAATGGCTTTTAAACACGCCTTGAACTTTGACGTGTTTCGCCAAGGCTGGAAAGGCGGCAAGCCACTGCTCCCAGGCGTTCAGGTCGAGCTCCTGGTTGTCTTCCAGAGCCAGCGAGATCATCACATGAGGTTCATCCTCATTAGGCCCAGATACCGGCTCTGTCCCTGGGCCACGTCCGGCACCCTCGGCGACATCTTCTTCGCCCTCCCAGGGCTCCTGCGGCGGTGACGGTGGCCGTGCATCAGCGGGAACAAGTTTGGTGAGCTCAATGCTCGGGGCCTTGTGATTTGACGTCATCATGAAATGCACCGGAGTCGATCGTGCTTCGAAATGCTTGCCATTGATTGTGATCGGCCTGGGGTGCTTCAGACGAGCAAGAACTTCGGCATGTAGCATAGCTGCAGAAAATGTCCGTATCCTCCACTCTTGGAGCACCTCGATCAAAGCATTTGTGAACGAGTAGCGCCCCGGGTCTGGAGCAATGGCATCCCAACTTGATGCTGATATCGTCTCGGTGATGGATTTGCCGCTCGGAAAAGTCGCACTTGCTGCGCCTGCACAGCAATCGAGAAGGACCAAGACATCAGACACGGAGCGCTCGAGCAGCGTTTGGATCGCAGACCATTGTAAGGAAGGTGATCTCGGTTGGCGTGTTGCGCACCAAGTGCTCTGTCGCGACTCGTCTATCCTGGCGTGACCACCGTAGTAAACGATGAACAGGGTATCATGGGCCTCGTGCTCTTTGACCAAGGACCCGACCCTCATCATCAACTCCAGATGAGCATTGTCGGAAGGGATAGAGAAGATATCGGTGTCGAAGCTGTAGTCGTCTCGCAGGCACTTCTGCAGGTCCTCCAATTCTGGTAGGACGAACAAGTCATCCGACTTCCAATGCAACAACAGTGCCTGAACTTTGTTATATCTTTGCGAGGACTTGCCGGTGTTGGGGAAGGCTCGTCCGGCAGACTGTCGGCTTAAGTAAGTACCAAGAATGCAAGGGTAGCAAGGTGTGAAGATGGGTACTCTACTACATACTTCTTCCAACGTTTTTGCGAAGCTGTCCAAATGCTTCACATGGTAATTGACTCGGCTGGTATCATGAGTTGCCGACGGAGTGTTAAGGCCGCCATTCCCCGAGCCATACTGTTGATGTAAGTGAGCAAACTACTACATCGCGAGGTTGATATTGGTAGGTGGAGGGTGGACCACGTACTGCAGAGTCGGCGCTACTCATGCTGCTTCCATCGTTGGCATGTCTCGTCCTTATCGTCACGTACGGCTGGTGGTAGTCCGCCATGATCGCGGAAGTGCTTGCGCGCAGCGCAACAGGCGAGCAGGAAAGTACGGCTAACAAGGCCAAGTTCGAGAGAACGGAAAGAGATTAGAAGAGCCGCGATGCCCACGTCTTCTAGCCGTACATGGCGGCGCAACAAGTATGAGGGTGCCGGGAAACCTGTTGGGCACCTGAGACTCGTCCTATGTGTCCAGTATTGTTCCGGGAAGAGAATCGAGACCCAGCTGCCGCCGGCGAGTAGGAATGTGCTGTTGCGATGCACGAGAGGGGAGACGTGGTGATGTCGGCGAACGCAGACTGAATAAGCCTCTCTCTCGGTGCCCGATTCGGTTTAGCTGCCAATCGGTCGGTGACGGAAATGTTGGCAGTCGGCCAAAGTGGGGTCCGGGGTCTTGCCCACTTTAAAAATAGTCTAAATGTGGCTTGACGAATTCCAGAAGCCGGTCCCGCCTGAGCCCCCTGCATGTGTGGCTGAAGCTCAGCAGGTCTAATGTGGCTGCAAACACGTCTCGTGCATCATATCTGGTGAGTCCACAGACCAATGTCGATGTGAGATTCCGAGCTTCTCAGGAACAAATCTTCTCCCGTCTCCACGCATCCGGCCATCTCTGGAGCTTTCTCGAATAACAGACGCATAACTTGCGTCACGGTCTTGCTTCGATCGACCTCCTGCAGCTAGGTTCAAAGGGGCTCAGTGACGGGCTCGATATCAAAGCTCCTTCGAGGGTACCTTGGGGTGTGCGTGTCGAACATGCGGCAGAGAGTGACGTTCTTCCAGAACCCGGGAAGCCCGGTTGATCCCGCCTCTCTAAGCATCACCAAACAGACCCTAAATGGACCGGAGATCCATGGCATTCGTGAAGACCGTGCCACCTTTGCCCTTGACGAGCTTCCTGGGGAGCTTCGGGCTCTTCTGGAACGTTATGAGACTCTCCAGATCAGATGGGCTAGCAAGGAGAACCATGAATCCGTGAGCCCCTTGTACTCACGAATATCGCCGGGACTACATGTCTTTTATTCCCCGAGGCTTCAGAATACGGGTAAAGGGTGGGTTAGTTCCTCCGACTTCCAGTGGGATGCATCATCACTAAGACGCTCGTTAGCGACGTGCTGTGCGGTTCTCTCAAAAAAGCATTCAGCAACCTAGACTGCGAATCCTCTAATGTAAGGCTGCGAAGATTTTCTCATCGAATCCCTCTGTCTTACCACTTACCTTTTACTGATGATCTCTAGTTATCCTCTACTGCCCTGCCAGCCTCGCTTGGGTCACATGCCTCTTCCTTCCAGTTCTATCAGCCCTTGTCAAACCTGTCTCATTTTGTCGATTACGCAAAAAGCGAGCTCTGTGCAAAAGCAGACTCGTTGTGCCCGTCGTTGGTGGAGAACCTAGACCAAGCAAGCTCTCTCGATATATCCTTCGATGCTGCACAGCATGTATTTCGAGCAACGGCGACTTGGGCACGAAAGACCCTACCATTGTCTGTCACTGCCGTGCCCGGTCACAGGACTGAGGTCGGCATCCTTGCAGCAGACTCGCCGCCGAATATGGATCCCAGCGAGCTCGGTATCGCCGGCCACCTCACTGTTCTCGGCCAGGATTCCAAACCCTCGGCCACCATCTTTGCTTTCCCCTCCAGGCATAGGCATGTCGAGGGGGCGTCCTTCTCTTCACGATTTACGAAACCTACAGGCCTCCACCCAACTCTACAACTGAGAATAGACGGTCCAACGCAGCCGCCGGTCAGCGACGCCGACTGCTCGATGCACGCCTACTTCACCTTACCTAGGGCTATCTTTGCCGATCGCTACCAGCTTTCGGACCCGCTCTTCATGGCGTCCAAGAATCTCACATCACTGCAGTACATGAGCGAGCCGGTAGATCTGGAAGCACCAGAGTACGCCGTCAAGCTCTGGGGCTCCGCGATGCTCCTCGAGTTGGCCCCTCCCGTCGGCAAGACCGCGAAGAGCTGGACGGCCGAGATCCCGCTCCATCTCCGGTACCTCAGTCCGGCACAGGGTGGCTACGCGGACGCTGAACTCCCCTACCCCGCCGTATTCTGGGCGTGCGCGGCCGCGCCCGAAGGGCCGGACTTTGCCAACAACCCCTTCGACCGCACGCACCTGGGCTATGACGCACTGTTTGACGCGCGCACCGTCTTCTGGCATGTCGACCCCGAGCCGACGGCTGCGTCTGCAGCGAGCGGTACGGGCCACGACCCGGTCAGCAAGATCCGGGTTCCCGTGCTAGACACGGACAAGGCCGGCTGGGTCAACACGGGGACGGCAGCGGTGATTGCTCTGGGCTTCGGGTGGATACTATGGAGATTAATCGCGGTATACCTGAGGGCAGGATACGGTACCGCGCGAGGAGCGGACAAGGCGAAGAAACTACAGTAGTCACAGGGTACGATCTATTGATACAGCTCCGAGGAGAACCTCGAAAGGGGACGCAGGCTCTTCAAGGCCTAACGCTATGTAGAAGAACTATGGCCGGACTACCCGGTATGCACCATCAAGGTCTTCATGACTGATGAAGTGTCTGACTGCCTAATTCAATGTCGTACCGGCCATTTTCAGAGACTAGTTGCGGGGGATGCTTATGCCAGCGGAGTCCACTGGATTCGGTAATTCCTCGGAGTTCCTTGCTTGGCATGTCTCTGTGAAGGACTCACAGAACCATACCAGTTCTGTTCCAAGTGTAGGTAGGTATCTCGAGATGTTAGCATCATGTTCTATTGTCCGATTCTGGAATATTTCTATACACGAAATGCACGGACATCTCAGCATCACTCTGTTCCATTTTGTCCATGCACATACCAAACTCGTACTTTTATTGTCCACGCCATGTGTGTAAAAGCACCCGGGTCAGCCCGACCCGTCTAGCCAAAACTCCCAATACCGAGAGACTACCGAGAAGCCCCGCCCTATCCAGCGATGCTTCCCCTTCCCATCCGCTCCCTGGGTCATGGACCCTACCTCACTGACTGACAGGTCGACAGACGTATGACAGGCGGGCTCGGCTGCCCTAATAGCCCAATAGCCGGTGCATGCATCACGTCGAAGGACTGGATATTGGGACTTTCTTAGAAAGCAAAGACCTGGTCTTCCAGCTTGCTAACAGGCTTGGCCTTCTTGAAACCAAGGCTCTCAGTTGCCTTTTTGAGGCCGCTGACCATGGGAGGAGGACCACAGAGCAGAATCTTGACATCGTCGGCAGGCTTGGGCAGGTGTTTCTGAAAAGCGTAGTCAGTAATGAGTAGCTAGGTAGACAAAAAAGATACATCAATCTCACCTGGACCATCTCGGCAGTGACGAAACCAACGCCGCCGGTCCAGCCCTCTGGGGGCTTGTCCAGGACGTAGTGCACACGGAATCCCTTGTCTTCCTGGGCGAGAGCATCGAGGTCCTCCTTAAGAAGGATGTCCTGCTTTGTCACGTTGGCAAAGATGAGATCGACCTCGGTCTTGTCGCCAGCGGCGCGGCCGCGGATGATGGCGCGAACGACCTGGAGCATAGGAGTGATGCCAGTACCGCCAGCGATCATACCAAAATGGCGCACCATGTTGGGAGTGTAGACAAAGGCACCCTTGGGGCCCCGGACCTTGATGGACTGGCCCACGGTGAGGCTGGCCATCATCTTGCTGATGTTGCCGGTGGGATAGGACTTGATGAGAAGATCAAAGTACCCAGGCTGGTGGTCGCCGCTGATCGGAGTGTAGGACCGCACAATCTCCTTGGTGCTTCCGTCGGGCTGTTCAATGGCAGCGCCAATAGAAATGTGCTGGCCGATGGGCAGGCCGAGGATGGCCTTGGGCGACGGGAGGTTGAATCGGTAGCTGAGAAAGGCGCAAGTCAGTTGGAAGAGCCTTCTATAACCCACAGAGAGGGCCATAGCACTTACATGGCAACATTGTGCGAGATTACCGTCTTCTCCTTGAGTTCAAACTCTTGGAAGGCATCTGGCTTGAGCACCTTCTTGGGCTCTGCAAGCTCGACCATTAGCACCGAGATCGGAATCGCAAGCATTGATCGCCTGCTCCGCGCAAGAACTCCGGCGAGAAAGGACTTACGCATGCTGGTGAATTTCCATGCACCAAGAGACAGAGCCAAGATAACAGCATAAAGAGACCATTCCCGCTTCGTAATAAAGGTGCCAAAGACGATGAGGCCCATGGGGATGTAGATCCCGTCAAAATACTTGCGGGCAACGAGGGAGTCAGCCATGATGAGGTATTATGGCCCAATTGAATGGACTCGAAGCTTGCAAGTTCTTGATAGGTCGCGAGAGGGAGAGAGAGAGGACCGGAGATGCCGTCACCGAGCTGGAGCGAGCTTTGGAGTCGGTCGGTCGAGGACTTTCCCCTATGGATGGTGTCCGAGTTGGAGGCACTCGACTTTTTCGAGGTGCGGTGCGGGACGAGGAATAATGTAGGTATCTTCAGGCAAGCAAGCTACTGTAGCTACGGGGATCTGGTCCCCGGTTTCTCCCCCTCCTTCTCAACAGGCGGAGCAAAATCGAACGACGCCAACAAATTTTAGGCCGGGACTTGGAGAGGGTTCGGCAGAAGGTCTGCTTGGCGGCTGGCGGCGGGCGGTGAAGGTTGGAGGGAGCGGCGGATGCGGAACTGATGGCCAGAAAAGACCCGAAGTCTGTTGTCAAAACCTCGCCTCAGGTGCTGTGGGGGTCAACCACCGGGATTCTAGCGTGTCTGGTTGATTCCTGTTATTGCTGTAGGTGGGCTTTCAGGTACCTATCCTTAGGTACCTGGTAATGATGTACCACAGCAGCCACCGACACTTGGCAGGTGCACACCCACCTCACTGAGGGATTGAGGCTGGTGTGTGCTTTCCATCGAGTCTGACAGATATCAAGTAGAGCCAAGAGAATATACCATCTCGCTCTCCAAGCAGCTTACAAAGTCCACACCACCATCAACGAGGAGAAGCACGCGCAATTGTCACTACGTCCTTGCACAGAGGCCTTGGGAGAAGCCAGGATGGGAGAAGCTGGGCTGCCCCATGAGCTACCGTTTCCTCTGACCGACACGGATCGATACGTGCTCTCTCAGACAGACGAAGAATACAAATACCATGACTGGGCCGAACTTAAGAACATCATTGGTCAGTATCCTCTGCCGGAATACAGTACCTACGTGCCTTTAAAGAAGGCAGTTGAGACATCGGGAACTGAAAAAGTGAGCGGTGTCAAAGGAGGAAGAACCAGACTCTAATTCGTTGTCTAGAAACCAATAACTTGTCGGTATTGAAGAGAAAGCCCTCGGACCTTCGCAAGTACATAAGATGGAGCGCAGCGACCCGCAACGAGTACGGGTCGATGACCAAGTACCTGTTGGTCAACAGACTTCCGCGGGCCTGGGGCGAGCCACCCTTTAGCCCTATGTCGCAGACGCCCTTTCAAGACGCATCCGACTATCGCGTCTTGGTCAATGACTGGCCTTACGGCTTCACTGCAGGCATTGTCCATATTGTCGTGTGGTCACGAACCATCATCCCGACCGACCCCACAACAGGCGATATGACGCCCGAAAGTCGGAAGATTGTCGCCGACTTTGTCGAGAGCTATTTCGTGGACCGTCTCGGCCCAGGCGGCCAAGAAAAGGTCCTGTGGTTCAAAAATTGGGTTGCATTGCAGAGCGTTCGAGCCCTGGAGCATATTCATGTCATGGTCAGAGACGTGCCTGCGGAGATAGTCCAGGAGTGGGCGCAGGAGCAGGCGTGCCATAAGCTTGACGGAACAGCTGGCTCATAGAGTTGTCCATCGTCGAGGACTGGTCAAACTTAGGCGGCCCGTCGCTGTTTGCGATTGGCAGGAGCTGCAGCTGCCGCGACGTTGTCAACGTTCTGCATCGCGGCCATTTGTCTCGTAGCTCCCAGCAGGTTGAATCCCTTGTATGCGCCATATGCAGGCACAATTGCCCACACAAGCCAGAGTTTGTTCCCGAACAAGGTGACAAGCACAACCGTAATCCAGGTGACCCAGATCACGTCGAACATGTATTCCGTGAGACCTGCCGCCGAGAGGTCCTCGCCGGAGGATCTGAGGGCACCCGTAGCCGCATCATAAGATGGGCGACCGGACCGCTCGAGGGTCAACTGGCAGAGCAAGCTGGGCAAGCTCATGACAGCGAAGATGAGCAGCGAGCGTCTCTTGAAAAGGAAGTGGAATAATAGGAAGAACCCGTTGACAACCAAAGAGCCAAGGTGGAGGTTGTTGAGCGCAGCCACGTTCGACTTGGCTCGATCCTTCTTTGCCTTTTGCGCCATGACGGAGGATCTGGTTCAGGTTCTGTAGCCGAAGAGGACGATGATCTTGGGATGAAGTCGAGTCAGCAAGCTGATAATGTGGTGGCTGAACGAGCAGGCAGGTCAGGTTTGGCACCGGTGACCGTTGAATGAGTCGGCTGATACCTTATGCAAGGTTCATGGCAGAAGAGAAGGTGGTTGAACCAACAATGGCACACACACTTTGCGCAGTTGCATTGCTCACAGCCCTCAAGCCAGAAAAGCCAATTACGTCGGTTGCAATCCTGGGGGTGGCTGGTAGAGCCTGAGGTAGAGCCTGAGGTGTGCCACCTGGCCCCACTAAACTCTTTCCTTTGGCTGTTTCTGTTTGCGGCTGACAGTAGAGGCCTGATGCGCTTGTCAGGTACCGAGTCAGCGAGTTTAGTGGATTCATTTGGGGGGTTCTCATCGTTTTTCTAGGGCTGAGTTCAGCACTACGGGTGTGTATCGGTAGCGGCTGCAATTTGGGTTGCCCGGCAGGCGACCCAGCCACCAGCCAAAGCGTCTAGCAAGGTCGCGTCCAATCAAGTCACCTCGTCCCACTACACCACAACATCGCGAGACAGGAAGCTTCCCAGGGCCACGAGACAAGAGACAAGCGAAACATCATTGCGCCTACCCGCAACAGGCATGCCTTTCTTTTTCTGTTCTTTGAAGGCGATCCATTAACTTGGGGCACGCCTATCTATCATCAGCATCATCTTTTTCTGGCCAGCTGTTTCTTGGTACCTTTTTTGTCAGTGTGCGCAGTGGTAGGCATCCTATGGCTCAACCCACCAGATAACGATCCCTTCCGACGCGCATCCTCCCAACCCGCCTGGTGCTTGCAAGCCACCACCCTGCACAGCGCCGCCGTCACGATGGCCCCGAACAGTGCCGCGGTGACCGGCGTTCTAAGACAGGCGGTTTACTACCATCTTGACAACACATCCTACGACAACGCGTTGTTCTTTGCCGAGAGGCTGGCTGCCCACGATTCCAGGTCGGGTGAATCAGCATTCTTGCTTGCTCTGAGCCACTACCGCCTAGGAGACTTCCGATCCGCCTCCGAGATCAGCAAACATGCAGGATACAGAGGTATACATCTCGGCTGCGCGTATGTCTTTGCGCTCAGCGCGCTGGCTCTCGAGCGCTACAGGGATGGCATCTCTGCCCTGGAGAAATCCAAGGGGCTCTGGCTCAATCGAGCGAGTTTCGGAAAGCACACGTCCTCGGTACGATCTCTATATCCTGATGCAGCCACGGTCTACTGCCTGCTCGGCAAGCTCTACCGTGCCATGGATGATAGAAACAAAGCCGTGGCCTGCTTCGAGGAGTCTCTCAAGCTGAATCCTTTCATGTGGGACGCCTTCACGTCCATATGTGACATGGGTGCGGCGGTCAGGGTCCCCAACGTCTTCAGGGTCGGCGAGCAATTGATTCGTAATTTCGACTACGACCACGGCGATACTGCGCTTGATCAGAAGGATAGCGCCCCTCTGAGCGCGCTGGAACCGCTTCATCGCAAAACGGCAAGTAGGCCAGCTGTGCAAGATATGACGGATCCTTTCGATTCAAATCGACCTGCAGCTTTTTCAGATGCGCCGTCCTTGTCCAACCTGATGTCCTTGGACACCGAGGAGAACGACTTCATGTCGAGAATTACCGCTGCACGACTGAGGAATGCTGCGAACCATAACCACAACCCTAGTCCACCCCCGCCCGATGGGACGGAGACACCTTCAGGTCCGTCACTGAATGCTGAAGGCGCCAATGGTAGATCAGCTGCTCCTCAAGAACCACCGCAGGCGCCGTCACGTCGGACTAGGTCGGTCCAGACGACGGACCAAGCATTCACGGATGCCGTACCGAGGATGGGTTACCGCCTAGGAGCCAGGCGAAGGGACAACAAGACGCTCGATAATGAGCAGTCGGCGGCCCCCGAACAGGCGCCGTCACTTCTCCGAACGGCCGCCTCAACGCTGTCCGGGATAGACAGGAAACGAACAGTGTCGGGGCATCCGGTACAGGCTCGCCAGAACCAAGCCGACGAAGCCGGTGCACCGCAGAGGAGAAGTGCGAGGCTGAACATGTTCAAACCCTCCATCACCAAGAACAATTCTGGAGCCGCGACCATTGGGGCAGCCGCGTCACGAGAGCTTAAGAAGGCCAGACCGCCCATCCCCAGAGTGATGCGGCCAGGTTCCAGTGGGTCGACAGTGGGCAGAGTCGTCAGCGGCAATAGAAAACCACTTGAGGACAACACCATGGACGTGGACCATAACGAGGCGCCCAGGGTCAGGGAGGTGCCATCCCATCTGGGCCAGTCACAGGCTCCGAAGCCTTCGGAAAACGACGCCGCCAAGACGGAGGAGGCATTGCGGTGGATCATGGACTTGATGAAGAAGTTGGCCTCTGGCTACCAGCACCTGTCGCAATTTCGTTGCCAAGAAGCGATACAGTGCTACAACTCCCTCCCAAGGGCTCACTCGGACACGCCTTGGGTTCTGGCACAAATGGGACGAGCGGCCTATGAGCAAGCTGCATACCCTGAGGCAGAGAAGCACTTCCGGCGCGTCCGCGTCCTAGCGCCCAGTCGCCTGGAGGATATGGAAGTTTACTCGACCATTCTGTGGCATCTGAAGAGAGAGACGGATCTGTCGTACCTCTCGCATGAGTTGGTAGACTCGGCGTGGCTATCGCCGCAGGCTTGGTGCGCGCTGGGCAACGCATGGTCCCTGGCACAGGATCACGAGCAGGCTCTCCGCTGCTTTAAGCGGGCTACGCAACTCAATCCGAAATTTGCCTATGCATACACTCTGCAGGGGCACGAACACGTCTCCAACGAAGAGTACGACAAGGCATTGACAGCATACCGTCACGCACTCGCTGCAGATCGGCGTCATTATAATGCCTACTATGGCATCGGCAAAGTGTACGAGAAACTCGGCAACTACGAAAAAGCTTACACGCATTACCTTACCGCGTCCAACATCCACCCGACAAATGCGGTCCTCATATGCTGTATTGGCACCATCCTGGAGAAGCAAAAGAACCCGACGCAGGCTCTGAGGTACTTCAGTAAGGCTACAGATCTGGCGCCTAGAGCTGCACAGACCAGGTTCAAGAAAGCACGAGCCTTGCTCATCCTAGGCCAAGCCGAGGCAGCGAAGGAGGAGCTGATGATCCTCAAGGATCTCGCCCCGGACGAGGCTCAGGTCCACTTCCTCTTGGGCAAGCTGTTCAAGAGTCTCAACGACAAGCAGTCTGCGGTCCGGCATTTCACAGTCGCGCTTAGTTTGGATCCAAAGGTGAGTGACTCCTAACGGGCACAATGTGGCTTATCGGCATGACTAACAGGCATTTCCAGGCGAGCTCAAAGATCAAGGAGGCCATTGAAAGCCTGGAGGACGATGATGGATACGATGACTCAATGATGCATTGAGGCGGTGGACAAGGGTTTTACTTGGACGTAATTGACAGCGGGAATAGGGCTGTGGGTTTTGGCAAGCTCAACCAGAACCCTAACAGCAGATGTTACAGGGATAGGGTATTTGTTCTGGGGTCTGGAAGGCTCGTCGTGGCCTGGGTCATTCTGGGCTTTTTGTAACTGCATGGTTTCGGCGTTCCAGGAAAACTAGAGTACTGCAGCATGGCATGAGGCATGACGGAAGCGGAGTCCACTATCAGGTAGCATCTTTCTGATGGGTTTAGAGAGGCTTTGTAGCCCGGGACATTGTCAAAGTCTTGAGCCTCGTATGAAATTCATTACCAAGCCCGTCTTACCGACGGCAGATGCAACCATAAAACAAAAAAAAAAACCCAGCTGTGGTCCGTCTTGTAGCATATGTTGATTGTGGCGAGAGAGGTTAGGAGAGGAGGCTACAGAGAGTATGGATTGATAACGCAGCTGGAGGCGTGCAGATATGAGGTGAGGCTATCGATCCCCGGTTGCCATTGGCATTCTTTCTCGGCAGAAACAAGCAACTCATCTTGCTCTTGGAACCGGACGGACAAGTTCTCGGCCTCGTTAGAATCCACGCGTTTGGCCTGGCCGATGACACGCTGTCCAACGCGGTCGAGTCGAGTCGAGGAGACCTACCTAGGTAGTCGAGTGCTGATCCACCACGTCCGTCCCACTTGGGGGAAGGAGCTTGGACCACCAGGAAAGACTACGCTTGACCCAAAAGGGACGGGCAAAGAAAACAATTGGAAGCGGACCGCGCCCAATAAAGAAGCACAGTGGGGCGGCACGCGCCTGCAAAAATGACAGCGCATTTCCACCCGCAAAACAGTAGGCGTTTCTGCCAGTCCTTCAAGAATGAAATACCACGGCCAAAGCGGCCCCCATTTTTAGCAGGAAACAGCCCAGCATTGAGAAAATGCGTGCAGGGCGAAAATCAGCAACACACCCTTTTTCTACAATTAAAACAAAAACAGACTAGCGCCATTTCCCACCATTTGTAGAATCAGTAGCTGCCTGCAATCCGCACTCCCCTATTAAAGCAAATCCTCCCACTTTGGCCCCCTCCATTTCCCAGAGTCTCCCCTCTCTTGTTTTCCCCTTACATCGTCGCATTTACACGTCTCCCATCAACAAAAACATCAACTTGTCCATCGCGACATCACTATCCATCAACTAAACACCCTTTTACATCTCCACTAACCCCATTCAATATGACTGGACGTAAGTATCACTTCTATTTTTATCCTTTTGAGCTTGTGCGAGCCTCATCGCTCTCGATGGCGTCGTTGTGCCATGGGGTTCCAAGCAATGGGTGGTGTTGATAGTTGGTGATGGAACCTTTAAACAAGAACGCGTCGCGTCTTGGGACCACCACTATCCACCATCTCCATCTCAATTACCCTTCCGCTTCCCTATGCATCTCGACTATTGCACAAGGCATCAATCAAACAACAAATCAACACTCCAGTTGCTAACATGTCTCCATCACAGGCGGCAAGGGCGGCAAGGGTCTCGGCAAGGGTGGTGCCAAGCGCCACCGCAAGATTCTTCGTGACAACATCCAGGGTATCACCAAGCCCGCTATCCGACGTCTCGCTCGTCGTGGTGGTGTCAAGCGTATCTCAGCCAGTAAGTTGCCCACCTGTACAAGCGTCACAACAAGAGCAAGACACGGAATACTAACATGCCATCTACAGTGATCTACGAGGAGACCCGCGGTGTCCTCAAGTCCTTCCTCGAGGGCGTCATCCGTGACGCTGTCACCTACACTGAGCACGCCAAGCGCAAGACCGTCACCTCGCTTGACGTTGTCTACGCTCTGAAGCGCCAGGGCCGCACCCTGTACGGTTTCGGTGGTTAAACAGCTCCTCCGAACCATGGGGGTCTGTTGAGTTTCTTGGAAGGCAGCGAATTCTTGGTACAGCCAGGTCCTGCGCGGACGCGTGTGGGAGTCTACTGTCTGTCTACTACAGTCTGGGTTATGCGATGGGTTAGGGAATACGGTCATGATAACCATACTTGATATTTTTCGGCGTTAAGAGGCAGGGATTACCGGTATCATTGATCAAGGGCGTTTTCCTACGGGAGGAATGACAAGCCCGTGTCTCAAGAGTAAACAAATACCACATTCTGAACATGAACAGCGTCTATTATCCACTTTTTAACGATGCGTGATATTGTTTCCTTTTGCCATCCTGGCTTGGCGCCCGTCTACCATGGGCACTCGTAGGGCTCTTAAAAAAGCTCCTAAATGTATACATTGGGTATCTGCTGCTCCAACTCGCTTAAGCATCTGCGCAATTCTCGCCACGTTCCTCGTGTCACTAGAGGTATTTCCGCCCGGCCGCCGCTATCCTGCTGCGGAAGACGGGGCTCTTGATCTCCATGTTGACTTTATAAAAGGGGCTCATTATGGCTTTGACCCAGTTCTCGTAAACTTCGGCAAAGAAGCTGCGGATGGCCTCCTCCGTGGCCGGACTCGTCGGGTTGGCTCCGATGGATGTGGACGACCGGGATGAGGTGGACAACGAAAGAGGCTGTGAGGGCTGATGAAGGAGGAGGAACTTGACGTTGCCGGCCGTGATGAAGCACGACACGTAGTTGTTGAAGAATTTGTCGATACACTTGAGGTACCTAGGGAGTCGGAGCCATGTCAGTCGGTGGGTTACGGACATGTGGACAATGAGAGGTGGAAGATGACGCATGATCCGTGACAATGTTGGAGGGCCGGGATGGCAGCGAAGGGGGGGAAAAAAAGGCTCACATCTGCCCGTTGGTCCACTGTACTTCCTCGACGATGTCCAAGCTGCTATGCAGGATGAACTGGTTCATGTGGCGCGCCTGCTCCGAAAACCGGGAGAGGCCGTCGCCACCCTGCTTCGAAGTGCCAAACTCATACTCGAAGAGGGGGTTGTCCTGCGTGCCGATGATGGCAAAGTAATAGGACATGGTGTTGATGCGCGCGAGACCGATCACCTGTCAATCATTGGCATACAGGGGCGGCGCTCTGGGAGATAAGGAGCTGGGGATGGGCGCGCGCAGAGTGCAAGAGATTGACGGGCAAGAATGGCATCTCGAGGAAGACGTCGCAGCTTTGAGCTTTGGCCGGCAGGTTGTTGTCCACTGTGGGGCACGCGTGCGTACTGCGCTGCATAACAAAGCGGGCAAGGCGGGACTGTGGAGTGGACTCCCGGCTATGCTTTCGATTGGCTGGCATTTAGCGTCTGGGCTGGCAGAGTATCCCAAAACCGCTGATTGAAATTTATCACGAATCACCAGAGAGCCCATTTCAGGAGGATCAATCTCTCAACACAACACAGATCCGCAACCATGTTCGGCCCGTTCAGGATAACAAACGTCTTGAATGGCGGTCTTCTATGGTAGGTGCATGGACTTTGAGCTCCCTCTCCCGACCATCCGGGCGCCGACTGACAACTCCCTACAGGAAGACTCCTTGGCGGCTGTCGCGATTCCAGAAGCTCCGCCAGCGAAGACGACTCCGAGCCGTGGATGGCATCGTCGCCACTCTCGACCAGGCTCTCGCGAAGCAGGGCCACACGATGAAGTCGCTGGAGCGGTGGAAGGCCGAGATGCCGAGCGAGGCCGAGATGCTGCCCAAGGACAAGTACACCATCTTTGACCGCAAGGAGAAGCGGTACCGAAAGGGCATTCACAGTAAGCTGCAGATTCTGTTTCTCACGTTTTATGGTATGAATATGCTGGAGGTGGAATGGATGCTAATTCTCATGGCAATTAGAACTCCCAAAGTGGACGAGAGTGTCGCAGCGCCTCAACCCTCCAGGCTACTAGAGCAGGAGCAGATGTGTTGGGCCACGGCGGAGAGGGCAGTCGGAAGTTTGTGTCCAAAAACCACCATGCACACTCCGCAAGGCATAGGCCTTGCTTTGACAAATGGCGGGGGTACGAGACGCAGTGTACGATATCGAAGGGTGGAAAGAGAGGCAGAGTAGATCTCCGGTCACTGCCATATAGCATCGAAAAGCGAAAGATGGCAACAGTCGGGCCATCAGTCGCCGATGAAGGTCCTGTTCAATACGCACAATGTACTTTATGGAAATGATGAAAGAAATCTCCGTTAGACGAATTGCTGAATGCTGGGTATTTTCCACGTCCTTTCGCCCTTCACCATAGCCTCTATATGGTCTCCTAGATTACCTCCCCTACCTACGATCATAGGAATCGTCTTGGATGGCTCGGCCCAGACCGCCACGGCCCTCGTCGAAGTCCTCACGATACTCGTCTCTGACCTGTCCACCCGACTTTCCTCTGCCGTACTGCCTGCCCTCCTCAAATCCAGGATCGAGATCCGTCCTGATGATGCGCTCGTCGAGCTTGGTGCCACCGATGTACTTCATGCAGTCGAGCGCATCTTGGTGAGTGTAGTATTCCACGAAGCAGAAGCCGCAAGGCGTCTTGTTGAACCGATCGAGACCCATGATCAGGCGTTTGATCTCGCCGCACTTGCTAAACAGCTCGTAGACCTGCTCCTCGGTGGTGTAGAACGAGCTTTTTGAGAGCCGGAAGATCAGAGGTGTCCGAAGGTGCCAACGGCAACGAGGCGGCTATCACTTACAGGTTGCCAACGTAGAGGGTAGTAGCATCCTTCAGAGGGTCCTCTTGCGGCTGCTCCGGCTGGCCATTCTCCTCACTCTCGCCATCTCGATTGTCGCGATCGTTGCGACGACGCTTGTTGTGCTGTTGAACCTACGTCAGCCGAAGACAAACATAGTAACTGGGGTGAGCGAGGGGTTAGCGGACTCTGCTGTTGAAGTAAGCGCTTGGCCTGTCGAGCCTCTCGACGGTGTTTCTGAATCGCATTGTCGCCCTGGTTCGTTGGGTGTGGTGGTGAGGATGCGCGCAATGTATGTTTCGTTGGTTGGTGTGCGAGGCTGAAGGAGTGATGGCGGAATTCAAGATTTGAGGCTAAGAATTCCTAGCGATCCAGGCTCCAAGTGGCCGTGGCTTTTAGTGGAGAGGGCGAGCTTCAAGGTTGCATAATGGGTGATGTGGGGGAGCTCTAGAGCTGGATCGCGCTGCCAGCCAGGTACCAGTACAAGTACCGCGCATCCATCTGCAGGGGCGGTAGTGCAGTTTTCTTAGTGATTTTCACCGTTGGCCGGGGAGTCCTCGAGTCGCTCTCATCAAACGGTCTTATTCACTGCACCGCCATCAATTGCCTGTATTTCGAGAAAATCATCAGATCGCCTGCAGCCAGCTGTAAATGTAGCAATACTGGGCCTATACTAAGTTATCTCATCGTTTACACTCCCTTTTGCACTGGCTCGACTGGGTTAGCAGCGCGGTGGCCCAATTGAGTACCTAGCCTCAACTGAGTGGATGCCCAAGGGTCAATAACTACTTACAAGGCGCTAAAAAGTTGCATCAACACAAAGCTCAATCATATCGCCAACCTTGGCTGACTGGCTTTTCAGACTTTGGTTTCTCAGGAGCTGCACACAGGCTCAGCCGCCAATCTGTCACAACTTTTGTGGCCCTCAAGCTCTTCTCAATCAGACAAACAATCTATCTACATTTTAGGGTACCACTTGTCAACCTTGCATCACGAACTTCTCCCTCCGGCGCGTGCCAACGGGCTGGTCGCTTCGACACACGTCCAACATGCCCAAAATCAGGAGCTACACGCCAGCATGGCTCACGGCGCCTGCTCCGGGGCACACCCTGTTTGTCGAGACTGAGCGCGCTTCAAGGTCTTCGACCTACTCCCCGTATGGCGCGGCCAAGGCTGCCGAGCCCGGCCCCAAGAGAACAATCGCTAGGCGCGGTACGGAAGTCTTCATCGCCAACGGTCGTGAGATCAAATGGGGAGATCTGGTCCATCTGAAGGAGACCTACGAGCCGAAATCTGGCAGAACGAGCGCCGGCATCCGGATCAAGCGAGAAGACTCGGACTCCTTCCCCCCTGAGGATGCCAACGGAGATTCGCGGTTTGCTCAAGGCTTTAGGGTAAGTGTCGGCTAGATATTTCCCGAGTTGCGCAAAGGAGCTATGCTAATGGTATTCCCACAGAGTATCAAGACGCCCGTCGCCGACGAGATCAAACAGCTCATCATCTCTCCGCACTCGGACCTGCTGGCCGTGGTCACCACGCATACCGTGCACGTCTGCCTGTTACCCGACCCGTCGCACCTCACCGCTGAAGACACAGGCATCATCAAGCCCAAGTATTTCACTCTTGGTCCAACAACGCATGTGACGTCGAAATCGCCAGTTGCGGCCGCTCTCTGGCACCCGCTTGGTGTCAAGGGTTCTGCGCTGGTCACTGTGACACAGGATGCCGTCGTTCGCATGTGGGAGATCTCGCCAACAGATAGGTGGTCGTTCGACTCTCCATCACTCGCGATCGATTTGAGGAAGCTGGCAGACGGAACGTCTCTCGACCAGGATTTCAGCGCTTCGACATCTACTACAAACAAGACCTTCTCGCCTGATTCCTTCGATATGGAGGTGGCGGCAGCATGCTTCGGAGGCCGCCGTTCAGGAGGCTGGTCCACCATGACCTTGTGGATTGCCATGCGGGGAGGTGACGTCTATGCGCTCTGTCCTCTCCTTCCTCAGAAGTGGGCACCGCCGCCAATGCTCATCGAGTCCTTGTCGGTGTCCATCGTTGCTAAGGTTGCCGCCCTTGAGGATGACCCTGAGGTGAGCGCTCAGGCGAAGCTCCTGGCCCAGCAGCAGCTGGAGTGGATGGCAGATCTGGACAATCAGGAGCCTCGAGTGATGGAGGCGGCTCCCGGTGACCCGGAACTACTTGTCTACACTCGACCCACACACCCGGGTGTTGTGCCCCGGCTTCAGGGCCCGTTCGATCTAGACCTAGATCCTGAGACTGGCAGGGATGAAGATGATGAATTGACAGACATATTCGCCATTGGAGAAAAGCTAGATGTTGGCGACCTTATGGAGGGAGAAGACGAAGATTTGGAGCTCGGAGACATCGATCACGAGGGTCTGCCGCTGTCCGTCCTCTGCTTGCTCTCCCCGAGTGGCAGGGTAAGGATATGCATTGATTTCGATGGCGTCGAGGCCAAATGGCTCCCGCCGCGGAACAAGTCGAGGAGTAGTCGGCTCCTAGAGGAGATCGATGTTCCTACACTGCTCACCTTCCAGACCCTGGACATGCTCCGTCCCTCAGAAGAGGAAGACTGCATCGACATATCCTGGCCCGTGTTCACTCCTGACGTCACCTCGCGGTACAGCTTCTACGTTACGCATCCCTTCGGTATGACGTATGTCTCGCTGTCACCTTGGGTGTTCCGCTTAGCTGGTGAGCTAGGCGCTGGGCCGGAGGACGGCCAAGACTTCAGAATCGGGTTGATGGTCAAGGGCGAGAACTCTACACGTGAACGGATCTACACGCACCCCCAACCGGCAACTTTTGCCGCTTGCACCGCTATCCGGGATCCCGACCTCGGTTATTTTATCCTTTCTGCGACGCCCCAGGGAGCTGTGGCTGTCAATTTTGATACTCCCGAGGACGATTTCGAGGCACCGGTCATGGCCGTGGCGTCGCCAACCCCGGAGGTGCAATCAAAAGAACAGCTGGAAGTATTATGCGCTCCAAGGCCGCCCTTCCAGCCACCCGAAGAGTTTGACCAGCGATCGGACTTGCCCAAGCTGTTCGAGATGATGAAGACGAGCAAGTACCGATCGCTGATGCAGCAGGAGGTGCGACTCTCCGGTGCGACCCTGAACATGTTTACGAATGTGCACCACGCTGTGGGAGGCGAGAGTGGCCGCTTGAACAAGGCGGCTGCGCAACTCTTCACTCGCCTCGACAATCTCCCTGCAGAACTGGCCGAGCAAGTCCGAAAAGCCGAAGGCGTGAAACAGAAGGTAGACGGTATCACGGGCGTCGATGCGAATCCGAAGAGCCCTACGCCCGACAGCGAGCGACTGCTACGTCGCCTTGAGGCTGCCAAGGCTCGCCAGGAGGAGCTGGCACAGCGCATGGAGAAACTGAAGAGAACCATCAACCGGGCAACGCCGCGGGAGCTTAGCGACAAGGAGAGGGCGTGGATGGACGAGGTTGCATCCGTGCAGTCAAGCATCTCGCCTGGCGAGGCTGGCTTGAGGCCTGCCAGGGTGAAGCAACACTGGAAACGACTGGAGGAAGTGAAGGCCCTTAAGGAGGACCTTCTCAAGCAGGCTGAGAAGCTGCAGCAAAAGCCCCCTGGCGAGGCCAGGGAAGAGCCGCTGTCACGATCCCTGTCAAATCGGAAAATCCCGCCCGAAATACGGAAGGTCAAGGTCGCACAGGTACAGAGCCTATTGGAGAGGGAGACAGCGCTGGTTGAAGCTGTGAAGAACCGCCTCGAGAGGCTGTCCGTGGGTTAGACCGTGCATGCGGAACAGGAGTTTGGGTGTGGATGAATTGAATACGAGTGCATTGTTCTTATCATAATGAGTAGGTAGCCTATCGTACAATGCGGACTTGGAGCAGCTGGTGATCTTTCGCAGCCTCTCCCTCAAACGCTCGTCGGCTCCCATTTGATGTGCAAGGAAAAAGAAAAGTTAATCAAGTACTTGCGCAGGTCTCTGAGTGGCCAGAGCCAGGCACTATTCAAGCGGGAAATGCAACGAAACGGGGTAAATGATCAGCAACCAACTGAGCAACACACCTCCCGCATCGGTCAAGTCAACGTTGCCACCGTCAGCCTCGTCACAGAGAGCCATGGATGCCGCAGGTGCCAATCCTGCCGTCAGCCTCACCTAACTCGGGAGCTGGTGTATTTGCCGAGCCCGCCCAACGGCCTGTTTCCTCCCCCCCTGGACCATGTCGCAACACTCGCATTGTCGGCTCATTGGACCGCTTGAGAGCCACCTGATAAGAAATAATGTCACCTCTTACGTATTGCTCGGGGCGGGTGGGAGACACCTCCACGGGGGGGATGTCGTGGAGTGTGTGCAGAATGATGAGTACGAGAGCAGCCCGAGAAATGCACCAAGCCGGACCATTCGAAAGCGACCCAACTCTGACTTGCATACGGGAAAGCAAAGAAAGGAGACGGGCGGGCCTGTTTCGAGGACCTAACCAACTGCTTTCTTTGCGGGCCGCATGCAGACGATTCCAATCGGATCTGGTAGCTGCACAGGAGGTCAACAGTTGTCCAACAAGAACACTCCTGCAGGCCTTCTACTCGCTGGGGTTTTGGTGGCCCTTGATCCATCTATTCGGCCACATGTTAACGGCTGGGCCACCTCATGCAAAGTGTGTCCTTCTCTCTGAGCGAAGCAATGTCCAGGAGTCACCCCCGGATGGAGCTGGCTCTGCAGTCCAAGTCACACAAGACATCTCGCCGGCGCTCTCCACGGGCAAATACCAGCAAGTCAACAACCTGCTGGGTGTGTTACAACCCACCCATGCACACACGACACTGGCAGGGAGATGCCGACTTTGTGCTGTCCATGTGGTGAGACTGTCTGCAAGCCTCGGAGTCTGCTCCAAGGGGATTGGACGTGCTCGACTCGCGGTTCTTTCTTTTGGAAGCCGCACCAGCGCCACCAGCAAGGCCTTTCCGGAAATCGGTGGCGTATATAAGTAGATGGTCCGCCCTATGTTCAACTTGATCGCGGTCTCCGAGCCTCTGTTTCCTCTGAGAAAAAAGTGCATCGTCCTACTTTCCGACCTCAATGCTGGTCCCCATCACACCGCTGACGACCTCTGCTCTATTACACGTTCCACAATCCACGAAACAATTGCCTAGCATGGTCGCCTCAAATGCCATTGACTACTACCACCAGACGTTAGGTATGCCGATTCTAACACTTACATACTGCCGTAGCCATCCTATCGTATGAAGAACACTTGTTGACGGCCAGTTCGATGACGGTCGGTAGAGAACGTCCGTTTCTTCTCTCCTGAACATGCAGAAGTCTGCATTGTCACGGCCAAGGATCCGATGGGCATGTTCAAGGCTGTCGTCATGCGTGCCAAGGGCAAGACCCGTACTGCCCTCCTCTCTGAGACGGCCAGCTCGATGCCCGAGGCCCTTCGTCGCCTGCACCACAAGTCCGCCGAAGCAGTTCACAACCACATGACCACGTACGGCTGTGACTTTGTCCGCGAGAGCAAGAAACGCTCCAAGAAGGGGCGGACCGCCGACAGCTCTGACGACGAGTCGACCGTCGACGACGACAGCTCTAGCGACTCCTCGGAGGGGGGCTCGATCGTGTCTGGGTTCAACTTCTCCAAGGTTGGCCTCAAAGGAGCCCAGTCTGATGACGATGCTCATGACTCTGATAGCTCTGGCGACGAGGGGACAAGCAGAGCACATGACGTGCGCACCGGGAGAGCCAAGGCACGTGGTAGAGGGATCTATTCACGGAGCCGGTCCTCATCCGTCGACATTGTCGGCCAAGGTGAGGCTATGGACAACATGATTGACCGGAGTGCACTCCCTACAGCACCCCATTTCGCCAGCGGCCCCAATCCTATGCTTCGGAAGCCACTCTCGCCCCTCCCCCCTGGAGGGAGAATGGTTCCACCGCCGGTCTGGCACGACCGTATGAGGCAGATGGCCAGCGATGCCAAGATGCCGACTCCTCCGAGCAGTGACGTCTCGCCCTTCACCAAGTTCACCCCGCCGAATGCTCCTCCCATGGGCATGCGCCACTTCCCGCCGACGATGCCACCGCTGGGTCCGGAGCGAGCGCCGCCAATGCTGGCGCCGCCGCCGCCGCCCCGTGACGTCAAGCTACACCTGATATGGCCTTCGTACGGAGAGGCCCGCGTGATCGAGCACTGCGAGCCCTCGCGCCGCGTCCTCGAGGCCGTCGCGGCCCGGTGCGTGACCGAGCAGAAGGCCAGCTTCGGCATGGCTGCCGTTCCGGCCTCGAGCTTGAGGGCGACACTTCGCCATGTGCAGCTCGGTAACGAGCGGTATAGCCTCTCCAGCTTCAGGGGAGAAGACCTTTCCAGCCTCTTCGACTCTGCGGGCGGTGAAAAGGGGAGCGCCATGCCGCTGTTCGAGGTTGAGATTGAGAGGCTTTCTCCTTTCCCCATGGCGCGTCCCTGGATGCGAAACATCGAGGTCATCAACATTGACCCTTCTCCCAAGTCAAGCAAGGCCAAGAGCAAAAAGATAGACATTGTGGATAATTGAAGCGGCCAACTGATCTGGCTAGAGCTATCTGGGATGAGAGACTCTTACCTCGGCATGCTCGTGATGGTACTGGGACGATGTGATGATATACAGCCTTTTCTTCAGACTCTTGTTTTCCTTGCAACTTTGTGGCGGCCTCGAGCTTTTCTCAACACGATCCTCACATTCTTTTTTCAAGTTCCATACTCCTTTGAGTTCGATTTCAACAATCACAGTCGTTTACATGATTCAGCTGGGGAATGTTCTTTCGGTCAAGCGGGTATTTCTTTTGGAGTTGAGCAACTTATCCATAGCAAATTCACTCGTGATATATGAGTCTTTAATCCCAGTGACTGTGCTCCTTAACTGTAGTCTCTTCAACCAGCCTGTTAAAGCACATAAAGCCGCCTTCACAAGAGTCACGATCTCCCGTGGAATCTTCTTTCCCTCTCTTCCGACTACATCGACATCCGCGTAGTACAATAGGCAGCATTATTGCGCAGTGTGCCTTCTGGTAACATGTTGGGTGCTAGTGACACCAATATTAGGAAAAGCCACTCCATGTTGGACTGCACCAAGCAGCAACATTGGCGGTGTGGGAACCTCAGCACACCGCCTTCGAGATGTGCCAGACCGAGATTTCGAGAAGACAATCCATTCCCACTAATCTACCGAACTCTCTTGTACGTCACTGAAGGCTAGACATGAGCATCTCCGTTCCCTGAAAATGAAAAAGCGAGGCTGATATGCCTCGTGACCCGGCCGAACCTCCAATAATGAGGCTGCTAAGCGCCAATGACTACCCCCTTTTCGACCAAGATCGACGCCGAGACACAACGTCCCCCAAAGACAATGAAGCCATCCTACACCGCACATGAAGCCTCTGACGCCGTCACAAAGTTCGCCCAGCCGAAAAACAGCCCCCTGTTCTCTGGACTTGTTCCACGGAGGGCAACACAGCTTCCGGGGGCACGGTATATGATGTCCTGTTGGACAACAAGGTGTGTGAGACTGCACGCTGCAACGAAACACCGAAAACCCTGAAGATTTTCGTCCTCCAAGCATCTTCCCTGCTGTTCTTACCCCCCCCCCCCCCTCTTACAGCAACCTGTTGCCCAGTCTCAATAATCCTTCCAAGAAATGGTGACACTGTCGTGCCATCTCAACCTCCTCTGATTGGGGAGTCTAGTATCGCTTCGACGCCGCTCCGTCTGGAGCACGAGGGCGTCCAGCGTTACCCTGGGGGGCCACCGCAGGTGCAGGAGGGCATGTGCTGCCACCGTTGGCCCAGACGTCCCGAGTCGACTCCTAAGCCGGGCGACCACCCCACGGGCCTTGGCCCATGCCGCCGCGGCCGTAGTAAGGCGAGCCCGTGCCGCTGCTCGAGGCGTCGGGCGTGCCGTACGCTCCCAACGGAGGGTGGGGGCGCATGCCCATGCCCTCCTCGCTGCTGTGATGTCGAAAGCCTCCCTCCCAGGCCGTGCTGCGCGGGTGGGCAGCATATGGCATTGGCATCCCTGTCGTGCCCTGCGGCATTTGGCCGTATCCATGGCCCATTCCGGCTTGGGCGTGCGCGGGATGATTCCACTCGCCTGTGGTGGGGGTCCAGGCTCCCCGTCCGCCGCCGCCGTCGTTGGTGGTCGGGAACCGCTCGGTCTGCGGGTATCCCTCTGCTGGGCTGCAGGGAGTCGCGATGGGCGAAAAGGGGGTATCACGCTGTGGGACCGGTGAGTTGGCGAATGGGGGCGGGAGCTCGCGCTGTCCTCGGTATCCGGCGCTGCCGGTGTGCCAGTTACCACCATGACCATGACCACCACTGCCATTATCTGCATGAGCGCTGCCATACAAACCGATGTTGAAGGGGGTGGTGTACTGAGCTCCGGTGGAAGAGCGATCATGTCGGGCGAGGTACTGACCTCTGCCATCGCCGCCCACCGCCTGAGCAGGGCCATACTGACCGCCAAAACGATGGTCAGCATTGTGCGACGAAGTGGAAGTCCAAGCACCCAGCTGAGGCAGGGGCGCATGTTGAGCACTCGCTCCAGCGACGGGTCCATTGGCCGCACCCGCAGGATTCATCTGCGATGCTGACTGTGTCATTGTGTTTCCATCCTGCTCCACAAACATGTCCTTATCGTCGTTGGTGGCCGGCTTGGTCATGGCCTCTGGCTTGGTAGCAGCGTCTGGCTTGGTAACGGCTTGTCCTATTAGGAAAGTCATGTCAGCACTCTGCATATGGCATGCAGTGGGCCACCTCCTGCAGCGTTTTCCATCTCCCCCTTTTGACATACCCTTCCTGCGGAGCGAGCGGACAAGCGCGCCCTTTTTGGGAACGGCCATGGGGCGTTGTGTCCGGTTCTCAATACCTGTGGATAGGGGGTACTGTTAGACACTTCACCTTCATCTTCATCTTCCCCCTTCGGTGACATCAAGAAGATTGAGGCATGTCATCTCCCAACTCACCTCCTCCAGCGTCCTGGCTCTCGCCCTCGCCCTGGCCCTGGCCCTGACCGTCCTCCACGTTGCCTCCTCCCTGAGCCGTCCCATCCTTCATCTGCTCCCAGTTCGACTGCTGCCGCTGCAGAAGCCTGGCCCGCCACTCCTGGAAGCTCTCGGCGTGCGCCTTGCGCTCCCGGGGCTCGCGGCGGTCGACCTTCCACTCCCAGAGGCTGCCGTCGTACGCGAGCCGCTTCTGGAACACGAGGCGCTGCAGGCGCGTCAGCCGTCCCGGGGGCCGGGGCTGGCGCTCGACAAACTCCATCACGCCCTTCTTCTCCCGGTGCAGGCGGACGAGCATCTCGCGGACGTCGTCGATGTCGATGTCCTCGCCTGGGTGGCCGCCCGGGTTCAGGGCCTCGTTGAGCTTGGTCGCGAGGGGGAGGATGTTGTCCGCTTTGCCGTAGCTGTCGCGGTGGGCGCCGCGGCTGATGAGCGCGAACATGGTCGTGAGTTCAAAGTCGGTCCAGTTGTGCTTGACGCGGCGGCTGCGACGCTTGCCCTCGCCGCGCTTTGGGCCCGCCATGGTGGATGAAAGAGGGAGGACCAAGAGGGGTGTTGAGGTTAAGGTGTGAGGTAGTCGGACAGACTTGTGTGCACTGGTGAGGATCTTCTTGTCTTGGTTCTTTATAGCCTTCTCTCCCACTGCTGTTGTTCTTTTGTTGAGGAACGCGTTGTCATGAATCTGAGATCAGGGTGAGGCGAACCTCAAGAGGATGTGAGACGAATCTGAAGAGGATGTGAGCAACCGCAGAGAGTGGCAAGCTCCTGGAAAATGTGTTGACAACAAAGGCCCCTCAAGGAGCATAAACCAGAGTGTCTTAAAAGGTCAGTTGGTGGATGTAGTCGTGAGTAGTTGGTGAAGCGCCCAGTTGATCCAAGCAAAAGGTCAACCTGGAGACTCCCTAATCGATGGAGGTGTGATAAGGTGTCAGGGACAAAGCGTCACGGTCATAAAAGTTGCGTAGGGTGAATAGGGGTTCCCATCTTCAAGAGTCACCTCCTTCGATACAGGACAGGCGTGGGCCTAGATCAGACAAACACCATTTTCACTTAGCATTGAAACACCACACAACCCACAACAAGTCACTCACTTCATAGTTAACCAACTTCACTTCAAAACTACTTATGCCTCTATAGATATCGTGTAAAGGGCCTGCCTGAGGTTGACTCTGATAAGGGATAACAAACAAACACAATGCAATCCAGCCAGGTCAAAGGCAGCAATGCGCAATTGAAATAGTTGATCTCATTACGTTGATATATCTGCTTTCTATTTCCAGTCACGTAGCCAATATGGGGCCCCGTTGATGCGAGTCTCTAATGCCGCCCCGTAATCAAAACGCCGCCCAGATGCCTCGCCATGCGAACTTGTCTTGTTCCGTTCTCGTGCGTGAGCTTTTCGCCTCCGCCGAGAGCAACGGAGACAAGATCAGTAAATGCCCTGAGTCCTGTATTGGAAGGTGTCATAACTGAGAGAAAGTACAAGGGTTAGTTATCAAGCACATGGAGGGGACAAAGATGGATTTGTTGTATGCTTACAGTCGTGTATAGTAGCTGCCCAGTGACTTGGCGATCAGGTCCGTCTCGACGAACTGCTCCGCGTCATCGGCACTGAGCTGGAGCTGGAACCGCTGACGTAGCGTAGCCGTGGCTGCAAGCACCCCGGACGAGTAGCATGGCATCTTCGACTCGCGGCCCATCATGCTGACAAGGTCGATGATATTGTCTGCCGAGCGTCGCAGAGCTGGTCATAGTGTTAGCATTGCAGCTATATTCAGGACGATCACCAGATGACTCACCTTGGAACGCCTGCTTGCACAGCTTCTTGAAGTCCTCGTACTCTGGGGAGCCGATTCCGCCTAGCACTTCGATGTACTCGTGTGTCAGTTTGAAAGGGGCTGCTTCGAATCCAACCGAGCCAGGCGAGTTCGACAGCATAAATCCGAAATCGATGTGGATGATGTGCCCCTCGTTGTCGATGAGAACATTGCCGTTGTGGCGATCCTTGAGCTGCAGGACATACGAGATGATACTGTACGCAGCCAGCGATCTCTTGAAGGCATCTACGCCAGCCCTGTACGGCTCGCTATCGGGCGAGCCAAAGACCTTGACAAAGTGGTCTTTGAGGGTGGCGATGCGCCGCCTTGGGTTCTGACCTGCCTCGATGCTCGAGAGCGTGAGACTCCGTTTGATCGAATGGAGCGACACACCGTTGGCGATGGTCTCGATCAGGCCGGACGATTCGCCAGTCACCAGGATGCGCATTCTCTTGACCCACACCGAAACACCCGCATCAACCCAGATCTTGTGGCACACATCGATGAGCTGGCACGCAAAGGCTTCCTGCCTGAGGTCGGCGCCAGTCTTCACGATGACGCTGACAAGATCCCAGTTCTTCATCCAACCGTAGGGCGACGATCTCCTTATCCGCTCCTTCTTGGAGTCCCATGCCTCTCCAAACACGGCAGCACTGGGGTCGTCACGGTCGCCCTTCCGTTGGAGACCGCCTGTTTTGAAGTCGTTTTCCATCCTGGCCAGGCCTGCGTTCGGGTTGATTGTAGAATCCAACGCGGCATCGTCCTCCACTTCCGCGTTGGCGGCTGCATTGGCAGCGTTCGCCTTGGCCATGATGAGGTCAAAGGTGGGACCCTGCCCGTCATCTACTTCAAAGCTCTGTTCCTCCAAGCTCTGCATACTCGCAATGATCTTCGCTCTGATGGCGGCGACCTCCTGCCGCGGCCGTTTACCGCTCGTCGCATCTAGCTGAGCAAGCATCTGCGATGCCGTCCGCATATGGGTCGCCAGAGCTGAGAAATCAGGTTGGTCCACGGAACTCGTCCGGGGCAGTTGGAGCGTCATCTTCCTCAGAGGTCCTGGACTACTAGACCTTGACGTCGAGGTTGCAGAGCTCCGAGGCGTGGTCTCTGACAGGCTCGTCATAGTGGTCGCACCGCTCGACATCCGTTGCGCATGATTCTGCACAGCCATCTTGCCATGCGGTCTTGACGAGATCTCTTCGTCAAAGCTTGCCAACATTGGCGAACTTCCAAGGTCTCCCGAGGTAGGCTCGAAAACGCTGTCGACTGCAGGCTCCGCTGCCTTTTGCAGGGTCTGCAGCCGGGGCCCTTCAGACAGATCAAAAATCCTCTTCTTTGTGCCTTGCTCGGCCAGCAGGTTTGTTAGCAGGCGTTGATTATCCTGCGAGTCGGGGTCAAACGTGAAGTCGTCACGCAGGATCTCCACCATCAAAAGATAGGGAACCTTTTCGGCGCTGTTCAGCACTGTCGCCTCGGCCGGATTCAGGCGGACAATCCGATGGTGTCGACTCTTGCCGGGCGATCCGTTGACAAGAGTGGGCGGACAGATCACCGGGATGTCGACTTCGGCGGGAAGATCCTGAGCTATGAGTGCCAGCTCCGCGCGCAGGGCGCTGAGGCGCGCCGCCTTCGGGACGATGACCAGGCGGTTGGAGATGTCTTCCAGCGCTGTTAAGAACTGTGTCTGACACCTGAAATAGTTCTGCCTCAACAGCCTCCGCTTTTGCTCGGTGCTCAGGTCTGCCTGGCTCACAAGCGTCTTGATGTGGTGAGAATGCCTCCTAGACACACCCTCCGATGGCCGAAGCCCGGCTGAGACCGGAGTCGCCGGCCGGGGCACCATCTTGGGAGACCGCATGTCTGGCAAGGGCAGGGAGGAGGAGCTCAGGCGCGCATCGACCGAGGCTAGCTCAAGACGCGCTGGCGTTTTCTGGGGTGAGTCGGCGGCGGCGCGGGTTGCCGATCCGGATGTGCCTGGACGTGACGAGGTACCTGGACGCGACGACGGGCGCTTGGGGCCCTTGACCATCTCCTTGTGGCCCTTCGGATCTGGTGCACTGGTGACACGGCCACCGCCGTCTTTCACACGTTTTGATCTGGTAGTCGCCGACGTGACGGTGTGCGCTCGGGCCGGCGTGTTCTGGCCCTGGCTTGCATCGGGCATGGCCTCTCCAGAGGGCGTCGGCTTTCTGGCCTGCGCAACGGCCATGGGCCCTGCCCAGTGCGGCAGCATTGGCAGGCCAATGCCGGCGAGCACAAAGCTCGCGAGCACCGAGACCGGCATTACATTTTCCGTGATTCTCTCATGCCTAGCCCTGTCGCTCAATCCAAAGACGATATGCTGGACTTTGTTATACACCCTCTGGCAGGTTCGGAAGGCGTCGGCGTGCGGGTTCGCTGAGAGATCGTGGAGGTAGGTCTGGAAAAGCCAGAAGGTCTAAAGTTCGGGAGGCACGTCAGCGCGCGAAGAAATACAGAAGTGCTTGCTAAGGGCCGGGCGGAACGCACCAACAGCGCAGCTGTCACCGACTCCTCGCACAGGTCCAGGAGGAACTCTTCGAGGGCCATAGACTCATTGTCTACGCTTATGATCAGGTGGCATAGTTGCGGCAGGAAGAACTCGATGTCCTCGTAGGGGAACTGGCGCAGCTTGTTGCACAGAACATAGTGTATCCCGACATGATCGGCGTAGCGACTGTTCGGACAGAGTTGAATAAGCAAGTGGACATTCCCGCGCAAACGAAGCAGCGCTCGTAAGCACCGGCAACACAGCAGAGCTCACGGGACAGGCAGAGAGCACGGCTTACGAGAGGTAGGATACGGAGAGGAAAGGGTTCGAGTTGAACACATCACTCTCAAGGAAGCGCTTGAGCAGGTCCCACGACATTGGGGAGGCGGTACCGTGTCGGCGGGGACGAGTTAACCAGGTTCGCGAGGCGGGTACCTCATATCAAGTCGACATTCACGAATTGGCCGCGATGGAGCTTTTGCATGGCTAGGAGGACGCTGAGCAGTGGTGACGGGGTCGGAGTCGGAGCTGAGGCATGCGAGTCGGCCGAGGAATAGGAGTAGGAGTCGCGGGAAGCTCTGACACACAGGTCGGAAGCACGGGACAGACAGGAGAGCTTTAGTCTGCTTGGTCGTGGTGGAGCTTTGGACGCCTCAAGCTGGGGGGGAATCCGGAGCTCAGCAGCGAGAAAACGAGGAAGGGCGCAAGACTCGGGTCGAGATGTAACACAGGACAAACTCGGCGACGATTCAGGGATCCCGGCAAGTCTTGTACGGAGTAGGCAAGGTTGCTGGCAGTCAAAAAAGTGTTCAGTTGTTCGAAGAGTGGAGGAGCGCATGTTGTATGTAGTGTGGGGCGGGCACTTTTACAACCTTGATTGACTGATGACTGACTTACTGACGCACGCCGCTTCAAATTCACCACTACTTGTACAGAACACTCCCTGCGCGACGCACGGAGGCCACGGATCACGGAGGCAAACGTGTAAAAGACACAAGCGGCGGCTACAGGAGGTCCACCGCCTGTCTAAACCATGGCTCAAGCATCCATCTATCAAATAAGGCAATATGCCCGTCAGGGGGGGCTAAAATCGCATTGGATTGCCCTCCATTGATTCAGGCCACTCCCCGACCTTCCTGTCAGTCTAAGGTATATCGCTAATCAAAAAAAACACAACCTTAATTTTCCAATTCGGCCAAGTCGTTGAAAGCCGTTAGATGGCATGCATGCATTGATGATTGGAAATCAAGCGTCGGATCCAATGAAACCACTCGGCATTCATACTCAACTACCCAAGTACGCCACATGCCGCAAAGGCAATGCATCATTGAAGGCTACCTATCACATGTGATGGATATGGAGATGTATGCATATTATACGATGATATCGAGTCAGTCGTTCAGATCGTTAAATCCCTGTCCCAGGCGCTCGCTTATCAAATGCAACGCAACTTGAGAAAAAAAAATATAAGACAATTCCCGCCCATCACCTAGTGTCATCGGCCTTTGCTCTTTCGTACTGGAGCATGCTATTACAGGATCAGCAAACATGCTACACGCATCAACGTCAGGGGCTCCGGGGCAAGACGCCGACTACTTACCACATATCTCACTCTCTCGCTCCCATCCGGCAACTGGATGACCTCGTGCTGGATATGGAAGCCGAGCAGCGGTAGGAGCTTAGCCCACACGAGCCAATACACCGTGCCAATCGCCAGCATGCTTGATCCAATGCCCGGGACCACCCAGAATGGGATGTTCGATAACAGGTTATTGGGGATAAAAGGAGCGGCCAGTACGAAGAGGAGAGAGATGACCCAGAAGATGGTCAGAGGTGGGTAGCTGCGGAAGGTCGTGCGCTGTTCCCGCCAGTTCTCCGAGCTGTTGAAAGTGAGGTACAAAAGGCCAATGCCAATAAACACTACAGTGGTCGTCAGCAGTCCGCCCGCGCAGTACAATCAATGACCAAGGGAAACCCCTTACACTTGATCCAGTTGCCGGTATACGTAAAGATATTTGTGACAAAGGTGTAAGTTTCCGGCGTCTTGGAACCTAAGATCAGGGCAACGGTGAATAGCCAGTGCAGGAATATGGCTCCCGTGGGCGCATTCAAGGGCCAGTCACTGGCGAAGAACCTGGGGAAAGGCAGAATGCCCTCCTTCGCGAGCTCCTGCTTGACTGCAAAGAGAGTCAGTCGCCACATTTCCAAGCCCTTGCAGAGGACACATGACATACCTCGAGGCATGGCGAATGACTGAGCAAAAACGTTCCCCAGCGCGGAGAGGGCGATGAAGGTCGGTAGCACCCGCGTAACAAACATGCTATGGCCCCAGACCTAATCATGTCAATGGTCAAGGACGACTTAGAACGTGTCTTGCTCGACACTCACATGTTCGAAGAAAGCGGCCGCAACTACAACATTCGAGTCGGCGATCTGATCCTTGGTCATTGCGGCGAACTATGCATGACCTGTCAGCCCTCATCGCATTGCGCTGTTCCCAAGCTCACGGCACTCACATAGGCAATGTTGGCCAAGATGAAGAGTATAGTCACGGTCGAAATAGCCAACGGTGCAGCAATCTTGAGCGTCCTCGGCGCATCGCGTACTTCGGTCAAGACCTAGACAGCTGGCGTTAGCCTCCCGCGAAAGACGTCGTTAGGGGCAAAGTGGTGGGTGGATGGTTACATAATTGGCGTTCTCCCACCCGCTATAAGCGTAGAGAATTTGCAGGATGGCAATGGCATATCCCGCAGCCTCACCGGCCTGGTTGATGACGGCGGACTCGCTTGCTGACATGACCGTACCGGGGCCATTGAAGGTCGAGAAGTTGGAAGGATTCGGTCTCGGTTCGGCCGTGTTCCCAGCAAGCGCCGCAAAGCCCGTGCAGACGACCAGCAGCAGCAGGACCAGCTTGAAACAACCGAGGGCGTTGCTGATCCAGATACCTGGCCTCGGAGCAAAAGCATGGATCAGACAGACAACTAAAGTGGTGTCAGTCCTGGGTGTTCCCCAACCACGTCGACCGGATGAGCTCACCAGATATAGCAGCTACAGCGATGCCTCTGTTCAACCAGCTGCCATTCTGAGCATCACCACCTGCAGCTCTCAAAATATAGCTACTGAAGCTGATGGCGTTGCCGGATGAGATTGCAAATAGCACGAATTGAACTGCAGTCTTCTGGTAAGCCAATCTCGTTCCGCTCCCCGGGCACCTTGAAACCTACTCGCGAATATGCATGTTGCCAAGTATCTCGGCTTCTGATATACTCTTTCAAGCTATATCCCTGATTAGTCTCATGCCCTGTCTGCAGCGAACGCCGTGGTCCAGCGTTGAGACTCACATAGACTTTCTCACCACCTGATCGTGGCAAAGCAGTCCCAAACTCGAGGTACACAAACACACTTGTCAAGTCAGTTCACGGTTGTCATGAGGACCATGAGGGAGGAGTCCCGTCACTCACCCACTGTTCGAGTTAGATGGTTAGCGTCCATGAACTGCATTGGCGCGTCGGCTACCCATATGCACTTACGCAAAAGTCATAATTCCTCCCAGAACCCAGAACAGCAATGTCGCGCCCACGCTATCCGTGTTTGCGATGATGGCTGACGGTGTCGAGTAGATACCCGTTCCGACGACGCGGTTGATGATCAGGAGTGCCGTACTGAAGATACCCAGCTTTCTCTCTGTTCGTGGCAGTCCCCGTTAGCAAAAAGCCCCTCGGAGACATCAACCGAAAGGGTCAAAACAGAAACGGAAAGAGGACAGCACACGCACTTTCTGGATACACAAAGTCGTGATAGTCCTCGGGGGGCTCCTCGGGCACGGGCCCCGTGGCGTATCCCATGGACTTGCTCCGGTCGACCGCGTGCGCATTGGCGACCCCGTTCTGGTAGCCGGAAGAGTACCCGTAGCCGTTCACGGGCTGTTGACTGTAGCCGGTGTAGGCGGTATGGCTGATGTAGCCCGTCTGCTCGTCCCCGCTGACGACGGGCTCCAGCTCGGGCGCCGCGACGGGTGCCCGGTAGATCGTGGGTTCCTGCATCTCGCCACCCCGCGCGAGCGCACCTCGCGATGCTCAAGCAAGGTCAAATTGGCCGGTGCGCCCCGCGCCAATGCTTCTGTTCCGTGCGAAGGTGGAACTGTCCGGCCTGCTGGATTCTATTGCGCTCGTCTCTGTGTCTCTCTGCGGACAAGGTGATATGCGCAAGCGGCGTCTTGTACACCCGAACCTGGAATCGATGCCCCAACTCCAACTCGACTGTGGCCCGCAGCGCAAACCCGATATGATGCGCGAGGAACCGTCAAAGCTCTGGTACGAGAATCACGCCCCGGAATTGGAACGCATGACCAGAACCAAAACCAACGGCAGAAATAGAGCAGCGGAAGGTCCCGATATTCATTTGCGCCGCCAGCAGTTAGGTAGTTATGTGTCTATCCGTCAGAAACAAGAACAAGCATGCATCCCTTATCGAAAAGTCGGAAGATGCGCTTGGACTACCCTAAACCGCCAACTACTTCGTTAGTTGCTAGCCGCAATCACAGACGTGCAGCAGACAGCCCCCACCCGTGGGCAGGCATGACTGCTTGCCCAGTCCAGCTAGGCGGTTTTGGCTCTCTAAGCCTCGCCACGGCGCATGCTTGGAGTCGCTAAAACTCAGCTCTTCGCAGTGGGCTCGTCATGCCATAACGACCCTCTCATCCTCCACCGCTCCAATTATCGCAGCAGGACCAATCGTCTGCGCTCGCCCGTCGTTTATTAGGGGACGCACGCACGTTTCTTCATTTGGGAGAGGGGCGCCCATCACCCGCGCCAACCCCGCATACCCTGGCCGCCCATGGCACCAGGACTGGGACGGGGGCAGGACAAGCGAGATTGGCCAGATCCGCGACCGAGACAACGCTGGAGAGCGAACTGTTGTGGTTTGTGAGAGAAAAAACGGGCTGGCTGGCGCGCCATCGCCTGCCACCCTCGTCTTCCATTTGTTCTCCCGAAGCCAAGCGGGCGCTAGAGCACGCTGCTGTGCCCAAAGCCAGTGCTAAGGTTGCGCCGGCGCGCCTCTATTGGCGCTTTTCGAACGCGGTGGGATGGGTATGGGTATGGGTATGGGTATGGGGGCAGGGGTACCTAATCATCTCGCATGTGGAAACGGACAGTTCGATGACGGGATGCACCGGTAACATCATCTTATCTGCCTACCGTCGATACCAACCGTCTCTACTTGTACATGTTTAGTATAGGCCACAGAGCGGCGCCGACGCGAGATGCAAAAGATGCCAGAGCCCTTTCGTCCTCGATCCAGACTCGTCCGAATACGCCCGTCGCACTGCATTCAGCCCTCACACTCCATTTTTGTGTCTTCCGGGGACTTGCAGCTTGCTGTAGGCATGCATGTCTCTGATCCCGATCTCTCAAGAGGGGGACGGGATGGCTATCAAAACAGGGCCAGGGGGTGCGCAGAACAACTATTCCCCAAGGATCGACACTCGGCACAGCTGAGCCGTCCGACCTCTCTTGGCATCGAGACCCGGCAAAGCGGGAAAGCGACGATCACTTGTACATGCGCGCTTGCGGTGAGGTAGGCAGCCAGCCAGCCAGCGACAATGCTCTTTAGCAAATGCGATCCTTGAGGTCGGCTAGGCATTTATTCGTGGCTTGTGAGGATGAATTGGTAGACCGAGCATCCAGGCACGAGAATCCCGCCCAAGACGCCTTGCCGGTGCCGGTCGGGCATGTACAGGCACATATGTACATAAACTTGCTGTCACAAGGGGGCGGGCGCTGCAGGCCAAGCAGCCCTCAGCTGCGCGCACACAGCCACGAGCTAGAATGTAGACACATCTGCGATTCCGGAGACCAGAACGGTTTCTGCCTCTTCCTCTCTGACATGACACAGGTGGCTCACTTCAGACGTTGCACCAGCATTGCATTGCGAGCTGTCAAATCAGATCACGATATAAATTTGTTTCGATGTTACAGTATTGCGGGTATCTAGCCGTGTTTGAGCCACACCGTCTGCAAATACACCATAATCACTGTAATGGTTCATCCGAACAATCCTGGCTTCGAAAATGGCCGCGGGAAGAAATCCAACGCCTTCAAAATTGATGTCCGCAAACCGCAAACAAAACACTGGTGGTATCAAGCTGGTATCTCCAAAAAACAAACATTCAGGTCCTAACCGAAAGTGCGTCCCGCGATGAGAAGACCTCCTTCTTCATATCGTCTTGGATTCGCTCAAGTCGTTTCCTTTGCTTCCTCCTCTCATCCAACACCTCTCTCCAAGCTTGCAAGAAATTCACTTGACCTAGGCAAGGTTAGATGTGTGCGCTTCAGTTCTAGTCCCAAACACAACTTACTCGGTGAACTCTCAAACTCTATCTCGAACGTCTTGTAGGAGGAGAACGTCTCCTCGACATCAGGGTTGTAGGTCTCGCCGTGGATAGCGAGCCCGACTGGCTCTGAATGTGTCCTGCCTTCAAGTTGGGCTGCTCGAACATCTGGTCAATTCTTGTCTCTGTGGTTGATGCGGTAGAAATCGCAAGAACATACCTTTGACGCCTGGCCGAGAAGCTCGTCGGTGGAGGCCGCTATACTTGCGAGGCTTCAACTTGACACACGTCTGGTCCTTCTGCTCTACGTCGATATCGTCCGTGACTATGTACTTGTCAGGGTCGCCATCAAAGATTGCTGCATTGGGGTCCAAGCTTACTGAAGACTGTAATATACTCTTCTGCCCTCCCAAGAAAGACTACCAGTCTCGATGTGTTGATGACTGTGCGGTCTCTTAGCGGGCCAGAGACTGTCGTCCCGGCCGTGACAAACGAAGCTACATCCGACTGCATGGTGCGCCGTGATCGAGGTTCGTGCCATATCTGCAGACGCACGCTCGAGTACATCTTGCTGGAGCGGCTGTTCGCTTTGCAGAGATTGATCCACTTGACACTCGAGATGTCCAGCACGACATCCTCTCCCGTAAGCTTGCTCTGAAATCTGAAGAGATCTTGTAGATGAGGGAACTCATAGACCCCGCGGGGTCCGTTCGAAGGCTGGGATGAATGGTGGTGGCCGCTGTTTTTCCTCTTCTCATCGTCTCGAAGATAGACTAGGCGCTCCGATCTCTGGTCGTACGCGTACATCGGTATGAGCTGCGCTTTGTTTCCCTTCAACCAGTATGTTTCGGAATCATTGCCAACCTTGCAATAGAATCTCAAGTCGCGATTGAGATTGTTTCGGAAGACCTTGAGCTGGGCATCGGCAAATGGCCCCGCCAGGCCTGGAGAACTCTTGATATTCCCCTCGTAGACCATCTCTTCTCCCGGAAGAACGTTGTCGCGTGTTGTGCTCGAGCCGTCAGACCTGCTCTGGTTGGAAGTTGATGGCGCATGGACATGTACCACCACAGGGGTTTGGGTGTCTATGGGGTTGGCATCGTAAGCGGGATAATCCGTAGTTGTGTGGTATCCATATGCTGCGTAGCTTCCAGGGCTGACTGCCACAGGATTTGCATAAGCCATGGACTGAGGCGATGAGTCCAAAGGTGGTGAGATGACTGGGCTTGAATACTCCATCAAGGATGGAAGAGAAGCCCGTACGGGTGCCGTCGTTACAGGAGCGGATTGGCGCCCCGCGGCCTGCCTAATCCATGCCTCCGGAAGAAAGCCACTGGATGTGCTCCCACTCTGCCGCGGTTGGTCTTGGGGATATGCGTCCTGAGAGGATTCGCCCCGGCTGGTAGAAGACTGGTAGGAGGAGTGATTCTGGTAAGTCGCGCTGGCGGGAAGACTGCCTGTCCTCATGTACCCCGAAGAGTTCTGGCCATAGTAGAAGTTGGTGGGCGAGAAATGGGTCGTGTCGCCCGGCGATAGTATTGCGCCGTCGTACTGAAAATAGCAACCCTCAGAATAGCTTCGAGAACTCGTCGCCGTGGTCTGGCACTGGTTGCCGTCGCCGACACTGCCGGTGTCACTGAACACAGGCTCCCTGAACACGGGGCCAGGAGCCGGGTTCGAGTCTGTCAAGGTTTCCGCAGCCTGCACACCGCCGTCTGACAGCTCGTACAGCGCCGAGGCGCCGAACCGCCCAAGTTGCAGGTTGCCGACGAGCTCTGCCACCTCGTCCGCCGACAGCTTGGAGTCCGCGTTCGAACTCCGTCTCGATATGTCGATGACGTCGGGCAGCGCCAAGGAAGCCACTGGCGCCGTCTTGGTGGACACGGGGAGCGGTTTTCGATTCGCTGACGTCGCATTCAGGGCCTGCACTTCGGGCGGCCGCGAGGCCAGCGCTGTCCCTGTCGCGTGACTGGCACTATCTGGCAGCTTCCGGATGAGGTAGCGCTGCCCGGTGGGCGAGATGAAGACGCTGTCGTCGGCCAGCTGGGCTGTAGACTCGACGATGGCGGGGTCAAAGTTGTTGGCGGCGAAGAAGGAGGAGAAGGGCGCAACTGCCTCGTCGATGTCCGGGAGATTGGGGGCGCGGTTGCGATTCTGCCCCGGCATAACTATTTGAATGCCATTCAGCAGCGCGCAGTTTCTCAGGTCGACATGTTCAGGGGGACTGGGCGGAGTAGAAGGCGTCGGGGGTGTCGAGGGCTACGTGGAGCAGGGTTTTGCATTATCATGAGTGTCGCCAGTGAGGAGAGAGAGAGAGGGAGTAGCAGGCAGGTTTCCTGGTGGTGGTGGTAGTAGTTACTAAGTGGTGGTGGTGTGTGTGCGGTAGACTGGCGGCAGCGACAGACTGCAAGCGAGGAGCGAGAGCCACCAGAGACAGAGACACTGACTGGGCTGGCAGAACGGAAGCCAACGCGGGGGATCCTCCTATTGAATCCCAAGGATAGAGTGCTAGATAGATACGGGTGGGGTGCCCAGCAGAGCCATTATGGGATGGGAGCTGGGGAAGAAGGGGAACGGATACAACACTGGAAGCCCATCAAAAGGCCCAGGGCAGCCAGGGCAGCCCATGTCCAAGCCAGTCAGGTCGAGTCAACCAGCAGCTGGCCTGCACCCGCCTGCATCCTCTAGGTCCACCATGGATGCACTTAGAAAACCCTACTTGTACTAGCCAGCTAGCCGTCGCTAGCTTATCTCGCCTCCACCGACTTCAAAGTAAAGTCCCCCATGGATGACTTGGGCCAATTGATTACGCTGGCCCCCGGCCAGCAAGCCAGCCTGCAGTGCGGGAAAAGCTTGGCAGCCACTGGGAGGGTATCGAGGGACACCATTGTCACTCTGGCTGCGCACTTGTACCAATGAGACGCCCGCGGTTGAGGCTGAGATCTGCACCACGGGTTTCGCGCCAGTGTGTGCACAGGACAACATTCTCCATCAGACGATATCGGAATGCGACAGCATGCTGAGTTCCCGTCTCTGGCCCCCAAGCCGGAACAAAGAGCAGGGGCAGAGGGATGGAGGGAGACGGACAAGAACAGAGCCAGGAGGAGGGAGGGGGCGTGGTTCCTCGCAAGATTACCAGCGTCTTGCGTCGATGGACCTCATCTCTTGTCCGCAGTTGCCAGAGGTATCCTGTACGTCCACGGTCCAACGGTCCAAGCTGTGTGACGTGACGTTGGTTGGCATCTGCACCAAGCCAGCAGCTTGAAGCTTAGCACGTCCAGCACTGCCAATCTCAACCCGTGCTGTCAAGTCCAAGCTTTCCAAGACTGGCTGGGCTCATGCTCACCATTTGACACCCACACCCATCCATTTATCCATTTACAAGTAGGTACCTAACTCAGCCCGGGGACTGACCTTCACACCAACCGTCAGACCGCAGCATATCCGGGATATCGCAGCGCTGTTCTTCGTCCCATGCAAAGGTTCCTAAGCCGAGTAACGCTTTCTATTCTCAACGGGATATAAACACGCTCCGACGCCTATGCTATTCCATTTCTAGCTTATATCAGGACCGCTGATGACATCATGTTTTGCAAGGTACCTAGGTATGCAACCCGATATGGAGCACTCCTGACCATATCCTCCCGTCTCCCTCTTGACCCCCGAATCAATGGAAATGCAGATAGAATGCCCGACGCCATTCGACATGCTGGTTTCTCCAAACGCCGGGTCCTCGTAAAATTCGTAGCTTTGGCCAGAGACTCAAACGCAGTATAAAATAGAAAGAACAAAAAGCGGCCAACTGCCCACAGTCCTCATTCCGCCTGGGAGGTGTTTGTGCAAGGCGGAATGGTGGCTCGTAGTTGAGCCTCGCTCAAGCCTTCTTCTTCCTCCCTCCTCCTGCTCGGGACTTCTTCTTCGCGTCGGCCACCTCCTCGTCGCTCTCGCTCTCCGCTTTCGCACGGCCGCCACTCTTTGCGGCCTTCTCTTCGTTCTCAACCCTGCTGACAATGTCGCGTAAAAAGTCCCACTGATCGTCCGACTCGACCACTTGCTTCAACATCTGCGCCGACACCCTCTTGGAGTTCTTGTCCTTGGCCACATCCGCACTCTTGGTAACGAGGGCCACCATGAACAGCTCCAATGCCTTGCCCACAGCGATGGGCGTCTGCTGGGCCACCTTGCCGACCTCCTCGTCCGCCTGCATGATACGCTTGATCCTCGCGGTTGGGAACTTGGTCCTCACTGGCGAAGGGGCAATCACAGGGCTGGCTTGAGCCGCCTGTGCGGACCTCCGTGGAGGCATCTGATCGGTGTGGAGATAAGCCTCGGGCTGTTGCTGGCCGGGGAAAGGTGCCGCTATCGGAGGATAGCCTTGGGGCTGAGGATAGCCTTGTGGCTGTGGAGGATAGGAGTAAGGCTGATCGGCGTAGGTGTGATAAAATGGCTGAGCCTGGTGCTGTTGCGGGTTCGGGTTGAAGTGAGGAGCTGGAGGCTGTGCAGGATACCTCTGGGGGGACGGGGGCAGATATGGCTGCGAGTGGGGGTGAGGTTGAGAAGGGTGTCTGGGCGGAGCTGCGCCGGGTGACGAGGGGTGGTAGTAGGGTTCAGGGGGCTGAAGGTAGCTCTGAGCTTGCGCTTGCTGCTGCTGCTGTTGCTGCTGCTGCCCTTGGTATGAATATGGCGCTGGAGAGCCCTGTTGAGGGTGTTGCGTCTGCGGAAGAGGTTGGTAGGCGGAACCGCCAGCAGGTGGTTGTGGCGGAGGTGCAGGCGCTGAGTAGAACGAGGACAGGTCGGGGGATTTTGGTGCGTAGGTGCCGTCGCTAGGCATGTCTGTACAAAGAACGAAAAAAATGGCGGACAAGGGTGTTCTCAGGAAATTATGGGCGGGTAGAGAAAACTCGGATAGAAATGCCGGTGAGGACCTGAGAGTGATAACGCTGGTCCCTGGTTCGTGCTGGTGGAGCCTCTTTTCCAACGTCTTTGTTGGTCCAGCGTCACCGTTTTTCTGGGTTGCGCGTACGTAGTGTGCTGGGTCCAAGCAGGAGCTTCCTAGTGGTGTGCGTCAGGATCGTTAATCATCCATCGCCTGGTCTTGGTGCGGATGGGATGGCGATATAAGGGTAGAGTTGGAGGGGCCGCTGCGGGGCTAATGCACGACGGCTTTCCTGTTCGACAGCCAGAACGGCATAAAGGAAAATGAAGGGGTGTGGGCAGACAATAAAAACAACAAGGTACTCAATGGGTGTATGTGTGTACTAGGGGAGTGAATAGAGGGTTCTCGGCAAGGCAAAAGAGGGAGGGTAGAACGGGTACAAGGCGGACATGTCCTCTTAAAAGGACCAGCGGTGGTGGGTGAAACACAGCTGAAGGTTTGTTATTCGAGGGGAGGAACTAACAGGGGGTTTTGCCTGCCTTGCAAAGGCTCAACCGATGGGTGGTGATCAAGTCTTCAGAGTGGTGACAGACAGCAAATGGGAGAGCTTGTTGCTGGCTCTGTCCAGGTCTCACCAAGACCAGCCTACAGAATGGGGAACCACAGTAGGAAGGACCAGGCACAACACAGCAAAGAGGTCGAACAACAAGCTATCCCAAGTCTGGTGTGCATACAACCGGTGGAAATGCACCAATCAAGTCAAGTCACCTGGACCTGGTTAGCTCACCAGCCTTGTCACACTACGACCGGGACAGCAGCAGGGTGGCCGATTTGTTGCGTGCGTATTGCTACCGAGGAAACAACGTTGTTGGTTTTGATTGTCTCGGCAGAACAAAGCAGGCTTGCGTGCTGCAGCTGTGTCGTCTGAAGAAAAACAAGTAAGCGAAGAAAAAAGAAAGAAGGAAAGAAGAAAAGAAGCACGAATATTGTGATGGGTTGCAGAAGAGCCTCCAGCTCGAAGTAGCTGTCCAGCGTCAGAGCTAGTTGCAGGGTACTAGGTATCAAAGGTACAGTAGCCAATGAAGCTTGGACCACGGCAGAATGGAGGGGTTTGGGCGGGAGCTGAGAGGGGTTTTTCTACCTTGGGCGAGAGCGGGACTTTTTTTTTCGTGGGACATGCTGCCCGTTTATATGCGCGACGCGACGGGAAGGCCAGATCAACAGGGGTCCGGCGCCAGTTTTTGATTGGACAAGGCGCCCAGGCACCGCCTCGAAGTTTTTTTCCCTTCTTCCCATTCAACCTGTCCCGAAAGAGAGGACCGACTACAGCGGTTCATTTTGATGGATCCCCTTCGAACACCGCTTCTGAATTTTGATCGGCATGAGGGGGTCGCCTTTTCGAATAGCTCAATTCTTCTTCTCCTTCTACTTATTCTTCTTCACTTCTTATTTTCACTTGCCTTCTCTTCCTGCGTCACCGCGAGTCGGTGCCGTGAGGCACCCCCGCCCGGGTTGACCGAGTCAAATACATGGCTGTTTGTACCTCGAAGATGAAACAATCATGACGACTACTAGGTAGCCTGGTAGGTGCCTACTCATTTTGCAGTGCTGAAATGTTACCTACCATGGTAGCATCTAGCATTCTCGCTGAACCAATAACTCGCCTATCTGTTTGCTGCCGGACAAGATATTTGTCCTCCCTTTTTGCGATCCCTTATTTTCTTATTTTGGGGACTCCGGGTCCACTAATACAGAAATGTATCAATCTGGACGAGCTGGAGACCCGGTGGATCGGAACCCGCCTTGACGCATGACGCTGTCTATGTATGATGAAAACGCAAGAGCAAAGCCAGAGACCCTTGGAAACAGCGCTGACGAAGCCGAATATGGCCATATTTTATATGGCCACGTTATGGTTCTGTCCCCCGCTGCGATGGTCCATGACGGTCAATAACTTGATCTAATCTGACATACGGCGGTGGTTTCTATTTCCCACCTTTGAGGCGGGGTTTCATATGTCTATCTATATGCTCGACGAGTTGCTTCAAGCCTCTCAAGCGAAGGCCAATCGAGTCGCAGAGGAAGAGAGACGCTACGGGCCACGCGTGGATGCCGCCTTTCTCACTTAGTCCTTCTACTTTGATGCCGCCTTTTATCAACATGTCGATCCATGCCCGTGTCTCAGGCGCGAAGACCTCTTCCTCTCCATACGTAATGATAACCCCCCCGGGAGGGCACGCGCTCTTCCACCATTTCAGGTCCTTGCAGTTTCCCGGGGAGATCAATGGTTGCCTCATCCTAGGGTCATCCGGGTGGCCCTTCACCCCTGCGTATTGTGATGCGTAGACCGTGAGGGTCTCGGCATTGAGGTAGTCGCTCTCGGTCTGCTCATGCCGGCTTGACTTGAGGGTAATCCAGGGCGAGATGAAAGCAGCCACTCCCGGTAACGGCAGCTTGCGGACCATGGAGGTGTCCGCCTCGGGACCTCGCATTGGCCTCCCGATATGGAGCATCAAGCTCAAGATGATAGTTGCACCTGCCGAATCTCCGCTCACGACCACCTTTGCCGGGTCGCCGGCAAAAGACAGCACATGCTCGTACGCGTACATCGCCTCTTCGACCTGGGCTGGATAGATCTTGTCAGGGACCAGCGTGTAGTCGAGGGCAAAGATTGCCGGGTTTGCATGCCCAGCATCAACCATGACTGCTATCCATGACAGCAAGAACTCGAGATAGAAGTAGGGCGAGCCCATCAAGAACCCGCCACCTGCATGAGTCCGTATACACACGAGGTCAGCTTTGGATGGAGTTGATCCTGTGATGAACGTGCGAACCGACCGTGTGCGTAGAAGATGACGATGTCAGGCTTTCTGAGCGGATCGCCAATGGCCCACAAACCCCGGAACTTCTTCTGCATCACACAGCAAGATGGGTTAGTGCGGACGGCGCGAGATGCGGGCCAGAGACTTGACTGACATCCGTGTACTCGTGCCAGTGCACGGGGGCCCTGAGATAGCCATGGCGGAGCATGCGAAACCTCAGAAAGGGCAGCGCAACCCATTTCGAAAAGAAGACTCGTCCGATCTTGGGGTCGATATTGGCAAATGCGTAGCGCACACACCGGATCACAAAGTCCTCGAATGGAGCAGCCTGCTCCAACCACAGAGGTTTGGTTGTCGTGGGCCGCCAGAATCGGTCCCTGAGTAATGCGTAGGGTAGCTTGAAGGCTGGATATGCCGTTCAGTATATGTGATCTTGGAAAATCTGCAAGCGTCACACTTACCTAGGAAGGGCAGGGTCTGAATAACACAAATGACTGTCTCAACCAGGCCCACGCGGTACAACAACTGCGGTGCGAGGAAGAGACAAAAGACCAGACAGTCGAGGTAGGACACCGGGCCGAGGATCATCTTGACTCTGGCGACGGGACGGTGGCATTCATGAAGTCGATGGTGTTCAGTCGACACCAGTCGAGGTGAGCGCCGTCTCGGGTCTGCTGCGCAGATCACTGGTCGACCTCTGTTTCACCCGGCAGTGGAAATGGTCACGGGAAAATCGTTTGATACAATACAGGCCCACGAATTCCTAGTTGCCAAAGTCGTTCTCAATTCAAAGTGGCATGTTTTTCTTGTGCCCAGCCCATGCCGCATCAATCCCTGGTTCCCCTTCAGTGGTAATTAGGTGGTGACGTACAAGAGACCAAGGATTATGGTACTTTGCGTAAGTGCCTTCCGCTAGCGGGAAGACCAGGTACCCCCGACAAAGTCACTGTCACCTCAAAGCAAGAAATAAGCCCCTGCAATACAACAAGTCTTGGAGATGAAGAAAACGAAAACGAAATTATACAAGTATCGTAACCTTGGTATTCTACCTAGGTAGCTTGTATGGTATTGAAGCTTTTCAGGTGCCCCGTTTCTTAGGTACCTATTGAAGAGCTATATTCAAGTAAACATTTCCTAGATATCGAAATTAATCCAGGTTAGGGAAAATGTTCAATATGATAACACTCTATTGACGCTTCAAGATTCGGATCTATCGCAAGCAAATCTCTAGAAATACTACCCTAGTAGAGAAATACCACATCATGCCTTGTTCTGCGCCAGGATCTCCAGCTCCATCTTCTCAAACGCCCCCAGGACGTCCTGGTACTTGTGGAAGACGCCCTCCTTGTAGCCCGCGTCCACCTTCTCGACCGCCCCCTCCTCCTTCCACCGCCGGCCGATGAGCTCGTCAAACGTCTCGCCGCCCCGCCGCTCGAGCGCCCACACGGCCTTGTACGCGCCGCCGAGCGCGCACGCGTTGCCGCCGACGTCGAGCTTGTACACGCCCTCGGACGCGCCGAGCACGTCGCCGACGACCCGCGCGATGGCCGGGTTGAGCGACCCGCCGCCGACGAGGTATATCCTGCGCGGCTGGGCGGGCAGGCCGCCGCCGGGGCTGTGCACGAGGTTGTGCGAGCGCAGCTTCATCGACAGCGCCTGCGACTCGACGATGACGCGCGCGTCCGTCTCGGCGTCCCACTGCGCGCCGGCCTGGAGGTCGCTGCCGTCCGCCGCGTTGCAGCTGTACCGCCACGTGCCGGCCGGGAGGTTCGGCACGATCTCGGGCAGGTAGAAGTAGAGGCCGAGCTTGGCCCGGTCGCCTTCGCTCTTGACGCCCAGCGGGGGCGTCTCGAGGACGGCCTTGTTGAAGTTAGCCCAGGTGTCGGCACCGTCGGGCTTCGGGAGGGCGTCGCGGATCTTCTCGCGAGCAAGCCCGCCGTTCTTGTAGCACAGCATGAACATGTAGTGGTCCGGGGTGGTCGGGTGGTTCATGAAGTGATAGCTGGGGTCGGGCTTATACTTCGGCGTCGACATGAGGAACGTGGTCGAGGTGCCCAGGCTGACGATGGCGTCCAAGGGCCGAAGCGGCAGGGCCAGGATCGTGGCCGGGTTGTCGCCGGTAAACGGCGCAATCTGGCAGTCGGCACTGAAACCGTGCCGTTGGACGAAATACGGCGCGATAGGGCCCATGCTGCCGCCTCCATCAATCCTGACCTCGCCGAGCTTCTTTTTGAGTTCTGCAACGCCGTCACTTCCACCAGCAGCCAGCTCGAGCAATGGCTCTGACCATTGGTTTGATTGCATGTCCCAGAGATTCATGCCGCACACATCGCCAATATCCATAGGTGCGACTTTACCCAGGAGCATAGAGGCGAGGAATGACGAGACCAGAGACACACGAGCAGTCTGTGCGTATGTATCCGGGTACTTGCGCCTGATCCTCATTATCTGAGTGCCTGTGAAGCGCTGCGTTACTGTCAATACAAAGGGGGCCACAACCACAGAACAGGCCAGGGTCGATGCTTACATGGTGAGCAGCACTCCCGGTGACATTGGCTAGGTCTTGGGGAGTTCCAAGCTTAGCATCGAACTCGTCGCACTCGGCCTGGGTGCTGTGGTCTTGCCAGTTGGGAGCATAGGGGTTGGAAAATGCGCCCTTCAGTTGATCGACGAGGGGCTGGTCCGGCGTGAGGGCAGACAGGAGCCTCTCGCCGTCCTTGCTCCAGTACACACTACCATGTTGCTGGCAAGAGCCACTGACACCCTTGATGCGGTCGAGCGGCGTCTTCTTCTCCTTGAGACGGTCGCAGACGAGGTCCAAGGCTTCTAGAAACAGCGCAACGGGGGCGTATACCTCGCCTTCCTTCTCGTTGGTCAGGACGCCCTTCTTGATGCCATACTTCTGACCAAAGTCGGCGTCAAAGTCGGCTTTTGCCTCGGCGACAACCTGCAAGTCCGATTGGACCACGATCGCTTTAAACGTGTTAACAGCTATCCGACTGTACTTTTGGCTGGTCGTGGTCCCACCTACCCTTGAGCTGCTGGGTTGAAAGGTCAAATCCCAGGTAGAGAGGACCGGACGACATCTTGGCTTGTCGGTCGGCAGGGGATCGGGGATTTATCGTCTATTTGAAGGAACGCAGCCAATTTTAAAGAGAAAATGGGGAGAGAATTTGGATCCGGAGAGGACCCGGGAGGGTATCCAAGAACCCGGGTCAGACCTCCTTCGTGAGACAGCGTCAACTTGATGTCAAACGTGGGGACTCTTGGACGACAGCGTGGGGCGTCCCGAACTCGGGCATGCAGCCTTGCAGCTTTGGATTTAGCCTAAATGACGTTGTCGAATCGAAGCCATGACAAGCTCAGCTTCTTAGGACCCGCGCCAATCACAAAGTCTTGGGACTTGATGGACTGACAGTATTCACAACGCTAGTAGAGCGGCCAGGGAACTTCCCAAGTCTAGACCTGCCGTACATCCCCGCTGTCGCTGTATGGACGCTTTCATTTCTATCCCATGTCCAAGAGTACAAAACCGATCTTTTGGCATCCAATTGTATCTATATAAGTATGTAAGATAGCTAGTAGCAGACGCCAGATCTACACGGTAAAATTTTACACAGCTTGCTTCTTCCCCTTTGGTGATCCGTTTTACCCGCCAACGCCATTTCAATGCTCAAAGTTGTAGTATATACACCTGCTCAACCATGCAGTTTAGAACCACGCCGCAAATATCTGACTCATTGGGCTGTGTAGAGTCAGCCCATCGTTTACAACAGCAAGTCTATTGAGACTTGGGGTGATTCTGGTCGCCGTGGCGGTGATTGTGACCATGACTGTGCCCATTCTCCGTGTCGGGGCTCATTCTTGCGCTGACAGTGCCGGGAATGAACTCGTCGAATTTAGGAGCAGAGTCGGACTCTTTGGGGACGAAGCGAACGCGAACCCTCCGCACGCCGCGGACCTTGCCACCGACGCGAGTTCGGACCGCATCCTCCACTTCGCGAATGTCTTCGACGGTCCACAGCTTCGGCACAGCCAATTCCAAGTCGACGAGGTAATTCTGACCCGACTTGACACCCGAAACGTCCCGGACCTCGACCTCATTCCCTTCGCTCACAGCGCCCAGGCTCTCCATCGCCTGGTCACGCACCGAATCCTTTACCTCGTCGTCAATACTGCGATCTGCCAACTCGTAGAGAGCCGAAGTGGTGTTTGACCACCCTGCCTTAACCACAAGCAGAGAAATCAGAAATCCTCCGACCGGGTCTAACCACGAAGCATCCTTGATGAAGTTTGCGCCGAGGATCACTGCCAACGTGACAATTCCGGTAAGACTGTCCACGCGATGATGAACAGCGTTGGAGGCCAAAACAGAAGACTTGCGTTCGCGGGCGACTTTCATGGCTATTTCGGAAGAGTCAGCTATTGAAATTCTTGCCGATGCTTGGAAGAAAAGGGACAACTTACTCGCATGATAAAGCCACTCCTTGACCAGAACCGTGCCGGCGGCAAGCCACGCTGCATGTATGCTTGGTCCCAGGTGTGCATGCCCATGGCTGTGGCCGTGAGAGTGTCCATGCGAGACCATTTCCGCAGCAGCGGCTGGATCGAGGTACAGATGAGCATAGAGCGCCTCCAGACTGCTCATCCCCATAAAGACACCGCCACCAAGAAGCATGCCCGAAACACCCAGCGAACCCAAGCTCTCGATCTTGCCAAACCCGGTGGGGAAGTTTTCTGACGGGGGCCGCAAGCTCCACGAGACTGTCGCCAACGTGAGGATATCCGAAGCCAGGTCGGTCATGCTGTGCCACGCATCGGCGATCATAGACTGAGAGTTGAAGTAATAACCGCCTGCGCCTTTGGCAATTGCCATGGCCAGATTGGAGTAGAGGCCTATTCTGGTGATCCTAACACCAGCATCCTTCTTGTTCTGCGAAGTGAGATAGACATTGTCGTGGTGGTGATGGTGGTGCGAATGTCCGGCGTGGCCGCGAACCTGGGTGGTGTCGGTGGTGGCCATGATGGCGGGAATCCAACGAGCGACTTGTTTTCGGTGTTTTCGAAGAAAAGCAGAAGAGAGTGTCGGGAGCCGAGGTCGAGGAAGCTCATCTCTATAAGACGAGGACGTCTGGTAGACACGAGTGCTTTGTTGCTGACGTGTCTTCAGGGGGCTAAATGCAGCTTGGTTCCGAGATTGCCAAAGCTGGTGTTGCGTGGAAGCTCTGACATAGTAGCAGCTCTGCAACGCGGGGCCCGGGCGGCGCCCCCAGCGCCCGCTGAGGGGAGGCATGAGCCGTGCCCGAAGAGACAATCGGCAACGCGCGTGCGCTCTCGGCCAAAAGCTAGCTGCCCTGGCTTGCTAGGGATGAAAGCAGAGATCCGGCCGGGTCGTCATTCGCCTGTACCTATCCGGGGTCTCGTGCGCCAAGGACAAACGAGTGTGGTGCATGTCACAACGGGATGGAAAGACAGGCACATGAACGCGTGAGGGCAAAGAGGCTCAACTGGCTTTGCCCTGTGGGAAAGAAGACGGACCACTTTAGTATTATTTCAGCAAGTGGCGCCGAAATACGGCGCTTCCCAGTGCTCTTCCCACTTCTTTTTAGTGATGAAATCGCCTATCACTATCACCGATATGCCCGTCCGTGCCCCTGGCGGCAAGGCTGCCGATGAATAGTGTGCCAAGGACGGGGTTTCGGGCATTTTTTTTGTGTGATCTCTGGCCCAGGCACCAGAGCGTGCCAGACTTATATTGTTATTTCACGTTCATGTCCTTGTTTAAAACTGTGCCTGGAGGCTATCAGTACATTTATATGAGGTAGCTAGTCCGAGGTCTAACTTGAAAGTTGTCCGATCGTCAATCACACGCAACTTGCAATGTCAATGTGAAAGTTGCTCCACAGAGACCAGGGGTTATCGGGCAATTGATTGCCAATCAACAGAGCCCCATTCCAGTGCAGACTTCCAACTACTGCGTACTCGAGAAACTTTAATCAAGATATGCCTCAATGGCTGTTGTTACTGAATCTTACAAAGTACAGAGTCATCATACTAAGTAACCTAAAACTGATGGATACTTCAGGAGGGACATTTGTTACCCTCCTGTCAACTAATCCGACCATCATCTGCCAGAATCGACAGGCACCCGCTAGCCCAGTTGATGACGCTATGACACACAGGCCTTGAAAGCTGAATAGCTTGCCCTGCGACAATTGATTTGAAGCTGTTTTGCATTCTCGACTTCGCTTTGTCATACCAAGCTCATTTCGAGGCAGTCTACTTTCTCTCCTTGTATACTTTATACACAACAGATTACTGTCCACTGTTTCTTGTTGTTTGACCAGGTGGGCTGTTCCAATCCCGCCTGTTCTAACCGAAAAGCAAGGTCTACCAAGTTTCTCAGCATCAGCTTAATCAACTTATGAGTCTGAGAGCTGGCCGGCCAGCCAAGCCAGAGGTGCCATGAGCAAACCTCTGATGCGTATCCCGTATACGGAGGTTTTCCCGCCGCCTCACATCATCCCCTCCAGCGCAAAGACCTTTGACGGCGCCGTTGATGCGCTGAAGGAATTCTTGACGCATCCTTCTCCAAGAGGGCTTCCTGCTTCGACCGTCCTCCTTTCCGGTGCCGGGCTTTCGGTCGCGAGTGGGTTGGCAGATTACAGGGGCGTCAATGGGACCTACCGGGTCAATAAGACCTACCGGCCAATATGGTATCACGAGTTCGTCACAAGACATGAACACCGCAAACGATATTGGGCCAGGAGTTTCCTGGGCTGGACCACTCTGCAGAAAGGCCACCCCAACGCCGGTCACCTGGCCATACGAGATCTAGGCAAACTTGGCCTAGTTAGCAGCGTTATCACGCAAAACGTCGACTCATTTCACCCACGAGCCCACCCTGATGTACCAACCCTTGAATTGCACGGCTATCTACGCTCCACCGTCTGCACGTCATGTCGACATGAGTTCCCTAGAGATGTCTTTCAGGACGAACTGGCGAGGCTGAACCCGGAGTGGGCCGCTCTTCTCGCTCGAGCCGTCGCATCTGGCGCCCTTGAGAGCGAGAATCCCGATGAGCGACGAGCCAAAGGAATTCGGACGAATCCAGATGGCGATGTGGATGTACCCAACGCGCCATACACCACCTTCCGGTATCCACCCTGCCCGCGATGTCTGGCAGAACCTCCTGTACTAGCAGACGGCACCCGAGGCGTCGTCGAGGTGGATGCCGAGGGAGCTTGGAAGCCTCCAAGCAATGCGGGCATCCTGAAACCAAGTGTTGTCATGTTTGGTGAGAGCATAGCAGACCATGTCAAGCGTTCAGCGGAAGCGGCGATTGATGATGCGGGCAAGCTTCTTATTGCAGCTACTTCCCTGGCCACATATTCGGCGTGGAGGATCGCCAAGCGGGCCAAGGACCGTGGTATGCCGGTTGCTATACTCAACATCGGGGGAGTCAGGGGCGAGGATGTCTTCTTCGCAGGCTTAGACCCGCTACAGAAGGGGAGCCAAGGTGTTCGTGCAGAAATGCCCACTGAAAAGCTTCTGCCTGCTGTAGTCGAGGAGCTACGACGTGGTTCCTCAAACGACAGTACTATCCGCGATATTGCGACTCCTCTTGAGCGCGATGGTTCTGCCATGTTCAAGGATCTGTTGTCATAGACAAGCTAGACTCCCATTACTATGTCAAAAATCTGCAATAGAAACATCTTAAAAGAAGTTTGCGGTGCCTCTTGGCTTTGTAGGTAGTTGGGTCGAGGCGTCATCTCTGGTGGTCTCGGCTTTCGTTGCGCGGTCTTCGGTCGTTTTCTTGTCTTGTCTTTTTGAACCCTTTGTTGCGAAGTCTTCCCTCTCGATCTCCTTGAGGACTGTATCGAGCTTTTAGCATCTAGAAAAATCGGCGCTGGTGGAATACCGATGTCACGAACCTTGTTCCCATTCCAACTCCTTTTCCGGTTCATCCGTTCCCAGCATCCGCTCCACGTCTATCTTCTCACCCCGTTGTATTCTCTCGACCACTTCTCGCAGTAATTCGATCCGTACGTCGGACTGTCTTATGAAGGTCGCAAAGTCTTTCTTGAGCGTGATCATCTGAATTGACATGGATCCAATGAATAGGAAGATCACGATGAAGAAAGTGGCGGGGTTCCACTCCTTGGATCTTGTCTGTTTCGGCTTCTTGACAGCAACTGCTCCAGGTTGATGTTCTTTGCGAAACGCCTTAGGGAGCAGACCTTTCCAGAAGGAAGGTTGCGCAATCGTCGGAATCGAGCTGGAGAGGCGATTCTGCGAGGACGCAAGAGAGAGCGCTGGTGTAGCCGACAATGAGCGGACTGCTGTTGGCCGCCATGCCACTGAGCGCACAACAGCTCGTGACAACGCCATTGTTCCAACGTAGCTGGGTCCTATGCAGGGAGAAGGCCGTCAAGATTCAGCAAAGGTTCCGTGATGGACTGGCATGAAGTTGGGATCAAGCTAAAATTCAGTCCGATGGTCGGGGTTCAGCGCCACGCTTGCCGCCGTTGCAGGCTCCACTTGGCTCTCGCGCGTGCACCAGCGTTCGCCGTTGCCCTGCCAATGGACATACCCACTTTATCGCGGTAGAGCTGGTGGACCATCAACGATACCGGAAGTCTTTCAGCCTCATTTCACGCGACCATTAGCCAATGCCTTTTTGCTGCTTCTCGTCCTTGCTGCGCCTTCTTTGGAACTATCCTTCACGTTTTGGTCATGATATGAATAGGGATCATAACCATTAATGCTTACATGGCTTCACAAAACCCCCAAGCTGAAGCTGTGCGCACAGCCATAGGTTCTATATCGACATGTACCTCTGCAACAACTCTTGCGCTCAAGGAGCTTCTGCTGCCAAAAGAGCCACGCCCCGAGAATCAATCGACGACAGGGAGGCGCACAGCCGCCAAGGGTGCTGCCACCACGACTAACACGAGAACCCCGAGCGCGGCCAAGTCCCGGTCGAAGAAAGACAAGCCAAACGACTCCCCGAACAGCGCACTTTCAGATAAAGAGAAGGCAGTTTTGGCGACCGAGGTCGTGAATGCTATTCTGAAACTCCTCGCCGATGCGTCAAAGTCCGTGCCTGCGACGCCCGCTCGGCGCAGTCCCCAGGACGGAGAGCTTGTCCGAACAGTTGCGCGCAATGCGCTCCGGCGGTCGAATTCGGCGCCCATGACTCCCCTTCATGCGCGATCGCTTAACCGAGTCACGACATCTCCAGTCGCTGTTGCAAAGCAGGCTGCGAATTCAATTCCTTCGCCTTCGAACGGATGCCTCGCGGCCGTGGAATGCGGCCGAGTCGCTTTTACCGCCCTTCGGACATTGCAAAGCTCTGGCAAGGTCACACTCCCGGAGCTCCAGCTGGAGGCGGGAATGTCATCTTTCATCGGGAGATTGATAGGGCTCGGCATGCAAGAACAGGCAGTCAAGGAGCTCCGGGTCTTGAAACAACGATTGGACGGCGCGCCCAACACGACCAAGAAGACCGTAAAGGACACGGTCGCAGAAGGAGTTTCCTCAAGTCAGTCGATCGCAGAGATCATCAACTTTGAAACTGTCCCAGACTCCCAGCAGGGACTCTCGCTCGCCACTACGGCACAGTTGCAAGCACTTCGCGTGCTATCTACGCTGAAGAAGCCGTCCTTCATCGAAGCCGCCTTGCCGTTCCTGAAAGCGTCCAAGACATCGCCCCTGAGCCTGCTCCTGCAATCTGCAAACTTGAAAGGCTCTGACCGCGGAAAGATTGCCCGGCAGATAGAGAATCTGTCGCAGCTGGTTCTGTCACTAGCGCCGAGTATCGCAAGCAAGGATGACGGCCTGGCGGTCGAACCTCGGCTCAGTGTCTCACCGGTGGTTGCTCTGGAACTGCAGGTCATCGGGATCGAGGCAAGACTTCAATGGTGGGCACTGGCTAAGCACCAAGGAGATGTCGACAAAGATATCCTTTCTCCATTGTCGCGATGCCTGTCCGCTTACGTTCGTCGGTCGCGAGCGGAGAGGGCGTCTTACAAACTTTGCAACAAGTCTTTCGAACACATCATGAGCGTGGTACGGATCCATGATTTGCGACCATCATCGACATCGAAATCACCAATTGCCAGCATCAATCAGCTCCTGGCCTCTGTGGCACGTGAGGGTGGATATATCGAAGAGGCAATTGCCTCTGTCGAGAAACTCTACAATACTCTGGATCGAGACGAGGACTCAGCAGCTCGCCGTTGTTCTATAGCTGCGCAACTGCTCTCACTCCACCTGAAGCAACCTTCGCAGTACTTGAAGGACGAGACGTTGCTGAATGAGGTCCTGGAGGGGGTACAAGGGCCGCTCAAAGGCGACACAACGGAGCTGGAGGAGCTGCTCATGAATATCTGCCAGCTCCGGAAGTCGGCTATGAGCCTACTTATAAAGCGTGTTCAGGACGAGGCGAGTCCAGAACACTTGCTGGAGAGCCACAGACACCTCCTCGAAGCCTTTGTTTTTCACTGCCCCAGATTCTGCCTGAGATGGCTCGGCAAGCCCCCAGCATCGAAAAGCAGTACCAAGGACTTCCTCCGTTACGAGCAACGTCGACAGCTCTTATCCAAATCTATACATCATATTCTCGACTCTGCGCTAGTTGTCGCCAAACTCCATATTGACGAACGGAGGATCGTCTGGGCTCAGCTGGATTCAGTCCTCCAAGACTCGCTTACCCTGCTCGACTACATGGGAGACTCAAACACATCAACAACATCCACATCTTTTTACGTCAAGATATCCCACTTTTATTACCTACAATACAACACTCTCCGCCAACAGTCTACTGACCCGACAGATGTCGAGCCACTTCGGGCCCTTCGTAAATCTATTGACTGCATCAGGTATCGGTCAAGGCAGGAGAAAGAGAGGTCGCAGATCATTCAAAAGCTCGAGCGTATGGCCGAGCTTTGTAGATCTCTTGGGAGAGGCGCAGAAGCACTAGGCGCTTTGCAAGCTATTCGAAGCACTTTTGTCGAGGAGGGCGTGTTGAGAGAGATCGCCGAGAGCCTCAATACCCAGCCGCCTTCAGTAGCCTGGACCTCCAACATGAAATCTCTGGGCCTTTCACGAAGCCTGGCAGAGATTTCCAAATTGGAACAGGTTGCTGTCGACTGGACATCGGAATTGACCGAGCCGGAGAAGATCGCTGTGCTGGAGCATCAACTCCATTTTGAGTCCATGAGGCGGACGAGGAGTTCTCATCGACCGTCGTTGAGCGATGCAAACGTAGAAGCGCTGCTCCGAGCCTACTACCCGACACAGTTCCCTGTCAGAAGATACCGAACTCTTCTGCGCCTGCTCGCGACTAGTATGCAGGATCGAGACGTCATTGCCGACATCCAATCGCAAATCAACGCCACCCAAGGTTTGATCGAGAATCAGGACCTCGGAGATGACTCTTCACTGAGGAGTTACCTGCCTCATTATCAGAACCTCTACACAAGTCTCACGGGTCTCATTGCAGGGTTCCCACAGCTCGCAACATTAGAGGAATGCCTCGCTACCTGGACAGATCTGGTCGAAGCTCATGCATCAGAGGAGGATCTCAACAAATACCTTGATGGGCCTTCTGACCTCCTTGCCCACCTACAATCAGTTGCCGACTTCACACGCACGATGGGTCATGAGACTATCTTGACGAAAGTGTTGGGGCTGTCAGCCAAGATCAGCAAGGTACTGTCGGACTCGACCCAAGAAGGTCTCGACCTAAAGTACAAGTCTCATCTGGCCACGCATTACGTTGCAATCGGAGAGAGCGCCCGGGCACAGGACATCCTGAACTCAGGCAAACAGACACACAGCCTTAACGATGTCTCTCTTGAGACAAGACTAGGTTTCCATCTCTCATTCGCCGAATACTTTATTGCCGTCGGTGAAACAGCCGAGGCCGAGGTTCATTTGGAACAGGCTTGCCAGGCAAATCACGATACTCAAACCCGAGCGCGACTTTCAAGGGGTCAGAGGAAGGCTTTGGTCGCTCAGGCATCCTTTCTTCAATCGCTAGCAAGTCTCAAAAAGGGCGACTCTCACCACGCCTTGCTAGTAGCCCGAAATGGCGTAAAGATTCTATTCCAAGAATGGTCCAAACTCGAGAAAGATCGTCAGTCCGACTCTACAATTGACGCATCTCTGTCCGAAGATCAACAAGGATTAAACGAGACCAGTCAGACCGATCTGGAGCAACCACAGGAGTGTTCTATGTCTCCTGATGAAGTGTGCTCGCCAGCTTTCTGGGCATTATTCTACCCGCTTTTCCGAAGCCTTTCATCCCTTTCGACTCTATACGCTCACATGGGTATGTTTCAAGAGACCTTGTACTATGCCGAGCAGGCAAACAAGATTGCAAATTCGACGGGATCATCGATCTACATTGCAAGCTCTGAGGCGTGGCTGGGATCGGTGTGGCTCAAGGCCGCCAAACCAGACAAGTCTCTCTCTTTTCTGAACGCTGCTAGATCAAACCTGGAAGAGGCGAACTTTTCCTCCCAGATCGCCACTATTGCTCGCGACATGGGTGTCATGTTTGGCAAGTTGCAGGATTCAAAGGCTGAGGCGGAGATGATGCAGAAGGCGCAGAGCATCATGGTCTCTGTGGTCGAAAACATGGCAAAGGTGGTTCAAGATGACCAATCCGTTTTGGAGACCAAGATGGCAAGAATGACCCTGAAGGAGAAACCGGCCAGAGAAGCTCGCAAGCCTCGAATCCCGGCTCAGCGCAAGCCAGCGACAAAAGCGACCAAAGCCAAGACCAAAACGACTGCCGCACAGTTCCAACAACCACCTACTTCGGAGAACCTGGCAGTTTTGGCCCTCAACTCCACGATCATGGTTCAGAAGCTTTCTTCTTGCGTAAAGCAAAGGGACTGGGATGCGGCCAAGGCAATCGTGCAGACGATGGAAGGCTTACCGCCCAGTTCGCTAAGTACCGTCTCGGGCAAAGTTGCGAGAGCTTCATACCTTCTTGGATATAGCATCGATCAGATGGCTCGAGACGCAGTCTTCTCTGTCATCCAGGATTCAACCCTTTCCTTCCCCGCAGTCGCCAGCTCGGGCGGAGATAGATACGGCCGACTCTCGTTGACGAAGCAGTCTCCCGCCGGGAAAACACGAGCCCCAAGCACGTCGCAGACCAGAGACAGCGCCAAGGAGGCCGGCCTTCCCGGATTCCTGGAAAGCTTGAGGGAAGCCCAGGAATGTCTCCTGGAGGCCCATTCCATAGCCTCGGTCAAGGGAGATGCTGGTCAACTTCATCGAATCTCGGGTATGCTCCAGAATGCAGTCGTGCTTATATCGGCTGCCTGCTCCGCCAAGCCCAGACTGATGAGCCACCCGGGCTTTGCAACATGCATCGTTGAGATGGCGAGAAATATGACCTGGAGGAGAGAGCGGAAAGTTCTCCTTTTGGAAAAAGCACCGGCCAAGACGGAGGGCTTAGATTGGCCTACTGCCACGGCTTCACTCGACGCAAGGCGGTCTAGCCTAGGCTTCTCTTCGGACGTGAACCGCTTCCAGCATGACTTCATCGACATCATACCCAAGGATTGGAGTGTTGTCTCTATTTCTCTGAGCGAGAACAAACACGACTTGTACATCACGAGATTACAAGCGACACAGAGCCCCTTTGTGCTTCGGCTTCCTCTGGAGCGGGCTAGCTCCCGAGATGCGGACAACGAAGTCTTCAATTTCCAGCAAGGACGCTCCGAGCTACTGGATATTATCGAGAAAGCGAATGCTAGTTGTCATGATGCACGGGACATGTCTGTCAAGGGAGCCAAGTCATCTTGGTGGGCAGAGCGTGAAGCACTAGATGAGCGACTGAAGGACCTGCTGGTCAACGTTGAGCAGATATGGCTTGGGGGCTTCAAGGGCATTTTCTCGCAACAGCCACGGCGCGCCGATCTGCATGCCAAGTTTCAAAAAGGATTCCAGAAGATCTTGGACAAGCACCTCCCTTCCCGGCGACAGGTTCGTGGAAGGAGAACCAAGGCCGCGTCAGCGCCCAAGGTCTCGTTGGACCCCAGAATTCTGGATCTCTTCGTCGGGCTTGGTGATGTCACCGTCCCGGACTGTGACCTCGACGACGCCTTGAACGACCTGCTCTACTTCGTCGTTGACATTCTGCAATTCCACGGCGAGCGTAACGCGTACGACGAGATCGACTTCGACTCGATGGTTGTCGAGACGTTTGACGAGCTCCACTCGTACCACTCCGCCATCAATAATAGCGCCGAGCCGGCAGGACGCTCGCACACTATTCTCGTCCTCGACAAGGCTCTCCACGTCTTCCCCTGGGAGTCATTGCCTTGCATGCAGGGTCAGGCGGTGTCGCGGGTACCTTCGCTGGCATGTCTCAGGCGCCTGATTCTTGATCAGCAGCAGCAGGCTTCCAGTGCCAACACCACGGAGGATTCGGTGGTCCAACAGGATATGTCACTGGCCAGCCAGCCTAGTGGGCACCATGTGTCGCTGACATCGGGAACCTACATCCTGAACCCGTCGGTGGACCTCAAGACGACGCAGGCCACCTTTGACAAACCGCTTGCGTCGGCTCTGTGCCCCGGCTGGAAGCGCATCGTGGCTCGCGAGCCGTCCGAGGCCGACTTCGAGGCCGCCCTCACCGAGCGAGATGTCCTCCTCTACTTTGGCCACGGCAGCGGCGCGCAGTACATCCGCGGCCGCACCATACGGCGGCTCGACAAGTGCCGCGCCGCGGTCCTGCTCATGGGCTGCTCGTCGGCCAGCCTCGTCTACAATGGCGACTTTGAGGTGTACGGCCCGGCGTGGAACTACATGATGGCGGGGTGCCCGGCCGTCGTGGGCACGCTGTGGGACGTCACGGACAGGGACATCGACCGCCTCGCCGGCAGGCTGTTTGAGGAGTGGGGCCTGCTCGCCAGGGGCACCTTTGCGGAGAAGCAGAGCAAGAGTGGTGGTGGTGCCAAGGGCCGACGGGCGGCCAAGGCTGTGGATGATGCAACAGCAGCAGAGGCCGAGGGCGCAGAGGACGCATCGCTCGTCGAGGCTGTGACCAAGGCCCGCGATGCGTGCCGCTTCAAGTACCTCACCGCCGCCGCGGTGTGCGTCTATGGCATCCCGGTGTTTATCACTCGGGATTCGTGAAAAGGTGAACGTGGCGGTTTGATGGTGGTGCTTTTGGTTGTTGTACATAACCTGCCTTTGCGGAGGGTGGGGAAAGGGGTCGTCAGGGCCCTCTTTGAGCATTTTGATCACGATTATACGGCCATGGATAGAAATGCATTGGGGGGAATTTTTGCGTTATACAGAGAGGAGAAGAGAGGGGGGAGAAGACCCGAGAGAAGGGCCATAGCAGTCAGTGTGTTACTACTTCGCCCCCGTCAGGATAAAGGAGCATCAGGATTGGGTGATGGATGGAGTTTGGTTGTACGATACCCCGATTAGAGGAGGATTGCAAAAGTCTATAGACATCTGGGGACTAGGAGCATGAGCAATTATTTGCCACGGTTTGACAGTTTTTTTGGCCTTTGTGAGGAACAGTCATATGGGGTTGTCGGATCTCCGATATGCGCCGTCTCTCCCTTGCTGGATGAGAGCTTGAAGGCTTAGAACGGGCCAAGAGTGGTTTGGTTTTCCCAATCCGAGTGCTTGCTTTCTTTCCTTGGGCGTTAGTAGAGCCTTGGGACACAACGGCCGTGCGGAGGAACATTGGCCTACAAAAGAGAGATTGTGATGTAAGCCTGACATCGTTGGTAGAAAGTGTTGCATCGTAGCAAGATGTCTCTCTCCTTGTTGCCGCCTTTAGCACCGTGGAAACTCGGGACTGTCGTTCACTGGGCCTTGGGCACGTCAAGAGAGCGCGTCCACGTGTGCACAGTGTCGAGCATTGCCCGAAGCAGCATGGGGGTTTTTAATTTGGTTCGGTGATGGATTCCGATACGTGAGGGCTTTCTTGTCTTTTACGAGGGGAGCGGGAAACAATCCAGGGATGCCACATAGTGTAGCAGCAAAAAGGGTTTCTTTTCTTTGGTTGCGAGAGGGCAAGGTATGCACAACGCACACGCACACGCACACCACCCACCGCATATTACCACGGCGGTTCGCGATCATCTTAGCGCAGCTCATATATGGTGGTATACTGCAGATCTGCACGAGCCCTCGTGTGCAGTGTGGGTGTATGCGTGTGTGTGTGTGTGTGTGTGTATGTGTGTCGAGCGAGTGCCAACGAGAGGGAGAAAAGCGACCCCAGCGCGGGATGATTTCTGTCATGCTTGAGATTGAGTGCAGACAGGGGCAGCGGCGGCGGTAAGGCGCTCCCGAATGGGTATGGGGATCCCATTCTTTTGGACCTCCATAATACCCTATTCGCTACCGGTGCAGTTGAGGCCTCGAGAGAGCTCACGGAAGAGCCAGTTGCCATATGAGGCTGGTGGAGACTAGGTGGATAGTTGAGATGGACAGACAGAGAGTCGGACAGGAAGGGGAGGGGCCGGGGCGGGACAGCTTCTGTTTCGTTTCCATGCATGTTTCCAGGCAGAGAGCCGGCGATTTAGCCCGGTGGTTTCTCCCAAATGGAGGATACAGTTGCGTGCAGTCAATATCGAGGATCCAGCCCACCACCAACCACCCTTGCGCGTCCTTGTTGGTCGACCTGGGAGGGATGACTATTGAGGCGTGTATGCTTGGTCGCCACGGGCCGATTGCGAAGGGATTTCTTGCACAGAGGGTTCCTAGAGGCAACTGTCATATGCGGTAGAACACACCGGGTTCCTGGCAGTAAATCCGTCGCACAAGTAGGGTCAGGGATCCAAAGTTGGCATCTGGATAGGTCACTGATCCTTGCCATCGACCCCGATCGGGCCATAGATCGCCAACCCACAGTCGCACAACACACAAGTGGTCGAAGGGCGGAGAGTTGTCAGAGGCTTCTCTACAAGTAAAGTTCAGGGATCACTTGATCCGGGTAGAGGTCGTAGCCTCTGTGGTGAAACTTGAAACGATGACCTGGCAGGTCATCGCCGCCGCATCAGTGTCGATCCTGTGGACCCCCCCGATATAAATCTCAACGGCTGAATGGTTTGGAAGAGGGGCACTGCGACTCAGTAGAGTTGACCGCGTGCGAGCGATGTGACCTTGAAGTTTGGTACACTCGCGCGCCGCGGGGGCAAGCGTGCCACGGCGTGCTTCTGCAAGGGTAGCTCTGGAGGTGCTTGCTGACTGACTTCATTCCTCGAGATCATGCTCAGAGCAGTCGACCCTCCAACAGGGGCATCTCGGTCAGGCTCTGCAGTCTGCCAAGGGAACCAGTCAGGGAGGATGGCCAGCCAGAGAGTTGATGGGGTGCTGTCGGCCATTCCAGGTTTCCCCCTCAAGCATCGGGGGGCTGCATAAATGCTACCCCAGTCCAGTACCTAGGCCAAGAGGCCACCCACTCTCTGCGGAGTGTGTGTGTATATACGACGTAGGTCAGGACGAGCAAGAAGACGGACGGCAGGCGGGGTGAGCGGAACTGGGGAAGCGAGGGCTCGGCAGCAGAGAAATCTCCGACTTGTGCAGGAAGGCAAACAAGCAGCGCTGCGATGGGGTACGGCTCGGAGAGGCCCAGCCGGTGGAAGGCGATGAAGCGTCATCGCCCCAGCTTACCAACCACTCTGTAAGGCGCGTAGGGCAGAGTTGATCACCCTTCGAGTGTGACTGGGTTGGCCAAGGGCCGGAAAGAACCGCGTCGTGTCGCTATAAGCATAAAGTGAGCACTTACCTGGGCAGTATGTCTGCGACGGGTGAGGGATGGCGCCTGATTATGATTAGGTGCATTATCAAAGAAGGATTCTTCCAGAAGCATGACTCTATCCGTCCATCCATGGCGACACACCAATTGTTTATGACTGATTTCTTTGGACAACCCCGGATACCAGCAGCAGCATATCGTCATTTGTCAGATCTCAGCAGCATTTCCCCTCTCCGTGCATATGCTTACACGGACGATGGAACAGGTCGGCCCGGAGAGAAAGGCCTCCCTCCCGAAGGAACATTTGAAGGTGATGACTGGTCCACATCTGCCCAGCAGGAGCACTGAGGTGAGGTACCAACCAGCCAGCCTGAGGCTTGTTCAAAATCGATCCCATGAGAGTACGGAGTAGGTATCAGGTCACTACTTGTACGAACCTAGTTTCACTGACTCCTAGGTGCATGCCCGTCGTGCCCGCGTCTCCCGTCCACCAACCGACTCGATACCCCAGTCTCAGACTCAGAATTCCTCAATCCCAGTTGACTAGTGACTCCATCCCCAGTCACCGGTCCTCATCTCAGCCCTTGATCGACATGCGCCGGGTCCCTCAGGCTTCATTTCTTGGTCCTCGAGCCAATCCACCGAGCTTTTCTCCATTGTTTCCCCTACGATGATATTGAAGGAGGTTGTTGAGGATCCATCACGCCCTGGACGCGGTTCATATCCTTATTTGCCCAGAATAGGGTTTCGCTAGCCTGGTTCCGAGATTGATCTGAGCGGGTCGTGGTCTTTGACAGGAGAACAAAATACGCCGAGTGGGCAGGCCCAAATGAAGCGATGCTCGTTGACCAGCCCGGCGGTGGCGGCAGGCCGGAAGCTTGGCCGGTCGACTTGACGCTCGCTAATCATCTACAAGTAGGTAAATGTCTGAGATACAAGTACTTGTAGGTAGGTAGAATCTGAGCGCGCCCCATGCCTTGTTTCGCCCACCTTAGCCAGATGAAAATGGACCAAGAGGGTCCGTCCGCCGTGGTAAACATGTCCCACTGCCAATCGGCGGGTGCGCGTTTGTGGCCATTTGGTTTGGACCTCGGTCTATGGCTGTACGGGCACATCGTGGAGCAGCATTCTCCCAAGTTCCCAACGTCTTCCTTTCACCTGGTGCAGTCCCTCAACCTCGCAGACAGAGAGCCTCACGGTGAATAGTTACGCATCCAACATGCTCTACGACGAAGTGAGCCGGACTCTTGCTGTGCAGGGTCTATCAAGCATGGCCGCTTCTTCTCACCCTTCACCCTTGGTTAGCCGGCCGGTGCGCTTCTCATATTTGGCACTCATATCTCGGTGCAGGTGCAGGATACATATACACTCTTATTCTTATATCATGCTTCAGGCACAAGAGTTGGTCGCTATAATAACGCAGTTCAACCGAGACAGATTACAGGCTCTTCTCTGGCTCTATGCCACAACTTTCGGGGATGACTCGGGATATTGACTAACAGGGACTTATCGGCGCACGCACACGCATGGCATGGTCGACTAACGAAGCTCTCCGTTGCAACTTGCAGTAGTTGGCAGTACCCAAAAAAAGCAAAGCAAAGCAAAGCAAAGCAAAGCAGAGCAAAAAAACCAGCCAACCTTGGCTGACTTGCTTTTAGCGCAATGGAGTTCGCCTAGTCCGTTCTGCGTATGGATCTGGTATGGGGAGATGTCGAGGTAAGCATGACCAACCATGGGCCCAGGACCAGCTAGCGACATGGCTATGGCATTAGTCGACAGAGACCTCTCCACATGCTTTGGGAAATAGGCGCCGTGTCAGTGGTCCTCCTCGTTGGGGGTGGATTCGGAGGCCACGAGTTGCCTGCGAACGGTCTCATCAGTTCCTCTCGAGACGACTCCAGCTGGGCACACCGTGACGACGGACGAGAAGCCGGGGTGGAACCCAGTTCGTCACGCATCTCCTTGTAGGTAGGCGCTGTGGCTTTGGTGCTTTGTACCAGTAGAACCTCTCTGCTCTGTGAGAGACATTCCCTCCCCATGTCACCGGATCACGGTAGACGGGGCGCCGCCGGGAAGGCCAAACTCTACTCTGGCGCCCATGATGGAGATGCATCGTCATGCTATGCACCCAAAATTTTAAGCGCAGACCAGCGCCTCCTTCTCGACTACGAATTGGAAGTCGTGCCACATATTGCAGCCCCTCTTGGTCAGCTTGCATTTGAGTGTCGTCTCCCTGCGATCGCAGGCATAATCAATGCTCTGACAAGTGCTACCTCTCCGGGATGGGATGGCTCGGGCAGCACCGTTGGACGTCCTACATGCCTCGCTCAGCAGCGAGCGGCTTTGCTTCCAAGCCAGCGCTGGCTTGTGATGCAACGGTCAATCATGCTGTTGGTGATACAAATCTCCGCTGTCCGACTACTGCAAACTGCGAGAGACCGGACGGGCGACACTGCAGACAGGCGACGGGGCGCACAGGTCTGCAGTTTTCACGAGACGTCACAGGCTGCGCGCGACAGCCAGCCTGCCGTGCGACTTTGGAGATGGGAAAATTCGGGGTACCCCATGTGGAGAAAGGGGGGGCGGCCGCGACCTGACCTGGGGTCATGAGTGTGGTTGAAGTGGTGAGGGTAGATAACGAGAGGTCCCTGGGTAATAAACGATGGACGAGGCCATAGGACAAGTAGCTGCAACGACAGAGACAGACAGGGCCTTGTTATTAAGCATCAATGCTCTTGTGGTTCGCCCAGTGCCACCCTCAGATCTGATCTGCATTGCTCGATTGTAACTTGTATTCGGACCAGAGGGGCCCAGACCCTCCATTCTTCACATCATCACGGCGCCAAACCGTGGAGGGTAAAAAGAGGATACACACCTTCTCGCTCGGAGCCACACACCCCCAGTTCTTCTTGTCAATTGTCAGTCTTTGCCAGTCTTTGCCAGTCTCGTCTCCCACCCACGCGCGCACAGCAAGAAGAAGCAATGCACGCAAGCAAACGCATGCTTCACACATACATAAGGTAGTCTACCAGTACCACCTTAGCCTACCCGTCCTGGTGCGGTGGTGCTGTGGGCAATCTTAATCGCCTCCGATTTCCTCGTCATTCCGCCTGGTTGGCTTGTTCTCTCTCCCCTGCCATACCATCTCCTACTTTTCATCCATCTTGGGCAACTCTCTTCCTCTTCTCCCATTCTCTCCCTCGCCCTCGCCCTCTCTCTCTGCCCTTCTGTCTTCTCGTACCCCACATCTGGATCGGGGCCTAGCAACAAGCCTCAACCCACACACCCCCATACGAGGCGCAGAGGGGAAAAAAAAGGGCGCCCCAGCTCGCCTTGACTACCTCGTAGTCGACAATCCGCTAGCCAAAGCACACTAGAACATCGGGGGAGAGAGTCTAAGACCAAACCCCAGCCCGTTTTTGGCCCCTCCACACATCTTTCTTCTCTCTTCCTTACCTCACCACCACGACTACAGCCCGTCTCGTCCACCGCTGCGCTTCCCGTCGCGCTGTACACCCTCGCCGCTCCTGATCTCGACCCTGGACCCGGCATTGGGACTCCCCAAGACCCCGAGCCAGCTTGCCGAGACAAGCTGCGTATCCCTCCCAAGTCCCAGTGTGGCCCGTGTCTCCCTCCTCGGCCACCACAGCATAGAGTCACACTCCCCGTCCGACCCGGCCCGGACGATGCGGCCTTTGTCTTGCGACTCCCGCTGCACATCAACACCTCTCACCGTGACACAGTGAATCCGTTTCGAGTCGAGGGGGGCCCATCAGCATCTTGGGCGTCGCCTGTCTGGGCAGTCGCTCCTCCTCCTTCCGTCCCGGCTGCACGCCTTTCTTCCCCCATATAACTCACCGCCCGTGGAGCACCCGCTCGAACCCGCGCTTCTCCCGACGCCATGTCTTCTGCTCTCTCCGAGATTGACGTGAAGACACTTCCGGCCCTTGATCTCGATGTTTCGCCTCATGGTGGTGGCCCCGACACGGAAGCCGACCCAGCGCATCACGACCCAACAAGCCTGGATGCCTTCTCCATGGAGACCCCCACTGACGGTCTTGGCCCGACCACGGGTGCTCATGGCCTGATGGATGCCTCATTTGGAGACTTTCAATTTCCTTACCATGGCATGGACGAGGAAGCTACCATCGTCGCCCTCCCCGACGGCAATAGCCCAGACCTGTTCGGCTCTCACGGCCATGCCTTGGACACCCTTCCAGATCACTCAGAAGCCGCCACGTCGGTAGCCGCCCACCTGAACAAGTTCAGTGACCACCAGAACGACCAGAGAAGAGAGAGCATCGATGCGTCCGAAGACGGCAGCCCGGACAGTATGAATCCTGGTGTGAATCCTCTAGAGGAACCTTTGTCGGACGAGTTCGGTCTCACACACGCACCCGGAGACGGGACGGACCTCGGAGGGAAGACTAAGGAAGACAAGTTGGACGCCACCCCCGCCTGGAGCGAGCTGAAGACCAAGGCCGGCAAGGAGAGAAAGCGGCTGCCTCTAGCATGTATCGCGTGCCGGAGGAAGAAGATCCGATGCTCCGGCGAGAAACCAGCATGCAAGCACTGCCTCCGTTCTCGGATTCCCTGCGTCTACAAGGTGACTGCACGGAAGGCCGCGCCGCGAACAGACTACATGGCCATGCTCGATAGGCGGTTGAAGCGCATGGAGGACAGGATCATCAAGATCGTGCCCAAGGCCGAACAGGATAACATAGCGTCCTCGGTGACCAGAGCTGTCGTCAAGCCCGCCATCCCGGGCACTCTGGTGACAGGAAAGTCGTCAACCAAGAAGCGGGGGGTCGATGAGGCCTTTGGGCCTGACCTCGACCACTGGGCTCGAGCCCCTGCCAAAAACAGGCTGAGCACGGCGGGAAAGCCGCAGACCCTCATCACACAAGAGTCGGAGGAAAGCAAGCTCCTCCAAGAAGGCGTAGAAGCCCTGCCCTCAAAGGAAATCCAGGAGCATCTCGCCGAGGTCTACTTTGAGAACATCTATGGACAGGCGTACCACATCCTGCACAAACCGAGCTATATGCGGAAATTGAGGTATGTCCAGAATCTTTGCGCGCAAAATTCGCGCGTATTCTCCGCTCGCCTTTGCTAATGCTTTAACAACATAGAACGGGCACTCTTCCGCCGGTTCTCATCCTCTCCGTCTGCGCCATCTCGGCCCGATTCTCCACGCATCCTAAGCTCAACACCAGCCCCAACTTCCTCCGCGGCGAAGAATGGGCGTCTCACGCACGCGACATAGTGATGCGGAGATACGAATGGCCAAACATCACCATACTGACATGCCTTCTCATCTTGGGCCTCCACGAATTTGGTACTTGCCATGGTGGGAGGAGTTGGGCGCTGGGTGGACAAGCGATTCGCATGGCCTTCGCTCTGCAGCTCCACAAGGACCTCGAGTACGATCCTCAGCCGCTTTCGTCGAGAGACCCTCTTAGTTTTGTGGACAGAGAAATTCGCCGGAGGACCATGTGGGCTTGCTTTCTCATGGACCGCTTCAACTCATCAGGCACCGACCGTCCAACCTTTATGAAGGAGGAGACGATCAAGATCCCGCTGCCCATCAAGGAGAAGCAGTTCCAGCTCGACATGCCGGGCCCAACGGAGACTCTCCAGGGACAGGTACTGTTCCCTGGTGCCGCCGACGACGACAATCTCGCTGTCGAGGCCAAAGAGAACATGGGTGTAGCAGCCTACATGATCAAAGCTATCGCAGTCTGGGGCCGTGTCATCAATTACCTCAGCCAAGGCGGCAAGGAGCTGGATCCTCATCCGATGTGGAGTCCCGAGTCTGGCTACTCTAACCTCGTCAAGCAGACAGACGAAATGTTGTCCACCCTGCCCGATACGTTGACGTACACAAAGGACAATCTACACCAGCACGATACAGACGGGATGGCGAATCAGTTCCTTTTTCTCCACATCGCCATCCAACAGAATATCCTATTCATGAACCGGTTTGCCGTCTCGTCGCCTAATGGTCAGTCGCAACAGGACGTACCCAAGTCATTTGTGACCAAGGCCGGTGCCAAGGCATTCGGCGCCGCAAACCGCATCTCGGAGCTTCTCGCGGAAGCAGAGTCGTACCTGATAGCGGCTCCGTTCGTTGGCTACTGTGCCTTCCTCTCGAGTACCGTGCACATCTTCGGTATCTTCTCCGGTAACCCGGCCATGGAAGCCACTTCGAAGCGTAACCTGGCCACCAACGTCAAGTTCCTGTCCAAGATGAAGCGATATTGGGGCATGTTCCACTTCATGTCGGAGAATCTGCGAGAGCAATACCGATCCTGTGCCGACGCCGCGAGGCAGGGCAACAACCCCGCCAGCGAGAGCGCCGCGTCGCCCATCTTCCAGTACGGAGACTGGTTCGACCGCTATCCTCACGGCGTGTCGCATTCGGACTTTTTGGACCCCGCGCAGTACCAGAAGAAGGAGAGGGGAGACGACGCAGTCCTGGAGCAGAAGCCGGAGCTTCACACGGTGGAGGAGTTCTTCACTACGCTGTCGCCTCGCAGTGCCGAGGGCAAAGACCCCAGCGCGGCGCGGCCGGCCATGCCCAAGCGCAAACCCGTTGTCAAAAAGGCGGCCAGCGCCGCTGTTGCGAGAAGCGAAACGCAGCAGCTGGACCACCTCAGCCAGGCCGGGTCGGAGCAGCACATCCAGCCCCAGCTGCGGCGGAGGGCCTATTCGACATCGCTGGGCGGCCAGACGAGCGGGCCGACCAACTTCAACCCCCTGACGATACCCCACTCGCAGACCGGGACCTCGTACCACGCGCTGTCGCCCATCAGCCCCGTCGCCATGAACCAGTTCGGCCATCCCTCGGGGCCGTTCTACTCGCCGGAGCTAATGACGCTGTCCCTGGCGCACCCGGCCAACGGCCTCCTGCCGCAGCTCGACCGGCAGCTCGTGTTTGGCGCGTACGCCGGCATGGACCCGTCCTCCATCGGCGGCGGCCAGAGCGTGCTGGACGGCATGGGCTGGGACGGCATGCCGGAGGGGGCGCACGCCGCCGCGGGGGGCGGGCGCCGGGCCAACGGCAGCGTCAGCGAGGGCCCACAACAGGCCGGCGGCGGTGGCAGGGCCGGGGCAGGGCCCGAGGGCGTGGACACGCTGCACCCGTTTGGCGGCGGGCACCACGGGCAGGAGGCGTCGTCGGCGTGGTTCATGCCGTTCAACATGGACCCGCCCGAGATCGGGCAGGACACGGGGCCCGGCCTGGGCAACCTGGACCAGTTCGCCAACATGTTTGGCGGGGCGGGCATGTCGACCCCCGGAGGCGGGGCCGGGGGCATGGGGGGCCTGCACCACACCGGCGGTCACTGAGATGTCTTGTCATCTTGGGGGGAGGGGGTCTCATTGGTGGCTCGCGGTGGTGGTGGGAGGTGGTTTTGTGGCGTGTTGCATACCTGCAAGGAAGAGGAAGGGGGTTAGGCAGGCAGCTGGGTTGGACAGATCGTTGGTTGTGCTGCGTGTGTGTGTGCGTGTGTGTGTGTGTATGTGGATTGTTTACCCAGTCACGCAACCGGTTGGCGCCCATACGTACGTGGGAAGGGAACACGTGTATGTCATGATCATGTACTGGAAGGTGGGAGGTTGGGGAGGATGGCCGTTGGAGCGAAATCGGCCCAGAAGATCTCGAAAAAGGAGGAGACGTGAGAGGAACGGCCCAGTATGAGAGATGGCAGGGCTGCCGGGTGGTGTATCCTCTTGACTATATTGGATATATCGGTGTAAATCGGGGGTTTGGATGGGTAGGGATGGGAACTCTCTTGGTCAAATTATTCAAGATACCAGATACGCGTGTGCCAAAACAGCAAATTTTAAAAACAACCTTTTGTCTCAAAAAGATTTTGAAGCTTTTGTTCTGCCCAGTCGATATCTTCGGGTAAAAGTGATAAAAGGGTCCTTTCTGCATTTCTCAAGTCTATTAAGGGTATATCGATACACAGCGGACAGCTATTCCAACTACAAGTCCATCCAACAGCCCCCCCATCTGTCCAGATTGTTCACGCGGCGCTCTTCTTGCCCTTGGATCTCTTGCGCTTCTTCTTACCGCCCTCATCCTTGTCACGGCCTGACGACGATGCCTCAGCCTTGCCCTTGCCCTTTCCGCCGTCGCCGTCGCCGAAGCCAAACGTGGGGCCCGTGGCCTCGTACTCGGCGCCAAAGTTGTCGCGGCGCCACTGGCGCAGGCGGGCCTTCTTGCCCAGCTTCTTGCGGTCGCGGCGCTTCTTCTCGGCGTCGCGCCAGGTCGCGAGCTTCTTGAGGCCGGCGAACTCGTTGAGCGCGGCGTCCGAGGGCGCGAGCAGGATGTCGCGGGCCGTGAGGCCAAAGGACTGCGGGCTCGTCTCGCGGTAGCGGAAGCCCGACGCCGAGGCGCCGGCGGCGGAGGAAGAAGGGCCGGCGAGCGCCGAGGGGGCGTCGAGCTCCATGCGCGCGTCGACGAGGGCCTCGATCTTGGCGCGCTCCTGGCGGGCCGCGCGCTTGGCGTCCGCGCGGTCCTTCTTGTGGTCCTTGGACGTCTTGCGCTTCTTGGAGGGCCGGTCGTCGTCCTCCTCCTCTTCTTCCTCCTCGTCCGGACCGTCTTGGCCGGCCTCCTCATCCGAGAGGGTGATGTTGGGCCGGGCCTCCTCTTCCTCAAAGTCGGGGACCAGGTCCTTGATGTCGATGTCGTCGTCCCACTTTGGTTTTCTGGGCTTCTTCTTCCCAGCCTCGGCTCCGTCGTCGTCCGAATCCATTCCCGCATCAGCCGCAGCGTAATAGTTGTCGCCAAACCGGCGGTTCATCTCCTGTTCCCACTTGTCATTCTCCCAAGCGTCGTCTAGAAGTCCCGCCCATTCTTCCTCGTTGAGCTGCTTGCCACTGAGACCGGCAGCTTGTTTGATCTTCTTCAGCTTCTCCTCTGCCTCCTCGACCTTCAGCTTGCGCAATCGAGCACGCTCCTCGTGTCTCTCTCGCTTCTCGGCCTCCTTCCTCTCCTTCTCCAACTCTCTCTGCCGTTGACGGCCCGTCTTCTCCTCGCGACGGACCGACTTGGCCGCAGTGATACTTCTCGAGTATGACCTGAGGACCTCGTTGCTCTTGTCCGGATCTTCGAAGCGCAGGTTGTAAGCTGCCTCGAATTCATCAGCCCGATCATCGGGCTCGCCCTCATCCGACTCGAAGGCCTCCCACTTGGATCCAGACTCAGCCCAAGATCTCGACGCCATGAAATTTGAGAGGTAGAGTTCCGGGTCCTTGTCGGCATTTTTGACATCGAGTTCGGTGAGTTGGACCTTGGCAGCTCGGGACGGGTGCACATGGTTCTCACCAAGGGCCTCGCCCTCCTTCGGCTCCTTCCGCTTGATGAATCCGTCATCGTCGCTGTCTGCGTCCGAGTCGCCCTCGGCCGCTGCATTGATTTCAGCCAGAAGGGTCTGCTTCACCGCGTCTTGCTCCTGGGCATACGTCTTGGGTTTTTGGTCGTCCTCGTCAGCCCCAGTGTCGCCAGCCATGTACCTCTCCCGATGGTAATCTCGCAGGAAGACAGGCTTTTCCTTCTTCTCCTTTGGCTCGGCAGTGTCGTCTTCCTCTGGAGGCTTGTAGAATGTGGACTCCTTGTCGTAAATTCGAGGGTCCTTCTTCTTGATGGCCTCTAGTGCCGCAGACATCTGAGCATTGAGCTCCTCGGTGAGAAGGAAGGCCTCTTCGTCCTCGTCTTCGTCGTCTGAAGAGTCGGATTCGCTGTCTGAGCCGGCCGCATTGCCATTGGCTTGGTCTCTACCATATTTCTCTTCCACTTTGGCGAGTGTCAGTTACGAAAGAAAATAAGGCTTAACGAAAGCCGGAGAGGACAAGGTAGTCTCACATTTCTGTCGCTCTTCTCTCTTCTTGTTATGTTCAAACCTCCGTGCGTACTCCTCGTTGATCTTGAAAGATGAGGAGTCATCTGCCAGCTGGGCACCGCCATCCTCAGAGTCCTCATCGCTGCTCGACCCGGCATCGTCGAAAAGGCTCTGTTTGCCGCCCATCTTTGAAGTAGTGGCGGGGTCTCGCCGGGCTATGCTGCTATTCTCAACATGATCAAGAGCATCTTCGTTGCTGCTGCTGCTCGAAGGAGCCTTGTCCTTGGAACGCCGTGGCATTTTGCCTGCTGTAAGTGTTTTTCTGCGAGTGCTCGAAGCTGTGGTTTTTGCACGGGCGGGTTGGCGCTCGGGCTGGCAGGTTTGCGGATTGGCTTTCAGGGACCCAAAAAGCGAAGAAGGCTCTGTCGAAACTTTTTAGTGGGACGGCGATAAGATTGAGGGACCGAGATACCTGAGGTACTTACCAGACACATGCAGTCAGCTGCTGGCCACTTGCACTACGGAGTAGTTGAGTGTACTGATTCAGAATCCTTCAGACGGGTCGCGGCAGAACTCGGCGGCCGAGGAAAGGATGACGATCCCCTCTTTTAGGCTAACTGGAGCTGGCTTAGCGCCATCTCCGTTTGTGGCTGGTCTGTGCTGGTGCGGTTGGTGACATGAATCTATCTGGTATGCCTGCGAGCTTTCCCTGCCTATCACGTCACTCCTCCCCGAGGCAGCAAGATAGATACTCATCTCGTCAAGCTCTGCGACTCACGATCTGCGACTTTTCCCATACAGCACACAAGAGCGACCTCAAAGGCCAGCAATATATCCAAGCCACCAGAGGCCGATAGCCTACATCCATAGTACCCTTCTCCGGCAACTCCACGCCACTCGAAACGATCACCATGGCCGACTCGGGCGCCGCTCCTAATAAGCCCAGCAGCAGCGTCAAGCTGGTTCTGCTCGGTGAGGCGGCCGTTGGCAAGGTCCGTGAATGCGCCTCAGATGCCCCTGCCCGATAGAACCATAAGCTAACGCACAGGTGCAGTCGTCTCTCGTCCTGCGCTTCGTCAACAACGATTTCCAGGAGAATAAGGAACCCACTATTGGTGGTGAGTAGCTGGAGATATCCTTCCCGGACATGCTTGCCGTTGAATTCGGCCTGACTTGTTGCGTCCCACAGCTGCATTCCTCACTCAGAAATGCAACCTCCCCTCAAGGACCATCAAATTCGAGATCTGGGATACGGCAGGACAGGAACGCTTCGCCTCGCTGGCCCCGATGTATTACCGAAATGCCCAAGCCGCCCTTGTCGTTTACGATTTGACCAAGCCGACGTCTCTCATCAAGGCAAAACACTGGGTCGCCGAGCTACAGAGACAGGCCTCGCCTGGTATTGTCATCGCGCTCGTTGGCAACAAGCTCGACCTGACGAACGATGGCGCCGGTTCCGCCGATTCCGAGAGTGGCGGAGCCGAGCCGGCCGATGACTCCGGTGACGCCCGCAAGGTGACTACAGAAGAGGCCAAGTCGTACGCTGAGGAAGAGAGCTTGTTGTTCTTTGAGACGAGTGCTAAGACTGGCCTCAACGTAACGGAAGTATTCACGGCCATCGCAAATGCCATCCCCGAGACGTCGCTCAAGAGCTCGAGGGGCGTCGGCGCATCTCAGAACGCAAGCCGGGGTGGTGACGACCAGAGGGTGAACTTGACCGGCCCGAGGGACCAGGGAGCCAAGGAGGGATGCGCTTGCTAGAGGGCGCAGAGACGATACCCTCCTCTTCTGCTGTTGTTTTCGCTGCATTATGCGTCTTATGAGGGGTCATCGGAAGAGCCGCTAGGAAGGTCACCCCGGAGTCAATGGTATTTACTTGCTTACTGTGGTCTTTTCTTTCTTGAAGCTTGATGTTCTGCTCCCGAATACATTGCGTTTCTGAGCGATTTTCTATCCTCCAGCAATTCGGGGTGATCTAAGGCTTGCCCAGAGAGACGGCGTCCTCTTTTGTTTTTGACAAAGGCATTGTTTAGTCAACTCGAACGCTACTCGGCATAACAATAAGAATATGTTGTCTTTATATGAGTGTCGCCTTTTCCTACCAACCCATCAATGAGGATTCAGGGCGCTCCTTTTGCGGCCGATAGTAACATTGTTGGTGGCCAAATGACCATATGTTTGTCGTGTAAATAAGGTGCGACCTTCCCAAAGTTTTGTACTTGCACAAGACGGTGGTATGTAGGTAGGTAGTGGGGCAACAATTGGACAGTTCCCTTCCAGGCACTGCTTGAAGGTGTGCGTCACTAACTATATACCGTAGATAGCTGGAGCGCTAGACAATTTGCCTTTGGATTTTGATTAGAACAACGCCAGCAGCAATCTCCACTAATACAGAACCCGCCCCAGGCTAATTTTTCTGTCGTGCGCGCATGCTGCACGCCGTGAATGCATCCACCCTTCAACCTTCTGGCTCACTTTCCCGTCAACGTGTCGCTCACCTCTGGCACACATCATGGCCAGATAGATATGGAACGGACGGAATCCTAGAAAGGGCGTCTGCAGCACTTCCAACCCTTCCTCTGCCTTGAGCAAGTCTACGCGTCCTCTTTCTCGAAGGCGCGTGTGCCAGATGAGCCCTGTCATTCAAGTGGCCCTCCTACCTGTTGAAAATGGCGACTCCTTGGTCGCTCACGCCTGAGGAGGCGGACCTTATCAGGTAAATATGCTCTTCCAATCTTCCAGTGCTGTACTCTGGGCTGCATGCTGACGATCCCGCAGGTCATTGACAGAGGATGAGATTCCGACAAAGTTGCGCTGCGCTATCTGCAGCAGACTTGCTGTTAACGCCTTCAAACTGCCATGCTGCGAACAACTGATTGACGATGATTGTAGGTTCTATTCTCTTCTACCTCCTCGAAATCTTGGCCGTGATGCTGACACGACGCCTAGGCCACAAAACCCTCCCTTCGACCTGTCCTGTGTGCGAGCACACCCCTCTTTCTGCTGATGACTGCAATCCGAACAAGGCGATGCGATCAACCATCAAGGTCTTTGTCAAGACGGAGTTGAGAAAGAGAGATGTTCTCCGGGCCAAGGAAAACAAAGAGACAACTCCGATGACGCCTGCCGAGGCCAAGGAAACCCCTGACGCGCCAGCACCTGCCGTGGTAGCTTCGACCGATGAGACATCGGCAGCTGATGTAAAAGTCACCACAACGGAGCCGCAGAACGGAATCGAACCCACAGTTCCGGAAGGCGACGATAGGGAGTCTACTATTGCTGCGGGAGGAGACGAGCGCGCCACTGGAGACGACGTAAGTTGCCTGCCCTGCGCCCCTTTGGAATGAAATCAAAAGGTCTAACATTCAGTAGGTACCGCCCGACACTGACGGGCTCGCTACAGACGACGTCCCAGATAACCAACTTGCTAAGCGGGATGATGATGCCGTTGCAAACACTGGAGGTGACGGGCTTCAAGAGGCAGAGGAACAACCGGACGCCAATCTTGGTGCTGGAGACCAGCAAGGGCCGAATACCTCTGGCGGCCCCGGGTTCGATACTTCAAACGGGGCCTTCCCTACTATGAACTTCGGCGACTTCAATCAGATGCAGCAGCAGCAGATGATGATGATGAATGGCATGATGCCTAATTCCTTCAACTTCTCGATGATGGGTGAGTGACCCCTCCGAGTCGATACCCACGAACTATGCTGATCAGATTCCCAGGAATGGACCCCATGATGCAAAATATGTTTATGAACGGGGGCTTTGGCGCACAAGGCATGGGCATGAACGGCATGAACAGCATGAACGGCATGAACATGATGGGAGGCGGTTTCAACAGTGGCATGGGCAATGGGCAACAGTCATGGAATGTCGGCCAAGATAATTTCAATCCTCCAAATGCTTCTGGCATGGGCAATGGTGATTATGGGTCGTATAACTCAGGCTACCATACAGGATACAATCAACAAGGTAACTTTGGGCCCCAGAACCACTTCAACCAGTCTCGCGGCTATGGCCGCTATAGGGGGAGAGGCCGAGGCTATTACGGCGGCTACGGCCGTGGAGGCTACAACAATTTCGGACCGGGCGCCAACTACCAGGACCAGGCATATACGCAGCAGCAACATATGGGCACCATGCAGCACGACAACCATCCTGCCGTTGAGCAGCAAGGTGGTGGACAGCAAGCCGCCGACACCGACGAGTTTGGCAGGGCTAAGCGCCAGGACTCGCACCCGGGAGATGCCGATGCTCCAAACGAAGGCCAACAAGGAACTCTTACATCTGCCGGAGAAGGCGGCCCAGGAGCTGACGCTAACCATGACGAGTCTGCTCCTGCCCAAGCCCGTGACACTACGTCCACTGAGCCTCACCAAGGTGATCAAGAGCATGGGCCCGAGGATCATGGTACGCAACCAATCTCAACTATTGACATGTCGCAAGGCCGGGAAGCTGGTAACTTCACGTCTGCGAATGGCCCCCATATGGCAGGCCCAGGCCAGTTTCACCGTGGCATCCACGGGCAGGGACCCTCTGGTCAGTTCAGCAACTCTGGCCGACCGGCTCCAGATGTCCCGATCAACGCCCCTTCGGGACCCAAGGCCATGCGCCAAGGACTTCCAAACACTAGTCTACTCCATCTTCGTGCCCGCGGATATCAAGTTGGAGATTCGCGCACCCCAGGCCTGAATACTAACCAAGGTGGGATACAGAGTCCGTCAGATAGCCGGCCAGGCTCGAGTCACTCTCTCGAGACTTCGAAGCTACAGAATCCCGGCCACCAGGAAGAGCTGGGACGTAATCCTGGACGTGGGAGAGGCCGCTGGCACCAGGATCAGGACGCCGAGCGATCGAGGTCGCATTCTTTCAGAGACAGCCGAAACGGGAGCGTTAGCCGCGACCCTAGCCGAGATCGTAAAGAGAGCCACCGCCACCGGACAGAGTCCGTTGCAAGCGACGGCCGCGATGATGACGACTCTCAACGACGCAGCAGGCACCGCAGCTCGCGGAAACATCATGGCTACGAAGGCGAAGATGAGGAACTGAGATCCGCTAAATCGCGAGAGGACAAATACGATGATCGGTCGCGCTCGCAATCGCCAGGCGAGTCGAGGCGCTCAAGCCATCGGAGTAGGAGAGACCGGGACTACGAGAAGCGCCGGGATAAGGGTGGGGAGCGAGACAGCGATCGTGAGCATCGCCGGAAATCGCACTCGCATAGGGAGCGCGAGCGTGATCGGGAACGAGACCGTGATCGTGACAGAGACCGAGACAGGGATCGTGACAGAGACCGCGAGCGCGACCGGGCGAAGGATAGAGACCGAGACCGGGAGCGGAGACGAGAAAAGGACCGTGATCGCGAGCGTGACCGGGACCGGGACCGAGACGGGGATCGGGATCGCGACAGAGAGCACCGCCACCGCAGTAGCCGCAAGGCCTCTGAAGCACCGACGGCCGAGCACGATGCGCCTACGGGCCCCAGGTCGGGCGGTGGGAGAGTATCCGAAATCAGGGGTGGGGAGTCACGCTCACGCGAGCCTTCCGAGCCGAGTCGCCGTTCCTCACAGACGCCCAAGCCGACCTCCGGCATGGATCCTCATGCGGCTGAGCGCGAGAAGAGAAACAGGGAGCGGCTGGCTGCTGAAGTGCACAAACTCGCGAGCATGGGGAGTTTTACGGGTAGCAAGCGCGGCCGCGATGAGTCCGACGACGGCAGACGGAGCCGGCGAAAGGGCCGCCGAGGCGAGGCTTTGTCCACGGACGACATGAATGAGAGGCTGCGGCGGGGCGAGGCCGAGAGGGAAGGGGATCGCCGCTGAGGTGTATGTATCTTTGGAGTCTAAGCTCCACGACGATGGAGCCATCACCAGCGGTCACTCATCAGTCTACTCTTCCCCTATCAGTGAGGGATATGGCTCTAGAAAATCTATGGCCGCCGATGTCTACCCTCCGCACTGGATGTCGTTTCGATATTCCTCATGTATCAGTGTATCACTAGGAAGCTAGAGTATGCAAGAAAGGGCGTTATATGGCCTGCAGCCACAATCATTGACTTGACAGCGAACATGTGGTGACGACTACATTGGGCGAAAAGAGATCTGGGTCTTCATGTGTACATGCCGAAGTAGGACGCGCCGGAAGCACGCCGATCAATCCGGCAGAATCAACGATGCCTTGGAGTGCACCACATGTGCCGTCGGATACACACATATTCTTCCGTGGAAAGTATTAATGAACATCATGAAGTATGCACTTGTAGATGGTGCGTGCATGTCGCATATCAAGGTTTCCGGCTTGCCAGGCCCAGTAACCAAGCTTTAATCCATGTTGAGGATGAGCCCGTTTGTGGGGGCGCGAGTGGGTACCACAGGGGGGCCCGCTAAGACTCGGGCCAGTGGTGAACCCCTGGTGTGGTGATGCTCGAGGCCTAAAGGTGTTGGCACGCGGCGGGGTTGGTGCTCTCAAGTGCTCTTTACAAGTACACAGCCAGCACCACCAAACATACCCACCCTGAGACATGGATGTCATCACCTGCACGGGGCTAGGCTGATCCTCCCCCAGCACTACCACACCATACTTCCAGGCTTCCCCTCCCTTATCGCGGAATGGAACTCTCCTCACCTCCCTCCGAGAGCGTCGTCGGCCCTCACTCATAATCTTCCAAATCAAAGCAACATACTCTGTGTCCTGGACAGATGTTGAGGGTGTTTGCAGCTTCTGTACATCCGATCTACGGCAGCCAGGCCTTACATGTAGTCTCCTTTGTCCACGATGCGACCCTCCGACGCCTTCGGGTTCCGACGCCCCACTGATAACGACATGACGCCCATGCCGCTCCAGACCGCCCCGTCGTCCGCTGCCGCACAGCAGATGACTTACTTTCTCGCCGACGAGGCCACCGTCGACGCGTCTCTCGAGCAGTCCTTGCCCAGCCTGCACCGCCCCCGCGATCCCAGGAAGCACCAGCCCGCCGAGAGGCTCGACACCAGCATCATCTCCTCGGCCCCGGCGAGCCCGGCTCCAAGTCCGAGAGCGACGCCGGTGGGGATGACGAGCCTGGAGAGCAGCTTCGTCGATGCGGGGAGGAGCATGGCGATAGAAACGCCGGAGCTGCGGCCGGTGACCCCGCCTTCGCGGGCCCCGCTGTCCCAGCCCATGACGCCCATCATGCTGGGCACGCCGGGCGGGCAGTCCTCGGCCGCGCTGAGCAGCACCTCCTCGCGGAGGAACTCGCTGACGGGGTCGTGTGCGCTGTCTGAGGACCTGGGGGAGAGCGCCGCCGTTACTGCGGCGGGCATGAGCACGAGCGGCGAGGAGGGCTCGGGCACGCAGACCCTGTCCGGACAAGCCTCTTCGGGTATGATGGACAGCGGAAGTGCCCCGCAGCTCATCATGCCGAGCATCAAGATGCCGAGTCGAAGACCGTTTACAGAAGAGGGGAAGAGGATAGGTAGACTGAAGGTGCTCATTGCTGGCGCATCAGGTAAACACTCTTCACCACCAAGCTTGCTCCTATGTGACGAGCACAAATACTAATGCGGATGGGTCTAGGCATCGGCAAAACGTCGCTGATCAAAGCCATCGTGCAATCCTGCGAGCACATTGTACATGTAGATAGCATTACGCCGTCGTCCGTCTCCCTCGCGACGAGGAGAAGCTCGAGGAGCACGATCAGGCAGAGATCGTCCAGGTCGGAGACAACCACGTCTCACATCACCGAGATATATGCCAGCACTAAACCATACCCCGAGTGGTGGTCAGATATAGACGAGTTCCGGGCACTCAGGAGAAGAAAGAGCCTAGGGGACAGCGTTCTGGACCGTAATATTTGTTTTGTCGACACGCCGGGCTTGAGCCGCGGATCATCGGTACTGGCTACTCCTTACCTCATACACCTGAATATTTGCTAATGTGACTGAAACAGGCGATGGAGACCATTGCACCAGTAATCGAGTATATTGAAACGCAACTCGAGAAGCTTTCCAGCAACTCGCTCAGTGATTCTGAGACACTGAACCTAGTCGGCGGGGACGGAGGCTCTCAAGTCGACGCTGTGTTTTACATGATTTCTGCTAGTAAGTTGTACCTCTGATACTCGAAAGAATCTGGTCTGCTCTTCTATTATGCTCGTTGCTAACTAAGGCCAGAACTTACCTCTGCGGACATCGAATATTTAAGACGGCTTGCGCCTCTGACCAACATTATACCAGTGCTAGCTCTGGCAGATACGATGGACTCCACGCAGTTGGCAGACAGCAAGGAAATTGTTACCTGTCAACTACAGGAGGCCAGCATCCGGCCTTTTACGTTTGCATACCCACTCAACCCGACGGTGAGGGCCGTGAACGCCACCTGCCCATACGCCATCTCCAGCGCCCTGGGACCGGATCACGACACAATGGACGCGAGCCTACTTATGAGTCCCGAGTATATCCAGCCGCTTATACCCACGGACCTTTCTGCACTCGTCGAGCAAGTGTTTTCACAAGAAGGAGTCTCTTGGCTGAGGCATTCGGCCGCGAGAAAGTATGTGCTGTGGAAGGGATCGTCAGAGAACACATCGCGCCCACAAGCACTCTATCGGCCACTGAGTTATCCGACTCCAGCTATGGGTGCACCTGATCAAAGAATCCGCACCCATCCTGTAGGCCCGACCTCGTCCTTTGCCATGGCTAGGGTTGCGGATCACACTCAGCGCGAAGAGCGTCTGGCACAAATACGGCTGGCAAATTGGGCATCGGAGCTGCAGCGTAGTCTCGCCAACGAAAGAGCCCGATATGAGGCACTCGCCAACAGCGAGAGGGCCGTGTGGCTTACGGAGCGCTTGAACGAATGCGTCCAAGATGGGACCTTGGTACCGGTTGGTCGCGGGAGGCGGAATTCGGCAAGAGCACGAGAGTCAGGGTTCGCGAGACGGTTTGGAGACAACGGTAGTGGGAGCAGGACGGCAAGCAAGGGCTTGAAGTATCAGGATCCTCTGGGCCTGCTTGACGTTACGGCAGACATCAAGGCGAAAGGTTGGGCTGCGCTCGAACTCATCGGTGGATTGGGAGTGCTCGGTGGACTTGCCCTGTGGATGTCACGACATTATTGTCACTCCCAGGTCTATCAGTGGCTTATGGAGGAATGGGGACGGATCTGGTACGGCGACTGATGGGTTGATTCTCTTGGATTGCCCGACATTGTTGTTGTTACTCCTCGCTTGTCTGCCGTGGTAACTCCCGAGGTTTGAAAGTTTGAGATGATGCACATAGATATACGAATGGCGTCGTTCATTTTTAGGATAGGGATATACCACACTTGATCTTCTTACCCCCAAATATCAGTCAAAGCACTAAGCTCTCGATCTGTCGCCAGTGTTTGGGGACGCATAGCGTGGATTCTCTTGCCCAGGTTGCCACTGGAGTGAATAGGCGGTGTATTGCGCGGTTGGGCAAATACCATTGTGTTGCTTTCATTGACATCAACAGGTGGCTGACCCTATTTATGGATGTGTATAAGGATGGAGGGGATACATGTGCCTAGGGATAGCTTCAATTTCACAGGCGCTGATAAACGACGACCCCGTGCCCCCGATAACGCGGTTAGGTACCTATGTAGGTACCTAGTCGATTACGCCAGGCCTGAGCGTTGCAAGCTGTGGACCCACTTGGTGCGATCTTCGCTGCTCTCGAAATAACATTCGCGCTCATGGGCCAGTCAAATGCTGCTTTGCTTGCAATCCCTTAACGTGCGTCGAGACGACTTGGGGCTTGCCGCCAGCATCGACGAAACAACATTCATTTACCCCCCGGGCCTTTTCCCTTGGTTTTGCCTTTCTGTATCGCCATCTACGACGAAGATAGGGACTGTCGGCACAGCGATCTGGTTCGTCAAACCAGTCCGCCCAGTCCACTGTCACCTTTCCGTCACTGGATCAATGACTTCGGTCGTCAGCTTGGCTCGACTTTGAGAACACCCCCCGCTGATCTATCACGAATCGCATCGCCATGCCCTCCGAGAGACAGTACGGCGTAACGCCGCCCCTCTCTACGCAGCTTCCTAGCGAAGACCAGAAGCAGGCCGCGGATGCCCTGTTGCAAGAATTGCATAGCCAGGGCACCTTTGAGAGCGCTGCTGAGACGGCGAAGAGGTGAGCTGCGCTTTGCCCTTATAATCACGCCAGCAGTCATTGCGACCCAGTTCTCCAGATGCTGACGATGTTTTCTTTGCATCAGATACGAGGTTCTGGCTTCTATCCAGGCCATTGCCGATGCGTTTGTTAGGCAGGTGGCACAAGAGAAGGAACCTGATAACCCGACCCTCATCAAAGATGCCCGCGCTCGGGTCTTCACCTACGGCAGTTTTCGACTGGGCGTGTACGGACCCGGCTCCGATATCGATACCCTGGTTGTCGCTCCTCGATACGTTACACGCGTCGAATACTTCAAGTACTTCCCAGACTTGCTGAGGAAAATGTCGCCTCCGGGCGCCATCACTGAGCTCGCCGCCGTTGAAGATGCATTCGTACCCATCATCAAATTCGAGTACTCGGGCATCAGCATCGACTTGATCTTTTCGAGGATAGCCACTTTGAAGCAACTTCCTGGAGAGAAAGACTGGAACTTGAAGGACTCGAATCTGCTTCGTGGTCTGGATGAAGCTGAGCTTCGGTCCGTGAACGGCACCCGAGTCACCGACGAGATTGTCGATTTGGTCCCAGAGCAGAAAACCTTCAGAGATGCGCTCCGGGCTGTCAAGCTGTGGGCCCAGCGCAAGGCGATATATGCCAACATCATGGGCTTTCCTGGTGGCGTTGCATGGGCCATGATGGTTGCTCGGGTGTGCCAGCTCTATCCGAAGGCGACGAGTGCTGTGATAGTTTCCAAGTTCTTCGGCATCCTTCTCCAGTGGCCGTGGCCGAACCCTGTTCTTCTGAAGAACATTGAGAGCGGCCCTCTGCAAGCCCGTGTCTGGAACCCCAAGGTAGGTGCTCTCAAAAGTCGTCTCCGACACCTTTGCATTGGCTAATCGTGCAATAGATCTACAAGGGTGACGGCTTTCATCTCATGCCCATCATCACTCCCGCTTACCCCTCCATGTGCGCCACCTTCAACATCACGAGATCGTCTATGACTGTGATCCAGCGAGAGCTGTCGCTCGCATCTGATCTGTGCCAGAAGATCATGGCCGGGATTAGGCCCTGGAGTGCTCTGTTTACCAGACACACCTTCTTCACCCAAGACTACAAGTACTACATCTCTGTGATTGCCTCAAGCACAGACAAAGAGGCACACGTAAAGTGGGCCGGCTTTGTCGAGTCCAAGGTTCGGCTTCTAGTGCAGGGACTCGAACGCCACCAGTCTATTGTACTTGCTCGACCGTTCAACAAGGGCTATGAGCGGACAAATATGTGCGCTAGCCCTGAAGGGGTCGAAGAGGTCAAGAACGGCAGCCTTGCTTACGTCGTCAAGAAAGAGGAAGGAGAGGCGATCAAGGCCGAGGCTACCAACGGAAACGGCACGCAGGCCAAGACAGAGGTCAAGGCCGACTCGACCTCAGAAGCCAAGACAGAGGTTAAGCCCGAGGTCAAGACGGAAGATGTGCCCCTGAATGTGAAGCCTGAAGATGGTGCTGATGCCGCAGTCAAGCTTGAGGATGTTCAACCTCAGGGCACTGAGGTGTATACTACCACACATTACATCGGTATCGAACTAGTCGAGAGTAAGCTTCCCCTTTATGATCTTGCCTTTTCAGATCCCGGGCTTCTTTGTCCTTGTCCAGGTTGGATCTCTCAAGACGGGTTTCTTAACATTTCGCCATCAACAGAAGCCAAATCCCTCGATCTCTCATATCAAGTCAACGAGTTTAAGGATCTCTGCTTTGCCTGGGAGCTCTATAGGAACGAGCTTCACAAAACATGCACCGTCAACATTCAGCACGTTCGCAAGTGAGTCTTGGCAAATTTTCAAATGAACGTAGTCGATGCGGCGACTGACAACCTCTAGTTTCACGCTCCCCGACGACGTTTTCGAGGCAGGAGAAGTCAAGCCAACGAAACCGGTGAAGAAGAGGAACGTGCCGGCCACAGCGCAAGCCGCCAATGCCGCCAACTCGAAGAAGCGAACGGCCTCAGAAGTACGTACGAGGCACTGGCTTCTAGCAAGGCGCTCGATAGCCTTGACCCTCTATTCATGGAACTCTACATCATCTTGGGCTTGCTAACGCATACTAACAAGCCTCAACAGGAACAAAACAACCCCCCCAAGCGTCAGCAGACGACCGTCGCCGCCGGCTGATTGTGGATGCCGCCCGACGATCGCTCTATCACTCTATAAGTTCCCTGGGTCTTGCAAAGAGTGGCGAGTGTTACACATACCTGCGCTGTCCGGGTCTCGGCCCTTTGACCAGTGCTGGCATACCAGTTTGCGATTTCCACTGACAAGCAGATCTGATGCCTGACGCATCCTATCGCTTCGCACATGACCTCGACTTACAGCAGCTGCAGTTGATTATTTTTGCCGTGCACATTCCCAGTCTAGGCGATCATCAGACTAAAGAAGCTGCGGAAACACCGAGGCAAGTCGATCATGAAATCGGACACCCCGTCAAGCCAGTATGCTTGACGCATCTTTTGGCCCAGCGTTGTTCACATTGTCGGATTTGTGAGACGTAGATGGCCTGCCTATCCATTCTTGAAAAGTGTACGATCTTCGAAGCACCTTTTGTCTTCTTCACACACAAGCACACATACCCCAATACCCCTATACTATTCTAGGTTCCTGCCATTTGTTTTCTGTGGCAAACGGAAGGCGTCCGGACCCGAGGGGCATTTCTAGCACCGAGAAGGAGTTTGAGGGGTTCCAGCAGCACCAGACCGCTGCGTACATGCCTGCTAAGGCAGGGCTTGTCGGTATGGAGTCCAGTCTAGCATATGTGTATCTAGCGATTCGGCAGTTTGCCTCGTCCCATGACAGCTTCTTAATAGAAATCGCATTTCGGGGCACAAATGCCCCGGCCCAATAAACAACAGATGAGAACCGCTGGGAGTTGATAATTCTCATGGGTACTTCGCATTGTGGCTTTCGGTATGATTTATCCAGTTGAGAACTTCTTCGACTAACATGTGTTATCACCTCCTGTGTCCTTTGTCGAGGAGAAAAGACTTCAGCGATGAAGAGTTCACAGAGCAAACGAAAAGCTGAGGCGATTATTCCATTGAAAATTCCACTAGGCTCGGATAGAATCCACGACACCCTTTTTTGATATTTAGTAATGTAATGCTGGCAGTGTTTTGGAGATTCTTGGGCATCCCCGGTATGTACAATTCATTGTTCGCTATCGTCGCCCTATTCAACGGACAAGTAAGGAACAATGGGTGCCACTCGATCCTAGACATAGGCGTGGCGTCTTCCGCCGTGACCAACTTGATGAGGATCGTGGGCATGCTTCTCTGACCTAACTTCCATAGAATCCTAGTACAGAACCTCGGATGGTCAGAGCCAATATATCTTTCTTTCCCACTTGCCAATCTCCTTCCGTAGCATCAAGGCAGCTCAGTCGTCGTCGTCTCCAATGTCGCTGCCGCTGGACCACCCGTCGTGGTACTCGTCCGCCATCTCGGCCAGGTCGTTGCTGAGGCCCTCGCGGTCGACGAGGCCGATCGACCGCACGACGGTGCCGCGCAGCTGCCGCAGGCGGTCGCACACGGCGCTCTCGGTCGACAGGGCGGCGGTGACGCCGGCGGAGGCGCCCGACGGCAGGGGCCTGCCGGCGTCGCCGTCGAGGAAGATGCGCGGGAAGCTGTCCGGCAGGGGGTACCCCAGGTCGGTGCGGTACCTCCTGCTGAAGCTCTGCTGGGCGTGCCGTCGGCGGATCACCTCCTCCCTATGGTCTGCCTCTGAGGTGGTGGTGGTGGTGGCCGTCGTCGTCTCCGCCGCCTCGTCCTTGATTACGGGGCCGCGGCTGGTCACGACCTGGCCAAAGACCCGGGCCTGCTTGTGGCCGTTTTGTCGGGACGACTGTTGTGGTAGCTCGTCGGGCGGCGAGAAGTCTATGTCCAGGGAGAGGCTCTCTGCGGCTGCGCCCTCCGGATGCGTGTCCCCGCTTACCGCTGGAGCTGCTGGATGGTCATGGGAAGAAGGTTGTAGGCTCATCGAAAGGCTGGCGACTGTCTGCTTGCCCATGACGTTGAGCAGGTCTGTGATGGTGCCCATGGCGTCCCGGTCCTGGGCGTGCTTGAGCCGAGATGGCAGTGTGACGCTTTCGATAGCCGTGGCGAGGAGGGCGGACGTGTGCCACCTTGAGGCGAGGTCTAGGGATATGTTTCGGGGCAGGGGCCTCTCGGGGATGGAGACAGGTACCAGCAGTGAGGCCTGCTTGTATGCCTCTGTGAGAGTTTGCGCCTTGTTGGCTAGCCGGAGGAGCCGCTTCTCTCTGGGAACCCCTCGCAGCGAGTCCTGCAGCCCCCATACCCAGACAGTGGTCTTTCCGTACTCGTCCCGGATGCGCTCCAGGTAGCGGGTCATGAACCCGCCCCAGGCGTCGTCGATGGTCGTCATGATCTGGATGCCCTGCATGTGGTCGGCCTCCTCGGCGAACGGCCTCAGGTCGCGGTCGAGCAGGTCGTGCTCCCTGTCGAGGGACGAGAACAGCTCCTCGCCCGAGGCGCGCTTGTCGAAGGGCCGGATGGCCGAGTTGAGCTCGTACTCGTCGAGCTGGACGACGGAGCGCGGGTGGAAGAAGACGCGGTTGAAGTCGGACCAGTACCGCACCGTCTCGGTGCTGAGGGGCGGCGCCTCCAGCCCGGCGTCGAGGCTCTGCTGGTAGGCGCTCTGCTCTATGGGTTCTTGTCTCTGGACGACGGTCTGTCCGCTCCTGTGTGTGGGAGAGCAAGTCATGAGCATCGGCCGATAACAAAGACTTTCCCCGCATGCTGGGCCACTCACCAGAGAGCTTCCGGCGGCTTATCCTCCATCACGTCGTACAGGGCGTTGATCTTGCGCAACGAACCGAAGCCGCCCTTTAGATCGTATATGACCGTCCTGGGCATAAAAGTCTCGGCGCCATCGGCGCCGATGCCGGGCCGCCAGTGGATGTCATGGTTCACTGGTGATTCTTGATCGGCCGAGTATGTAAAATATGATTCCTGGGTAGAGACACTGATCAATCTTGTTCGCGAGCGGGGTGGTATGATGTTTCTTCTTCATTGCGACTTACTTGTGCGTTCCAGAAATGAGTGGCCAGATAATTGCTCTGCTGCCCGAACTGGAGGGTGATGATCTCGTGCATCTTGATATTTGAGACTTGAGAACTCGGTATTTCGATGACTGCAGCGAGCAAGCTGTGTGTTCTATTGGAACGGCAATCATTCGTTGATGTGGCCTTGGGACTATCAGTTTACCAAAATTATTGTTTGCCCCATGCATATGCGGTCGTTTTTAAAGAATCTAGCCGTATAAGTTGAAGCCTCGAGTTCTGTGATATCCCACTTTTCACAGCTTAAGATGCTGTTCATAATAGCGATCAATTGGTGGATGTTCCTTTGGGTGGAGGGGTTCCCGGCCGGTACGGAGTACATGAGCTGGACCCTGGAGATCCGCGCTAGCGGGGTTCCCGATGATGTCTGCGAACTTATCGAATGAAGTCATTCAAGAACTCGATAAAACTTACTCAGCCTCGAGGGCATCACGAGACCTTCACTTTCCTCTCATTTTTTTTTCTGATACTCGGAGATAAATATCTACCCTATCGCTTCACTCCTTAACGGATCCTGTGGACCGTTACCAATATTATAACAACTTACAGACTTATACGACTGTAACCGCATAAGCATGTCAGCGGCTCTAAGTGCGATCGGCGGAGCCCTGCAGCGGGAATTTCAATCCTTCAAATCTCCTCCGGCCAAGGAGGTTTCCGAGGTCCCCAAAGTCGGCGACCAGGCACCCGTCACGCAGAAGCTACGGTTACCCTCGGACAAGCCTTCCGTGGTCGTCTTCCTGCGCCACTGCGGCTGCCCGTTTGCAGAGAAGGCCTTTAAGCAGCTCACCACACTCTCGTCCCGCCACGCCTCTACGCTCCATTGCGTTGCCGTCTCGCACTCGTCGAAGGAGGTCACGGACAAGTGGATAGTCGACGTCGGCGGCGAGTGGGAGGTTGATGTGGTGATCGACGAGGAGCGCGATGTCTACGCCGCGTGGGGCCTGGGGCTCTCCAGCGTCTGGTACGCCATGGGACCCAAGACGCTCTACTCGGTATATCGAGCCGGAGTCGATGAGGGCATCTGGAATCGGCCCACCGAGAGCGGCAGCCGGTGGCAGACGGGAGGAGCCTTTGCCGTCGGCGCAGACGGCAAGATTATGTGGGCGCACGTCTCGAGCTCAGCCAGCGATGTGCCGGACTTTGAGGAAGTCGCGCGGTTGCTGGAGGGTGACGAGGAAGTCACGAAGCCGTAAGGGCTGTTCATGTGCTGGTTGAAGGGTCGATATGGTTGTTGGTTACCACGAAGGGAATGAATTCTCATTCGAGGAATACGGGTTCGGGCATTCGCAAACCAGACATCACGGATTGATATTGATACCTTGGCTATACTTTTCTTCAGAGCCGTGTTGCGGTCGACCAGACGTTCTCATTTCTTGGTGTGGTGTGTGTATGAATTGTATGAATATAGGGATCAGGATCAACTTTCAGCCTTTATCGAACTCGTTTGTATCTTTACGTGGACTTTGCATCATATGATAGGTACCCAGAGAAACATGCATCACGTCTCATTCCTCAGCCCTGTCAGTTGAGTTCCTGCCTTGCAGTGGAACGTATGAGGTCTTGCTGACCCGTCGGGAGGTACATCCATCCGGCTTGCTTCCCAACAGACAGGATCCGTGTCGCACATGATTTCATCCCTTTCATTGCTTTTTTGCTTCTCGCTTGTGAGAGACAGTAAGGTCTAGGTCGAGGGGAGGAGAGGGAGGGTTCAGATGCCGCCCGAGAGGACTGGCATGCAGGCATCCCTGTTCTCGGATGTATGCATACTTCCTTTACTTTGCTGCACCTGCCCTGGGTTTCCCAAGGGTTGAGAATGAATGAGCTCCCGAGGTCCCTTACGTGCGACAATAGAGTTGGACGGGAAGCTTGCCCCTTCCTTTTTCCCCAGCCAGAGAAAGATTAGAGTGAGCATCAGGGTTTCCATTGACGGGATGGAAGGGGCGAGCATCAGGTGGAAAAGGATGGGGCATGACTGACAGTCACTGACAGAGGGCTCACAGCTCGCCAATCTACGCGCTTGTCTCTGGAGGTACTTTGCCCCTACGTTTTGCTGGGCTGGAGACCCACAGGTACTTGTCAGGTGCTAGTTTAAGAAGGCACGTTCCAATGCGGGTCCCAGTAGCGACGCGGTTTTTCTGGTGAATTTTGGGTAATCGCGATCGAGTCTCGCATTGCGACTTCAATTAAACAAAGCCTTTTGACAAATAAGGTTCGCCTGTGGCCAAAGCCACGACACAAAAGTCAACAAACCCCCTCCAACCCTCGCTGCCGCACGCCCGAAATCCATCTCCGCCATCACATTCGTCTCCCGAGCACGGCGATCCCAGCTGCCCCAGCACCGAGCAGCGCTTTCGAGATCGCCAGTGTTACACCTGTCGCAAAAAAGAGGGCTGCCCTGACTCTCCCCTGCCACGAGTGGTCTGCCCCGCTGGCCGCAATCGACAATTCACCACCACCGCATCCAGGACAAGATATTGGATCTCGAGAACCGCATGCTTCGGTGATATCCAGGCAAGACCAAAAAAAGAAGATGCCTAGTCCAGCCAAGAGGTCTTCACAACGGACCAGGCGCGACTCGCGCAGGGAGCCGAGCACTGATCGTCCCGATACCTCGTCGCCCTCGCGCCCTGCCAAGCGCAGAAAGCAGGTACGAGTGCATGCCTCCGAGCGCTCCGTCTGTCGCACATAGCAGGAATCCATACTAACTGTTACACGCAGATTGAGTCCTCGCCCCACGATACCGTGGAAGAGGAAGGCTCCAGCCTTCTTGCCGACAGCTCAGGAATCAACCTCAACGATGATGTCGTCACCCGAGTCACCAGCCACCTGCACTCGCCAGCCGGCCAGCTCGTACAGTCGAGCCGCGATCACAGCAACGCTATACATGAAGCCAATAAGGAAGGCGTTCAAGCCTACGCCAAGATCGCTGCTTGCGACTGGACATACTACGTCACCAAGCTCATCGTGAATATTGGACGCTCCTCTGAGCCGCAGTCCCAGCAACCCCCTGGCTACGACCCCGAGGACGACGACGAGTACGTCCACATCGATCTCGGTCCCAGTAAAATGATCTCGCGCCAGCACGCTGTGATATTCTTCAACAGCAAGGATGAGGAGTGGGTGCTGACGGTCAAGGGCCGAAACGGACTCAAGATCAACGGTCAGCCCCTGAAGCTCAACGAATCCCAGCCTTTGGTAAGCGGCCAGGTCATCGAGATCGGAAACATCGAGATGATGTTTGTACTTCCTCTTGAAACTGCTCCTCTGCGCATCGACGAGGAATACCTCCGGCGGGCTGGCCTGCCCAAGACTGAATTCACTACCAGCCCGATTCCTGGATCCCGAAATCTACGACCTAACTCTGCCGGCGAATCCTCCATCAACACTCCGAGGAGCACACTTCCCCGAGGCCAGCCATTCCAGCAACCCATAGCGCCTGCACCGCCTGACTATAAGCGACCGGGCACGCCCCCCTCGGCCCGCAGTCGCGCCACCGTCTCCCAGAAATCCCCCCAATTCAAAGAGGCTGGAACAATGCTGATGAACCCCAACGATGTGGACCTGAGTCTGGATGAGAACAAGCATCTCAAGCCGCAGTACAGCTACGCGCAAATGATCACCCAAGCTATCATGAACACGCCTGACGGCAAGCTCAACCTTAGCGGTATATACAGCTTCATCATGGAGAATTATTCCTATTACAAACACCAGCAGGCTGCTGGCTGGCAGGTAAGCCCTTTCCCCTTCTAGACTGTTGAAGATGGATTGGAGTCTCACATGAAGCAGAACTCTATTCGCCACAACCTCTCGTTGAACAAGGCATTCGAGAAGGTGCCTCGCTCTACTGAAGAGCCCGGCAAGGGTATGAAGTGGTACATTCTCCCAGACTACAAGGACGATATGGTCCGAAATGCGTTCAAGGGAGGTCGTGGCGGCCACAGGGGTTCTTCAAACCCCTCGTCACCGAACCAGCTGAACTACGTCAACCAAGGACCTAAGGAGATGGCCGCTCGGGACCATGGTTCAACCAGGAAACGCAAAGTATCACCATCCGGATCACCACAACCTCGCTCCGCCTTACGCGACCCACAAATGACACCGGATCGGAGCTCCCGACGCCTTCTGCCGGGTCAGTCGTCGCTGACGGCCGACGGAAGTCCTCTTCCTCGTTCACGCAAACCTGTCCCAAACAGTGCGCCACCGAGCGAGGCAGACACAGCCCCGCGGTCACCCACACTCGCTTCATCCTACATGCAGGAGGAAGGGTCGTCATTTGTCACCCCAGCGCCGCACCGCGTCCATCCCAAGCTTGCGCCCCCCAGCACAGCCCAGCGACCCAGTCAACATATGCCCACGAGCTCTCCGGCTCCCTTCTGGAAGTATGCTGATATTGGAAGCACCCCCTTGAAATCAGCGCAATTTGATCTCAGCCCTTCGCGACCCCTAGCCGGCCTTGTGCAGAGCAGCAGCCCGCCGCCTGCCGCGAACAAGTCGCCTATTCAGAGCCCCTCGAGACCAAGCCGTGTTGAGCCGCCTCAGCCGGCAGCAGCGCAAGAGGCGCCAAGCGTTCCTGAGGTTGAGGAGGACAGGGGCTTTGACCTGACCAAGTAAGCAGCCATTGTTTGGATTATGCTTGAATTGATATTGACCATCGTGTTTCACAGGGGTTTCCAAAGCATTGGTTCTTATCACGCGCCAGTTGGACGAGGTCTATCTGTGGCGACAGCCATGAACGGCAATCCTTGATTGATGCCTGGTACCAAAAACGGCCTTGACAGATCGAGCACGGGACTCCTTCTGCAAGTCTGTATTCGCACTATTTGGGAGGTGAGACTATATCAGCAGTACTACAGCATAGGTCTAGCGCCTGGAGGGTTGTATTTTGCTTGTATTGAAACTGAGGCTACTGGTCGATGTCTGACTATCTGAGCGAATGAACTATGATTGCCACAAGAACATTGAGCACGGACATATTTGGTGACAGCACAGCAAAAATCTGGAGTGAAGATGTTGTATTGTCATATTCTGACGAACTTGTGAGAGGCAACAACAGCCTAGATTGTACAGATGCTCGGTCTTCCCCAAAGGTGAAGAGAGGAATTAACCGTGGGATGGCCCCCCTTTTTTTCCAAACCAAGAAAAACTCAAAAAAAGGAGTCGCAATGCCTCCGTATGCAAGTGCAGCCACACAATTCTTTTCGAGCAACCAGCTCCCCACCGCCTCCTATAGTATCTGTATATGTATGAGAGTTTGTGCTTTTTTTTTGTTGTTGTGAATGGTACAGTGTGTTTTTGGAAAGACGTGTAAAGATACAACGCCTGAGACGGTGGCAATGGGACATATAGCCCGATGCTGTCAGCAAAGGCGTGCGCAATCTTGATCTTACAGCAGGAAGCTCCAGCTCAGTCCCCTCCCGACAGCGCGCCACGAGGTACTTTCATCGAGAGCCTATGCCTTGACGGCGTCGCTGCCGCCCCGGCGCTGCTTGGGGTTGGCGCGGCCGGGCTTCTTCTTGCTGGCGCCGCTGGCGCCGGCGCCCTTCTTCTTCTGGCCGTCGGTGCCCTCGATGAACTTGATGAGCTCGTCGATGGAGCGCGAGTCCATGCCCGAGGCGCCCGGGTGCGACGAGGCCGGGAGGGAGGGGCCCGAGGCCTCGGCCCGGCCGGCCTTGGAGGCGGCCTGCGGCGTGGCGCCGAGGGCGCCCGAGCGCGGCGTGAAGCGGATGCCGGCGCGCAGGCGGCGGGCCTGGACGTCCTTGGCGTGCTTGGCGATGGAGACGGCGTTCTGCGTCAGCTGCTCGAGCCAGCTCTCGGCCTCCTTGGTGTTCTTGTCGTCGGGCCCGAGCTCGGCGAGGAAGATGTTGTACGACTCGCGCATCTTGGCGACGGCGCCCTTGGAGTCCTGGTCGAGGGCGAGGGCCTGCGCGAGCTGGAAGAGCAGGGTGGCCGAGTTGACCGAGGCGCGGCCGAAGACGCGCTCGCAGATGCGCAGCGACTCCTCGAACCAGCGGCGCGACTCGTGGTAGTTCTTGGTGTGCTGCAGCATGACGGCGGCGTTGTTGATGGTCGTGATGGTGTCGGGGTGCTCGGGCCCGTAGATGACCTTCCACAGGTTGAGCGCGTGCTTGGCGTACTCGAGCGCGAGCGCGCTGTCGCCCTGCTGGTGCAGGAAGAGCGACAGGTTGAGGTAGTCGAGCAGCGTCTCCTGCGAGTCGACGCCGACGGTGCGCTCCGAGACGATGATGGCCTTGCGCGCGAGCTCGACGGCGGCGTCCTTCTCGTCGAGCTGGTAGTAGAGCATCGACAGCGTGTGGTAGACGCGCGCGACCTCGGGGTGCAGGATGCCGTAGATCTGCTCGTGCAGGGACAGGGACTCGAGCAGGAGCTCCTGGCCGAGTTTCCTCTGGTTCTGGGCTATGGAGATCCGGCCGGCCTCGAGGGCCTCGTCGGCCAGAGCGCTCCTGGGGCACGAGTCCTTGACGATGGGGACGACGTTGACGATGTCGTCGGGGGTGAAGGTGTGCGGCACGACGGTTGAAGAGGCGATCGAGGCGGGCGAGCCGTCACGAGCCTTCTTCTTCTTGTTCTTCTTGGCCCCCTCGCCGTTGGAGTTGCCGTTGACCCCGTTCGCCTTGGGCTCGGGTGCGGGGGCCTCGGCCGCAGCATCCTGAGTGAAAGCGAAGGTCTTGGACTGAACCTGGACACCGAGCTTGAGGCAGATCTCACGGAGCAGCTGCAGGTGCTTCAGGTCGGCGTGCCAGTCAGCCGGCAGCTCGAACCGGAAGCGGTGAGAAACCTCGGCCTGAATGGAGTCCCTCAAGCTCTCGGGAGAGACGTTCTCAAAGGCCAGGTCTGTGTCATCGTACAGTGCGCGAATGGACTGGTCGATATCAGCAGTGGGCTTGGGGTTGAGACCAACACCGAGCAGGCAGTTCAACAGATGCGAAATGCACGCCGAGGTCAAAGGCAATGGAAGGTAGCGGAGGTACTTGGCGGACACGTGCTTGAACGCACGAGAGATCATCTCACGCACGCAGACCTCGCGGAGGCATTGCAGGCGGGGCTCTTCGCTCAGAGAGGCGACCTTGCCCATGTACCGCAGGTTGATACCGCGCTTGTGCAACAGCTTGCTGAGTGACCGGCCATCCATAGGGAAGCTGATGTCGGACTCCTTCAGTTCGTTGAGAAGCTCGGGGATGGCAGTCTCACGAAGGAACTTGCATGCAGCCCGGACATCCTCCTCGTCTGCCTTCATTTCCTCCTTCTCCTCCTCGGTCTGAGGTGCCTGACCGCTGAAGACGTCGGGGTTCAGGGCGAACTTGAACTTCGACATGTCAATACGGTCCTCTTCCTTGTTCTTGTCGGCATCTGCAGCCTCGTCGCCTTCGGTCTTCTCCTTGGCCTCCTCTCCCTCAGCCTTCTTATCCTTGGCGTTCTGACCACGCTTCGCAACTTCGGCGTTGACCCACTCGCGCATCTTGTGACGGGTGAAGAGCTCGACAAGCTCAGGGCGGAGAACGGTCATCCTGTGGGGATACTCATCGTCGGAGGCAGCATCATCCTGCCAAGAGATATCCAAAGGTGTGATCCGGTAGAGGTCGAGCACATATTTACGACCATCGGTGCCGAGGAGACCCTTGGTCTCGACGCTGCCCTCCAGATCGAAGCGCTTGCCGTCCTTGTCCCAGACTGCGTGCTTCTTAACCCTCAGCGCCTGCGACAGCTTCTCGAACTGAGGAACGAACTTCTCGTCAGCTGCAACGACGTCTTTACCGTCCACTGCGCCGTAGTCGATCTGGTTCTCGCCTGGCTCCCTCTGCTTGAAGATGCCGGGAACGATGCTCTGACCGACAATGCGCTTGCCCAAGTAGTCCACAACCACGGTGCCGGGAGTGTAGAGTCCGTCGATATCCAGCTGGTTCACAAGCTTCACGCCCGCGACGTCCTTGCCAGTGGCGACCCGCGCAGCCTCGTCACCGCCCTCAGAGGTGAAAGTGCCGACGCCATCGGCGCCAAAGGAGAAGAAGACATTGTTGTAGACAAAGATCTGGGCATCTCGTCCCTCGGTGGGGTTCAGAGGTGCTACCTCACCCCGGGCCACCAGAACCGCGCCTCGAGCAGCAGCGTCATTGTAATCCGCAAAGAGCTTCGAGATGAGGCGCTCCCGGAAGACGCGGTCTTGAACACCGTCCTTGGGCAGTTCCTTGGCTGACTGGAACTCCTCGTTCCAATCCCTCAGTGTGTCGGTGTTCTCAACACCGGAGATGAGGTAGGACTCTTGCGTCCTTGTGATATCGGAGCTGTGGGAGCAGATGGGAGAAGAGGATTGAGGTACAAGCCAGGGAGCAGCGGGAATGGCATTCGTTATTTGGAAGCTGGCGAGAAGCTCCTTGCTGCTGTTGTATTCTTGGAGCTGCGTGAACGACTCGCTGAATGAGGGAGAGATCTGGTCAATCAGCTTGAGGAGAGAGTGTGCCGAGTAAGCCTTGGGAGCTGGCCGTGGGAAGGGGTCAAATTTGCTGTTGGAGGACTTGTTAACGTAGAAGCCGCCGACATGGCTGGTGATCTGGTATTGCTCGCCCTCATTGGTGGTAACGATCAGGTACAGCAGGTGGCCCTTTTGGCGCAGATGTGCGGGTGGAGGGTTCCAGGGTGATAGTGATATCGCCTTGACGGTCTTGGGCGCGGGTTCGCTCTCCTGGGGAAGCAGAGTGCTCAGCTTGGGCGCAGCGGTAAAGTCAAATTCCTCGGCAGCCTCGGCAGTCTTGCGAGCCTCCGCCGTGACATTGTCGAAGAGCGACAGGCCAGGCAAAATGCCTTGGATGGTGTCTGTCCGATCACCGGCAGCTCCGATGAGCTCGCGGACTCTGACCAGATGGATGCGGGCCTCCTTTTCAGTGTAGGGGTCCTCGACCAGGCGGATCTCGGCATCGGGCCCAATGCCCTCGATCTCGGAGATCTGAGAAAAGTCGTTGATGCGCTGGCCTTGGTGTTCGAGGTGGAAGCAGGAGTACTGGAGGGCGGAGGGGAGCTCGATTATGGACTGGCGAATTTCGTGGACTTGCTCGTGGGGAGAGACCTGAAGGGACAATTAGCTCACACTCCTGGCGAGATTGGGAGAGGTAGGCAAGGCCGCACCATCAGCTGAAGCTTTTCGGAGGAGTTAGGGAGAGCGATGGACAGGACGAACATGGCATCTGGATGTGCTGTTAGCCTCAAGCTTTGGTGGCTGCAGTATTGCGCCGCATCGCGTGCGCATGCAGTGGCGTGAATAGACATACCTTCAGATGCTTGCTCGGCGCCATCCTCGGGATTCTGGTCCTGCTCTGGCTGGTCCTTGACATGCTGTGCCACTGAAGAAGAATTGGTGTTAGCCACTCTTGTCTTGCCAGTATTCCGGACTTCTAGCAGCCACACACCAGCCTCAGAGGCAGTCTTGGAGCTATCTTCGACCGCAGCCATCGTGACGCAAACGACTCGCAACTAATACACACGGGTCGAGAGAGGGGCGTCGAGTATTAAAGAAAGTCTGGCTGGTGTGACCGAATGTCCCGCCAGAGCCAAAGTATAAGGTATCGTACAATTCGAAGCGAGGTCGAGGGTTACGAGGGCGAGTAGGAGAGGTGTCAAAGGGTCGCGAGGGCCAACCAACGCCGGCGCAATTCGAGACTTTTTTTGCTAGTATACAACGGCGCAACCAAGCTTGGGGAAAGGAAAGGCGGGCACCAATTACATCAAATGTTATACAATGGAAGAATTGGTAGCAGGAAAAAAGGCAGAGGGTGAAAATGGACAAATTCCCCTATGTCGTGTTCGTGTGGTGCAGCAGGTCAGGTAAAAGAAAGTTATTCGACATTATGACTTGGTCGATTTTTTTTCTTAGCAGGGAAAATGATGCATGAGCCCCCGGCCTAACGGCAATGTCCCGGCAACTTGCGGAGGGCCCTGGCTGCTGGCTCTTCAGCCCGGTGCTTCAGGTACTGGCTACTTTCGCCGAGCCGCCATTTGCAGGGCGGGACTCGCTGGTTCTCGGGCTCTTTTAGGGGGGCGACGACTGGCGGATGCAGGAATTGGCATGACTAACACCCAGTGGAGTTCAGTGTTGCCCAGAGCTTCAAGTATGCGGTACTTCCGAGGGCTCGGGAGCTGAGCTACCTTACCTTAGGTAGATACTCGTACGGCTCCTTGGGAAGCAATTGCACGCGAGCAGCGGAAGAGAAGAAAATAGGAGATGCCAGAGCGCTAGGATTAGGATTCATGCCCGTATATCTCCTATTGCAGCATTGATCACTTGGGGCGCTCTGTCGCAGGGCTGTGGACACAGCCATGGGCCCCGTAGAAATCGATTGACGTCTCGCATAAAATCGGCGTCGGTGTCGGTACCTGCCCTCGGCCGACGACGGCTTACAATTCATTGTTTGTTCCCTGCCAAATTCCTTATCTTATCACCCCAAACTGGCAATCAAGTAAACAAATGATGTACCTCAACTACAACCTCATACCGAATATCTCACGTCTCACAGTATCCTAGCTATCCAGCATTTCAGAAGATATCATCAGCTTTATGCGCAGTATTGCTTCTGCTTGAATCTCCTCTCACAGCATTTTATGGAGCTCCTTGGGCAACGACCTTTTCTTTCACCAAGAGAGCCGCTCTTAACGGAAAGCATGCCAAATCTAGCAGCATAACATTTGCAAAGAACCATCCATTGCTACACTACCGCCTGGCTTTTCCGGGCTTATCTTGCATCTATTATTCCGATGAGGATCAATTATGGATACAGGCATTGCTTACACGTCTTTGTTCGGCGTTGGGCTCGGTGCGGCTGAAGCTCAAGAGCACATCCGCCAGGAGGGAAAGAAGACGAACCCGACGACCAAACCAGAAACACCGCAGCCGTGGACCGCCACAAGATGTCATCGCCTGCTACGCCCGCTACTCTCCCATGTTGCCGCACTCAGGAAGGAGGTTTCTCGTAAACCCACAGATCCGGCGCCAGACACAAGCAGCGCCAATTTGAAGCGGGCAAATCCAGCTCGAGACGAGCCACCACCACGCAAAAGGCTTCGTTACACGTACTCTTCAAGGACATCCCGGAAGGAGCGACATGTCCAGGTTCGCGTCATCACCGGCAATCCCAGTGTCTCCAAAAATCGCAGTGCTACAGGTCCAGACCTTCGGGACACGATCTTACCGACGCCGGTGGTTCGCAGAGTCAGAGGACAGCTCGTCTCGTCACCCATTCAGCCAAGCACTGCCTCGACTGGTGCCCTTCCCGATCAAGGAGCCAAACGTATCTACTCAGGCTTGTCGGCTCGGGATGCGTTCCAGGCTGAGCTCTCACAGCTTCGGAAGCAAGTGTCCTCTTCGAAATATTCTCTCTATGAGTCGATATTCAGAGCTCTGGAAGCTCTGCTACGGACGACGCGGCAACAAGATTCAGCACCGAGATCAAAATCACTCATGAGCATGTGTCTGCGCAGAGTCCCCGACCTCATCACGGAGCTCGAGCAATGGGAACAGGAGGAGGCGGAAGCCAATGGTACCAAGTCCGCCATCCTCAGCTCAAAGGTGTCGTCTGAAATCTACGAGGATCTGGAATCCATGGGGGCAGTGAACGGTTGGAGTCACCTACGAAATGTTGTTCGGGGGCACGGCACCAGGATCATCAAGGATGCGATAGCAGAGGGCCTGTTGAATTTCACCTTCTGCAAGCTGCTCGTCAAACTCTGCGAGAATTCGGCTGCGTATATCGAGGCAGAAACTATCCTTGAAGCAATGGCCAATATACAGTATCCCGAACCCTCAGCAGCTGAGAGCACGTTCAGCAAGGCTGGGCCCATGGCACCGCTGCGCGTCTTCATCGACTATTCCAACAGCACAGGCCGGCGAGCTGCTCTATTCAGAACTCTTGAGCAACTTCTCACCACCGGCCTGATACCGGCTACGTGGTTAATCACACCGGCATTCGCGGCTATCTGGTCTATCGTCGCACGAGCGCTTACAACTTCTTCAACCTCTCGAGAGGCAATCAGCTTTGCAGCAACAATGCTCTCCATGCTGACAGCACAAAACCCTAGTATCGCTACGGCGCTGACCAAGAAAGACCCCAAGCTTGTTTCGCGACAAGTCTTGACGGCTGCACTGGCATTGCTTACTTCGATGGTCATACTCGGACAAGAAACCCTAGTCGAGTATCCCGAGATCAGGTCAAGTCACAAGATCCAGGCCATTTCCAAACGGGTACTCTATACAATCCAGACGAGCTTGAGCGATACAAGCACCCGGAGGCGAGAAGATATCAAAATCAAGCGGTATATCTTACATCATTGCTTATTCTTTATGAGACACCCAGCACACATCAGTTTGGTCACACACGACGATTCATACAGCAAAGTCATCCACAGATGCTGGGAGGAGGCATTACAGGAAGGGACTGCTGGCAGTCGCTGGACGCAGCGGTATGATGCAGTGATAGACCTGGTCAGCTCTATTGCAAACTGCTGTGGACGGGCGTCATCAGCTACGTCCGCACATACCTATCTGGCACAAGTCTGCACACGTCTCACTAGCATAGCAGGGCTTGATAACCATCTCAAGCAGTTACGTGCAGATGCGGCCTTCTCCCTTGCCGACCGGACTGGGGACATGAGAGATCTTGCATTCGCTGAGGGTTTGGAAACGAGGAGAACTCCGGCGCGTTCGAGGGATGACAGGCCACCGAGCTCTCGCAATGCACTCTTTTCGGGGTACCGCTGGGAAGGAGGGCTTAGTGAATGGGTCACAGCCACTCCACTGGTCAGGAAGACGAGTATTGTGCCTGCGCGAGCATTATGCCAACTGTCTCCGTCCTGTAGCAGCTCGGAGCATTCTGTGGCAGCAACTCCACGAAGTATGCAGAAGTATGAAACCGAATCACCCTCGGCCTCTCTTCAGGACGACAATGAAATATCGGATGAGGAGGATGGTCAAATCAGCGCCGCTGATAACGGTTCTGATGATGACGACGACAGCTCTGCGACGGAGGATGAGACGACGCAGAAGCATCAGACAGGGAGCCGTCGTCATGCCCCGGTAAGTCGGCCGCAGAGGCAGAAGCAGACACGCATGGGCAGCACGAGAAGGTCGGGCGCAACAGGTCTTTTGAGTCTACTCCCTGATGACGAGCTGGGCATGGAGCAGGAGAACCGCTATCATGCGGCCAAGAAGCCCAAGAATCAGGCAAGCAAGGGCCGTCAAAAGCTGTCGTCGCTGCACGCCAAGAGCCGCCCTCCCCTCAGGAGCTTGAGCAACCTGGTTGGCGGCGACGGCCAAGACAGCGATGACGAGCTGGGGATGTGAAGGGCGGCAGTAGACCCCATGTACAAGTAGAATGGAAATAGATCACGTTCGATCATCATAGTGATGGATATGGTTCTGGAACGTGAATCATCAATCCTATGTATACGCTCGTTTCGTGGACCGTGAGAAGAACCCTGGGAGGTGTATCAAGACTGTGGGTCGTTGCCATACAAACAGATAACCATTGCCGTCCATAATGTGGCCGAGATGTGTCAGGGGGGGGGGGGGGCAAGAGTGCGGGCGAGGAAGCTATTTACGACGTACGGAGTAGTAACGGTGTCTGTGCTACGGAAAGTCGAGCCGATATTGAGCAAATTTGACGGCTCCAACCCTGAGAAGATCATTCATGCAACGCGCTCGGCCACCGCCGCCTCGTGGACCTTGTCACTGCTTGAGAGTTGCAATGTCAAAGCAGCCGTCATCGACTATGCATGAACGCTGCCAAGCCCAAGCAGATAACCCACACGGCCGTTTTCTTGGCTCTATGTGAACAGGCAATTTACCTGATGTCCTAGCGTCTTTGCAAATGACTTCTCATCAAGTGGTCTCCCTCGTTTAAAGGGCATCTTGCTCGTAACGCGGTCCATAGCGAGCCTTTTGGCTTTTGCTCATCTGGTAGCCGCCCATCAACTGAACGAGGCTTGCCCAGACATTGAAAACTCCAAATACTGAAGCAAACCACTTGTCAAGCCTCTGCGGTGTGATTACCGATGTATTGGGCCGTGTTGCCTGTTTGGTGGATTTCCCGAAACGGCAATGTTTCAAGACTGTCACGGGTGACGCAACAGCCCAACCACGTTTTTTTCTTCATTTCCCCAGAGGGAATTGACTGCAAGGATTAGAGAGCCCTGGCGAAGATCACTTTGTTTGCAAAGAAGAATAGGGATGGCTGTTCGTCCCCAAGTGACCAAGTCACGATCAGACTACTAGTTGACGGGCTGGCAACAGAAGTACTCCACCGTTTTATCAAAGCCGTCAATGTTAGGTTGTGCTTTACCCTGTAACGTGGTATCTCCTGATGAATTCCCTTGCACTATTCTGGAGCCTGCTTGCGTGCTTCCCTTCCCCAGCCAACCCAGCATATCGTAGGACTGAGTGGACATGGCTACGGTTTCTTTACAGCTGGGTCGCGATTGACTGGCCGTTTCGGGTATTCATGCCTGTCGAATGTTGACAGTAGGCTTGGCGTTTGGCAATCTGTTTGGTACGGGGATACTCGTATATGCAGCAAGGTGAGGTATCCGGGGTTGAGAGCCTTGTGGCTTGGTTGTGGCCAGAGAACAGGTCCAGGATTGAAGCCATGATAGTCCTGGTGATGGTTCTGAAGCATTCCAAGCGCTGATGGTAGCGGCCTTGGGCGGTGCGCGTGATACAGACGGCCAGCCACTGCCGAGCATTCCAAAGCCACGCACTGCCCTTGGACGTGACCTCATGGCGCTACCTACTTCCAAGTCAGCCAGTCCAGCTTCGTTCAAGACTGTGCAATTGCTGGTGCAAATCCGAATCAGAGCAGGAGAGATCCTAATTACCCTCAGCAGAGGTCAGACCGTTACTTTCGTCATAAATGCAAGGCTGCCCCCTATTCCCAGCGCGGATCCCTCCCCGTAACACTCTTAGCGGCGGCGGCCGAAGGCGTTTTGCGGGCTCCCCCCCAAGCGGGCCCCTGGCCAGGCGCCCGCCGTCGCCACATCGATCTCGTTGTGCCTGACAGTGTCACTCCGAATCTGCAAGTACACGCAAAACCACTGGCTGTGAGCGATCCATGGACCGTTCCGGACTCCCGTCCAGAAAAGCCCCAGCGTTTGCGTTGGTGGGGTCCGGGCCACCCAGCAGGTCAGCCACACGCCCAGACCCCTGTCAGGCTCCAGAGGCCGCTCGTTTCAGAAGTCTGGTCCCTGGCCACTCAGCGGCCAGAGGTGCCCGACCCAGCCTAAAAGGCCGGGACGACGGAGGAGGGACGGAGGCCGCTCATTCGCCCGGGGTGGTTTTGAGATGCCAAGATTTTTCCGCCGAGATGGACGCATGAACCAGGACAGGGACTGTGGGTGCGAGCTCGACCAGTCATGCAGAGCAGACGCTTGGTGAAATATTTTTCCTTTTCTCTCCATGTCGTGAGACCTCCGTCGGAGCAGGGGAAAAGCAAAACCTGCAAGTAACTAACTAGACGGCTGGGCATATGCTGGGCAGGGGGGGCCTGGAGGTGGCTAGCAAGGGATGGGAAGATCGCCATCGAGGGCAACGGATCCCAGTGGAGAGGTGATATCGTGACCTCGTACCGCAGACTCGGTGCGGCAGTGGCCATGCATGCCGTGACTTTTCGTATGCCGTGAAGGATCTCTTTCCCCGTCAATGCACGAGTCCAGAAGAGCCGTGATCCGATTTGATAGAAGGTAGCCGACCTTCTTTGCCTGGGCGATATCGATCATATTCTCGGTAGATGGCACATGCAATAAGTCGGCAGCAAGAGCAACTATCGTGGAGGCCTTGAAGTGATGTGCTTGGATAACTGAGGTATATGTACTTACAACGGGCTCTCTACTTCCTCCTATATCACTGCCCCCCTGCAAGTGTATGTTGGGTCATTAACTGTGAAACCGTGATCCTCTACCCGGACAGATGTTTATTTGACCTTGTATCTGGATTTTCCTAGTTGTACTGTACAATATGAAGGAGCAGGTCGACAAGGCCGATGAACATTTTCAACAAGCACAAGGATAGACGAGACGATTCGTTCGCTGTTTCAGTCAAAGTGGTGGGAACCCGCTGCCCAGAGTGCCTAGTACTGCACTTTTGAACAATAATGGGAGCATTTCAGTGGGCTGCTCCAGATTTCAATGCACCAAATAGACTTGCAGACAGCTGTAACACGCGGCTCCACCACCCCCAGCGAACCCTCTAATTCACCCGAATCGTATGGATCAGTCACCAACACCCAGCTCATCAATGATTGCTGGGCGTGCGCTGGAGGCCATTCAGGCCCTACCATTGTAGCAGTTTCTGGCGTCTGTCCCGACTCCCCTGCCCACCCCAGACCACTCGATCAATCTATCAGGGCAAGCCGTTCATATATCTGCTTTTCACTTCTTATGCCGCTCTCTCACCTCACCTCCTCCCTTCTTCCTCACGCTACCCTGGTGGATTGATCTACGTGAATTCCCTTCTTTGGCCTTCCTCTTCGTCCCTTCGGAGGCTCTTCATCCTCTTTTTCTTCTCTTCACACGCTTTCCCAAATAGGGCACTCTCCATTCATTCACAGAGCTGCTTCTACCTTTTCCTTTCCTATCTCAAGGCCAGCCTGTTTCGACACTGACCAAGTGACAGCCGACCTTTTTTGTTCTTGCTCTTGCTTGTCGGAGTGCCCAACTTGGCCGGGTGTTGCTCTTTTGAACGCTGGACGATCCAACAGAGAGCTTCGGCTTGGCACGCGACAGATCCTTGGTCCCTGACAGTCACCACAGGGAGATCCATTCACTCACTACCTTGCTTGGCGGCTTGATCACAGGATGAAATCTTGAGCAGCGTTGTGTCATTACCAGCCTTCTTTCTCTGCTTCCTTCACTCGGTGTGAACCAGGTGCTTGGTTATTTTTAGGGGAAGCCATATACGACACTTCGCATTCCACATTCCAGCCGACCACCTGAGAGGCGCCTTCCCGATCTCACATTCCATATCCCTTGCGTGGATCTTGCGCCACCACATTACTTCCGCCTGTCGAGATATATACCCTGATTGCCTCAGAATATCTCCCGGCAGTGTCTCGGAAACCATCCACCACGACACCAATTTCAGACATCACGACGTCTCACAGCAACAATGTCGGCCCTTGCTGGCAGGGACGGGCACGGCGCTGAGAGTCCCGAGGAGCAACTGGAGGCCCTCAATGAAGAGTTGGAACATGAGCGCCTGTCCTACTATCTCTTCATCATATGTGGCGCCCTGGCGGTCATGTTCATCATTTGGAGGATCGTGACAGCTCTGGTCAAATATGTGCGGACAGTCACCAGTCTCAGCAACGACTCTCAACGATATTTTGCCATACCCGACACCAGATTTTCCTGGCTCAAGAGAAACGTCATCTACGCGCCACTATCCAGGAAGAGACACAACCGTGAGATTCAATTCAGCTCTGCGATCAACATCGGAACCTTGCCTACCCGATTCCAGTTCGTCCTCCTGGTTGGATATTTCGCTACCAATGTTGCTTTTTGCCTCGTCGACATCAAGCTGCACGCCAACTTCAGCAATGCTGCTTCCCAGATTCGCAATCGGACAGGTGTTCTGTCTGTTGTCAACATGGTAAGGTTGCCCATACTTCCCACTTGACCCCTTGTATCTCCTTGCTGATGTTGTCTAGATCCCTCTGTTTCTCATGGCCGGGCGCAACAACCCCTTGATCAAGTGGCTGAACATCTCGTTCGACACTTTCAACTTGCTTCACCGGTGGCTTGGTCGAATCGTCATCCTCGAGGCTCTTGCTCACACCTTGGCTTTCTGGGCCGGCGCTTCCACCGAGGGAGGCTGGGCAGCGGCAGTGGGTATAACATTCAAGGTCAGGTACATGGTGTTCGGGTTCATTGTGAGTCTGACAGTTCCTGTTGTCCTTAATCAACAAGCTAACGTAGCAACTCGAGGCAACATGTGCTTTCGTGCTCATTGGCATCCAAGCTAGTAGTCCTATCAGGCATGCTTTTTACGAGACCTTCAAGCTTCTCCATATCGCCCTTGCCATCCTGGCTGTCATTGGAGTCTGGTACCATCTTGACATCAAAGGCCTCCCGCAAATCAAGTACTTGTACTTTGTTATCGCGTTTTGGGGATTGGATCGGTTTGCCAGGGCGGTCCGCGTCGCATATGCGAACGTGGGCCACGGTGGCACGAGGACCCTGGTTGAAGCTCTGCCAGGCAACGCATGCCGAGTTACTGTCACCATGGCCCGGCCGTGGACCTTCAAGCCGGGGCAGCACGCCTACCTGTACATGCCCTCTGTCAGTCTGTGGCAATCACACCCCTTCTCCGTCGCCTGGAGCGAGGAGGCGGAGGATCCCGACTCGGAGAAGCTGGCCATGAATAGACAGGACATCCTCGCGCGGAGAAAGAGCAGCATGTCGTTCATCATCCGGGCCCGGACAGGAATGACCAGCGCCCTGTACAAAAAGGCGGCCGAGTGCAAGGACGGCAGGCTGTTGACCCGCTGTTTCGTTGAGGGTCCTTACGGCGGCTTGCACAACATGGATTCATACGGAACCGTGATGCTCTTTGCGGGTGGTGTCGGCATCACTCAGGCCGTGCCTCACGTTCGCGACCTGGTGATTGGATACTCCAACAACACGCTGGCTGCGCGCAAGGTCGTTCTGGTCTGGATCATCCAGACGCCGGAGCACCTCGAGTGGATCCGGCCGTGGATGACGGAGATCCTGGCCATGGAGAAGCGGAGAGATGTCCTGCGCATCATGCTCTTTGTCAGCAGGCCGAGGTCGACCAAGGAAATCCACTCTCCTAGTGCGACAGTGCAGATGTTTCCTGGCCGGCCAAATATCGAGACGCTCCTTGCCATGGAGATGGAGAACCAGGTTGGCGCTATGGGCGTATCCGTATGCGGACCGGGCGCGCTGAGCGATGAGGTACGGCGTGCGGTGCGCCAAAAGCAGTACCAGGGCACGATTGATTTTGTAGAGGAGGCCTTTTCCTGGTGAGCGGGTCGACACTTACGCTTCCGTGCCCTGTACTATACGACGATGTCAGTCATTTCTGCTTGTACATATTATTTGGCGAAAGATTTTTTTTTTAGAGACACGAACCATACGGTCATTACTGCATATTGCATGGCGAGAGAGCTGCCAGGTATAGAACCTGGGTTGTTGCTTGGACGTTTGCTTTGCTTCTGTTGGGACGGAGCAATATGGCGAGACGACGCATAGAGGCTGTAGAGACTAGGTAGTTTGATCAAACAGACTGTCATTCAAGGTCCTGTACAAAGCGCTACCCATCGGGTGTGTGACTGTTGCAAGCTACCTATGAAATCGTGGCCCCAGTGCTATCTGATCAGCCCTGGAGGTCTCTGGAGGTGGTATAGGCCTGGATGTGCCGGTGGTCAATTGCGTCGATATGTGTATTTGGAATGAAATTGCCTGCTTGGAGGTGCACTTCTCATAAACAGAATTCCTAGATTTCAGGTTGCGGTAACCTACAAGAATGGTTGGATCATGGCTCTTTCAATACATGCACTCTGCACCACAGAGTGAGTTGGTTAATAGCCACTTAGAAGGAGTGGAGACTACATTCCACTTGGGCGGATGGTCTAGGGGTATGATTTTCCTTTCGCATTGACACCACTTCAATACATAGGAAAGGTCGTGGGTTCAATTCCCACTTCGTCCAGCACCTCTCTTTTTGCTCGCACACCCTCCCTCCGTAGGGAGTGGGAGTGGTGGCAGCCACAGACTATGGGATACCTACCTAGGTACCTATACCTTAGTTATCCCGTGAATGTCTACTTGTATCTTTTTGCCTCAAACGAGGACTATAATAGAGGAGCTCATTATTGTCTCAAGCATCTGCTGCTGCAGGCCGACCACAGGTGGTGCTTGGTCGCTGTGGCACTACTCTATTCGGATTAGGTTAAACACTGCACCACCTAGGTAGGTGCCTCACTCGACATTGACCTGTCACGCCTAACTTTATCTAATCAGCGCTGCTGCAATCGGACCCGGCCGTCAGACCAACGTCGTCTTGTGACATGGAATCTCTCCCCTCTGCACGAGTGCCTTGGACACACACACTCCCATTCTTTCTGGCCCCTCAAGAACGTACTCATAGAACGCATCTCGAGACAAGAAATCTCTGCTTCTTGAGAAGATCTTACTGCCCCTTGACTACTCCCGTTTTCTTGTTCCAGTCACCTGCTCCGCACTGACGCCCCGCGCGATAACGGCTCTTATCGCCGGCACTGACGACATCAGGGTCCAGGCCATCCGTCACTCGCCTCGGCGCTGCCTCTCTTCTCCCTCCAGAGACTTTCTCTGACAGACCACATAGAACTGTATTCGGCGGAGGAGAACTCCCACGACAACGCGAAGGCAAGGAGGCACGTCCACAGCAACAGGAGAAAGAAGAACCAAGAGAGCCGGTTAGAACGCCGGTGAATCGAAACGTCATGGGCCTCGCATACAACACCTACCTCAACAGCAACAAGATTTACGGCTGCAAGAGCTGCAAGGCACACCTCGCTAACCACGAGGATATCATAAGCAGAGTAAGTACATAGTCGTTTCCTTCTTTTTCTTCTACGACTACTTCCACTACTACATACACCCTCCCTCCCTCCCTCCCGCAACGCCCGCCTCACACATTGTGAAATGGCCCGCCCGGCGCGCACCCCCTCCCCAATGTACATAAAATCCTCATTCCTAACCACAAACTCCCCCATTTTCCTCCCGATTACAGAACTTCCGCGGCCAGCACGGCAAGGCCTACCTCTTCAACAACGTCGTCAACATCGAGGCCGGCGAGCCCTCGGAGCGCAACATGACCACCGGCCGGCACATCGTGCGCGACATCGCCTGCAAGTCGTGCGGCGACACCGTCGGCTGGAAGTACGACAAGGCCTACGAGCAGAGCGAGAAGTACAAGGAGGGCAAGTTCATCCTCGAGGCCGAGCTGCTGTGCATGGTTGCTTGAAAAAGGGGGGGGCGCGAGAGGAAAAGGGTGGAGGAAGAAGAAGGAAGAAGGGGAAGGAGAAGCAGAAGACGAAGGGAGACGAAGCAGGGAGGAAGGGAAAGCTGCCTAGAGTGACCATGGAGACGACGACGCACGCACGCACGCACGGGTTTGCTGCGTGCTGTCTCTGACGCAACGTCTTTTGCATATGGGATTTTGGAGTTTTGCATTCATGTTTTTTTTTCTTCACTTTTCGTCCCAGAGGGCGTACACACGCAAGCGTTAGCAGTGCTTTTTGAATCATGGGCACGCAAGCCTATCCGGCGAGCGGGGGGAGGCTCGTCTTGCCACTGTTCACCATTAATTTCATAGTCTTGGTAGGTCCGTATCGAGACAATACATCTTCCCGGTAAATTCTTGTGCATGTGCCGTTGCTCCTGTGGCAGGTTCTATTTCGAAGAGAAGAGGGGCCTCATTCACAGTTCGAGAACGTCAGGACAGGAAGCATGCAAAGCTCGTGATAGTGCACAATGCTTCTCACACGGTAGGATGCAGAAGAGTCATACAAGCCTGATAACGTATATATCCTATGCTGAAGCCCCGTGCCAACGCCAATAGAATGCAGAGGTGATGAAAGAAACTATACATGTGCGATCTCGGCCCCGTCTACATGTGCTCGACCGGCTCCTCGGGCAGCAGCTCCTCCACCTCTTCCTGGACCCGCAGAAACTCAAATGGGGGCTGGACGATGCCGTTGAAGAGGAAGGTGAAGTAGACTAGCAGCACGAAGCCCACAACCTGCAGCCACTTGAACGTCTCCCAGCCCAGGCCGAGAGACACGATCCAGATGAAAAGAGTCCGGCATGTGTCAATGGTCGAGCGAGAGGTGGCACTGACGCTTCTGGTCACGGACAAGCCGAAGAAGTTGAAGCCGCTAGATGGAAATCATGGTCAGAACTAGGGGGCTCTCTCAATAGATTTACTAAGGGGGGGGGGGAGGGTGTGTACGTACCCGATGCTGACCATGATCAGCAAGCTGGAGATCAACACCTGTGGGTGCTCCGTCATCTGCCGCCAGCCCTCGACCATGTCGAAGTAGCCGTACCTGCCGGCATCCGTCCGGCCGATGGCCAGGTGAAGAACAACCATGCCAATCACAGTACCGGAGAATCCGAAAATACCCTCCCAGCCGACGACGCGGAGGGGTTCGATGGCTGAGCGCTCGAGGATGTACTCCTCGAGCACAAACTGGGTGGCAGTGAAGATCTGAGCACCAGCGATGAGGAGGACGCCGATGATCGCCCTGACCGCCTCCGCAGAGACATCAGCCGCCTCGGGCTTGCCAGCGCCGGGCGGGGCGGACTTGCTCGACTTGGGGTCGGGCCAGATGGCGCCGGCAAGGCCGACGATGGCCACGCCGAGGACGACACCCATCAGCGAGAGCCACTGGAAGAGGTGGAGCTTGCGGCGGAGAAAGACGACGCTGAACAGGCCGACGAACAAGACGAGGGCACCGCGCGTCATCTGGTAGATGGAGGCAGCAACGAGCAGCAGACCGCAGTTCATCAAGGTAGTGGCGAGGAGGTCCGAGAGGGCCGGCAGAGCGAGGAGGAAGATGCGGAAACCCCGCAAGATCGCCTCATCATGCTTGTTCCTGTTCCCGCTGCCGTTCAGAGCGGTCTCGGAATGTATGCTCGAAGCGTCGGCGTCGGCGTCGGCGTCGGCGTGCTCGTTGGTGTCGACCGGCTGATAGCCTCCCTCGGAGGGCTTCTTAGCGATGTAGCGGTTGTAGAGTTGCATCAGGCCGACAACGAGCCAGCAGCCCATCTCACCGACGAACATTTGCGCGGTCTGGATGACGGGCTGCTCGAAGTGAGCCCGCTTCTTGGGGTCTGGGTCGTCGCAGTTGCGGACACATTGATTGTCCTAGCAAAGGCCATGGCGTCAGCAATGTCAGCGATAGTGTTGTGCGCACAGCAGAGCATACCTGATACTTGGTCAATAGCGTGTTGCACACTCCAGTCAGGAGCATCATCCCCACGAGGAACGGGATGACTGCCTTGACCGCCATGGTTGATGCTGTCGCTCCGCGGTGCGGTGGTGGAGGATAGACAGGTGTGATGACGGACGGAGTTATCGTGGCCGTCAAGTCGAGCACTCGTCAACAGCGGTGAGGGAAGCGTACGGCGAAAGCGTCGAAGAGTTGTATTTGTCTACCACCCACTCCTGATGCAAGAACACGCAACAGAGTCGTCACGTCAACGTGAACCTGTTGGGCCTTTGTTGGAGATGGAGGTTGCAGAGGAGATACTAATGCTGAGGAGGGCGGGCAGCCGCTGTCGGAAGACGAAGCAGCCGCTTGGCTGGGGCGGGCACCTGACCACGGCACCAGGCTGGGGTAGGGGCATGCTGCAGCCTGCAGGTGACACGCTCAGCAGGTTGGATGGATGCCAGCGAGGCTAAAACACCACCCAAGACCCCGCCATGCTATGGGGGTGCCTAACTACATGGAGCGCTCTCCGGGGTCCACAAACTGATAATAGAACAACAGTGTGAGGGTAGGTAGATGCTTTCTTCTTGCCTTTTTCTTTTTTTGGCTGTCGTTCGTGAGACTGATACCTGTGACCGTGATGCTCCTTCAAATCCCCAAGCTCTCACAGCAGCACTAACACCTAGAGATACGGAATCCGCGAGATCATTGCCTGGTAACTACGTGCAGTCATGGCTTGATGTTCATAGCATTGGGCAATATCAGCCTGCCAAACTGATGGGTGGATGGATATCTTGGAATGTACTAGACTTGAGGTCAATCCCGTTCAGACGCCCTAATGTTGTTCGTTCAGCTTATTGTGAAAACAGCCTTCCTGCAACACACTGTGTGTGTTCTGGCAGGATGCAGCCTCTGCTCCGTAGACATCGCAAAAAGGTGCTGGCTCTCCTTGATAGAGGCCGAAGCTTCGGCGGCCTTATAGGGATCCACGATGCGTTCTTTCCTACTTGCCCCCTTAGGCCACTCTGCTTCTCTTCCCATGCCTCATGTTCCAGCAAAGGCAGGCCGGGTGCCTATATGCAATCGAAAGAATGCTGGGAAGACGTCCCGACTAGATTCGCCATGGGTGCCTCATCACATCTACGAGTAATCCTTCCCAAGTCTCTCGAGGACAGAACGAATTATCCTTCCCAACCTGGCAAACATATACGTGGTCTGTGAGTACCTATGGTCATCCGGCACTCTTCCCCCTTGAGCCGGCCTACTTTGTATTGTTAAGACGTTGCAGTAAGGCGGGAGCATGCAGGGGGGCGGGCGAGGGAGCAAGACGACAGGGTAACACCGATCGAGGCTCGAGGGCTTGTTCGGGACAAGGGGCGAAGTTCTTTGAATGATTTGGTTATCATATGCGAGGTAGTTATTTACTGCAAAACGAAGTTCTCGACAACACCCCTCAATGCACCTCACCAGTCGTCAGTCATGAGGCCAATCTAGAAGACCGAACTGTTTTTGAATCCCCCCCCAAAAAAAATTGCATTGCAAAGTCCTAAACCAAACGCTATCTATGGGTATCTGCTTGTGTGCGGAATGCAGTAGGGAAGACATAAAAAAATTAATACGAATCCAAAACGTCTATGAGCCGCCCTTTTTGTGGCCCAAGCCAAACCGCCTCTTGCCCTGGGCCTGGCCCTGCTCCGGGTCCTCGGCCTTCTTCTTCTTGGGCTTCTTGGCCTGGATGTTATTATAGTGGTAGATGCCCTGCGCCTTGTCGCTGGCCAGCTTCTCGCGGTCCTCGTCCGTCAGGGGCACCCCCTCGATGCTCTTGACCGTCTTGCCCTCGAGCATGCTGCCGAACCCGCCGATGGCGCCCACGATGCAGGCGAAGGCGACCAGGAAGCCCGTGGTCCAGCTGGGACGGTCGTATCGGTTCAGGCCCCACATCACGCCGGAGAGGCAGCACTGCAGAAAGGTGTTGCCGATGTTCATCCAGAGGACGAAGTCGAGCTTCCACATCTTGGTCGGGGGGGCGCGCACGCCGGTCAGCGGCGCGTTGGACAGCTTGTTCTCCGGGTAGGGGATGACGTCGCGAGAGAGATCGGCGGGGATGTTGTCCGGCCCGACGTCGACGGGTATGTCTTGCGAGCCCGCGAGGCGGAACCAGCTCTTGTGAATCCCGGCCAGGCGGCGCAGCGCGACGTGCTCCTTGAGGATGCGGTAGCGCATCAGCCAGTACATGTCGCGGAACCTCCAGGGCGCGAGGCCGAAGCCGGTCACGCAGAAGAGGGCGTTGAGGATCTGCGAGTCCCACTCGACCCATTTCCGCCGCGGGGAGTTGATGTCGTTGCAGTCCGGGTAGCACATGGCCGGCGCGGCGTTGCAGAGCAGGAGGAACAGCATGCCGCCCCACGCGACGACGTTGAGCGAGTACAGGACGATCAGGAAGCCCAGGGGCTTGGTCGAGAACTTCCAGAAGGCGATGGCGCCATGCTTCCACGACGTGCCGGTGGAGTACTTGGGGGGGAAGTGGTAGCCGTTGGCGAAGTCGCGAGTCAGCTCTTCGTCCTCGCGGGAGGCACCCAGCGTCGTCTGGTCCGAGGCCGCGGTCGCTGGCTTCTTCTCGCTCGCAGAGGTGCTCGGCGATGCCACGTGGTCGTCGGGATTGCCTTGCTTTGCGGCGGCGACCACCGAAGAGGCGACTTCGCCGGCCGCAGCCCAGGCGCCGGGAGGAGGGTCCGACTGCTCAAACCCTTCCTCGACTTTGCGAGCGACGGGCTTCGATTCATTCGAGTCGGCGGGGGAGAGGTCCGCCATGTCGTTGCGGAAGCAGGCGAAGAGAACGAGGAGTCGGTAGGATGTCGTTTCCTGTCGCAAGACGAGTCGGGGTGAGTGGTGTCTGGACTTGAAGTCGTCCAGTGGAAGCGATTAGGGGCAATTAGATGGCCGTACCGGCCGAGACAGAAACGGATCAAGCCCGCAAATGGCCCATAAAGAACAAAAGGGGCGTGGAATTGAGTAAAGTTTTGGAACAGTGAGAGAGAAACCGGAATTACTCGACCAGACCAGACCAAACTTATGAGAAGAGATGCAGAAAGGACCAAACGAATCGAACAGGCACTGGCACCAAAGCGCCTGATATGGATGTTTTGGGGGAGAGGCGAAAGGGCCTAGAATTACTAGTGCAGTGACATGGGCGCGTGGCGCGCAGGCATTGACTGGGGCAACCAGGAAGATCGAACCTGATTCAGGGCCAGGCGAGATCCCCAAAGCTCCCGGCCGGAGTTTTGCCAGCCCACCGACCGCGAATGCTAGAGTGGCTTTGACGTCACGCTAAAAGCAGGCCGAGCCCCCGACACGATCCTCTTGCACTGGCCAAAAGCCCGCGATGCCAAAACTGCCAGTAATTACGGAGTACTTGTAGACACTCTCAATCTGCAACGGCGCTTTGCCCTGCTCCATCGCTTCCGGCAATTGGGTAGCCCAGGCATCCCGTGTATCAGCGATCCGGCCATTCCTCACCACTCAGATTTGAACGGGATCTTGGAACAATCCCATCCCAGTGCTGGCCGGATGGCGGATGATGTCACCAATGACGACGGCACAGAACCAGAACCAGGCTGAGAATATCCATGGATGTTGAATATGCAGAGGGACCACGCACGCATGAGCCACATGAGCCACCCGCCTGATGGTAGGTAAGGCAGGTAACGCATGCAAGTAGGTAGTGAGGTATCGCAACAGCGTGGTTGCCAATCTCCTCTTCAGGATAGTGAATGTCTCAACTAAGTGTTCGCATTACTCGGAGGATAGCAGAGGCCGTCCGTTTCGAGCCTGCGTTCCCCCCATCAATCGGTGCCGCTCGCATCGTAGCGGCGCCGCCGAAGCCGAAGCACAAGCTTTTAGCTTCTCTCACCCTCCATTCTGCGAGTGTGCTCTAGGCGCGTTGGCGCCCTTTCGGGTCTCAGATGCCCCACTAATTTCAGCCTGCTCCGCGGGCTGCCGGCGCTCCATTCAGCCCGTTTTCCGGGCAAGGGTCCATGTCCTCGAAAAATGCATCCAATGCATGCAGACCTTTTCGGCATGCTCGTTGAATGTGTTCCTGACCTGCCTGATCTGATACGGCACATCCCGTTCCCCCAAAGATCGTCTTTCCGCGTCGAAAAGCTCACCACGAGACTCTAGCGCGCCATGGCCTCTGCTGATCGCCTCGAGGACCTGGCGCAGATTGTGCTCAATAACCTCGAGAACCAGCAGGACTGGACCCGGCTGCAGATTCACCATGGGCCGTCCCACCCGCGGCCCCTGATCTCGGGGCTCTCCCCCCGCCGCCTCTACACCCACCCTGATGAGCAGATTGAGATCCTGAAAGCCGAGAGGCATCTCGGCGGCGCGCGGCTCCCTCAGCCTCCCGAGTTCGAATGGGTTCTCCCCGTGCATCTCGTCGAGAAACCTACAATTGGACAGTTCGCTGCAGTATTCGACTCGATCGACGCATTGCCTCCTGACGCCCTGTCTGAAGATGACACAGCGGCAGAAGGAGGAGACGATGCGGCGGCAAGGTGGAAACAGTGGCGAGGCTCAAAGCGCCAGAAGAGGATAGTCCTTGCTGTCGTTCAGGACGACTCTACCGTCTCTTATTATGTGATGCACGATGGCATAGTGAAGCCGAGGCAGAACTGAAAACTTTTGTCTCTTGCATTTGGCCATTCATCTTTTCCCCAACCATGGTCACAACAACTCTACACAGGCGCACCCAGCTATATACGGTCGTCCGAGAACTACACGCCGACTCACGGTGTGAATACAATTTTCTGCACCTTCATCTTGTCGAAGAGATCGTACGCCTCTACAGCGTCCGAAAGCGGCGTGATCTTCTCAAACATAAAGCTGTGAGAGGACGCGTGAGCTAATTGGCCTCTACGGTTCCAGAACGGGAACTTGGAATCTCACCTGAAGAGATGCTGTTGCTTGGCCAGCACTTTGAGGGCGTCCGGGAAGATGGACCGCACTGGGCACCTTCCCATGAGAAGCCTCACATTTTTGCTATCATATCTATCAGTATGGAGCAGAGAAGCCGTCGGTACTCAGCACGCAATATCGACTCACTTGTATCCGTCATCGCCATGAAACGGGATCTGTGTGACCACAGTCAGTGATGATAATCGAGAGGAATGTCGTGTGGGCTGACTTACTTCGCCGTGGTGGACGCCGATACTGCTGATGACGCCAAACGGCCGGATGAGATCATATGCCGTCCGCATAGCGGGAGTGAGGCCGACGACCTCGACAACCGCGTCGGCCCCCCGCCCCTCGGTCACCTCCAGGACCCGCCTGCGCATGCCTTCTGCGTCCGTCATGAAGTTCAGGGGCTCGGCGCCCAGACCGCGGGCCAGCTCGAGGCGGCTCTCGACGCTGTCGACGGCGAACAGGTGCCTGGGCTTGTACTCGAGCGCGGCGACGATGGCGCACAGCCCGACGGGACCGCACCCTATGACAACCACGGTGGCGTCCGAGGGCCTCTGCGGCTCGATCCACCGGAAGGCGTTCCGCGCGCCGAAGAACCCGGTGGGGAAGATGTCGCCCATGAGGATCAGCGCGCGGTCGTCCACCTCGGCGGGCGCCTTGACGGCGGTGCCGTCCGCCAGCGGCACCCGGACGTACTCTGCCTGGCCGCCGTCGAGCTTGGCGCAGCCGAAAAGCAGGCCGTTGGCGCAGCGAGCCGAGGCTCCGAGCTTGCAGTAGAAGCATTCACCGCTTACTCATGTCAGCAAGTGTGCTGCTTCGAAGGTTGTTTTTTTCCACCAGCTGGGCTCGTACCAAGATGTGGTGAATGGGACGACCACCTTGTCTCCGACCTCGAGGGTCTTGACCGCAGAGCCTGCCTCGACTACCTCGCCCGTGAACTCGTGGCCCATGATGAAGCCGGCAGCGGCATGGGGATCAAGACCACGGTACGTGTGGAGTTCGCTGTGCGCGGCGCCAGGTTAGTGCGGCGTCCACGTCCGGCCGGCTGGATAAGGGGGGGGGACTACTAGGGTACATACGATCCGCAGAGGGCAGTGGCGTGTACTTTGAGAATGACATCCTTCTCGTCTTGTACTACATATCGAAGGGGCCCATGTCAGCAGCCCTGTCCTCGATGGATATACCGTGCACACTGCTCGGGGATGAGGGGGGGGACTCACGCTGAGGCACGGGACGATCCTCGACGGAGACCTTGCGAACGCCGCCGAATACGACGGCCTTCATTGTCTTTTGTGTCGCCATGGCGATGGTGCGTGGGTTGCCGAGCCGTCGTTGTGTTCAGGCGAGGCGATCAAAAAAAAGGGTAGCTTCCAGACTGTACGGGGAGAATCTTATGATCCTTGCTTCTTTCTCCTCTGCTGCCCCTCGATCTGCTGCGTGAACGAATAGGTTGTCGTCTCACAATGGGTCAGCCGCAGAGCCCGTCCTCTGTCGCACAAGCGGGCCTTTCTCCCCGTGTTACTCTGGTATCAGAGACCAAAAAAAAGAAAAGTTGCGGTGATCACGAGATGGGACTCTATGATTATATGTGCTCCCTGAGAATCTTGGGACGGCATGCTATGCTCGTCGAATGCGGCAACTTGCAACAAGTCAGCTGTTCGAAGCCAGAGAAGGTGATCTGAGAGCTCCAGGTGGGGTTCGGGTCGGACGAGACCTCCAAGGCCGCTACTATGCGATGTCGGCCAACTTTCACTGGGACTGTGTGTGCCGGGTCGGTGCTACCAAGCATTGGACCCAGGCCGGCGGGTTCGCCAAGTACCGATCGTTGCCCGCCGTCCGAGGCAGAGCAACAGCGAACTTATTGAATCGGCAGGGAAAACGCACCACTCGGCCGATCAAGTCTATCATGCATGTGGCGGGAGAGATAGGTAAGGCGCGGCGAAAGACACAAATTGTCTCCAGCTACAGCCAGCTAGACTAGTAACCTCATGATGTCTCAACCACAAACAACCCACTGTGACTCCCCATGTCCCATCCCCCAGGATTTTCCTCAGAATCATTCTTCGGGGCGTTTTAGCAAGACAAAAATAGCCTAGACTGTGTTTGTCGGTTCTACCTATGTAGGCATGCAGTCAGTTAATCCCGTGCACTCCTGGGCTGGGACAAGCGGGAAGGAGATGGGCGGAAGGGCTGGGGAGACATGGGCACGAACGTTTGGTGCGGCACAGTCTCCCTTGCCTCGTTTCATCTCTCAGACCCTGCGGCCGCGGGATGTCTTCCACGTGTTGCACACATCTTCTTCTTGCCGGCTGGCGGCGTGGGCAGCAAAAGGATGAACTTTCAAGCCTTGGGGGGGATCTCCCGGCCCAAAAGCAACTCACTCTTTGCTTGGGCAGCACCAGAGGCCGTGGCACGACTGACATGGTCCCGTTCGCGACAGAGCAATAAAAGCCCACACAAACCACCCCCCTGTTGTGTTGTTGCGGCTTACCACGTCCCGCTGTTGGCGGCTGAAAACAATTGCAGGTTTTACGGGTAAAGTCCGCTGATGTCGTAATGGCCCCCTGCGGCACTACCTACGCACGCCCTCTCTCCATCGCTGCATGGGAACAGCAAGCATGCTGAATCTGTCTGTGTGTGCTCGAACGAGACTCTCTCCACATCCCGCAGATTTATATGCCAAACAGACTCTCCATCCTGCTGTTTTGGGACCTCATATAGACTATCTATCTAATTACGTCTCGGTCTCGGTGATGCCGTGATTTGCAAACGAAACGCAGGGACCCCCGCGGCGGGCGTGGGTTGCGGCTTTTTCCCTTTTCGAGGAATGATGGCACCTGCAGCCACACTTTGCGTCGACGTGGGATGGCAAACAGGTCGCCCTCGGTAAGACCAAAAAGCTACAAGAAAGGGAGAGAGAGCTCTCATGTTGTTTGCCTACTCTGGACCAAACAGCGGTGTAAAACGCCATCACGTTTTCCCACCAACCTCTGCGCCTCTGCGCCGCCGCCCATGCCCCCCCCCCCTTCCCTTCAACCCCCCCAATCCTCCCTCTGATTGCGAAGTAACTCCTACCCTCCTCTTTTCTGAGATCGAGTGATAGCGGAATGGGGGGTTCATCCCGATCATGACGATAGTGGCGGGGGGGGAACAGACTCTACGTAAGAAAATGTAGGTACAAGTAGGCACATGCACTGCTGTTGAGGCTCAGGGCTAGAATAAGCCGCGAGGAGCGGGGGTTTAAAGGATCATCAGCATGGTCTCTCCTCGGCTCAGCCCCCAATGGAGTTCTTGACCACGCAAAACCCCACACCCCAAAGACGGACTTTACAGACAGCTCGCCGATACCTATTTGCTGGGCCTGATACCCCTTTACCGGGACCAGCCGGGCCCCCCCCTGCTTGGTGCCGTCTGGTCGAGGCTGAATATTCCGGAAGCTTAAAATGCACTGTGCCTCTTGGTACAGTAAGCAGTCCGTCAGTGACGAGGGGGAAGCAGACAAATGAGGTAAGAGAAAAGGCGATGATGACATTGTTGTGCATCGCGGCATATGTATTCCAAGGAGGAAAAGGGATAACAGTTGTCGGCCGCAGTACCCACCACCCTTGGGGAACCTTGCAACTTCTACAAGGACGAAGGCAACAAAAGTAGGTAGGCGAAGCGAGGCGAGACAGAAAATTGGGCTCCTCTTGTCTGTATTACGATTCGGTCGCTCGCCCTGCTTTCCCGAGTCGCTGCGGCGAAGCTTGTTGGCCAACACACACATACACGCGCGCGGGGGAGATGGGCTCCTATCATGGATGGCTGGCGGGCGGGTGGCCGGCGGCTCGTTGCGCGCCCCTCCCTCCCCCCCTTCCCTGCAACATGCAGCAGTGAGAAAGGCAACGGTGATCATGCCATGTACACCTGCTATATGGCGGCATCAAGCCGCGTGGGCAGACAAGCTAGTCGCCGACAACCAATGAGCCGGTGCCGATGCTGCCGGTGACGGAAAATCCTCGAGATGGCTGTCTGCATGTAATCGATGTGACAATGTCCTGGGTGATGCACAGCAGGGTGGTGGTGGTGGTGGTGGCATCGCATCGCATCGCAGATGTGATGATGGGCACCGAGTGAGTGAGTGGCTTGGTGGTCTGGTGGGCTTACTACCTAGTGATACCTCGGTGCTGTACCTGGTCAAAGGCGAGACATAGGCAACCTCTTGTTCGGTGCTAGAGTTAGCGCATCAGGAAGGACAGAGAAACTGTCAAGCCAGACCGCTCTTCTTGTGACTGGAAGTGATGAGAGGAAGAGAAGAGCAGAGAAGAGGGGTCGACATGGCTACCGAGATTCCAAGACCTCCATCGGGCATCGATCCGCCGCTGGGCTTGGTTGAAAGGATGGGTGCCCGTCTCGAGCCAGAGAGAGGCAAGTGGTTTTGTGGTTCAGCCCCTCACTTTGTCTTCTCGATCCCTGGGCTTTTGATGGGTTCTACTTGTGCGAATTGTATATCAGTCAAGGGTTGTCAGTAAGAAAACGGCAAATGTCAGCTGCAGCGTGTGTAGTGCTGTGGTGGTGCTGCTGGTCCTCCACCTGATCCCGTCATCTAGGTTGGCTCACAGGCCTGGTAATGAAGCGGCTGAGCTTCGTCCCACCCGAGGATCCTTGCCGTGCTTCCACTGCCTGCATATATGCTGCATCTCGATACCTTCCTCGCCTCTGTGAGTCGTTGCGTGCCGGGTTTGAGAAACAGCTTGGGCGACGACGGGCACGAGCATGTAGCCAGCCCTCCGCGCCTTTTCCCCGTACCCGAGCCGAGAAGTCGTGACTCTGGTGAAACGGGGTTGCGCCGAGCCTGCAGGCCTGCAAGGACTGAAAGAGACAATCTGCTCGAGGAGTTCGAGGGTGCGGTCCGTTTAGTCGGGGTGAGGTGTCGACTTCGGCTCCTTTCCCACTCCCGCCTGTCCAAGAGATCGGCCCGCTCCATCAGACTAAGACGAGCACCTAGGTAAAGTAGGTTTAAATCATGCAGCAAACTACAGGGACCTGCCTGTGCGGTAGTCGAGGAGGTACCCGACCCCGGTTGTTTCGTTTCCAGGTTGTTGCTTTGCTCGTAAAGAGGATTGTTTCTTCGAGTTTCATCGGGACCAGGTCAAGCACATGTAGGCACAGGCACAGTACCTACCTGAGGTAAGGTAACTAGGTGGGTAGTGAAGCGACAGTGGAAGGCGTACCCCGGTTCGAGTGCCTGCCTGCCTGCCTGCCTGCCTGCCTGCCTGCGCATCCATCTCTTGCGGCAAGAGGCGAAGTCCCCTTCTGCGACTGGTCGCGACTGCATCGATGTGCGACCACGCGCCCTTTCGCCGTCGAACTCGGGTCAACTTTGAGGCTGCTATCCATACATGTACCGAGTAACGACCTAGGTAGATGCTAACAAGAGATGCTGTCCTTGTGAGCCTCCACCCACAGCCACGGCAAGTCTCTCATTCGCCCTCATCACGACATCGAACGATATGCCACGATCTGCGATTGTAGGGCATGAATGGCTATTCTCCTAAGTACCTTCCTTGGGTTCTCCTCATCACCATCGCTACGCTACCCGCACGGGTGCCGCCTACGAGGAGAGTGAGAAAGTTAGAGGTACCTTAGTAGGTAACGACCTACCCTTACCATCTTGGGGCATCCATCCATCCTCCAAGTCGCAATACCAGCACCGCCAGCACCGCCAGCACCGCCAGCACCGCCCACACTTCTCACCCGCGACCACTGACAGTTGACCGGGGACTCGCTATCTCGCCTAGCATGTACCTAAATTCCACTTCGCGTGTGTCCGTCAAACTCCCCCCATTCACCTCCACATCCACTTCTCTCCGTCGCCATCCAATCCATTCAAAGTCTACTTAGTTACATACAACGCTCCACACACACAAACCCTTGACTTGGTCGAGTTCTTTGGCTCTCAAGGGACGACCACCTCTGGATCGCAGCCCAAATACTTGGTATTAGACAAGCAAGGCCACTTCTACCGACTTACTTAGAGACACTTGCCTGCCCCCCTCCCCCCCCTGTCTGCTGCGTATCGCGCACCTTTTCTTTAGCTCGAAACAGAGGCATTTTCCAACCAGAGACAAAAAGAAAAGAAGACTAGGAGACCAACTCCGGACCGACAGAGAGAGAGAAAGGAAGAAAAAAAAAAAAAGAAAGAAAAGTCACCACTTCTGAAGCAGTGTCTCTCCTGTGCCTGTCTCACCAGCCATCATCACTGACGATATTTGCTACACACCCTACAGCCGGCCCATCAGAGCGACAAAGCGAGGAGAAACCAAGATTGTATCCTTGTCGTGGCACACAACCACCTTCCAAGGCTGTCGCACTCTATCTGAGAATCCATCTCAGACTCCGAAAGCCGTTAGTGGATTTGCCGCACTCTTGGAGACTTGCAAGACAAGCTTGCGCCCATCCATTCCTGCTCGCGACGGCGCCTCCGCTCATACGCTTCTCTCTGCTGGTTCCAAGTGGAAAAAGGACGGACTAATTAACAAGACTACTACCTACCTTAGGTACCTACCTACCGCAAGGACCTACCTACCTGCCTCCTAAGACCTGAGGGCTAAGGTACCAGTCGACCCATCTCCACACACCCGCCTCCCCGCTTCATCGACATACTCCATAAGTACCCCGACGACGGTAGGGTCACGAGCTGGAGAGCCCCCTACCTTGCTGCTAGGCTACTTTACGGGTACGCTCCATCATTCACACCTGGTCCCTGCGCCGCTAAAGCACCCGAACCTGGGGCTCTGCGCTCGTGCAAGACCGCAACACGCCGCCCGGCCGCCCATCTCTCCCACACGCACCAGACCAGGGCCTCCACCACCTCCTCTTCCTCCTCCTCCACCACCACCGCCGACCCGCTACCGCCAGCTCCATTCCCCATCGCATTCCCGTCTGTCCCCCGTCCTTTAAGGGCGCAATCTGCTTCCCTACCTCTCTCGGCCCTTCCCCCGTCGCAACCGTGCCTATTTCCCGTTTCCCTTCTGGGCGCTGTTCCCAAATACCCTTACAGCCAGGGGTCACGATAACAGATCTCGGGGCGGACTTCCTCTTTGCCTCGTCGCAAACCCTCGCTCTTGGGAATCCAAGCGGTGGAGAAAGTATAGGCCCCCGACTCGCACAGGGCGCGCGCGCACACACACACACATCCACACTCCCACTCACTGCGGCACTTGGTAGCTGGAGAATACCAGCTGAGCGACAGGCTCTACACACTTTGCAGAATAACACGGCGACTAAGAGTCCCAATACGCGATATAACCGGCGGCGGGGGATATTAGCGACTGGTTACCTCCCTCCCCCCAAGCCCATCTTGGACCGCTCTCCCAATCTCGATGGCGGTCTGGCCCGCCTGAACTCGCCCTTGTGAGACTCCCTGCGCAGATGCGACGACATGACTACAGCCGCAACTTTCTCTCCTACTGCACAATTCGCCCCGAACGAGCTTTATGACGACGACGAATGTATACCCCGGAATAGCCCACTGTTACAACCTCGCACCCGCGTACACCTGACGCCGTCGCCGCCACCGCCCTCCTCGCCCGGGTCCCAGCTTAGCTCCCGCACGAGCTCCAGCAGTCACGGCAAGCACACCCGCCGCCGCCGGGGGGCGAGGATTGATCCCAGCCAAGGCGATGCTGTCGTGGTGTCCTTGATGGGTGGAGGCAACCAACCAGAGGTCGCGACACACGCTGGACAGCATCTCCTCACGTCCGAGTATTCGGAAAACGACTCGCGGTCCGCCCACTCCGAGGACGAAGTTGAGTCGACCGCCTGGTCCAAATCAGAGGCGCACAGGGAGCAGCGACGAAGAGAGTACTCGAGAGGCAGTAGCATGTCTCTTGACCAAGAGTCCCCGCCGGTGGGCGAGACGAGCTTATCACCTGCCATGAAGGCCATGTTCGGCCCGGAAGTTCATGGTCAAGCACGGGCAGACGGCCCCCCGGCGCACGCAGGGCCGGGACCAAAACCTGCGGAAGATGTTGTCCTCAAAACGTATGCCCTGGGGGCTCTGACACTGGCATCTCCAGAATCCGAGACAGACGCCTCTGGGCGCACGCCGACGAATGGTGATCCTCAGCCGAGTGACACACCAAGAAGGCAGGAATCAGTCGGAGCAAGTATAGCGCCTGCGCATCAAAATCTGGCTGTAAGAGGTGCAAGGCATAGCCAACATGCGCCCGCGCCGCTCGGGCTGAACCCCCCTTACAGTCCGCCCAGTCTATATTCTCCTCAATCAGCCATCTCGGTGTCTCATACCGACCGCTCAGAACCGCGGTCTCCGCCTCCTCTGCCTCCCATCCAAAGCCCCGGAGAGCCAGCAACATCTCCAAGATCTGACGGGGGTCTTGGGTCAAATTCGCTGCCGTCGATACGGGAACAGTTTGGCGATCTCCCGAGGCTTCCTGATCCAGGTTATGCGCAGTCACCACCGGCCTCGGCGACTTTCAGAGGTCACGGTTCACCGCCAGTGTCTCCCGAATTCCCACAGCAGTCGTCGTTTTACCAGAGTCTGAACGGAGGCCCCCCAGCAGGTTATGCTCTGTCGACAGCAAGGCTGAGTCACGCGGAGCCTTCGCCTGCCGGACCCCACGACCGCATCAGTATCGATTCCCTGTCAAACCAAGGGACATACGTTTGCAAAGTGCCGGGTTGCAGCGCGCCCGCCTTCCAGACGCAATACCTTCTCAATTCCCACGCCAACGTTCATTCTCAGGAAAGGCCACACTATTGTCCTGTGAAAGGGTGTCCCCGTAGCGAAGGGGGCAAGGGCTTCAAGAGGAAGAATGAGATGATCCGCCATGGCTTGGTCCACGACTCCCCTGGCTATGTTTGCCCGTTCTGCCCCGACAGGGAGCATAAATATCCCAGGCCTGATAATCTACAGAGGTGAGAGAGTCGGGCTCACCCGGACATTACTGGGACGGATGACTGACCAAGAAACATAGGCACGTGCGGGTACATCATGTCGACAAGGACAAGGATGACCCAGCGTTACGAGATGTGTTGGCACAGCGGCCGGACGGCCCCAATCGAGGCCGCCGGAGACGCGGTGTTGCAACATAATTTCCGACCCCCCAAAAAGCTTTCAGCTACCTTTCGTTTCACTATGGCTGGTTGACCCAATTACATTACCTTTTTTCTCGGCCGGCACAGCCTATGTACCGGAAAGTTTCCAGATGCAGCAGGGAACATGTGGACATGCTGCTGTCCATGCCATCGGTTGCTGTGTCGGGACTTCTCCCTACAGGCCTCTGCACGATTCTCACGATTTGGATTGTACATAAGGTGTGATGGTGGTCTCCAGCACACTTCATTCTTGTTGTTTACATCCGGGGAGCGTCCTCCCCCCTTCTTCCAAGCGGTGAAGTTTTCTATGGCGTTTTTGTGTGCGGTTGTAGTGTGTGCTTATGTACGGGAGACATAAGCAACCAAGGGAAGGGATCTGGGGAGTAGGCGTCTTGGGAGTGTCACACTATACCACCATGGGAAAATCGCTTGTGTTTTCTATTCTTCCTCTTTTTTTATTATTGCTTTATTTTTCTTTTATATCTCCCCCCCGCTTGATTAGCTCTTGTGCTTTAGGTACTTGCCTCAAGTACCCTCTCGTGTATCCTGGTTGCCAATTCTCAAGGCGATGATGGGCTGGTGGTGGAGCATGCGTCGGAATGGGTGGGAGGCTCGCACGCATCGATGTGCCCAAGCGATTGCTTTTTTTTTTCTTTTTTTTATCTGTTACTTCGTGCCCTGTTTTTTTCTAGGGGTTTCTGTCTACTGCAGTCAGAGCGGTGGGAGGGTACTGGTGTTTGATAAAGTTGGCGGCCTGCAATGGTGATCGGAACGAGTAGGCCCCGTTCGCTTGATGGACCATCCAGGCAAGATGACGAGGGAAGGGACTCTCTTGTCAGAGAGAGACGGTTGGCTTCAGCTTCTTTTTGAGACAGAGCCTGCGCGCATGCGCCCTCTTGCTGTTGGGTGCTTCCCGGACTTTTCCTAGGGTACATGCATTCAAACACCATGACCTGTGCTGCATACATCTATCTGTCGCTTGACAGGCGTCCACGAACGTGTGAAATGTGTACGAGTCCAAACGATTCATCTGATTCGACATGCGTCTCTTTGTTTCTTTAACATTCTAACAGTAAAGCATGCCTCGCTGTTGTTGACAGCGGGTGATACAATCTATTATCCCAAAGCGACGCAGATCGCTAATTGCCGGGCCTCTCGCCTGAGTTTGTGACCAGAAAAACCGTTGCAATCTCTCACTCTTCCCAGCTCTCCCACGGCCCAACCTCCACGTGCTGGTCGCTCAACACGTCGACCTGCAGACCGTATCCCTCGGCGTGCGCTCCCATCTGCTCCACCACGAGCCAGAGACCGCCGCCGCCGCTGCCATCGCCCATGGCGGCGTCAAAGTCGACGTCGCCCGCCCGCAGGCCCATCGCGGCGTCGCGCATCTCGCCGTCCCCGCTGGCGGCCAGCACGTGCCGGTGCGGGCCGGTCCCGCGCTCCAGCGATATGCGCACCGCGCAGGGCGCGCCGCCGCGACCACGGCCGGCCGTGTACGACGACGACCACGGCCGCCTCGACGCCGGAGCAGCCGCGCCCACGGCGTCTGGGGCGGTAGCGGTGAGCAGGCCCGAGCGCGCGACGACGCTCACGCGCGTCAGGCGGGTGACGGACAGGCGGGCGCGGCGCCGCTGGTGCTGGCGCTCGCCGCGGAGCACGACGGGCGGGAGCTGCGCGCGGAGGCGGCCGGCTCCGTCGGCGGGCACGGGCGCCACGGTCAGGGGCTCGTCGGAGCCGATGCGCAGCGTGTAGTCGGCCAGCATGCCCGGCTCAAAGGTGGACAGGACGGCGGTGTAGGTGCCGGCGTTTAGGATGGAGACCAACGACGACTGAGGCGTTTCGGCGAGGCAGCACCCGCGGCGGTACTCGCCCGAGCTGAGGGCCACGTCGCGGGCCGCGAGGGCCGTGACGCGCTGGCCCTGGGCCCAGACGAGGTCGACGTGCACTGGGATGTCGGCGGCATCGGTGCAGAGGAGGAGAGACACGCGGGAGGGGCGGGGCAGGGTGATGGCGAGCTGCGGGTTGTGCAGGTAGGAGGCGACGGCCGGGTTACCGCCTGCGGTCCGGCGGGTCCAGGAGCCTGTGTGCTCCTGGTAGTGCGCTAGCTCGTCGCAGGCCTTTTCGACAGTGAGGTCGCAGCGGGAGAAAAAAGAGAGGGTGAAGGAGTATCTAGGCAGAGGCAGGCCCGACTGCGCTGCTGCGATGGTGTAGACCTTGTCCCTGCGAGCCTCGATGCGCAGCAAGGTCTGGGGGCTGTCGACAAAGTGCGAGTGGTGTAGGGCTCGGCGTGGGCGGTCCGACAGCTGGACGCGGCCACCCGAAGCAGCGTCGAATACATAAAGAGACATGAACCCCAGCGAGTTGGAGACTTCAGCGAGCGTAGCGGAGCGGTTGCGGGCGATGGCAAGCTCCTCGTCTTGGAAGTGGCGCGAGAGCAGAATCCAGACCGGTCCGTCGGCAGAGGCACGCATCGAGTACTGCGGGTTGCGGGCGAAGGAGAGGGCAAGAGATTTGGGAGGGATGTCCCAGACAAAGTGATGATCTTGGCGGCGAGTGAAGAGAGAAGGGTTCCAGTTGAGGTAAAGCGATTCGAAATTCTGTACAACGTCCTCAAGGGAGATCCAAAAGGTGCCAGTCATCTCTTCCTCGGAGGGAGCAATAGAAGGCTTGTCTTGTTGCCTCGACGCCTTTTGCTGCACTTGGACGGTGGACGACGAGCCCACACCCGTCCACGTGAGGCCCTCACACCAAGGATTCTTCAGGAGCATGCGACGGACACCGTTTTCGATGGCCAGGTCCAATACGGCGTAGTCGTGCTCGCCGGCGAGCCCAAGAGTCTCTTCCTCCTCTGGCGACAGCCTGCCAGTCCCCAGCGTGACTACGACATCGTTGAAGTCGTATGCCTTTTTTATCCTGTTCCACGTCTGATCCAGCTCAATATCGTCACTCTGCAGGAAGATCTGCTCGGGTATCCAGCCTGTCAAGACCCAGAGATCGGTGCCCGAGTTGCTCCCTGGGAAGTCGTACCCGCCCCTGATCTTTAGATAGGCCTTTTCTAAAAGCGCGGGCCAAATGAGTCGTGGATTGCGTCTATCCACGACAAAGAGGGTTCTTGAGGTCTTGGAGGAGGGGAGTCGGTCATCGATGATAACCCGACGGAAGCAGCCATTGAAATGCATACGGAATATGTATTTGCCATTGGGGGATATCGCCGGAGTTTCACTGTTGTGGTCAAAGGGGAACATGATGTTGGACAAGAGCGAGAGTGATGTGCTCTTCGGCCTCAGATGCTTCATCACAGCACACAGACTTGCGACCACTGAACAATCTGTCGTGATATCCTGTACCAAGTCACAGTCGCCATCGGCTGCCACCAGTGAGGCATTCTCGTTGGCAGGCCGTGATGGGCCCGGGAAGAGTTCGCTGGGTCGTTTCCATCCAGCAAAAGTCTCTAGTTGCTTTCCCGAGAAGGAAAGCAAAGAGGCATCTCTGAATGATCGATAGAGTTAGCTTCCGCAGAGCAGCTCTGGCAAGGAGAAATCCGTCTTACTCGAAAAGGGCCCCATCCTCAGGAGATGTCGCAAACTGGTCGGTCTCTGGCTCGGCCTCCCACGGCGGGAATACATTGCCGTGCAGGCGCGACGAACGAAGCAAGATCGCCTTCTCGCCTGTGGGCAGCTCACGGGTTACTCTGGGAGTGGAGGGAGGCTTTGGCGGTGGTGACTTCAGCTTTTCGGCTCGGGCAATGACCTCTTCGCACTTTGCCTTGAGACGGGCCCGGTCAGAAGCGTCTGTAGCCTCCTTGACAGCTTTCATATACAGCTCGGCTGCGGTGATGGCGTGCTGCAATGCATCCTTGCCAGAGGATTTGCTAATCTTGGTCTCATGGTCCTGTGTAGACTCGTCAGCAGTCCGGTTGATGCCGGCGGGGTGTTTTCTGATAACCTACCCTGGCTTTCGCCTCCATGGCGGGCAGAGCGGGGTGGTCTACTCGGTGGTGTCACAGACTGCGGACATGCAAGACTGTTCTGCTACCTGACGACCAAGAACAACGATATGGCGCATACCATGTCGCTTGGTATCTAGGTATGTAGCTTAGACCGTCTGTTGGATGGATCGCGTGGAAAGTATTGTTCAAGTCTGCAGAAGCTCGATGAAGGTACAGGATGATAGCGGAAAGTAAGCTCTATTTATGAATCCTCAAGATGATTACCGACTTCTCGCTGCACCTCGGAGAGGTAAACTCGGTTGGCTGTATCGTCCAGACCAAATGAGAGCAATCCAATACCATGGTACCTAGTGTTTTGATAGAGCCTGATTCGTGGCCTCCCCCACTGATTTAGATAATCCGGGTGCTGTCTGTGCCTTCCACCTTGTACCTAATGAGATACGCTAATAAGCAGGTGTGTCCGGCAGCTCAGCAGGAAATCACAACAATGAGCAAGATTGATCTATTTGAGCGTCGTTGCAGTCACGCACATAGATCCCCATCGCCCTTTCCCTGCATGGGCAATTGACCAAGGTAGGAGAGGAGTAATGGCTCGTTCATGTTGTTGACATGCCGCAGGCCTTCCAAAAGCGATCAGAAGCGCAAATTAAACAAAAGTTGTGTGGGTGTCGTAGCCAGGGCTACTCATGACCCTGCGGCCGTCCCGTCAACCTTCGCAATAAGTAGCTGCGCTACAGCTACAGATGAGGGCTCTCTGAATCTGAAAATAGATGTGCCAACCGGGTATCGTCTCTTGATTGAACAGACAGAGAATATTGATACGCTATGTAGACAGTTTAGGTGCTTTCTTAGTTTTTACTTTATGGTACCTACTAACTACATATGTACCCAAGTGATGGTCGGTCAGATTAGTTGACGGACTGCTCACAGAAGTACTTGACTATCCATCAAGCCCATTGGTTTTAGGTAGTGGGATAGCCCTTCCGAGTTCCAGGGCAAGGATATGAGAACGATGTCGACTGTTAACGTTGAGGTTGCTCCTGATGAACTTCCGTCAACTACCTATTCTGACGCACGTTTGGTACCTTATCAAGTCGGGCCCATGTTGTCTGAGTGTGAGGGTGGCGTCTGGCGGCTCAATACCGAGTTACCGAGCGCGAAGCCTTCAGAGCGCTAGAGGCCAAAGTTTCCCCGCGCCAGCATTGATCCATGCCTACAGCCTGCAGGTAAAGTCCCTACCAGATTCGAGCTGCACAGCGGGGACCGGCTTATCCGCCCAGTAATCAGGTGCGATCTGTGCTAGGAGCCGACGCTAAAAGCCTGACCGCCTTCTGCAAGCGGCACACGCACCCGTCCTCGATCTCTGTACTGCCGGTCCACATGGGTCGAGAAAAATGACCGAGGTTGACGGTTATAGACATCACGGTCCAGTGGCCGATAGCGTCTGGGGTAGTCCAGGCCGACCCGCCAACCCGTCTTCGTCATGTCCCCTGTTGGCCCCATCACTTGCAGGACCGAGGGATTCTTCCCGCTGAGATATATACATTCTGTCCTCGTTCCTACTTTTTCATCTACCCATTGATTGGCGTTGGCTTCTTCTTCTTGACCCCGTCTCCCCTCTGAATTGCTCGAGTGCTGCTGCTCCCGGGTCGAACTGCCGATTGCTTACGACAGCGGACCGAGGCGTTCTTCCACTCCCCCCCGACATCGCCGATCCCGATATTCTGTGCGTCCGCCGCCACCGGGACTTGTGCATCTCCACAACGAACCGCTCTCCTACACAGAGTATAGCCTCAGTATATCCTAGGATGGCTGTCGTATCCAAGCCCACGCCAATTGGCCCCTGGGGCAAGGCCACTGCTGGTGCTACCGGCGCTGTGCTTGCCAATGCCCTGGTCTACCCTCTGGATATGTACGTTGGAACCCTGGGAGATGTGGATCTCCTCGGCACGATATACTAACGTCGTCGCTTCACAGCGTCAAGACTCGCCTCCAAGTCCAGGTCAAGAGCAAGGCCGGCGATGCCGCCAGCAGTGAGCCGCACTACACGTCCACCTGGGATGCCATCAGCAAGATCGTGGCCGCCGAGGGAATCACTGGCTTGTACGCCGGCATGAACGGCTCCCTGCTCGGCGTCGCCTCTACCAACTTCGCCTACTTCTACTGGTACTCGGTCGTCCGCGCCCTCTACTTCCGCAACGCCAAGACCAACGCCCAGCCCTCCGTCCTGGTCGAGCTGTCCCTCGGCGCCATCGCCGGAGCTGTCGCCCAGCTGTGCACCATCCCCGTCGCCGTCGTCACCACGAGGCAGCAGACCCAGAGCAAGGAGGAGCGCAAGGGCATGCTCGACACCGCCCGTGAGGTCATCAACAGCGAGGACGGCGTCTTTGGCCTGTGGAGGGGCCTCAAGGCCAGCCTGGTGCTTGTCGTCAACCCGGCCATCACCTACGGTGCCTACGAGAGGCTGAAGCCTCTTGTCTTTCCCGGAAAGACTAGCCTGAAGCCGTGGGAGGCCTTCGGTATGTCATGGAGCGGAATTTCCCAGAATGCCGTATACGCGATTTGCTAACACGACTGCAGTCCTGGGTGCCATGTCCAAGTCGCTTGCCACTATTACAACCCAGCCTCTGATTGTCGCCAAGGTTGGCCTGCAGTCCAAGCCGCCAGCCGTCAGGCAAGGCAAGCCTTTCAAGGGGTTCATCGAGGTCATGCAGTTCATCATTGAGAACCAGGGCGTTCTTGGATTGTTCAAGGGCATCGGCCCCCAGATTCTCAAGGGACTCCTGGTTCAAGGCATTCTCATGATGACCAAGGAGCGGTAAGCCCATCTTCTCGGTTGCCCTTCATTGCATAGAGTATACTGACAACCGCAATAGCATGGAGCTTATGTTCGTTCTCTTCATCCGCTACCTCAGGAAACTGCGCTCCGAGCAACTTGCCAAGGCTGCCCAGCTTGCAGCTGCAAAGGGTCAAGTCATCCCACTTACAACGAAATGAGACGGCGAAAGGTGCGGCGCGGGGCCGGCGGCAACGGTCGAGACTCAATCACAGCGAGTGTTCGTTCGAAACGAATGCTGAAGCGGAACATATCCTTGTGCGGGCGTTGGCAATGACACACTAGGTTATGTGTATACCCAGTCCTGCATGGTGGTACGCCGGGGGTGGCATTGCTTGCAGGTCCAACCTGTGACAAGGTGTATGGCTTGAGGCGATGGCAGCTGATGGACTTATCTTTTGTACTGCTTCTATGCATATGGTGGTTTTTGTGGGGATTCAACGTAAAACATGTAGACGGACTGTATCTATAGCATGCGGAAACAATAGACACACCATTATCTCCAATTTGAAGTCCCTATCGGCGAACAGGATACACAACGGACTGCGCAAAAATGTATATCATTCGCGGTTGTTGGAAGCGGTCGCTCGACAAAATGTCAAGTGCTGGAGTCGCAGTACAAAGTACTACACTTATCATTATTTATGGATCTGCTGCAATCACTCTTGATTGGACCCTCAACCTCTGCTGGGGAAAAGCAGATCCACTCTGTGGCTCAAGGACCCCACAGTACGCCACAGGAAATTTTGCCCTTGCCAACGCACAAATCGAAAATCTCTAGTCAAATCCAATCCGCTCCGCCAAACCCATCCTTTTCACGACACTCATCGAGAAAAGCCCGTCAATCCGTCACAATGGCCAGTACGTGCAAACCCGCGTAGATGGATATGTTTTCGTGCGGAGAGAGACACTGACACTCCGTTTTAGAGTCCAAGAACTCGTCCCAGCACAACCAGTCTCGCAAGGCTCACCGCAACGGGTACGTCGACAGCGTCGCTACAGCGCCGAACACTTGGAACAGGACGATGGGGGACATGAATCGCTGACGGGACATTGGACATGCAGTATTAAGAAGCCGAAGACCTCAAGATACCCTTCGCTCAAGGGTACCGACCCCAAGTTCCGACGGAACCACAGACATGCTCTGCACGGCACCATGAAGGCTCTGGTATGCGATCCGCGACAGACAGCACGAGACGCTGGCCCGAGATGACATTTCTAACAAGTTCTACAGAAGGAGCTCAAGGAGGGCAAGCGCGAGACGGCATAAATCGGAACGAAAATGCGAAAGCTGGGAACACGGTCGGAACGGGCATTGAGAGGCGGGCTGATTGCTTCCTGCCCCCATTCGGAGTTATGAGCTTTTTCTAGGGCAAATGACCAAAGCATTCACCAACCCGGGACCCTCTCAGACCGAGGCCTATTCGTCGCCTTTTCCTGATTGTGACGGCTGCGTCCTGTGGACATATCGTGAGCGTGCGGGGCGGGGGATGAGAGACGAAACCAGTCCTCCGGACTACCCTCTCTGATGATGACTATGACAACGGCATTAGTGTGTACAGCACCGAGCTTCTTCCCATGCTCACTTGCTGAAGGATTTATTTTTCGTGCCAAGATTGAACCTGTCCCGTCTATTACCAAACACCTCGGTCAAGCTTTTCGGCGGCCCGGGTGCATGAATGATGGGCTACATTACTACTTCTAGGGATGTGACTTTGCCAGAAACACCATCGAATCACCAAGGTGACATGGCGCAGCTGGAAGCTATTTAGCACAGCTGGGTTGTGAGGTGCTGCAAAATTGACATATGATCTCAGATAGTACCGTGTCGCCAAACGCTCACCAGGTCAAGTCCGTATACTGAGGACGAACTCGGTCGGCGAGCAATATTATTCTTTGGATTTACGCGGCTTGATACTTCTGTCAACGAATTGTCTCCCGATTTTTGCCATCTTCGTTTTCACGGCTGCATCGGTGAGTTTGCGTATCCTGGATATGGAAGATAGGGGCCATGCATCTTGGAACGATTATAAGACGGTTACATCCAATTGGACATTAACAATGAGCACATTAGTTGAGGTTTACTTCAGAGACATCCTCCACTCGGTCCATCTCTTGTGAACGACGGCTTCAAAGGCTAATCCGTGTGCTTCTGGCCCTGCATCAACGTTGCCATCGGCATAAGTACTTTACCTCGCTGACCAGACAGTCTGATCTCGCCCAATGCTGGGCCGATTAGGTTTGGCTGTCCACGAACCGTTGTGTAGCACTTTTGTGGCTCTTAACGGGAGCAGCCTCCCGAGCATTGATGCTCATTGGACATCTTGTTCTGCCTCAGCTTACATCCCGAGTTTCCTAGTCCTGAAATTAGGCCCACTCGGACGCCCTGCAAGGTTTTGAAGATGAACACTTGAGACTTGCCACGCTCTGCTGAGCCCCCATGGCCAGCCCCTGAAACACCCATTTTCCCTTTCCAGCCCACTAGGAAAGCAAAGGAAACAGGCCCCAGTAATCCCACCGGCACCATCCCAGCTTCGTCCCAGCATTGTCCCAGCCGCCCACCTGTCCACTTCGAGCCCATGCGGAAATCCTGAGCCCCTGTCGAGCCCTGTTTCTTCCTGGGCCACAGAGGCTGCTCTCCCGTATTCCCTCCCGCCCAGGCCACTCGCTCAATCACTACAAGTACTCCCAGACCAACTCGTGCTAGGCGCCCGCCCCGTGTCTGAAAGTCTTGGCATTTTCCTCGCCGTTCTGCTGCCGGCTCTTTTGCTTCTAGTTTTCTCCTGTCTGCCTTCTCGAACCTCAGCTTCTTCCGCTGCTCTGCCCTCTCTCTCTCCTGCTTCATCGCCTGGCGACTTCACCGAGGCCTTTCTTCGTCTTTGCGCCGCTGGTCCTGGCTGGTAGCCAAAGCACCTCTCTATTTCTTTTGCACCAGATGCCGTTGTCAGCCTGAACAGTCTGACATCTTCCTTCTCCCATCGTGAGTGAAGCCCTTGCATGAGCCTGCTATTGGCTTGTGAGCTTGTCCAGAGTCATTGCTTCTTCTTTGTTGTCGGGAGCTTGGAGAGATCAGCTATCCTTTCCCAACACTTTGCTTTCGTTACAGCAGAGTGTCACGAAGCCCAACCCAAATCCTACATTTCAGTTTTATCTGATTTCGTAGAGCTACCGTGGGCCTTTTTTTTTGCCCTGCTCCCCTGACACTTTCAGGAGGAGCTGCTGCCCTGCACCACCACCACCACCAACAACAACTCAGATCTGCCTCCAGCTGCCCACCACCTCCCCCCTACTCCCCTCCTGGAGCGAGCACCCAGGATATCAGGTCGGAAGCTTGCCTCCCCCGCATGACTAGGCTTTGACGCCCTCAGCCCTCAGCATCTCCAGCTTCTTTCTGCAACCCATCGCCTCTTCTTGATTGCGTCCTGACCCTGCTTACCAGAGCCTCTCTTACTGATCACGCTTCCTCTGCAGTGTCGTTACTTAGCCTCCGTTTCGCGCTCTCGCCCGAAGACTCCTTTGAGGACAGCAGGATACTGCAGGAGCTTTCGGATTTTTGACGTCTTACGATCTCCCGTCTCCCCCAGCATCGCCCTAATAATCGCTTTTGAACATCAGTTCTCTGCCGTCCTTGGATTGCGACGTAGATTGCGCATCTTCGAGCATTGATCCTTGGTCCTTTGGAAAATCTCGAAACACTGCAACACCTGTCACGGACCACTTGATCGTTCCCCCCGGCACCACTTAATTCTCCAACATCCTTCTTGCCCTGTTTCATATACTGGCACCTCATACCCCGGGTCTTTTCTCAAGCTAGAAGATCCGCGTACCGAGCCACCTACATAATCTTGCATACGCAATCATCCTGAACTGTGGCCCTGCAGTTGACGATGAACACCATGTCCAACAATCATCTCGCCAGCAACCGAATGAGCACCCCGGAAGCGGGAAGTGCCTCGTCGCTGCGACCGCCGTCTTCTCGAGCTGTCGGAGGCAATCCCCACCTCCGTGCCTCTGCTGACATGGCCGCTCTGACCGGCTCGTCGCCGTCAAACCGTATCCGCCCATCGTCCGATTTCTATGGACAGTCCCAGCAGGGTCAGGGCCAGGCTGGCGGCGAGATCGACCCTCAGGACAAGCTTGCCCAGCAGTGGATTGCTGATATCGACCAGTATGAGACAACTCTGGAGGAAATGGCGGCTGCCACTCTTGACCAGGACTTCAAGGACGAGCTCAGCGCTATTGAGCAGTGGTTCCGCGTCCTGAGCGAAGCCGAGCGCACGGCTGCTCTCTATGCCCTCCTTCAGCAGACCACCCAGGTTCAGATTCGCTTCTTCATCCAGGTTCTGCAACAGATGGGAAAGAATCACCCCATGTCTGGCGTCCTGTCGCCGGCAAACTTTGATAAAGGTAAGCAAGCTGATGATACATTATGCCGGGCTCGCCAGTTATTTTTCCGGGTTTGCAGCTAACTGAAATTCGGCTTCAAGATCCCATGTCAAATCGCCTCAGCGATGCCATGAATAAGCTGAACGTCGACTCTGCCAGAAACTCGATGGCACGCACCTCTGCTGTCTCAGCGGGCAAGCGACAGTCGGGCCTCGATTCGTCTACCATCAACGCCATGTTTCCTGATGCTGCTGCTGCTATTGCGACCGAGAAGGCCAAGTTCACGCAGCAGACTGGCAATCCGCCCACGTCCAACCGCAACAGCGCCGCTGTCGACAACCGGTCCTCCCTCGCCGCGCCTACCATCTCCGGCCCCGCCGACTCGGGCGATGCAAACGGCCAGAATCCTACTTCGCCTTGGGGTAGTGACCCGTCGCGACCCAAGTCATCCTCCGGCCAGACTCCGATGGGACAGTTTGTCCAGCCGCCGCCCTCGGCTGGTCTCCGCTCCCCGCGCCCTCAGATTGCTGGCAACTCGCAGATCCAGAACACGACCATCACTGCTGACAAGCCTGTCTCTGACCTGCCACTCCTGTCGCCCTACGGTGCGAGCGGAAACTGGGCCTCGATGGTCAACACTCCCATGGTTTCCAACTTCAACGCACAGCAGAGCAACAACCAGGCGGACATGGTCGCTAACGCCACGGCTATGAAGCTCGCTGCGCTGTCCACTGTCAACAATCGTTTTGCTCTAGACGACGTTCGGAAGTATCGACGTGCCCGATCTAACGACGCTCCCGGTGGACACAATCAAAACCCCTTGTCTCCTGGTGCTCCGGCGATCAACCTGCCAGGAACCAATGTGGTCATGGTGAACGAGCATGGCCAGGTGGTGAGCCGGGAGCAGCTGCTCGCCATGCAGAACCAGGCGGGCATGGGTGGCTTTGGAGCGCACCGATCCCGTCCCAACTCTCCTGGCATCGCGATGCAGACTGGATTCGGTCCCATGGCTTTCACCTCGCCGCAGAACAACGGCTTCCTCACTGCTTACGACGGCCTCAACAACGGCATGGGTGCGATGAATCTTGGTCAGCTCGGCTTGGCCGGTCATCATGAAGGATACCTGTCCGACCACTCGGACATGGTTCGAGGTCGTTCCCCACGGGGACGCCGGGGCAGCTCCAAGCCCCCAGAGGATCCGACAGACCCCAGCCTCCTTCAGGATATCCCCAGCTGGTTGAGAAGCCTGCGTCTGCACAAGTACACCGACAACCTGAAGGACATGAAGTGGACGGACCTGATTGAGTTGGATGACAAGCAGCTGGAGGACCGTGGTGTGAACGCCCTCGGCGCTCGGCGGAAGATGCTGAAGGTGTTTGAGCAGGTCAAGGGTGAGTTGTCGTCCGGTTCCTGTCTTGTCTGATTGACGCGTTCCACGATGTGCTAATTGCTTTCACAGAGGCCAAGGCTGAAGGCAAGATTGGCTAGATGCCATTCATCATCTGAAGACCTGACCGAGATTGACCTTTCTGATGCATGAATCGGGTCACATGGCTGAGGGATCCCACCTGGTGCTCTATATACAATTTCCCTCTGATTGGGCGGTGTACATTCCGCCCCGGGCAACCCTACATAGAATTTCACGCTCTCCTTTCTTCCGGATCTATGAAAAACAGGTGGATCGTATGCTTTGATATGATGCACTTGGGATTGATGTATATGTATTGAGAATAGCCTCACTGAAATGAGATATTGGACCGCACATGGCACGCACAACAGCAGTCGAGCAAAACCCTCCCTACCCTCATTCTTACTCTGAAGTGATGATGTTTGATATGTGTTCAACTCACCTTACATTTACACCTTTGTTCACTGCAGGGGCTTTCTCTCGCTTGCTGATTAAGGTCCCTCGCTACCTACCTACCTAGCAAGACAGGATGTATGAGGCGGTCTGGAACCTTCTTTGCTGGGGTTAGCTGATAACTCCCAGTCGATTAGGGCGTACCCGGCAAGCTGGAGATTGTCCAAGTCCCCGCTCTGGTGGGAACAGACTCTGTACTTGTACCTAATTGCCCAATCCCTTTGAACGCAAGTCTGCCCACCACCCTCCACTACCAACTGAGGTACCTCCCGCCCACCACCCACATTACTTTCCTTTCCCTCGGAGCACAGCTCGCCCTCTTCCCACCTGCGCAAATCCAACCTACCACACAAGATTCCCATACCCATCCCCCAAAATCCAGTGTCTCATGCGCACCAGCCCGCCCCTGCTGTGATCGCCATTCACCCGCAGGGACAGTTCGAGAAGGCAAATACCGATCCCGCTTGTCTTGGCCAAACAATGCGAAAGGGAGAGAGAGAGGTTCGCACAGACGCGCAATGAACTGTTCCCTGTCCCGGTCCTGCATTGATCGCCCTCACTCGATTGGCTTCCGCTTCCGCAGCCATGGATGACGCGACAAGACTCATCTCTGAGCTGCAGAGCAAGCTCACCGAACTCGACGGCAAGGTCGCTGCCCACCTGCGAGACATGGCCACAGAGTTTCAGCGCTATTCCGATCAACTGCTCCAGGATGTGCCCGCCGACGTCTCCAACAAGGTGAATCGAGTCATTGCCGAGTCAATGGCCGATTACCCTGCCTTCAATCCCGCCCTCAAGTATCTCGACTCCAACACTGCCCTACCCGCTGCTGCTGCTGCTGCCGGTGCCGGTGCCGGTGCCGGTGCCGCCGCCACAACCACGACCGCCACCACTGACAACGACCTTGCCAGCCGCAATAGAAGAACCTCACCGCCTCCAGTCCTACCTCACACTTCCGGCACGCCTAAAGAAGGCATAAGAGGCCCGCACGACCGGGAGATGGAATTCTATGGTGTCTTTACCCCAGGTTACTTGCCACTGCTTGACAGCTCAGACCGGCCCTTGCACTCTCCGCCTCTGTCGCCTCCACCCGTAAAGGCAATCGAAGCCGCGGTCAAATCCAACGAGACGTCCCAGACAGAGTCGAGCCCAGAGGGCGGCCTGCCAAGGCCGGCACTGCCGAAGCGGCGCGGTACGGACACCTCGTCGATATCGCTCGAGTCAAGCGGCAGTGAATCCACCAAGGTCCGCAGAAGCGCTCTGCGCAGGTCATCGGGCTCGTCGACCAAGGCAAGCCCGCGCCGGGTGCGATTCGATTTCGAGGGAGAGGAGGTGCTCCCCACATCTTCGCCCCAGGCATCCAGCCCAGCCCGTCCTCAGCTGCGCACCGGGGTGCCACAAGGTGGCTTTGAGGATGACTCAGACCTGCCAGCCGGAAGGCTCGACGACGGCAGTGATCGGGCCACTTCTCCACCGCGAGCGAAGAAGGTGTCTTCTTCTGAAGCATTGCGAGCCTTGTCCAAAATGCCTCTGGAGGATCCCGCCAACTGGACTGTCGTGAATGCACAGCCGGAGCCGGAAAACCTCGACTCTACGACGGAAATTGTACCTGATAGAGATACCAGTGCCGACCGGTCAAGAACGCCGGCTGTCTCGGGCAGGGCCTCTGGAAAGGCGCCGGCGCGGTCTGCTCTGATCACCCAGATCGAACAGACGAGAGATACGACACTCGGCTCTCCACTAGAGGACTACGAACAACAGCAGGAAGAGGACTCATCTGATGAGGATTTCATCTCGATGCGATCGTCGAAGAAGGACTCTGCTTCACCGGGCTCACGGTCACCCGTCACCGCTCTGGCCACCCAACCGGATATATCAACCTTGTCTCAAAGACTGAACGGCGACGGGGCGAGCCCTGCGCCCCGCACGGGGACCGATACTCAAGTGGACACCAAACGGCGAGCATTCGAAACTGATGATGAGCTTTTCGAATTCGACGAAGACGAGAAGACCAGCTCCGTAGGTTATCCGTTAACCCGTACCATCAAATCCACCGAGCCATACATTCCTGAGGAGGAATCGGATGAGGAGCACGAGTCCACCGCGGCAAACTCTCACGTCGAGAACACATTTTCGACGTCACCTGCAGTCGGTATCACTTCGCGGAACAGGAAGCCACCCAGTCCGCCTATCTCGGCCTCGATTGGCTCCTTCAGGGGCCGGCCCATCATGCTGGATGTCGTCAAGGATCCCCGCATTCTAGAGGAGGCTGCCGAGATGGGAGACTTTGACACCTTTGTCGGTAGCGTGGACGGCCGGAGCGGAGTCGATAAGAGCGACCTCAACAGCTTCCGGGCCAGCCTGAGCAACGCACAGTACTCGGGCACGCCCCGAAGCTTTTCGGAGAGGTTTGCTATGGAGCAGATGGAGCAGGCTACGGGATCTAGGCGAGGTGGTGATCGACGTTGAAGGAGGGGCCAGAGCTATGGATACGTCTGGACTCTGACGCCTGAAATGCTATTTACACCGCCATGATGATCGCTTTAATCATGGGATGCGATGTCATCCCCCAAGCTTGGTCGCAATGAGCAAGCAATACGTTGAATTGTCGATTTGTATTACGTTTCGGGCCTGTACTATATACATGAAGCAACAATTAATCTAAGAGGAGAATCGGCGGCAACGCCTTGGGCCTCTTTCGACGAGAACTTGTGATGCTGGTGTTCCAGGTGCACTATCGTAGATAGATGCGCGTGTTTATCAAGAGTACATTACTTGCCATCAAATTGCCCTCCTTGTGCGCTTGGAGGCATTATAATGTCTTGTCATCGGGATGAGAGCCCTCAAAGTGAGTGAAAATGGGATGGACCCCTGACATGGACTACTGGGACGCTATTGCGAAAGGGCGGCAGTGCGGTCGGCCGGTATTGGAGGAGTCATTGGTGGGGGTGGCACCATCCAAGTCCAATGCCCAACTTTGGGTGAGCAGCGAGGCGGGGCAATTAGGTACCCGTACCGGTACCATATGAACTTTCTGGCGCGCGCGCAGAACATTGACTGCGTGAAGGTCATGGCAAGTTCTGATTCGTTCCGCAGTGACTGATGGCCCTGCAGCTGCATCCAGAAACTCCCAGGTCCAGACTGAAATCCACCCCCACTACAACTTGAACTTACTCTTGCAGGAAGCTACCACCCAACCACGTCAAGGCTAAGCCTCCAAGCCTTTTTCTTGAGGGACCGGCTTTTTAACCTTCATCACATCGGTTTGCCTCAGACGACAAGATTCCTTGCCAACCCACTACACTACACTGTAATAATATACCAGCCAACGCCTTGCGCGCACGAAGTAGACGATCAAGGATACTGTACTCTCGACAGGAACACACAAGTCTTATACTTTAGGGACCTCCACACGGCGCAACCCCTCCTCCCTTCCCAAGCAGCTAGTGATACGAGGACGAGGAGGACAGAATGGACGGGAAGAGGCATCTCAACTCGTTCCAGCAGCTGGAGAAGCTGGGTGAGGGTACCTATGCGACAGTGAGTACCATTCCGCCCTGGCCGGCCGTGCGCCAGCGAGCGTTTGTAACTATTGCTGACGAGGTCTGAACCATATCCAGGTCTTCAAGGGACGGAATCGGCACACGGGCGAGCTCGTCGCCCTCAAGGAGATCCACCTAGACTCAGAGGAGGGCACGCCGTCGACGGCGATCCGCGAGATCTCACTTATGAAGGAGCTCAAACACGAAAACATCGTCGCGCTTCACGATGTCATCCACACCGAGAACAAGCTCATGCTCGTCTTTGAGTACATGGACGGCGATCTCAAGAAGTACATGGATACCCAAGGCGACAGGGGCGCGCTGAAGCCGATGCTCATCAAGTCGTTCATGTACCAACTGCTCAAGGGCATCGACTTCTGCCACCAGAATAGGGTTCTCCACCGCGACCTCAAGCCTCAGAACCTGCTCATCAACAGCAAAGGCCAGCTGAAGCTGGGCGACTTCGGCCTGGCACGCGCCTTTGGCATCCCCGTCAACACCTTTTCCAACGAGGTCGTCACGTTGTGGTATAGGGCCCCCGATGTCCTGCTCGGCAGCCGGACGTACAACACGAGCATCGACATCTGGTCCGCGGGCTGCATCATGGCGGAGATGTACACGGGCCGGCCGCTCTTCCCCGGCACGACCAACGAGGACCAGATCATTAGGATATTCCGCATCATGGGCACGCCGACGGAGCGGACCTGGCCCGGCATCACGCAGTTCCCCGAGTACAAGCCGACCTTCCAGATGTACGCGACGCAGGACCTGCGCCAGATCCTGCCGCAGATCGACCCCTCGGGCATCGACCTGCTGCAGCGGATGCTGCAGCTGCGGCCGGAGCTGCGGATCAGCGCGCACGAGGCGCTGCAGCACCCGTGGTTCAACGACCTGATCCTGCAGCACCACCAACAGCAGCAGCAGCAGCACGGCCAGCACGGCGTGGCGAATGCGTCGAGAGGCTACACGCAGGCGGTGCCGTCGCAGGCATCTTATGATAATTACTAAGTCGAACCAGGTTTGCCAAGGGAATGGCGACTGCTAGGGGTGGGGGGTTGCTGTGCGGATGAGGGAGAACGCGCGCGCTTGGAGGCGGATTTTGAGCATGATGCGGGTCGTAGGCTTTGCTGTCCGGAGCACTTGCATAGGGGCATAGGGTGGGAGGGCACTGGGAAATAGCGTAGAATTAATGATCTTTGTCTTCTTCATTCATTGTTGTTATCACAATTGCTTGGTAACAGGTCCTCCTGGTGGTCTCTTGGTTTGATAACGGTGCTAGGCGAGCGTTAAGTTTTTGCTGTTGGCGAGGTACCGTTTTGGAGATTTGGGTAGTCCCCTTGCCTGAGTATGAACCTGCATGTACTTCTTGGGGGTGCCTTCACTACCTAGTACAAAGCCCCTCGAGTGGATGGCTTTTGGTGCCTGGTAGGCTTATCTGCTGATAAGAAACATGCACGTCCATCCCCCCACTGAAGCCTGGTCGTTCTGAACTTGCACTATTCCACAAGTGATTGCGGAGGGCGACTCCACATGCGACTACATCCCAAACGCCTCATAACCAGTATCGCCAACATCGCGCCTCTGCCGACCACCTGGTCTCTGTCCATCGCCGAAACAGCGCAGAAACAGCTCGCCGCACTCTATTACGCCTCATCACCCCCACACCGTCAGCGATGGCGGACGGCGGGAAGAGTAGGTCCAACCCCCGCCCACCACGAAATCACGGCGTTATTTGGGAAGACGCGCGCGCGCGCGACACTGTGGCTGACAAAAGATTTGCTACCCTTGTAGATGAGGAGACCACCATCAAGGTTGCGTCCAAGAAGGGCGCCGCCGGCAAGGACAAGTCCGACGGGGTCATCAAGCTGAAGAAGCCCGCTCCCAAGCACAGCAAGCCGGGCAACTGGAAGGACGGAACGGTCATTGATAGTGCGTGCATCTCCATCACCCACTACTACTCCTCTTGCCGTCTCAGGATCACTTAGCTAATGCGCATCCACTCACCCATCTAGATGATAAGAGGTCAAAGTCATCCGCGGCCAACAACAACAAGTCAGCCTCGCCGACGCCACCCATAAATCAGCTGGACGACCGGGCAAGGGAAACATTCCCGACGGGACGGCCGCTCGAGGACCCGCCAGATCTGCAACAGTGCAAGCACTGCAAGAAGAGCATCTTGTCGAGCGCGGCGAAGGAGCACATCGCGGCGTGTTTGCAAATCAAGAAGCAGAAGGCGCAGCGGAAGAAGGAGGCGCGAGAGGCGAGGGAGAGGGCGAGGGAGAAGGAACGAGAAGAGGAGTCGCGGAAGGCGGAAGAGGAAGGCGGTGGCGGCGGCGGCGGCGGTGACGACGACAGCGACGAGGGCGAGGGCGGCGGGGCCGGTGACAAGAAGAACGCGGGCAAGACGACAAAGAAGTCGGCCGGGAAGAAGACTGAGAGCGCGGTGGGCGGCAAGAAGCGCAAGGCCGACGGCGACCTGGACAAGGGCCCCAAGAAGAAGAAGAAGGACGAGCCGAAGACCAAAGCGCCGAAGCCTAAGGGACCCGTGGACGTGGAGAGGCAGTGCGGTGTCATCCTACCCAACGGCCAACCCTGCGCGAGGTCTCTCACGTGCAAGTCTCACAGTATGGGTGCGAAACGAGCCGTGCCTGGTCGGTCTCTGCCTTACGACATGCTCCTGGCCGCGTACCAGAAGAAGAACCAGGCAAAGCAGCAGAGTACGTGGTTTGAGCATGCTCTTCTTTTGTGTCATATCTGGGGGTGGCATCGAGCTAACTGTCTACTCTAGAAGCTGCACTGGACGCAAACGCGCCGTTGGAGGACGAAGACGAGGCAAATGCCGGCGCCGTCGACTCGGACGAAGAGACGGCGGCCGTCATGTCTGCGCTCTCGCGCTGGAAACCGCAGCCTGTCGTCCCGCAGCCCGTGCTCCAACCGATCAGGCGGCAGTACCAGCTCGCGCGGCTGCACGAACAGCTGCACACGGCGACCAACGGTGGGCGAGTCAACATCTTCAAGGTGGTCGGGTTCGGAGCGCAGAAGCTACCGGAAGGCCACCCTGGCCTCTTGGACAACGAAGACGCCATCGGCGAGCCGGACATCGCCATGCCGGGCGACTTTTCGAGGCGGTCCTCGAGCTTCAGCTTGTCGGCAGGGCCAGCGGCCCAGGCTAGCCGGGCCTAGAGCGTCCCGCAGTCTTTGGGCAGGGAGGCGATGAAGTTCAGAGGGCATAGGGACCGAGGCCGCTCCGAAAATCGATGGCCGAGATTGGTTTGAGAGGGAAGGCGGGGGGGCTTTGGCAAAGCTTTGTCGCGAAGGATAAGTGACAAGCCCAGCACAGCACAGCACAGCACATATCACATTTTGCATATGCGGATTACACGGCGCTTTGGGGAGTACATGCGAACTGCGTTGTACGATTGCACACCACGACTACGGGAGCATTTGGTTAATTGGCACAGGATGGCAACGGAACCCGGGTTTTTGACGGATGGCTTGGGCGGGGATTCGTTTTTTCTCTTCTGCTTCTTCCTTTCTTCGGTTCCCACTCTTTGGAGTTTTTCCCGAGTTAGTAGATATACCCACTCATCACAATCACATGTATTAGGTACCTAGCCTATTGCCCAAAGAAGAAAAACAAATAATCTGCTCCTCCGTGTGTGTGATAGCAGGGCACGGGGTGGGTGTGCTCCAGGGGTTAGGAGAGATCAATACGGGAGCGTCGCATCCCGAAGCGTCTGGAGCGAATCGGAGCATAGTTTTGCGGCTCTGTGACTGAGCCAACAACGGGCGGGCGCGCGGCAGTGTTGACTGCAGAGACGAGAGGCGGGATGGCGGGGCGCCCCTTGATTCGCTGTCTGGGTGCTGGGCTGGGCATGTCCCGGGACCCTGGGCCCCGACTTGGGGGGGACGTGGCTTGCAGGAGAAGAGAGATTTGATGCGGTCTGGAGGGAGGACGCGAAGCTTATGCCCAATCAACCCACTTTGGGCGAATGTCGACGGTGTCGGTGTGCCGTGGAGGAAGCCCAGAAGCAGCAATGTCGAGGCGCAGAGGCCACTCAAATGTCGTTTCCGGCTGACTCCCCTTGTACACCGTGACAGCTCATATGGACAACTGTGAAGTACCTTGTGTTGGGTGCGTGCAGTACTTGGATGTACTCTATCTGGACTTTCATCATGACATATACTATCATCGAAGTAATACCTACCTAGAGATAGGTAGGAGGGAGAGACAGGAGGGAGAAAAAGAGTGGGCTTCCGGCTAGTGCTGCACCTCCGCTGGGGGAATGACGTCGCTCTATTCGTTGGCGCCGTTTCTGCCCACTTCACAACACCGAGGGAGCGACAAGCAGAGCCCAAGAGCAGAGCGAGGGTATGGACCAGTTACTGCTGCGCTGGTGTGTGGGTATCACATGGTTCAACTAGAGGAGGAATTGCTCCTCCTGGCCCGTCATATATAGTTTACCAGTTGTCGCCCTCCAGACTTTTCGTGCAACATGTCCATTCCTGGAACTTTCCCTACCTCGACGGACCTTGAACGGACTCGAAGGCTGAGCGGTCCTGTCTCTCGCCATTCGTCAGGCTCTGCGATCCGTTGATTGTGGATGTATACCGCGTTTGTCAACGTCTAATTACTTCAGGCCAAAGGCAACAACATCACATCACTTGACACCCTCACCCACCCACAACTCATATCTACATACGCAATGCCCAGCGCATCAAACCTCCTCCCCGCCCTGGGCCACGCCGCCTCGGGCGCAGGCGGCACCGCCGTCTCCACCCTCGTCACCTACCCGCTCGACCTCGTCAACACGCGCCTCAAGGTCCAGCGGCAACTCGCCGGAGGAGGGTCCTCGTCCTCGTCGTCGTCGCCGCCCGACCAGCAGCAGCAGCAGCAGCAGCAGCAGCAGCAGCAGCAGCAGCAGCAGCAGCAGCAGCAGCAGCAGCAGCAGTACGCGGGCGTCCTCGACGCCCTGCGCTCCGTGTACGCCCGCGAGGGCGGCCTGGCGGCGCTGTACGCCGGCCTGGGCACCGACGTCGCCAAGTCGGTGCTCGACAGCTTCCTGTTCTTCCTCTTCTACAACTGGTTCCGGGCGCGGCGGCTCGGCGCGGCGGCCCGGTCGCACGGTGGTCGGCGGCGCAGGAGGCTGGGCGCCGTGGAGGAGCTGGCCGTCGGCGCGGCGGCGGGGGCGTGCGCGCGCGCGCTGACGACGCCGTTCGCCAACGTCGTGGCGCGGAAGCAGACCGCCGCGCTGCTGCCGGCGGGCGGGGAGGGCGACGATGCGGCGGCGGCGGAGAAGGACAAGGACGCCGGCGCGCTGCGGATGGTGCGGCGCATCTGGAGGGAGGAAGGGCTGCGGGGCCTCTGGGCCGGGTACTCGGCCAGCCTGGTGCTGACGCTGAACCCGAGCATCACCTTCTTCCTCGACCAGACGCTGCGGAGCGGGCTGGCGGGCGGCGACGGGGGTGCGGTGGAAGACGGCGGCGGCGGCGGCGGCAGCCCCGTGAACGCGGCGGGGACGTTCCTCGTCGCGGCGGTGAGCAAGGCCGTCGCTACGGCCGTCACGTACCCCTTCCAGGTGGCCAAGGCCAGGGCGCAGGTCATGGGCGCAACCGAAGGTCCCGATTCGGGTGGACGCGAGAAGGAGGAAACGATTAGAACGGCTGATCAACAGCAGCAGCCGGGCATCAAGGAAGCGGCCGCCAAGTCCACCAGGGCGATCCGCCACCTCGTCGACGAGAGCACCCTGGCCGCGATCCTCCGCATCGCGCGCACCGAGGGCGCCGGCGCGCTGTACGCCGGGCTCGGCGGCGAGATGCTGCGCGCCTTCTTGGGCCACGGCACCACGATGCTGGCCAAGGACGCCATCCACGCGCTCGCCGTGCGCCTGTGCCTGCTCGTCGTCGCGGCGCTGCGGCGCCTGCCCGCCGGCAGGGAGGCGCTGCTGCGCCGGGCCCGGGCGGCCGCGAGCAAGGTGCGCGGCGGGCTCGTGCGCGGCGCGCGGAGGCTCGAGATCGACGGAGAGAAGATCCGGGCCGTGGGGGAGGCGTCGGCGAGGGACGTCGGCGACCGGGTGCGCGGCGGGGTCGCCGAGGCCTCGCGGCGCGTGGCGGAGAGCGAGGTGGTGCGGGGCGTCGGGTCCGCGGCGCGGGAGGCGGGCGACAGGGTCCGCGGCGGGGTCGCGGAGGGGTCCCGGCGGCTGAGCGGCGCGGGCGGCGAGACGGCGCGGGTCATGAGCGAGACGGCCCGCGAGACGTCGGAGAGGCTGCGGGGCGAGCTCGCCCGGCGATCGCGCCAGCTCGGCGACAGCGAGGCGTATAAGGCGGTGGAGAAGACGGTCAGGGAGACGGTCGACGACGGGGGGAGCGTCGTCATCAACATGCTGGGGGGGAGCCAGCGGATCGTGAAGAAGGATTGAGGAGTGGGGAGTGAGGAGAAGGGGGGAAGGAGAAGGCAACAGCATACATGACCCCTTGGCCAGTCTCTGTACAATTACTTTAGCTTCCTTTTTTTTTTTTTTGGCGTTGCTGAGGAAAACACGATGCTAGTAGTTGATAGATTCTATGCTGCATAATTGACACCGTTCTTCTTGACCTCGTTTGCGCCCGCTGCCGAGAAGCCCGTCCCTTCGCTCCGGATGCTGACCAGGCCCGGCCGTATCTTGTCCTTGTCCTTGTTGTCCTTGTCGTTCCTTTCCGCCTTCTTTTTCCTGCCGCCCGTCAGGTCTGCGTCGCACACATAACACCGCACCGAGCCGGCCTCGGCCTCGGGCGCGTGGGGGTCGTGGCCCGCGGGGGTCATGAACTGTCGCACGCAGCTGCCGCACAGCACGTGGCCGCACGGCTTGGCCAGCACGGCCTTGGAGGCGTTGGTCAGCGCCTTCTTGCACGCCGGGCACACGCGCTGCCGCTCCTTGGTCTTGGCGTCGGCCTCCTCGGAGAAGTGCACCGTGACGAGCGTGTGCAGCGAGTAGGCGTGGGGCTGGTCGGCCGGGGACGCCGGGCAGACCGGGCTGGACTTGGTCTTCTTCCTGACCTCGTGCAGCGCGTTGTTCTTGTTGGAGGAGGGCGTGATGGAGGGCGTCCAGAAGGACGGCAGGGTGGGCTTGGCGGCCTTCTCGTCCTCTATCGCCCTGCGCGCCTTGGCTCTGTCCTCGCTCGCTATCCGCGCCAGCTCGTCCTCGTCGAGCTCGAACTTGCGCTTCTCGCCTCGCTGCTTCTCGCCGTTCTCGATCGCCGCTGTAGCCCCAGCGCCCCCTCCTCCTCCTTCCTCTGGCCGCCGCGCAGACGTCGTCGCCTCCTCCTCCTCCTCGGCAGCAGCGCCTCTTGACGGTATCCTCCCCTTGCCGGCCAGCCCGGCCTGCACGAGCTCGAACTCCCGGACCGCCCTCTCGCGCTCCTCGGCCTCGAGCCGCTCCCGCGCCTGCGCGGCCTCGGCGGCCTCGCGCTCGCGCGCCTTGTCGAGGCGCTTGATCTCCTTCTTCTGGGCGAGGATGTTGCTGAGCGCGCACTCGCGGCAGTAGAGGTCGCCGGCGGCGGCGCAGCTGACGGGGTCGCGCGCGGGCTCGAGGCACAGGCGGCAGGCGGCGAAGGGCAGGAAGGAGTCGCGGTTGAGGCGGGCCGAGTTGGCGCCCCAGGCGACGCGGGCCATGGCGCGCTCGTGCGAGGTGAAGACCGCGCGGGAGGTGTTGCTCTTGCCTGTGACGCCGATCTCTGGGTTAGCATTCCTGGGGGGTTTGCCCCGTACTAGGTAGTTCGGTCAGGGAGAAGTGCTTACGGGACATTGTGGGCGGTGTGTTGTTGTGTGGAGTTCTCTGGTGAGAAAAAGGAGCAGATGAGGCTCTATGGGAGAGCTGGTGCGCTGCGAAAGGTGTGCGCGGGGAGTGTTGCGGTGTCAATGGGCAGGCATATAGGAAAGTTGTTGCTATCTGGGGCCAAAGTCGATCATGTCGAAAAATGAGGCTCTCGGAGCTACTGTACAAGTACAGATACATGATGTGAGAGGGTCCATACGTCAATTTGCGTCGGGTCCTCGTCCATGAATTAGTGGATCGCTTCAGCCCATGTGGCCCCCACCCGCCTCACTAAATCGCTTCAAGGTTGGGATGTACGCGCTAAAACTTTTTCCTCCGGGGTGCGTGTTGCGCTGTCGAAGACTCTGGTTGGGCTGATCGTCCCGAAAAAACCCCTGGTCACAGCACGCGCAGATGTCTGGGGGGCCACTAAGCCGAGGTGTCATTGATTTTTTCCTCCTCCCGTGGTCTCTTGTGAAGCTGAATTCAAAGCTTGGGGTCTGAGATCGTGCAGACAGACAAAAGCCGCGTAGCCTCGCGCAGGAGACGGGGAAGAATCTCTGGTCGTCTTTAATTTCTCATATCCAGATACGGTCGGTCCCCGGGCTCCTGAGCTGGGGAGCAAGCTCCACCCGCCAGCCTCAACAAAACGCTGTGAGGGACGCGATCGTGAGGCTTTTCGCCACAGACCCTGCACAGATGCGGACATAGGCCTTTCGATCAGCAGAGTTCCTCGCCCTCGTTTGCCATGAGTGTCTCGAACGGGGGCCCGCCCCAGCAGCCCTCGCTGCCATGGCGCATAGCCTCCTCCACGGTCATGGGCCTGACGGGCATCGTCTGCAAGACCATCTTGTACGGCACCAACAAGGTCGAGGTCATTGGGCTCGACAGGTTTCTGCAACGGCTCGAGAAGAGAAAGGACGTTGAGAAGCGCGAGCGCGGGCTCCTCACCGGTATGCTGTGCACTGTTGTTCTCATATGCACTCAGACACTTACTCACTGGACTAACACCCTCGTAGTGAGCAACCACATCAGCGTGTAAGACTCCCAACCCCAGTTGACTTCGCTATCTCTGTCCAAGAGACTCATAAGCCTGACGCAGTGTCGATGATCCTCTCATGTGGGGTATCATGCCTTGGAGATACATCTTCAACCCTCAGAGCCTACGATGGGGTCTCGGCGCGCATGATATATGTTACGCAAACCCGTAGGTCGACCATCATGTGTTTAGATCAGTTCTGAAAAGGAGACCCGTCACACTTACACTACTCACATAGCCTCTTCTCAAACTTCTTCATGGCGGGCCAGACCCTGCCCATGCACCGGCTGCAGCACTCGCCAGACGGCGGCGGCCTCTTCCAGCCCACCGTGACCCAGGCCATCCGCCTCCTCTCTTCCCAGCCCTACGGCAAACCTCTCGTCGGCCCATCACTAACGCCAGCGTCCTCTTCGTCATCACAGACCACAACCCCACCCGCAGCAGACTCGGACCCCTTCACCACCGGCGCCCTGACCTACTCCACCACCCCGACCGACCGCTGGCCCGCGCCCTCGGCCTACCCTTCCAACCGCCACTCCTGGGTGCACGTCTTCCCCGAGGGCCTGGTCCACCAGCACCCGGACCGGGGGCTGCGGTACTTCAAGTGGGGCGTCGCCCGGCTCATCCTCGAGTCCGAGCCCGCGCCCGACGTCGTGCCCATCTTCGTCGACGGCACCGACCGCATCATGCCCGAGGACCGCGCCTTCCCGCGCTTCCTGCCCCGCCTCGGCCAGCGCGTGCGCGTCGCCGTCGGCGACGCCGTCGACTTTGAGCAGACCTTTGGCGACCTGCGGCGCCAGTGGGCCGCGCTCGCGGAGCGGTCGGCCCGCCGCCGGCGGTGGGAGCTGCGCCTGCTCGAGGACGGCGGCCGCCGCGGGAAGGGCGGAGCGGCGGAGGAGGAGGAGGAGGGGAGAAGAGAAGGGACCGTCACGATGATGGGCGAGCTGAGCGACGACCTCAAGTACGGGGCCGAGGCCGAGGCCATCCGGGTCGAGGTCGCCCACCGGGTGCGCAACGAGATCCTCAAGCTGCGCCGGAGCCTGGGCTACCCGGACGAGGACCCTGCGCTGGGGCTGGCCGAGACGTGGGCCAAGGACCCTCACAAGAAGCAGTATAAGAGTAATGTCGATGGCAGTTTGGTGAACCAGGAGTGAGGAGGAGAGAGATGAGGGAGGGGCCGTTATAATAATGCTGATACAGATCTGGCCCATTCACGGTCTGTTTGTAGCTTCATAGATAAAAAAAGTATGGTCCACGATGGTGATGTGTGCAAAGATGGCGTTCTTTTGGATGTAGATATAAAATAAATACAAGGATTGTTCAGGGATGCACCCCGTCCGCATACATGATGAATGGGTATTGATTGAATCTGGAAATTCAAAACCGCGGTTATGGTACCTGTCCTGCCCTGGACAAAACGCCGGGTTCCTCCGTGTATGCAACCCAAACCCGTTTTTGCTTCCAGCAACACCGGTACAGAGATCGTGAAGTTTCACCCAAAGAAGGAGGGGGGAAACCTGTATCCTCCCTTTTTCTTTTTTGGCAGCCCGTGTGACTAACACGCCGTGTCGATGGCGTCCTTCTCAGAGCCGCCTCGGCAGCTATCCAAGAGATAAATCTTCGACGGCATACCTACCTCGAGCCCTTTCTTTCACTGCTCCCACGGGTCCCGGCTGGCCCTGCGTCCGCCGTACCCGCCCCGCTGCACGGCCTCCTGGTGCGCCCGCATGAGCTCCATCAGCGACCGGACCTGCAGCATGCCCATGTCGCCCCAGACGGCCTCCATCAGCGCCAGCGCCCACCGGAAGTGGCCCGGGGGCACGCCGGGCGCGCACGCCGCCGCCCGCAGGTGGAACATGACGGCCGGGACGCCGGCGGCGCCGGCGCCCCCGGCCGCGGCGCCGGTCGACGTCTCGAGCTCGGCCCGCTGCGCGGCCGACAGGGCCGGGTGGCGCCAGTGCGTGGGGACGCTGACGAGCACGTCCTCGGCGACGCGGGCGACGGTCTCGAGGATGTGCGCCTCGTCGTCGGCGGCGACGTGGGCCGCGCTCGACGCCGGGTACCGCCGCGCCAGGTCGGCGATGAGCTGCAGCAGCAGCACGCGGCCCCAGCGGTAGTGGCTCCACACGCGCGCCGTCCACATGTCCTCGTAGCGGTGGTAGCGGCCCCGGAAGCACGCCTCGGCGGGGAAGTCGCCCCGGCAGGCCGCGTACCGCCACTTGCCCGCCGCGCCGTCCTCCCAGCGCTCCAGGGCCGCGTCGAGCGCGATCGCCCGCGTCAGGAGCCCGTCCGTCTCGGGCGCGCCGTCGGCGAACGCCTGCGTCCGCACGCAGTGCGAGAGCCGCACGAACTCGACCAGCAGCGTCAGGAGCTCGACCGACGCCCTCTCCTCCGGCGGCATCAGGTGGCTGCTCGTGGTCGTCCAGTCGAAGAAGGCCGACGGGAGGTCGACCCCCGTGATGATGCAGGGTATGAGCTGGGGGAAATTTGGTCAGCAGTTGGGTTCGAATCGTTGGAGCACAGGCTCCTCCTGCCTCCTTTCAGGGGTGGTGTTGTTACCATGGAATAGCACAGTTGCATCAGGCCCTTGAGGCCCAAGCCCGGAGTGTTGCGTATGGGAATCAAGCTCTTCATCAGCGCCGCAGCGCCGAGTATGTGCGCGTGGGCGCTGTGCGAAGAAACGTGGGTTCCCTTGACGACTTCGAAGAGCGCCAGCATCACGACGCAGCGCATGAGAAGATGCGGGTCAAACGCTTGTGGCTTCTGTATCGCTTTGCCGACCTCTTGCAGGGAGAGGACATACTCGGCCCGTGCCAGATCCTTCGTCGCAGGGTCGTCACGCAAGTTGGACATGCCCCCCAGTCCAATGGCAGCCATCAGGTGCTGAGGCAGCGGGTCGACGAACCACTGCCTCTCGAAGAGCTCTCCGACTGTCTTGGGCTCTTCTGGATGGCCCAAGACATAGTGGTCGACATAGAATTGCACCCCGCGCTCGGTAGGGCTGGCGCCGACAGTCTTGAAAAGCCGGAGCACCTCGTCCTCGGGGTCGCCATTCGGGCCTTGAGGGGTCATGGCCACCGGTGTCGGACTAGCATGAGTATCTCGACTTCTTGAGACGCTTCTCCCCGGGTGAGGCGAGACTGCCGAGAGAGCCGTCGGGGTCGATGCACCGCCCATCGCGGAGTCGGGTGTGGACGAGGCCCGCGAAGAGGAGGGCCCGGCCTGGCCATCGATCGTGTCTGCACCCCAGCGAGCGTGGGCTCTCTTCATGACCTTGCTGCTCTCATCTCGGAACATGAGGGACAGCTGGTCCCGGTAGCCGGGGCATTGCTTGCCTACACGCACGCATTGTGTGCAGTTCGGCTTGACCTTGTCACACTGGAAAGCCCGGAATTGGTTAGAAACATGGTTGCTAGGCTGAGGAGACAATTTGGTAGCAGATCATGACCCGTCCAAGACGAGCTGCAAGCGGAGCGGGGTGATCATCTCTGCGCTTCTCGTGCAGCGTATTCAATTACAGTAGCGACGGGAGCCCTCTAGTAGCAGATTGACAAGACCCAGTGCATATAAGATATACCCTTTGCGGTTGACAGCGACATAGGTGGCTTGGAAACTGGATTTGACAGAGGAAAAGAAGAGACATCGAGCAGACAAGGAAGCGAACAGAGCGGGAAAAAGGCCAGAAACTCACCCTAATTCGCCTGGTTCGGCAACTATCACAGCCCAAGGAAGCCTTCCCACAATAGACCATTGTGAGAAGGCAATGGGGATCATCAGTCCGGTAACGGTGGAAGAGGGTCGTCCAGCTTTGGTTACAGTAGCTGTCCTAGGGCGCCACGAGGCGAGGATGCGACGACGAAGTGGTGTATCGAAACGGGCAAAGAGATCGTACGGTGTGGGAACAGGGCCACCGTTTGCAGGACGATGGCCATCGCCTACTGCACGAACCAGCAGCCTCTAGTCAGTCCGGACCAGGGGGGAAGCTCCCCCAAGGGCGAGAAGATGCGGTTCACCTGGGCAGAGGCGGTGAATCGATTGGAAACCGGACCGGGTGGTATCCCCAGGAGAAGAAGACCCAATGAGGAAAATGGAGACGTCTGGATGGATTGGGCCGAGAGAGCTCTGAATCTGTCAGAGCTCAGTTTTCAGCTTATCCTGATCCAGTTGGCAGCCGGGGCCCGCAGCCATCGGACCAGTATCAAGACGCCTTATCTCTCTCTGTGTTGGTCAAGAGGGAGTGTGTTTGTGTGTGTCTGGTTTTTTTGTATAACGAGAGAAAAAAGAAGCGATCGAGGCGAGGTTGCATTCCGCTCAGAAGGAGAGGTTTCAGAGAGAGGTGTTTGTACGCTGTGCCGCGATGTCCGCACGCCCTCTCTCTCCTCTCTGTATCCGAGGCTCGTTCTCAGGGCCAGAGCAGAGAGCTTTGAATGAGGATGATGACCAAGCAGCAAGTAGTTACTCTGTAGGAAAACAAGGAGCACGGAAATAACGGGGCGACGGTCAAATCGACTCCCCGCTCGACTGAATTCGTCTCTGCCTTATTACGGAGTACGTTCCAGGGCTGTCTGGCAGGGCTCCAAGCTTGGACAGGGGATGTTGCCTACTGCACTGCACGTCCTGGCTTGTGGGACCAGCGAGCCTGGCGTTTACGTAGCCGGGTCTGTGACGACAGGCAGAGGGCGGCCATCTTACTGCCGGTATGAACATATCGACGGCATTATTGCGTGGGATTAACCTTTTAGCTGACAGCCAGCGAAGGAGCGCTAAAGGCAGGGGGCGCCAGCGCTACGCACACCCGTGCACCCGTGCTAGGATTTGGCCGTCGAGGACCGGACCAGGTTGATCACTCACTCTCGCATACTTCAAGTGTACTTGTCAATGCAAGGTAAATGCAAGCACCATGGGTTCAGATGATGAGCCCATTCGTGTATCCAGTATTTGCGAATTGAACTGTCTTTACTTTAAGCCACAAACTACAGTATCTAAGCCGTGGAACGAAAGCTCAACCGCGAGGAATGTGAAATGTGCGACACGCATGGATCTGGCGTCATTCGACCCGTCAGCCATGTGCGGTCGCCGCTGTCATTTCATTTCTAGGTCTAGTCCTTCGTCCGCGGCACGCCTTGGCGGCATGGTCCCGAAATGTAAAAGGAGATCTCCTCATTTCCACTGCATTACGCAATCTCTATGTCTTCTTCGTAAGTCGGTAGGAAAGGGAGTCTAGGTAGTGGTATCTACAACTGAGGTTCCGCCAGAAACATAGGAAATCTAGGATAGACAATATGGATGATATACTCCAGGAAATGTAACTATAACCTAACCCCGATCGCGCCGGTATCCGACGCTTCAACAAGACCCTGGTCCCGTCGGGATCGGGATTGGGATTGGGGTTGAGTGCCATGCATGCTAACCATCGGCCCTGCATTGCCGGCTGATTCCCCAACCCCATGTAACAACGGATCGAGTCTGTGTTTTATCGTCCACTCACACTCGTTACAGCATTTCTCGGCTCGCGACTGCAACGCGAAAAAGATTCAAAGACAGATGAGGGCGTTACTCGACGCTTCCTCGGCTCTGCGTGCTGTGGCCGTTGTTGACGATTCGTGCCGTGCTCATGGTCTCGAGATCGACTTCGGAGGTTTGGTCGACAGCCTTGGCCTTGGGCTGTCGCCAACCCATAGGTACGAAATCACCGGGCGTGAAGACGTTGAAACCGGCACAGCAGAGGAAGATGGGGGCGGCGTCAAGGGCATACAACCTATATGGAGCGACTGGTCAGTTCATCGGCTGAGGGCGCTGAGTTCTGGAAATATCAATGGACTCACAGCCACTCATGAGTTGAGACATATCCACCATCACGGCCAAGGCGGAAGTCAATCTCGCGATAGATGGACCGGATCTGAAAGCCAAATCAACGTCAGCCTCCCAGGACACATATCAAGGACAAAGCATGTCCAAACGTCGAACTGCTTACCACAATCATGATGCACGACAGGTTCACGACGTACAGCAGCAAGCGCCACTTGGGTCTGAACCTCCTCTCGTCGCCCTCCATGGTCACGAACTTGCTGTTGGGGACGGGCACGAACTTGCTCTCGAGGCTGGCCCGGAAGCGCTTCGACACGAAGTGGAAGCGGGCGGCGACAAAGGTGAAGAGCCCGAACGCCGCGATCTGCAGCGTCACACCCGCATTGGCGATGTCTTTGCCCTTGGTGAGCTTGTCCTTGGCGTTCTTGTCGGTGACCTGGGTGGCGGAGATCATGACCGCGCCGACCAGCTGGAGCAGGAGGGCGAAGATGTCGAAGCCGACGAAGATGGGCGTGATCCATCGAGCTATCAGTTGGGACGTGCGTGTTACTCATCACTCCTTCTCCTTTGACTATATTGCGGCTTTCTCGTTGTGCAAGCTTACCTGGAATCCAGAGGAGTTTGACCGTGCGAGACTCCGGGGGCACGACGTGGAAGGCGATCCGGCCAAAGACGACGTAGATGATGCCGGCCATAAAGACCGGCGCGAGGATGATGCAAACAAACTGGATGATGTAGATGGTCCGTCCGTAGACGTCACCAGCGGAGGCGACTCGAGCACCGTAGCCGACTGTCTCCACTGCCGTAGGAGGCACGAAGGATTAGAGACGAGCATCTTCGTGGAGGATTCACACCCGCGTCGACAAACTCACTTGCAATAGCAAAGACCATCACCAGCCAGATCCAAGCCCTTGTGCGTATGGCTTGAAACAGGGTCACTAGGAACGCCAGCCCGAAGAGGGCGGCAAACACTCCGGCCGCAGGCTGCGACGGAGAGTAATCGTAGTAACTGGCATGTGTTCTGGCCATGTTGTCCGCCGATAAATGTTGTCCACCGAAAAGGGATGTCGATTCGAAAACAAGAGAGGCGGACGACGGCGAAGGACCAAGGTCACAAAAGGAATGTATTTGAGTACAGGTCGAAAAAGACGATGAATATCAGCCTAGAAGGGAACGACGATTTGCTGAAATCTATCAAGAACTTGGAATACTGGTCAAAAATAGAAAAGACCCAGGGCTGACAGCGTCAGACTCGAAGTCTGCCCGTATCAGCGTCGGGAAATCGGTGCAGGCGATGACCCCGAACATTTTCAGACCTGGCATCCAATCCGTTGCTATCTCTGCCTTGACAGATGCCAGCCCCATCTAAGACACAGCTATTATACGCCTTTCGAGTCATTGCACAGCCTCACAGTATGGGTCTATTGGAATTTTAACCTTAAAAGCTTACGTCGACGAAGCGGAGGTCGGTAGCGCAAGCGCCCGGTCCTCCGGTTCCGGCCTAGTGATTGGCGTCCTGTTGTTGTGGTGTTTTGATGCCGTTGGCCTCGGGAGTTAGTATATCAGACTGCTAATCTTGCCAAGACGAAATATAGGAGTTCTAGAACAGTGATCATTCTTTTGATGAGTGTCTCGCTTGTGGGCATTGTTTGCCTTTTTCTCTGCTTTTCCCTCCTCTCTTCCTAGTCCCCTCGTTCGGTCTCCTCTCTCGATCTCAAGATGATCCCCAATGAAACCAAAACATTGTGTGCTATTGTCAACGAGAACACACATTTTCTTGGGTATTTCAACAAGAAATGCCGGCAGTGCTTACTGTGAATTTATACGTGTGCCCGTCAGAGTGCGTTGACACCGGCAGTCAGGATGTCTGGTTCGAGACCGGACTTTTGCACCAAACCCCGGAGCCGAGCGCCTGGGCGCTAATACTTCGTAAGCCTCCCAACTCAACTGGCTGCGTCTGTTTCTGTTCCTGCCATGCTCTGATAATTGGAATGCGACATGTTCAATGCTATTCTTCCTTCCATTCTACGACCAATTGACTGACCCTCTACCTGTAGAGGGTCTCCAGTGTCGGGAGTTGAGAGAACCACCGATCCGTCTTACAAGAAAGCAACAGCTCCCGCCAAGGTGCAGGGCAAAGCCTTTTGCTACGACCGGTCTCGCCCTGCCCGACCAGGTGTCGATATGATGAAGTATCGCTACCAGAAGCAACAGGGTTCTGAATTGCCAAATCCCATCGTCATCCTACGCCGTGCTACAATGGCTTTGGGATAATTGATGAGGCTGAACGCCGCTTGTGCCATCCGGAGCTACTTGGCTGCCGTGCTGATTATTGGTGTGCCTCGATGTATCCTTTGTTACCTGCGCTGCCGGCGGGGCCCCAGAAAGGTCAGAGTTTCTTAGGAGTAGCTTCTCCGTACCGTACCTGCTCCGTAAGGTAGTTAGTGCCAAGGCGGCTCAAATTTGTGTGCTTGCCTGCTTTGCCAGAGCTGGCTGGCAGCTGCCCTGACCTGGCTGCCACTTTTTTTTTTCCTCCTTGCTCCGACAAAATTCCGAGGCTGCAATTGGGGTTCTGGTTCCGAGTCCACACCAGACAGCCCAGCCCCATTGAGAGAACAGACCAAGCCAGAACCAGCCAGACAGACAGACAGACCCAAGAGCCAAAGGCACCGACGACGATCCAATCGACGACAGAGCCTTTTTTGTATGACACCTTCTGGCCCAAAGCCAACTCCATCACCCAAACCTCCATCGCCGTCACTCCCATCGCTCTCACCTCCCATCTCCTCGTCTCCCATCCTTCCTCCCTCCCCACGTCGTCTGGTCTTTGCAAGGCGGCTGTCACTTCTACTTTGAACTCTCCCACACATCGCCCTCCGAAATCCAGTCTGCCGTGCACCTCTTGGGTCGCCATCCATCCACCCTTCATCCACCTCCGTCGCAAATCTTCATCTTCGCCCATCCGAGAGTCCTCGGGTTTTCAGTCACTGTGAGTCCGCAAACGTGTTGTTCATCTTCACACCATCGATTGCCCAACCAATCCTCGCTGGGCAAGCTCAATACTTCTTTACTGACCTGCTCCGATCTCAAGATCTCCGTAGTGCTCGACACTTGATCAGTCAAGCTCGACTGCGCAAACCACTCGCTCTACCGACGCATCACTGCCAAATCAACACAGCCCTTGCGTAGCAGCGACGATGGCAACCAACGGTAACACCGCTCACCCCGACCACGCCGACGCCGGCAACAGCAACAACCCGTCCAAGGACGAGGTCGGCTGGTACTTTGTCGAGCAATACTACACCACCCTGAGCAAGTTCCCGGAGAAGCTTCACGTACGCATATCATCCCCTTCCCTCCCCGAGGCTCACTTGTCGCTAATTCAATCAATAGCTCTTCTACGGCAAGAAGTCCCAGTTCGTCTACGGCCAAGAAGCTGAGGTCGCCAATGTCTCTGTTGGTCGCCAGGTACGTCCATCTTCGTCCATCGGGCACTGCCTTACCCCGCCCCCTCCCCGCCAATCTTCTCAAAACTGACGCAAACTCTCTCTTTACTCAGGCCATCCAAGAGCGGGTGAAGCAGCTTGACTTCCAGGACTGCAAGGTCCGCATTTCCAACGTTGACGCCCAGGGCTCGGTCGACAACATTGTCATCCAGGTCATCGGCGAGACCTCCAACAAGTCTGGCGAGCCCAGGAAATTCGTCCAGACATTCATTCTTGCCCAGCAACCCTCTGGATACTTTGTCCTGAACGACATCCTGCGATTCATCAAGGAGGAGGCCGAGGAGGAGACTGCTGACGCTTCGGCCCAGCCCGATGTCGCTATTGCCGAGCCCACCTCTGTCCCGGCCGAGATCCAGCCCGAGCAAGAGGCTCCCAAGTCAGTTGCCGATACCGAGGAGTCCACCCAGGCTCAACTCGATCCTGCCGTCGTCGACAAGAAGCTTGAGGAGGCGGGCGCTGAGGAGTCGCAGGCTGCCTCGACCGTTGGCTCCGCTGCCGAACCCGCTCCCGCTCAACAAGCCGCACCTGTCGCAACGCCCGCGGCTGTTTCGTCGGTTCCCGACCCAGAGAAGGCTGCTCAAGAGATTGCCGAGGAGGAGGCCAAGAAGCCCGAGACTCCCAAGGACCCTACTCCTACCCCCATTCCTGCTCGTGCGCCCGCCCCGGCCCCGGCTCCGGCTCCAGCTGAGCCCGAGAAGCCCAAGGAGCCGGCCAAGCCCATGACCTGGGCCAGCCGTATTGCCGCCGCCGCAGGACCTCCCAAGCCTGTCGTGCCTCTTCCCAAGGCTGCTGCCCCGGCCGCTGCCCAGACAAAGCCTACTGCTGCCCCCGCTGCCGCTGCCACGGCCGCGGCCCCCGCTGCTGCACAGCCTGCTGCTCCCACGCAACCCGCCGAGACGGCCGCTAAGGATGCCGGAAACGAGTGGCAGACCGCTGGCGCCGATTCGAAGAAACAGAGCCGCCCTCAGTCCATCTCTGGCCCTCCCCAGCAGGAGGGATGCCTCGGCTACGTCAAGTATGTGACTGAGAAGGTCCAGGCCGCCGATCTCAAGACTGCTCTTGCCAAGTACGGCGAGCTGGTCTACTTTGACATCAACCGCATGAAGGTGAGTAGCACATTTTGCCCAAGATCTGTATCACTCTGCGAGAATGGTTGACTGACCTACGAACAGAACTGTGCTTTCGTTGAGTTTGCCTCGCCTGCCGGATACCAGGCTGCCGTTGCCGCCAACCCTCACACCGTCAACGGAGAGAGCATTGTTGTTGAGCCCCGTCGCCCCAAGGCCGGTGCTTACGGCGGTAGCAACTACAACCAGAACCGGGGCAGCATCTCTGGCCGCGGCCGCGGCGGCTTCGAGGGTGGACGATCCGGCAGCCAGAGCGGTGGCCGTGGCGGTTTCGGCGGACAGACCCGCGGCCGAGGTGGAAGCAGCGGTGCTCCCCGCGGTCGTGGCCCCTCGCAGGCTGCCAATGCTTAGGTGGACCGTGGAGTCTTGGTGGGGGAGCAGATGGGTGCTGGTCCCTTTGGGATCGGTGGCTGACGGTCGAATGCTGGAGTTGGTGAAGGGGGGTGCGGGAAGCATATTCAAAAGCGATTCGACATCTGTCGTTACTTCTACAAATAATTGCATGGACGGAGCTGGTTTCTTTTCCTGGCCTTGAAAAGTTGGGATCTGGTTTCTTTGGAGGGGAGGAGTTTCTTATGGAACGGTTGATCGACGGTAATGGTCGTTTGCTGGTTCTGGTACGCCGCCTACGCTTGACTAGTGAGGGCCTGCTTCATTTCCCACGTGTTCAGTGTTGGGCAACCCGGGAAGGATGGGTTCTGTGTATAATTCTTCTGAACTGTGCTGGGGAGAGACCGAATGACCGAGAGAGTGGGAGACCGGGAGTGGGGAGTGGGAGTGGGAGCGGGAGTGGGTAGATTGAATGAGGGGACGGAGGACGGCTGCTGAGCTCGCTCACGAGGGAACGCGGCGGCGTGATGCTCAAACTTTTCTACGGGGCAGCCTCAACTTTTTTTTGACGCTGTGTATAATAGGCTGGGGCTGCCATGTCAACATATTTACCGCATAGCATTATGAGAGAGAGAGCAAGGGTGGTGGATGAAAGGGGGAAGAATATGACCAACTCTACAGACCAAGAGATGCGCTCCATTGCCACCATAGCTGTCGGTTGTTGTAGGTACTGTGGGATGGGATGATCGACGATGTGTGAGGGTGTAGTCAAACTGCAATAATAAAAGCTGGCTTCTGGTTCGCATTCAGCTGGTTTAACTGCGTGAGTGTATTGGGGGGGGGTTGATTGGCTTCGGGATGGCGACTTGGCCGGGTTGACGACAAGTCTACAATACCTAGGGAACTCATCTGTGTTGTCTTTTGTTCTGGGCTAAGTTGAAGAACACATACGCTCTGGTGGTTTTTTATTGTTATTTGTCTGGTAACACCGGGCTCTCGGAGATGTGATGACTCTCCAATCAGGAGAAGGTTGTTGTCGCCTTGTCTTGTCGTGGTGACAAAGAGTTTCCAAGGGGAGTTTAGTTTAATAAAGCAAAATGCACGACATCGAGATGGAGACTCCTATTTTCCTTCCTACAGAGGTTCATGTTTGTTTATGCAGAAACTACCTAATGTGTGTCAGTCTTTGACAGGAAACAAAAGGGGGAAAGACTAGTCATTGGCATTTTGAACTCTCTCTGTGTTGACTTGATAGATCAAGGGAGCTGAGGGCTTCCCCATTCCTTGACATGGACTCCTTGCTTTGCCGTTCGTCTCAATGGCATTCTAAAGAGCCCGATTGTGTCTTTGGATGTAATCCGGGTCTTTCTAAACATGCAGATTGAATTGCGGGAACTCCTTAGGGGGCTAGCTGTTCGCCGTGACAGCACAGAAACTGGTGGAGGACGCCAAGAGGGTCGAAGAGGTTGGTGGGTGCGCGGATGACTGTCGGGGAACTTTTCCATCCCCAGATAACCATCTGGGTTCGATGTTGCACCGCAAGCACACTCGCATGCTGTCCATGTCCATTCATCCCATCCTTACCCATATTTACCTGCTCAGCTCCAGAGCCATTTCGCCTTGCCCCATCATCATCATCATGCACCCACCGACAAGGCAAAGCAAACATGCTATTCTCAGAATACCCATCGAGACAGGCTCGGGAAGGGAAATTCAAGATAAACCGCGAGGATTTACCCGTGCCACATGGTATTGACCGCCGGAAGTCTACATCCCACGCCTCAACATTCCCCGAAGGATCGGGGAGACTGACTGGCTTGGGCTTGGGGGGTGACTTGCGCTCGCCGCGCCTTGTCGTCTCCTCAGCTCGTCCACCCCCCGCATGCCCAAGAAGTGCGGCCAAGACCCCAGAGTCCACCAATGAACCTGCGACTAGATACTAAGCAGTGACCGGCTCGCTTCTTCTGGTCCTGAATTGGGCGAATCTGTACAGTCTGGTGCTCTCTGGCGTCTTGCTAGTATGCATCTTCGCTTCTCGGTGGGAAAAAAAAAGAAAATGCGAGCAGAATAGGTTGGCAGCATAACGCAGCAGCTCTACCTCCAACCAACACAAGATCTCCCCCCCCCCCGGCCGCCGACCCCCGAGACCCGGGCTGCAGGTTCGCCTGAAGAGCTAAGGCCGTTCTTGGACAGGGCTAGAGGGTTCGGGCGGCTTGGCGTGGGCTCAATCTCGTTCGCTTCGCGGCCGGCGGCGTGGAGACCCCGGAACTGAAGACGTTGAGCAGCCAGTCCCAGTGGGAGACCGCCCTCCCAGGAGGGGACCTTTTCTCTCTGTTCCTGTCGGCAAACCGGGGCTCTCTTGTCCTGCTTGCTGCCAGCGCTGCGTCGCTCTCCCGCCGACCGAAAGCCTGAATAGGTAATTGATGTGTCTTTTTTTGTTCCTCTCAGGACAACGTGCCAACCTGCCCCTAGGGAGGGAAGCCTAGCCGGTCCTGTCGTTGATCTTCATGATGATGGTGTTGAGAAATCTCCCGGTTTGTTTTCGGTTCGTGGACCACTGTTCATTACTCAAGCCCAGCCAGATGACTTTCAGCCATCCGCGCCATCATCACGTTGTAGGTTGCCGGGGCATCCGCGCAGGCGGCATGCCAATTGAAGGACCTACCAGACTACTTGTACAGCGTAGGGGGAAAACGAAAAAAAAGTCATGATCTTTGCTGGAAATATGTCACCTAGGTACTTTACCCGAACGAACCAGAGCGGGGGTTCGGCCGGCTTGGAGAAACGAAACATTCACTCTCTTCAGTTTGTGAAAGCATGGTACCCGGCCGACGGTTTGCAACCAAGATTCCGCCGAAAGGAGGCTGTGTTCCCATCAAACCCGCACTGGCGGGTTGGTGCTGCACACTAGGTCCTCTTTACCCACCGACCTGACTTGCCCTTTCGCATTCACAGGTAGTCGGTAGCGAGCCGGGAAGGGGATGGATGGGTTCTGGTTCTTTCAAGACGACAGACACATCGTCTGTTCTGTCGTCCCGCTCCATCCGCCCCATCCGGATCAGCAGCCTCTGCTTTTCCACACCCTCCCATTGGATTGGGCATTGGGGGGTAAGGTAGCGACAAGTACTCCGTAAGTAGGTAGGGGCCCAAAAACAACGCAGACAGACAACACAGGCAGGACAGGGCAGGGCCCTCTTCTTCTCCGGACGGGAAATCCGATACAGGCTTGGCCCTGCGTAGAATGGGGAAAACTGGAGCGAGCATTGACGCACTCTGATCGTCCTAAAGCGTACCTTGCAGTCGCTAGCGTCGAAGCGTCGTCTCCCCGATCTCGCCCAACGGCATTGGGTGTAGGTACTTCGTCATGTAGTTTCAGCGGGCGTGAGGGCAAGAGGGTCGTTTGGGGATACATGGCAATCCGAGGCTTCCATGGAGACCCTCCTCCCCTCCTAAACAAGCCGTCATGCTCTAGCGGAGTTCCTGGTCAGTCTTGGTATTGTCGGCATCCTCGCCCGTTTGCTGGGTTGAGGGTTCCCCCAGCCAGTAGGTGCTCTCTCTCTCTTTTTTTTTACGAGGCTGCCACCCATCCGGGCGTGTGATACCTGACCCTCCTTTGTTTCCCTCCTGCAACTGCCCATGCAGAGTTGATTGTGTTTGTTGTGATTGCTGTCTCTTTTACATGGGTTTGCTGATCATTTTCCGCTGCGGAGCCAGCATGATGTAAGGCGATGTCATAAGAGGAGGAGAGCCATATCAAGGAAAATACGACGCTTTCTGAAACTGCGCTTTCTTTCGACTTCACACACCCGCAGAAACAACAAAAGAGCACCAGAAAAAAAAAGGGAAAGAGATCCTGTATGAATTCAAATAGCGACTCGGACAGGTCCGGGGCCAGCACGCCGGCGACAATTGGCCCCCGGACGTCGGTGGAGGAGGACTACTTCTACCGCGAGGTCATGGCGATCACGAGGACGCCGTCGGAGCGGCCGCCGGCGTACGACGCGGCCGTGATGGTGAAGCGGATCCTGGCCGACCGGATCCGGGCGTCGATCGAGCAGGGGGAGCGCCGCCAGGAGGCGCTGCCCGAGTACTCGTGCGACATCAACTGCGAGGGCGTCTTTATGCGCAAGATGGAGATCCAGAACACGACGAAGCGGGCCGAGGACCGGCACTGGGCGACCATGTTCCTCGAGCTCAACGGCACGGCGCTCAACGTGTGGCACTGCAAGAAGGACCGCGCCTGGCGCAAGGCCAAGGGCGCGCCCAAGTTCTCGGCCGACAACCCGCCGTGGATGAAGAAGACGGTGCTGGCCAAGAGCTACAGCCTGGCCTATGCCGACGCCGGGATCGCGGCCGACTACCAAAAGTATGTCTTTGCCTTTTAAAAACTTGAAACCTCATTCCTGCCGACATCTTTCATCACGTATTGCGTCTCTTGTAGTATTACCTATACTGACATGGTAATGTCACCCTGTGTTGTGTATAGACGGAGATATGTCATCCGGATAAGGGCGGAGACGGACCAGTTCCTCATCTCGTGCACGGAGCTCGAGACCTTTGTCAAGTGGCTCGACGCCCTCTTCGCCGCCATCAGCGTCGCGGCGCCCCTCGAGGACCGCGACTTCCCGCGGGACCAGAGCGTCCCGCGGTCGCAGCGCATGCGCTGGTTCCGCGGGCAGGCGGCCGCCGCGCTGAACAACCGATCTGCCGGCCGCCGTCTCGCCGACCGGCTGACCGGCCGGACCGACCCCACCGCCGCAGCAGCCGCCGCCACCGACGCGGCATCGGCAACCCCGGGCGGCCCAGAAGACCTGCCCCCGCAGTTCATAGAAGACCAGCAGCGGCGGCAGCAGGAGCAGCAGGCCGAGGAGGACGCGATCACGCCGCTCCCGCCCCTGCCCTCGGCGCAGGCCCAGCGCCGGCCCCAGCCGCCCACCGCGGCGGCGCAGACGGCGGCCTCGATCCTCATGGGCCGGCTCTCGATGAGCGGCGGCGGCGGCGGCAGCAGCAACAACAACAACGAGAACGTCGACACGGACACGGGCAAGTGGACGCCGCCCAAGAAGTGGACGCGCACGCACGACATGGTCTACGCCAAGCTGTGCTACGCCGTGCTGCTCTTCACGAGCCCGCGCAAGTCCAACTACATCGTCGCCAGGGGCAAGCAGTGGTTCGTCGACTGGCCCACGGGCCGCATGGTGCGCGTCAACCCGCCCGCGTACGGCGAGACCGACGTCCAGGGGCCCTGGCACGTCGTGCGCCCCGAGAGGCCTGCTACCGCCGTCGCCGCGGCGGCGGCTGCGGCGGCGGCACAACAGCAGCCTCAGAGGGCGTGAAGGAACGACGTGTGTGTGTGTGTGTTGTGTGTTTTGAGCAAATGTTGTTTTTACCCTTGTTTTCTCGGTTCGATGTTTTTTTCTGCAAAGCGATTGACATTTTGGTTCGGACGAGCGATCTTGCTTTTTTCTGTGTTTTTTTTCCGGGCTTGCCCTGATGGTCTGCAGTCAATTGAGACTGAACCGACAACCCCCCCCCCCCTGCCGCAGGGACCCTGAACTGCACTGCACTGCACTTTCTTTTGTCCTTGTGTGAGCATATTTGCCTTTTCTCTGGAGTTTTTTTTTTTTTTTTTTTTTCGAACTGCTTCTTTAGAGTGAGCCTGGTGTTTTGCGAAGCCTTGTCGTGCATTTTCATCTGGGGGAGAACCAAAAAGGCAAGGGAAGGAGGACAGTGAAGGAGGACAGTGAAGGGATGGAGAAGGGATCAGATATCAAGGAGAACGAGCAACATTTGGGCTCCTCGCGTGCAAACGCCTGACGTTAGAGGGAAGGAGTGGCAGGACGGTTTGGGATATCATGCATGTGTGTACATAAAGACGATTGAACGTATAACAAGACATTGAAACACTGTTAAAAGCTATCTCCCTCCTACCGGACCGGAACTCCTGGAAAACGCCGTAATCGACCGTCGAATGCTCATAGCACTCCCGTAGCTCAAGCCCACGTGGATATCATGTAATACAGATCAACTCCCACATCCCAGATTCGAAGACTCCTCCGATACCCCCCAAGTCAATGCAGTTTCCGTCTCCCTTTACACAATCATCACGAGCCCGCCGACGACGACGACGGCGCCGCCGCCATGATCTCGAGCTCGACCTCCCTCGTCTCCCGGGCCAGGTCCCCGACGACCCCGCCCAGCAGGTCCGACGCGCCGTCGACGTCGCGCAGCGCGCCCTCGAGCGCCGCCAGCAGCGACAGGATCTCGGCCCGCTGCGCCGCCACCTCGTCGAACAGGCGGGCGTTGTCGGCCTGCACGTTCTGCAGCCGGGCGTTGAGCTGCGACTGCTGCGAGGCCAGGTGCGGGGCCATGTGCGCCGCCAGGATCTGGTCTGCGGGGAGGAGGTGCGGGCTATTTTGTAAGAGGAGATTTGAGTTAGATGTTTAGATACGCCCTGCAGCATCGAGAAAGAGAGAGAGAGAGAGAGAGAGAGAGAGGAAGGCACTCACGGCACAGGCGCCTCGGCCAGCGCGCCCTTCTCGTCGCGCCGCCTCGAGGCGTCGCTGATGAGCGACTCGAGCTCGTTGAGCTTGGGGACGACATTGCGGTTCGTCATGATGGCTTCAAACTCCCTCTGCAAAACAATTCAAAAAACCAAAACAGTGTCAGCAACATGTAATGTCCCAGTCGTTCCAACCCGTAGATATATGCTTTCCTTCAAACAAACAAAACGTACATTACACCTCTCGGCCAGCCCCTCGACGACCTGCCTCTGCACCCGGCCCAGCGCCTGCGGCGCGTGGGCCGCCGCCGTCGGGTAGCACGCCGCAAAGTTGTCCCAGCTCACGCGCGCGAGGGTGCGCGACAGCGTCGAGGCGTAGAGCTCCTGGAGGCGGGCGGCGCGGGGGCCCGGCGTCACGGCCGTGTGGCGCGTCGGCAGGGGCGGCGACGCCGCCCCTTCTCCCCCTTCCTCTTCTTCTTCTCGCTCCCGGGCCTGACTTTGCTGCGGCGGCACCTCGGGGGTGTCCTCGTCCATCCTGTCTGGGTCGGCGGCTGCTGCTGGTATGCTCGTCGCGGAGGAGGGGTTGTTGTCTTGGGCTGTGGTTGTGGATGGCGCCTCTTGAGGCGGGTCTGGGTTGGCGGTCGCCATGGCGCTCCTGAACCGAGGGTGTTGTACTGTGTCAATTGAGATCGAGAAGTCTAACTGAACATGTCAATGCGAGAAAATCGACTTCAAATCCCGTGGTGCTGATCTTCCAAATTGACTTATCGGATTGAGAGGTTCAGGATAGTAACAAGACGCGACGGGGATGGTCCAACACGCGTATCGATAAGCCGATAAGCTTGTAAATGACCGGCCCTGCTATGCTCCTTTCAACCCGAAGCCTGTCAATTCCTCCAATTCGAGTAGAACACTCATATCGTAGTAACATGACACCTGGATATACTCAATTGGAGACCCGATCATGTGAAGTAAAAACAGAGATCATCATTACTATAAAAACATGACGCAGAGGTCCTGGTGCTCTCGAATCACACAGAGAAGCACACCTATCGAGCATCTAATCTCATCCCGAAAACATCAAACATCCCCGAGTAACGCCGCGCAGAATGATTTCCATCTCAGTCCCCCACATCCCTCGAGCAGATGACATAGCCCCAAGGCCTTCCGTTTCACAAAATATACATCATACAGGCATCATCAACTTCATCCGTCTCTCAGTCAAACTCGACGGTGCCGGCTTGCCTTCCGCTCCCGTCCCGTCTCTCCAGCCGCCTCCTCCTGCGCCTGTCCGCTGCCGAAGCCGTCGGCTCCCTCAGCGGACCGCTAGGCGAAGGGCTGACGCCACTCCAGGTGCCATGACTGCCGCTATCAAGTGTAGACACCGTGTGGCCGGCAGCAGGGTTGGAACCCGACGGGCCAGGTTGGCCGGAATAATACGCAGAATCCTTCGGTCGGCGTCCTGCCGCAAAAGCCGGGTTCGGCGGCGACAGCGGTGCCAGAGGCTCCTCAACTGCGTGCTCGGCTGCCGACTCTGCCCTCCTTTGACTCGAGTCCCGTCGGTACCGCCGCCTGCTAGGCGTGTCTGTGCCCGATAGACTGCTTGCCGAGTCATCCCGTCGTCGACTCCGTTGCTCCCTCCTTGACGCTGCCTGCTCTTCCTCAGTGAGTCTGCGCAGCGTCACATTGCGGTCGCGGTCGTCGTGGACCTTGACCTTGACGCTCACAGGTTTGCCGGATGGAGGATAGCCAGGCGGCACTCCTCCTCTGCGTCCCTCCTCTGCGGCGAGCCGGCTGGCAGACGCTACTGCTGCTGCAGCGGCCGCCTCGCCCTCTCGTCTTCGTCGCGATGAATGCCTTCTGTGCGGCCTTCCTCCAGACGAGTTGTATGCCTCGCTGCCAGATTCTGGATACAGGATACCATGCGGGTCTTGAGGCATTGCAGGCATCTCGACGGGCTCAATGAAATCGTGTCTTGAGCGTGACTGGGATCTGGAATGTCCTCCAGGCACGGGTATCACCGTCGGAGGGGCAGGGCCACCCATCGGGGCTGCGAATGGTGGCATCGGCGGTCCGCTCGCGGCTGGCGGGCGAGTCTCGATGATGGATGACGACATGTCTGATGCGGTCGTCGTTCTGGCTGACAGCGGCGGACGGCCGGGGCGACGAGAGTCTCTTCGCGTGGGCGAGGGATAGCCGTCTCCGGTGTAACGTGATCCGTGTGCTCCCGTTCGTCTCTCTTCCTCCTCCATCCTGTCGATGTCTTTCTTGCCTCGCCGGTCCGCCATCTTCTTCGCGAACCAGCCCAATCCCAGACCGGCTAGCAAGCCCTTACCGACACCACCACTCCCTTTGACGGGTGTCCGTCGCGAGGGGCTTTGGTACGACGAATAATCCGAGTCATCAAGGCTATCGACTCTAGAATCGCCTCTCCGGTGAGAGGGACGTGGGGTCATCGGTCTTGCGGCCGTGCCAGGGCGAGGCGCTGCGGCGCTCATGGCTTCTGCAGCGAGCACTGGGTTGCCTGGGCCAGGGAGGAGAGGTGTTCTCCTTCCATCTCGGCCACCGTGGCGAGTATACTCGGTCTCGTCGCTCAGCTCCGTCACCACAGGATCGTGTCTCCTGAATGGTCTAGAGAGTCGGCTCGGCCGGCTTGGCGTATCGGTCGCTACAGCAGAGTATTCCTCGTCCCGAGTGTTGCGGTCGCGTCGGCCCATAAACTTTCCGAGAAGCGCTCCAGCACCAAGAGCAGCACCTGCTCCGAGAACCTTGTTCATGATGCCTCCGCCAGCCGGTCTGCGCTCAGAGTATTTCTCGTCTTCAATATAGCTTCCGGAGCCTCGGCGTGACGGAATGACTTCGGGGCCGCGGCTTCGGCTTCGGACACGCGAGCGGCTACGATGGCGGCTCCGGGATCGTGACCTGTCCCTGTCCCTGTCCTTTCCTCGTCCGCGGAGCAGAGCCCACGCGCCAGCGCCGGCAGCTAGTGGCCCAAGCCATTTCATGCCACCGCCGCTTGATCTCCGCTCGGAGCGACTGACCTCTGACCTCCTTCCTGCCAAGTACTCCCGCTGATGACCGTCTCGCTTGTAACTGTAGATGAAATACAATAGCACCAGAAAGGACATCCAGAGGGCGTAAAGGACGAAACAGAATTTGGGCGAGCCGTAGAGGGTCAGGCCCAGCGGAACTTGGACGATGCCCAAGATTGCGATAGCTCGGCCAGACCAGTGGTGGACTGTCAGTCGCAAAGAACGATGTCGGATATGCTTGACGAGACGACCACCGATAGCTTGCAGGAGGATCAAAACATAGATTGCGACTCCAATACCGTGATGGGGGTTTGTTAGGCTGCGATTCGGGCCGACCGCGAACCATCCGAGGATGAAAACGACTGTCGTAAGGCCAACAGCGAGAACATTGAGGTATGCATGGTATCTCCTGGCGACTTCTTGGGGCCCACGATGAAACCTCACAAACATAACAGCTGCGGGGATGATGAACAGAAAAGCGATGGCGCCCAGTACACCGTGGGCCAGAATGATGCGATGGTATTGCGGTATCGTCGCAAAGCGGTTTCCCATGCCTGTCAAATACCAATGTCAGTCCTTCATCCATAGCTGAGCTTTGTGCCACTTGGCGGCTGACGAGGACAGCGAACGCACCGTTATATCGCATGGTATCAAAATTCATTCCCACAAGATTGGGGAGTAAGAAGGTGTTCTTGGTGAAGTCCCAGGTCCCGTCTCCCACGCTCATCGTGTCTGATGAGTAGGAACTCGACCCGGGAGGGGCCATGGTGTCGGCCGGCGCCATGGCGGCGACGGCGCTGGGGATGGCAGCTCAGGGCCGGGAGCGTGAGGAATGCGGAGGTCCGTATCGAGAAGGGACGGCGACTCGGTCGGCGCTCAGGCACTGGTATGCAGTCGCAAATGAGGATACTGCCAAGCCAAGTGCGTCGAGGTTGCAATCTCGAGGGTCTTTGCGAGGAATGTTTGGCAGTCGAGCCTGGTGGGCTTGGGCGTAGCTGAGATGGATGCGTTGGAATGGCGGGGTATCAATAAGTCGAGCTAGCTAATGCAAGATCTCTAGCATGTAGGTAAATGCTCTCAGGTGGGAGTTTGTTCTTGCTGGTGATGTTCTCGATATCGCAACTGCGTCTGGCTGTCGTTCGCTCCAGAAACATGTACGTGATGCAATGTTGGGGACAAACAAGGGTTCACCAGACAGAAAGGCGGTCCAGCCAAGGGCAGCACAGGAATCCACAAGGAGCTGTAAGTGGCTGTTGTCAATGGGCCTCAAAATTGTAACTAAGCTGGAGATCTGGTTGATGGGGGAACGGTAGGCACGGCCCACCCCTGGTGGGGCCGCTTCCTTAGCGACAATCCCGCCCCCCATAACTCCAACCTACGGAGGTCTGGAGATCCTACTTTCCTTTTTGAGGTATCGATCCAATCCAGAGAGACAGGCGAGAAGAAATGAGGAAAAACATTGCAAAGTTGAATCAAGTGGTAAAGTTCAAAGCGCAGTCATTCAGGGAAAATACGAGCTTCAGTCATTTGCAAACATCGTCTTTGAGATCCTAGAGGGTCACCATTTCTGGGTTCATGCAGATGCACCCAAGACAGAGAGACTCTCTCTCTCTCTCTCTCTCGCATTCAATAAATACAGCACATGCAGCTTCCACTTATTAACGTTGATTGGTTGTTGTGTGGAGAATGTGGTAGCGAAAGACAACCGCTGTTGCGATGTCGCAGCGTGTGCCCAACGTTGAAAACTGCGCTTCACCGGTTCTCACCGCACATGAGAGCACAACCCCAGCAATGATGCCATCCTTCTGGGCACACAATGTTTGCCAGTGTCTTTAGGATGCAGATGCAGAAACCCGTCCTGGTTTCCGGATCTGACGACTGAGGCAACTCTGGTGTTGCGATCAAGGGTACTTGTCTGACTGACGCCAGACCGGGTAAGTCGATTTGATTCGACATGCAGGAAGATGATCCAGATCCGCTCACTGTGAAGGCAGCTTGCCGCATGTAACATGAGCCATACGAATGATGTCAACCATCTCGTGACGGCCGAGAGAGCCGCAACGGATGGCACCGGCTCCGAAATCCCCTCTTGGCTCCAAAGTCGACATGCCGTTTAAACTTCAGCGCGGACGATCTCTGTGCATTTCTGGCCTAACTAATGTGCCGTGAGATCCATTCGTGCCATTGCATCTCCACTGCCGCCCATGCACGACTCTTGGGACCCATGCTTGCATCTGCAGACCTTCGGAAAATGAAGACCTGATTGAGGCCATACGTGCCGATCTTGCTACATGACCTGGGATCATCTCGTATCCATTGCTTTGGAGAGTCTGGAGAGGACTGTATAAAAAGCAGAAGCCCCCTCGAGCCCTCCGTTTGCAACAGATCCCACATTCTCTGCAAAGCAATAGAACAAGCGATCTATTTCTCCCTCGATTGCAGCACTCACAGCATCGAATCTTCTCCTCAACTGATATCCTCCTCTCTGCTTCAGTCATCACCATCATGAAGTTCTCTCCCAGCTCCCTCCTGCTCGGCCTCGGCGCAGCCGGCGCCATGGCCCAGGCCGACGTGCAAGACGGGCCCTACGCCCTCAAGATCGTCGACGCCGAGGACGCCTCGCTCAACGGCCTCTGGGTCGACGCCTGCCACAGCGGCGCCGCCATCGACACCCCCTGCTTCAGCGCCGACGCCGCCGGCCGCGAGCTCTTCTACCACAACCACACCGCCACCGGCGAGGCCGGGCCCCTCATCCGCTACTTCAACGTCGACACGGGCGGCGACACGCCCACGCGCGTGCCCCAGCCCCTGTCCCTGACCTACGTGCCCTCGACCAACGTCGCCAACGGCCTGCTCAGCGTCGGCAACACCGACCCCCTCAACGTCGCCTTCGACGCCGCCGGCAAGCTGTTCGTCCGCGACTACTACGACGACTCCAAGTTCGCCGCCGGCGAGCGCCCGCAGCCCGGCTCCTACGACCTGTACCACTGGCAGGTCTGCTGGAACCTGGCCTCGAGCTACTACTACCAGAGCCTGGCGTGGGTGACCTCCGGCAACCCGCACAACCCGACGTGTGTCGCCGTCAACGTCACTCGTGTCACGCCCGAGGACTAAGAACGGGGTGGTTGTGCGATTGGCGTCTTGTTTGCATTTGCTGAGGAGCGAAGATGTGCTTGCCAGCGGGCTTGGAGAAGTTTTTAATGTATATTCTTAAACATTTGGGACTCGACCCAGGGTACATAATAATTTTAAGCGATGGTATCTTTCAGTGAAGTAGCTCAAATGGTCAAGTAATTGGTTGACTTGCTGGACTAGCCAGACTTCGCTTTGTTGAGATTCTTTTTTTGCCCTTTCAGGACTCCTTGATGAATTTGACATGCTTTCGAATCGAGTCTGAGACGACTTTTTCTTTTTGCCTTTTTTCTCTCTTTTTGATCTTCATCCCATCTTAATTTGAGCTTATTGTCGAGGTTTTTGATGCCGGTGAGACCTCAAATTGCCGCACCCGACCCAGATACTCAACACTTCGACTAAGCTGCCATTCTAAAGATGCTCACTTGAATCCATCAAACTCATACAGTCTATAGCTTTGGAAAGCCTGCTAATACCAACAAGAGGTGAACTGCTCGCCACTCGGCAGCTCCCGGCCAAAGTGGGTACCGGGCCGGTACACTCGGACCCACTCCGGCTCCGGTCCCTCTCCTCCTGAATCCGAAGCACCCCTCCCGATAAGCGGCACAGTAGTTAGCGACAGTGGCATACTGACATCGGATACGGACCGCCCACTCCGTGGCACACTGATCGTACGTTCAGCAACGGCTGAGTGACTCACAGCAGCGGGCCCCGTAACACCCAACTCCCGAACGGGACCGAAGCTGCAAAGAACCTTAACGGGAGTATGCTTGTCTACACGGGTTCACCCGGGGGGCCTAGGTAGTTCGCGAGCCACCGAACAAAACACCAGACCCTGCCCGCGGTGGAGGCCCGACGGAGCATAATTCCGCGGAGTCATGCACGACACATGTCAACCAATGCACGACATCGTTGCCGCCGCGACGATCAGGTCGAAGAGATGATCGGCGGGAGGCATGCTTGGGCATTACCGCACTTGGGCAGAAAAAGAGGGATACGGATTGCGGCTCTGCCGTGTCTGTTTTCGCCACTCTACCACGCCCTCTACACTCTACTCGAACTGTACAACAAACGTTGTTGAGTCAGGTCTGCCGCCTCGACTTGCTAAATAGGGGGAACACAACAGACCCGTGCGTCTAACGGGGCGGCCTCATGCCGTGGTATGGTGATGCAAGGCCCTTTGTTTCATCGTAGCACGGGCGGGAGAGAGCGGCGGAAATGCGGAAGGGTCTCGAAAGGAAAGGAACGGCAAACAGAAAGGTATGCCAGACCTGCATGGCTATGGTTGGACAGGAAATGTGTATGGCGTGGCGAGGTGATCCTGTTTTTTTCTATCTCCCTCTTCCTGATATCACAAGTGTCATCGTGATTTTTCTTCACTTTCGGGTCGGCGATCTACTTCCTTTGGCAAATCGGGGGCCAAGGGGACCTACCTATACGACGCTACCCTCCATGCTGTCCGCTCACCGCTTGAACAGGGCGCAGAAGGCTCCGAGGGGTGGGAAAGACTGACGTCGTCGTTCCTCTCACCGAAGAACAAGTGCTAGACATAAATAGAGCGGTGGGAATGGAAGAGGGTGTCGAGGGGCTGGCCAGTCACGCCCAATTGGTTAAATGCCGCCTACCTACTTTGTCTGAGGTGCGGGCCGAGTAAACCGGTCGCCCCGGCTGTAAGAAGGAGAAGAGGGGAGAAGAAGCCCGAATCTCCAGCTGGACAGGGCAACAGTTTGTCTTCGCCCTGACTGCAAATCAATCATTCCCCGAGTTTCTTACGAGGCGTTTGTAAATTGACCCCGTATGACGAGGCAGCTGACTGTCGCTCTAATCGAGAGTCTTTCTTTGGATACGTAGCACGTTATCCAGCGTCCGGTAAACCGGGAATCTTCCTGGGGCCTCCCACAGCTGGATACACATTTGAATCAAATAAAAATCCATGCATGCTGCATCACACTAGGTGACCAGTCCATCCCGTCACCAGGCCCTGTTTGTGCGATTCCTTATTGGCTACTGTACAACACGGTCAAGCGACACTTGGGCATCGAATCCGGACGGAGTATCAGTAGAAGAGTGGACATCACAAGGAGGGACGAGATAATTCGACCGCCGCAATTGCTGGTGTCCTGGAGGCCTCGAGCACAAATGCAGTGGACCAGAAATGCACTGCAACGGGCAATGTCGATGTGTCCGACACAAAGAAAGGTAGAAGAGAGGCTGCCTGTTGTCACTGCAATCTGTAGCTCCATCTGGTAAGACGACCTCGACAGACTGCCCGAAACAGGTTGGGTCGGCCTGGTGGTGGCAGTGCTCTTTGCGCATCCGCGAAGTGCTTAGCAGACAAACCAAATCTGCCTTTCGATCAGGCTGAATGATTGATTCACTGGTGTAGGTTGACTTTCCCACCTTCCCACACATGGCGCTGGTGCCTGGCTCAGTGGCACCCTCCTCTGGACACATATCGTGTGTGAGTGGGTGTGTTCCTACTCCCATCTTTTCCGTTGCTCGATCTTGGGACACCACCTGCCCATGCCCAGGTCGGGAAGGGATGTGTAGGTTGTGCTAGATTGGCCAACAAGACACGGTCCGATGTCTCACTTGTGCGCCTCACTCAAGGAACAGGAAGAGCAGACAGACTGCTCATTGCTGCCACGTTTCTGGACCGAGACAGCACAGATAGCTAGTTTGGATATCGATACACATGACGATAATAGCTATATCCAGTGCCGCATGGAGTAGGAGAAAAAGTCTATCTGCCCTTGGGTGATACGAGACATGCGGACTTTTGTGGCTGTATGACCTGAAGTTCAGTCGCAGGCTGCCCCTCTTCTTGATGTGTGTTATAGGATGGGGATGATATTAATATGTGAGAGGGGATGCAGGTGTGCAGGTGTGCAGGCTTGGTCAGTAGCTAAGCAACTAAGGAAACAAGAAGAGGGGTAAGTAACTGTCTCCAATGTCAGCATCAACAAGATCGGCAACAGGTGGCTGCTTGAGATGGCGTTATCCGAGAAGAGAACCAGAGAGATAGATGAAACACTTCACATTCGGTGAAATGCGGGCAATCTTGGGCTTTGCCGCCACTTGGCAATGCCGTGACGATGTCGTTGCCCTGCTTTGCGAAAAAGAATTCGTCGGCGGTATGGGAGGGAAGCTTGCGACACTGGCCAGGCTCACATGTTGTCAAATACATGCAAGATAAAATCCGGATGTCGATCCAATTCCTGCAGAGGTGCATTGACTGGGCTGCATGAGAGGCAAACTAGTGACGCCCAATTGCTGTGAGACGCCTTTCCCCGATTGGGACGAAAGGAAAGAAAGCCAGTACATCTCGTAGTGTACGCAGTATCCAGTCGCGAAGCTCGCTCGAGCTTTTGTTATTTTCATGCGGTGAAGAGCTCGATCAATAGCAAAGAGAAAAGCAATCTGACCTCACTCGTCCACGTAAGAATTGTACTTATAAAACCATATCGGGGGCGAGAGTCCAGCGAGTGTGAAATTCTCGAGCCTACTCCCTCCCGGCCCCCAAACCGGGATGTCTTCAGCTCGATTATCGCAAAGAGGTGACGCACACCTTTCCTGAACAATAGCTCACTTACCGAATCGAAGCGGGGTCGCCTTTTGTCTTGACCAACGTTTTGACAGGTGTGACTTGCTGTTCGTTCCCCAGACCATCGGCTTCCTTTCGTACCGCCTAGGTTCTTCCTCCTGCCCTCCTGATCAACAGTCTTCCCCTGCGACCAACCAAGTGCCTGATTCGAATGGGGCTTGGAGTTTGGAGAGCGAGGAAGGACCCGCGCACTGCCCGGCCCGTCTGGAGTCATCCTTGAACCCTCCCACCCCGACGATCCATACCCTCTCACCGACGGTGCGGAAACGAGGCTTTGCCTGGTTGCCTAGGACTGTGAGAGGGCTTTTCTCGGCAGCTGCCCATCTCGAGGCGTCTCCAAGCTTGGGTGGGAGACGGATTCTCTTCCCATCCCGGTCAGTCTTACCAGTCTCTCCGGTCTTCCCTGAAGAGCCATCACTCCTCAATAGCCACCCCCTTGACTGCACACCCTCTTCTTCACTGGGCTCAGAAGAAGATATCACCCCCGCCCTTCCGGTCCCATCCCTCAGAAACCATTTGGTTCCCTCCATATCCAGTCGTCTCCAGTTGTCTGGTGCTCGCCTCACTTTTCGTAAACTTGTTCAACATACGTCGACACCCCGTACGACTCTGCACTGCTTGGTAGAGTTGCTGGAGGCAGGGCTTCGCCTTGTTATATCTTCTCAACACTCTGCCCCTTGTAAACTCGTTGCCTTCCAACCTTGCCATCACCTCCACACAGACCCATCATCAGGGATTCTCGACAAGGAACGCCCCGCAAGAACAAGCACTTGACCTTGATCTTTGCCCTTGATCTTTGCCCTTGATCTTGCACCATGTCTGGGGGACCAGGATTCATCGATCTGAACGCTCGCCCACCAGTCCCTCCCCCGGTGCCCGGTGCCCCTCCGCACCAGGGAGGCCCACGGCCAAACATGGGGCAACCCAGCGCTCAGGCAAGGATGCATCACCAACAGCAAGTCGGAGGCATGCCTATGCATCAAGCACCCAGGGTAGTCAATGCCGCTCCGCCACAAGCTCCCCAATTTCCCCAGCAGCACTCGCTACACTCTCCTGTGGAGGTGGTGGACATTCGGATGGAGAGGATGTCCAGCAGCCAGGCCCGGGAGATGCTGTCTGAGTACCATGTATATCGCTTCGAGAAGATCATGGACCAGGACCGATTCGACAACGAAGGCAAACCGTTGCCGCCTAACTGGCAACAAGTCCACAGAAGTCAGGAGAACGACCCCAAAGTGGAGGTGCTGCGGCAGATAGCACGCCTCAACAAGAAACACACCTTGTCAGAGAAGAAAAAGGAGCTCAATGCTGATCAGCTCTACAACATCGACAAGACCCTTGATCAGCTCAAGTCTCGGCTGAGAAATCCGGACCTGGAAGTCAAGCTGGTACAGCTTGATGACCAACTCAAACCGTTTGTGGAGAATGGTCGCTATAATGAGAAAGGAAAACGCGACGAGAAAGACAAGGACAAGAAGAACAAGAACAAGAAGTCGAAACACAACACTTCCAAGACCAAGCTGTCTTGGGAAAAGAAGCCGAAATGGCAGCGCGTAGCCATCATCGCCTACTACAAGATTGGCCCGAAGCCCGAGGTCGACGCACTCGCCTTTCTAGCGCGCCAACAGCAAGAGCAGCGGATGGCTCACCAGGTGGCCCAGGACCAACGCCGGTTCCAACAGCAGATGCAGCGAGAACAGCAAGAACATCAACTGCGAGATGCACAGAATCAGCGGAACTTTCCGCCGCCGCACTTCCAGCAAGGGCAGCATCGTCCTGGCCCACACGGACCTGCCGGTGGCCACCATGGGCCTGGCCATCATCCCCGTGGACCGACACCCATCCAGGTCATACATGAGGACCATAGCGATTCAGGTAGCTCTGATGAGTCGGGTTCCGACAGTGATTCGTGTTCGTCGATGTCAACCGAAGTGACCAGGCCATCATCCAAGTCCAACTCTACCGGTCGTCGCTATCGTAGGAAGCCTCGCTACATCGAGGAGACATACAAGCCACGGCACTTTGGCAAGCACAAAGGAGCCCATCGGAGGCACACCATGTATGGCGGCAGCGAATACACCATCGAGCCCGGCGTAAGCACTGCCTTGCGCGACCCCCGCAGCTCGACTGTGTCGAGTGGAGTGTCCTCTGCCAGAGTCCAGGAGATACGACAGAACGCCTATGCCGCTGGCATCGCGGACGGAAAGACTGAAGCGCGCATTGAGGCGCAGAGGATCGACGACCTCGTGGAGAGGCGAGTAGCGCGTGAGATCCCACGTGCTGCCCGTGTGATACAGTCCCCAGTCGTGGTTGACGACCGTGACCGGATTGTCGAAGACTTCCAGCGGGTGCACATCGTCGACACAGAGCCAACGACGAGGTATCGGCATGTCCCAAGGAACTTTGACGAGCTCGATGATCTGGACTCGCTCAGGGGAGTACCTATCCCGCGCCGACCGGTGTACGAGACACACAGGGGACCCGAGGTGCGCTCGCGGCCGTGGGAGGCGCTGCACAGAGATGCATCGCGGTACATGGACTCCCAAGAGTCACCCATCCTGGCCCCAGAGAACCCTTTCACTCCACTGGCGCCGAGGAGGGAGGGCGGCCAATACCGCCATCGATACCCATGAGAGTGGTCTTCTCCTATGTTTCTGTTGTTGATAATGAATTTTGCAAAGTTCTCTGCGGATAGCGTTTTGTCTTGGTGGAATGGATACCCTCAACGTTCTCTCCTTATGTAACAACTCCAGACTGTCGAGAAAATGACCTGTATTTCTGCTGCCTGTTTTTTGGCGATAGTAGGGGCGGTGTTGAATTTGTCTTGTACTTACAATAAGATTGTCTCAATGATTGATCAACGAGTAACTCATCTTCTTTATCATCCATGGGAACCTGGACAACTGGAGGTTGACATATAAGTGTGAAACAATAGGCCCTCAGAGAAGTGACAGTCAAGGGACATACAGCCCTTATGTACACAAGATAGAGGGCTCCCATATTTCGGGGTTGACCCCAGATCTGTTTGCAGTACGTCGTCTATTGGTAGACAGTATGCATTCGCAGCCCAATGTGCATAATCGGGGTATGAGAATACCCAATGCGAGATGAAGCTATTGAGGAGGTGCTCCTCTTGCTTGTACTGCGCCTCGGCTTATTGGGTCTGAGGGAGACAACGTGGTGCGAATCGATTGGCATGCATGTTACCATTGGCTCTACCCGCATAGAGTCTGCCTGGACGGCAAGGTAAAGGAGGCAGGGGGAGGGGGGAGGACCCCAAGACGGTTGGTCCCGTCCTCCCATCCCGCGGAGGATGGATGCCTGCACAGCTCCATTTTGGGATGTGAATGTCCATTGCCGGGCCCTGAGGGAAGAGAGAACAGTAGGATGGTCCATGTGGTAGTGTGGGGGTTGACATGCATTGCCAATGCCATTAATATGCGATCTACAAATGGCTTTGGGTGTGGGAGTGAACCGAGTTGAGAGACTGGATCAATGATGATGGCTCCCATACAAGCTCAAAGAACCTTGTGAAGCAGTCCTGGAGTCGCTGTTCTGGCTGGAGCTCTGGTCTGTACAACACACAAGCTCTTGGCGCTAAAACGCAGCCCCGGTTCGGCATCTTCAGAGCAGGGGGGCACCCCACCAACGCTACATCCCGCTAACCGGTGACTTAAACCATGCCGGGTTCTGGCGATCAGCGTGTCTGGGCCGAGAGCATCGTCTTATTGATCATCTCGGCCCATATCAAAAACTCTTGTTCGATTTTTACTGGAACTTTTCTCACTGACCTTTTCATCATCTCGACACCAGATTCACAGACCACCAAAACTACCACTCTAGACAGAAACCCACCAGACAACCGCAAACATGGCTCGCAAGTTCTTTGTCGGAGGCAACTTCAAGATGTATGCCCCGCCATGAAAACCCCGCATCGCGATACTCTTGTGTAAGGGAAGAGCTTTTGTGAAGCTGACCTGCCCGCCAGGAATGGTACCATTGAGTCCATCAAGGCCATCGTTAAGAACCTGAACGAGGCCAAGCTCGACTCCAATGTCGGTGAGTGTCCCAACATATCCGTCTTCCAATGTCTGCTTTGGGGGTGGACGGGCTTGGACAGCTTCTAGAAGACAATGCTGACTTTTCCCCTCCCGATATCCAGAGACCGTCATTGCCCCTCCCTCCCTCTACCTGCTTCTCGTCCGCGACCAATTGAGGCCCGAGATCGAGGTCGCCGCCCAGAACGTGTACGACCAGCCCAATGGCGCCTTCACTGGCGAGATTTCGGTCAGCCAGCTCAAGGACAGCAACATCACCTGGACCATCCTGGGCCACTCTGAGCGCCGCACCATCCTGCGCGAGAGCGACGAGGTCGTCTCCAACAAGACCAAGTACGCCGTCGACAACGGCGTCGGCGTCATCTGGTGCTGCGGCGAGTCCCTCGAGGAGCGCGAGGCCGGCAAGACCATCGACGTCATCACCAACCAGCTCGCCGCCCTCAAGGCCAAGATTGGCAACGACTGGAGCAAGATCGTCATTGCCTACGAGCCCATCTGGGCCATCGGCACCGGCAAGGTCGCCACCACTGAGCAGGCCCAGGAGGTGCACGCCGCCATCCGCTCGTGGCTCAAGACCAACGTCAACGACCAGACCGCCGAGGCCACTCGCATCCTGTACGGCGGCAGTGTCAACGAGAAGAACTGCAAGGACCTGAGCAAGCAACCTGACATTGACGGTTTCCTTGTTGGCGGTGCCAGTCTCAAGCCGGCTTGTAAGTTGATCCCAGAACTCGCAAATTGTAGGCCCTCTCTGTGTGCTGACATCAAGCTTGTCACAGTCGTCGACATCATCAACTGCAACCAGTGAGGTGGTTTTTTTGAGGGAAACTTCTAGGAAGAGAGGAAATGGCCATGTGCCACCTCGGTCCTCGGTGTAGGTGACCAGGAGAAGCCTGGAAGAAGGACTATTGTTAGAACTGGGCTGCAACCACACCCACATTCTAGTTAGCATCATGCGAGATTCCAAAATAAAGTAAAAGTTCAATGATAGACGTTCGGTTTGATATGCATGGCTTTGATATTTCTGATTCATCTACTGCATGATCTGTGGCATCTTCTGCTCAACAGAGCCAGTATTTCGCTGTATAGTACAAAGAGGTACAACGTATCCGACCACAAGACACCTTGGTTGACGTTTTAACCAACACCAATAATTATGGAACCAAGTCCTCTACTCTTACATCGTCAAACGGCATTCCTCTATACCTGCATGCCGTTTCCGTGGTACGGACTCCATATGCCTCTGACACTCTCGTTGATACTCGAGACCGGCTTGCTCAACTTCTTGTTCTTCTCGCCCGTCGCGTCGCGGAGCAGCTCCGCCTTTTTCAGGATCTGTGTCGCCTCGAGATTCCTCACACAGATTGCTCTCTCCTTGCCGTTGATGTAGTGGCCAATGATGACCGGGTGTTTTGACGGCCTCGGGGAAACGGTGATCTCGACTTGTGGGTTCTTGGCGGCGAACTGGGGGAGTTGGTGCTTGATGAAAGAGCTAAACACAATTCAAGTCAGCTTGGGGACATGCCGCGTAGCGAACACGGGGAAACATACTTCATGCCCTTGGAACTCCCGGCCCAGTCGCAGTAGTGGAAGTCCATCTTTTTGCATTGCAGGATGAAGGCCCCGAGGCCATTCTATGGGCTGGGTCAGAAATGCAACGAAGATGGGAGACGGGTTTGATCGGATTCTCTTACCTGGCCAGTGGTGACCTTTTGCGCCGCTGCCCTTATCGTCATATTGTTCTGCTTGTCGTAGACCACCTCCTGACGATCTCTTGCTCTCCAACGATGTCGCTGGCTTGCTTCGGCGGGAGCTATCCTTTCCGCAAAAAAGTTCCACACGTGACGACCAACTTTCCACTTTCGAACATTCGATAGCGGCCTCCTTACAAGACAGGGCGCTAATCCAGGAGGGTCTTAGCGCCAAACCTGCCCTTAGGCCGAAAAGGTCCAAACAATTCTTTGTGCCAGTCAGGCGCGATTGAATGGCCTCCCTAATTGGCAAGCTTCCAATTTGGCATCAACTTTTCTCCCAGGCACCCGCGTGCACAATCGTGAGGAGTCCTTCGACTTCATCTTCTCATCCGTGCTCGGGGATCTAGGCATCCTCGGGTTACTTCCTCTTCATCTCGTTCGAGTCTATTTCTTCTTGTTTTGGCTCGAAGTAACACACCATGACGGACAAGCTCCCTCCCCAGCTGCTTGCGCTCTTTGCGCCGCGACCTCCTTTGAAGTGGGTGCAGCCCTGCGACTACCCGGCCGAGGAGCGCAAGACCGCCTCAATCTCGGGTGTCGCCCAGTATCTGCCTGTTCTTCAGGAAAGTCAGGACAAAGACAATTATCAGCCAACGGAAAGCTGGCTGCAACGACGCGATCGGAAGAAGGCAGAGCACGAGGCTGAGGTCCAGAAGCTCCTTGTAGAAGGCCCCAAGCAATGTGTGTTTTTCCTCCCGCGGCCTGCCCATTCCATCTACCTCATCCACGCGCTGACCCATTTGATGACAACAGACAACCCTAATGAGGATCCCAATATTCGTGGCGACGCCTTCAAGACTCTGATCGTCGCGCGACTCAGCTACGAAGCGACCGAGGAAGATCTGGAGCGCGAGTTCGCCCGCTTCGGCTCCATCGAGCGTGTACGTCCTGACGGGCCCCCTTCGAACCGGTTCAGGCATCAAAAGCTGACATCTGAGAACAGATACGGATCGTCAAAGACACCCACGCTCATGAGAAGGGCAACAAGAAACGTAAACCCCACCGAGGGTATGCATTCGTGGTTTTCGAGCGCGAAAAGGACATGAGAGGTAAACTTGCACCATCTTCCCACTTGACTTGTTTTCTGCATAGAACCGGATATCCATCCTTGCCCTGGAGAGAATGGCCCTCAAGCTTGCCTCTTTCCATCATCCTTTTCTCTTCCTCCCTCTCGCTTCTCACGATTCCGTGGTCAAGGTATGATCAATGGTAAGGCTTTACTGACAAGGCGCGTCCTACGCGCGTGTGAATAGCTGCTCTGGACGGTTGTGATGGCATCCGCATCAAAGACCGTCGCATCAAGGTAGATGTCGAACGCGGTCGTACTGTCAAGGGTTGGAAGCCCCGGAGGCTCGGCGGTGGCCTGGGTGGTCGAGGATATACTAGGGCTATGCCCTCGCAACCCATGGGCGGAGGCCGAGGGGGCTTTGGCGGGGGCTTCCGTGGTGGTTTCCGCGGAGGCTTCGGCGGTGGCCGCGATAGAGGCTTCAGAGGTGGTGGCAACTTCCGAGACCGTGGCTACGGTGGTCAAGGAAGCGGTGGCTATGGCGGGCCACGCGGAGGCGACCGTGGCGGCGACCGTGGCGGTGACAGAGGCGGCGACCGAGGTGGCGACCGTAATGGCTTTGGGGGTCCTCCGCCAAACGCCCCCGGTGGTCCAGGTTTCGGTAGCGGCGGCTACGGTGGACGTAGCGGGGGTGACCGTCGGGATTTCTCTGGTCCCAGGGGTGGGTATGACTCCCGCGATGGCGGCGGCCGCTCATATGACGATAGATCTGGCGGCGGCGGCGGCGGCGGCGGCGGTTACCGCGACCGAAGAGACGACCGCCGAACCGGCAGCAACATGGAGCCCATTCGACCGAGAGAGAATGGTGGGTATCGCGACCGCGACCGAGACTATGACCGGCCCTCTGGCGGCGACGACAACCGCAAACGTGGATACGACGGCGGTGGCTATGAAGATCCAAGGAAACTGCGCCGTTATTAAAGGGGCCGTTTTGGATCCTGCGGGCAGTTTTTACTACCCTCACAGATCTCACAAGGATTCCGTCGTTCCGCTTCCTCTCTTTCCCGATGTGGAGGGTAAGGTGCCTGGTCAAGAGGATCCGCAGAGGATGTTCCTGCTCTATCGTCCTGGTACAATGGCCACAAAGGTATTGAGACAAGGACCATCGGATCACTCAAGAGGGTTTGCATACGATATTATACGGAGAGACATGTTTCTCGGCATCACCCGCGACAAAAGCAACCACATCACTGCCTTTACCACCTACTATCAGTCTCGCCCCGCCGAGGAGCGCAGAGCCATCGCCTAGGAAAGGTAATCCTTTCTTTGTAATCTTGTTTTTCCTTTATGTATATCGACGTCGCAGCAAGGAGGGAGCGGGCGGGAGAGCGGGCTGTGGCGGTTGGAGTTTGGGGCGGGAAAAGGTAAGGTCAGAGGTAAGGACCAATGGGGGGGACCTACTGACCTTAGTCCGGCATTCATTTGTGAATGGGCGAGGGGAGTCCGTATCGCATCCGTGTATCACTAGCACACAGCCACGTCCGTGTTGGGCCTCACCTGGAGAAGGCGTCACGCACAATGAGTAGGTATCCTTGCATAATATATCAAAGCTGAAGTAGACAGATGCCTGAATGACATCGCTCCATGGTGCGCCGTGAGCACATGATGATGAACAAGGGTTCTACTGCTTTTGAAGTAATCGGAGCAAAGCTCTCAGACCGCCCGATACTTTGCCTTTCTTTCTTTTTTTAAACGAACCTTAACGCCAGAGCCTGAGACATGGTATATCCCTTGAGAAAAAAGAACCGCGACGAAACATGCAGCATAACTTTGTGGTCCCCTTTTGACCCTCTTTCACTCCTTGTCCTCGTCATCCTCTTCCATGGCATTGGGGTCCACATCCGTGACCTCTCCCGTAGCAGCAGTCCAGTACCTATATTTGTATCCACGAGTGGTTAGTTGGTTCCTTGAATCCCGCATCCAACGCGATTCTAAAGAGAATTAAAAGCACAAGAACATCACAAAAAAAAAAGAGACTTACGCCAACACCCGGACCCGGAACTCGCTCATGCACACGCTAAACAGCTTGAGCAGCCTCGTCTGCCGCGAGTCGAGCACCTGCCCGGCCCTGCACACCGTGTAGCCCTCGCTGCCCTCGCCGTCCTCGCCGCCGCCGAGGACGACCTTGCCGCGGACGAGCCGCGTCGGCACGCCGAGGCGGCGCAGCTCGGGCTCGAGCGTGTGGCTGACGGGCACGTCGTGCTCGGCGGGGACCTCGCCGCCCGTGCTGTAGACGAGCCCGGCGGGGATCACGAAGTCGCGGGGCGCCTCGGCGCCGGCGCGCGCAAAGTCGACGGGCGCGAGGGAGGACAGGTACGCGAGCACGGCGTCGGCGGGCCGGTTGGTGAAGAGCAGGCCCACGGAGCCCGAGAGGTGGCGCGCGAGGCCGTCGATGCCGTCGGCCTGGGCCTCCTCGGGCGTCTGGCCGAGCGCGCGGGCCATGAGCTTGGTCTTGCCGAAGAAGAGCCTAATGTCGGTGTGGTAACAGAACAAAGTCAGTCTCCTTCTCTCCTCTCATTTTGTTTCCTCGGGCTGTGCAGGCCATTTCATTATCGTCTTATGTAGATAAGACGCCCTGACGAAGGATTGGTTTTTGCCTGGACGGCTGCTGGCGTACCTGCTGTCAGACATCTCGTGCCGCACGTCCTTGAGGTAGTTGTTGCGCATGTTGTCGACGCTGAAGACGAAGCAGCGCTGGTACTCGGGAATGGTCTCGCGGATGTTGCTGAAGAGCTTGTCCTTTTGCTCGCGGCCCTTCTTGGTGACCTGCGTCATGTGGACGACCTTTGACCTCCTTGACTTGGGCATCTTGGGCGATACTGATCTTCTCCTTCTTTTTGTCTTTTTTCGAAATACCTAAGGGCTCACTGACGGGGAAGAAAAACCAGGCTGATTGCAACACCGTAAAAAAAAAAGTCGAAGTCAACCCGCCAATGCCAATGGCTAGTAATGTAGATAATCTCTAGCGATAACGATATGGGAATATTTTTTTGGGCGGTGATGGATGGAAAAATTCAAGGCACCCCGCAATCTAAGCTCTCCTCCAGCTGGGCCCGCACCGCCGTGATTGCTAAAGACACGCCCCGGAATCCGCTTCTTCTGTCTGTAAATGTAAACTCTTTGTAGAAACCCTTCCCGGTCTCGTTGACATAACATCACAGTCAAATGCGAAACTCGAATCAGGCTTGGATACAATATAGAGTCAGCGTCTGTTGGATTAAAAAATCTGGGCTCGGACTTGTCTCTATGTCTAAGAATGCTGAAGAGCTGCAAAGAGCTGCATGGCCACACGTAAAAGTGATTTCATAAGGCTTCTTTTTAAGCCAAGTATACATAAGCGTTGCCCTCCCGCTCAAGGTAGTCCTTCTCAATCAACCTGGCAATGTTGTTAGTCAACCATTCACTTTGCGATATCTTCCCATGGCAGATGGGCAAAATCCACTTACTTCTCAATGTTCTGCTTGATGTCCGCCGGATCCATGGCGCCGCGGCTCTTCGTCTGGTTGATTACTTCGGCCACCAGCTGCGCGTGCTGCAGCGACTTACGGCTCTTCATAATGCGCACGATGGCCGCCTGCGTCTCGAACTGCCGGTCCGCCGCCACCCGCTCGTGCGTCTCCTGGTTCTCCTCCTTGGTCTCCTTGAGCTGGATCTGGTTGATCTTGACCCTGTATTTGGGGTCTGTAAACGCCTTGTTCACGGTGAAAGTGTCTGTCTTGCCGACGTCGCGACCCTTGGGGTGCTTCGACAGGACTCGCGTCCGCCCGCACGCCAGGGACTGCAGTGTCCGGTCTAGCTCGCCGTCGACCAGTGCCGTGCTCTGCGAGATTTGGTCGTAACTGAGGGCTTGATCCTCATCGACCTGATTGAAGAGAACCAAAACGGCGGCTTGGTACGCGCTGACAAGCAGCTCCTTGGGTCCCTTCTTGAAAGAAGCCTTCAGCACACAGTGAGCAAGGTTGTTCTTCCACGTAAGGCGCCGACCCGTATGCTTGATCTGATAGTACCGGTCAAACTGCTCAATCTGCTCGACCACTTCGTCCGGCAGTTTCAGGGTGGCGTCGGGATACGACGGCCAGGCGGCGGCGGAGAGGATGTTGACGTTCAAGTCCAGGCTACTCTTGGCAGCCCCGGTCCCGTCCTTCCATTCTCTGTATGATGCCATCTCGTCCTTAGCAAGCTCCTGGTCTTTGAACATCTGCTCCAGATTGTGTGTAAAGCTCGAACCGCACTCGCTCTTTAACTTGCTCAGCATACTTCGCTCGGCATCCCGGCTGGCGCTGCGGCTCATGAGCAACCTCCTCGCCAGGTCTCTCTTGTAAAACGCCTCAAAGACGTCCTTGCCCTCGACAAAGCGGAAGAGTTCGAGGCCCTGCTCCAGTTGCCGATCTAACTCGGCGTCTTCATCTGCCGTGCTAGATAGACCCTCCCGTTCAGCGGTCGCGCGGTCCTTGTCGTCAGACAGCAGTTCCTTGGGCAGTGTTTTCAGTCCTCCTCTCAGCAACATGTCGATGTATTTGGCGATCATCTCGCCGACCTTGGAGGTGCCCGTGTTCCACGATGAGGCAATCTTTTTGTCGTTGATAAAAAAGCCAAACGCTTCCCGGAGACCATAGATGAAATCGTCGTTTCTCCCAAAGGCATCACGGACCATGATATCGAGACTGCGCCGCAGTTCCAATAACCTGATTACCATTTCATCGCCCCGAGTGGTGTCTGTGACAATGGCTGAGCCCGCGCTCTTGATGTACTCCTCCCATGGTTTCCTCAGATCCTTCTGGATACCCGAAAGGCGTAGCAATTCATACAGCGCCTTCATGGACTCGACTTCGTGTTCCTGTAACAATTTCGCTACGCTTCCACTGTCGAGGAGCTTCTTCGAGTAGTTCTGCACCAACAACAAGTGTGCGTCGTCCAGCAGTTGCCTCTTCGTCGTGCTGTCGAAGTTGTAAGCATTGCACCGGTAATCCTCCCTCTCAAGGAGCTTATCGCAAGCCGCAATGTAGTCCTTAAGGTCATTGGAAGCACTGCGCTCCTCGGCAAACTCCGCAAAGTATCGCCGTGACTCTTCCAGGAAGCGACCTTCAAACGACTTGCCGTAGACATTGAAAACATGAAGCATCGAGACTGATTCGCGTAATAGGGTTGCGTCAAATCTGTTGTCATTCCGGCGATCATGATCCACCAGTTGACACATGCCCACCAACACTTTCACGCCAGGTGGACTTCCGGTCTCGTTGCCTTCCCGGTTCCTGAACACCATACGTCGGAACAAGCTGATAGACATGTCGTTGATCTGAGGGTGAACTTTGCTGGTGAGAAGGAATGACCTGTCCAGATAACTGAATGTAGAACGGATGACATTCTGCGATATGTCTTGGTCAACTCCACTGTGCTCATGCTTGATATGCCAGAACAGAGACTTACAGACTGCTCACTCCAGCGCTTCCATTGCTGATAGACGCTCCTCAGCATGTCCACGCTGTCGCCTCCCGCGGCATCCGTCTTGATCTTCTCCAGCACCCGGCGGTAGAGATACTCCTCGCACCTCGTCCTCACCATGACGAACAGTGGCTCCGCCTTGCCATGGCGGCAGAGGTCCTCCACGCCCTTGTACAGCGCAGCCAGCGGCTGGTCGGGCTGGCGGCCCGCAAAGATGGCCCCGAGGGCGGCCTCGAGCTCGGCCCAGATCCTGTCGTAGTACCTCTCGACCTCGGCGGCGCGCGACGGCGCCGACTGCCGCAGGTTCTTGATGACGAGCTTCTTGGCGCCCCCGTGGGGCTGGAAGGGCGACGACGCGCCGCCACGGCGCGTCAGGTCAACGACCTCGGCCCGCTTTCCGGCGACCTTGGAGCTCATAGCGTTGTCTCCAGACCGCGCACGCTTGGCCAGTGGGGCCGACACGGGCGCCAGCAGCGGGTTCGAGTCGACGCGCTGCCGGCGTCGGGAGGGTGGCGAGCTCGGACGTGCGTCGTCGGGGTTGCGAGGTGTCGGCTGCATGAGCCTTGCGGTTGGGGGAGATCGGGGGCCAGAGTAGCAAGCAGTCACGCAGACCTCGGGGCCCTCGATCTGGTAATCAAGTGGATAATTGGTAGGTTTCGTGGTTTGGGATGTAACAGCTCCAAAAGTCCTAAGTCGCCTAGTGTCAGTTAGGAATTGTGTTTTAAAGACCTGGTCTATAACTCACTCTTGAAGAAATGTACGGTTAGAATCAATCGTAAAATATGAATGGCTGGTGGGAAAGTCGAGAGAAAAGGCAAGTGAGGAGGACAATGATGAAATGGTCGGCGTTGACGTTGATACTGGGCGGAGATAAAGCCGGGAGGAGCTCACTAGTTATCGATAAGATCGCCTACAGCAGCTTCCCTGTGATGATTAATTGAAGCAACAAGGAACCTGCCCACAATCAATTTCTCCGCTGTGGGGGAAGCAAGCTACCTGGAACCTTGCTCAAACTTATCGTTGCTCCATGCCCACAGGACTCGCTACATGATCATCCGATTGAAGTGAAGAGGACTCATTATTACGGTGTAATAGCTGGAGGGAGAACAGGAGACACGAGAAATACTGCTCTGAATATTCAGCAATCTCGACACGGGATGTCTGTGCATAGATAGATGACTTTGGTCTGGTATACTTGAACATTTTTGAGAATTGTTGATCTACTTATCGACACCGGTGGCCCCCTTTCTTGATACATCATGTTTATAGGCGAAAAAGGAAAAGGAAAAATACGAATGAGCAACCATGTCTCTCGTCTCCAGGGGAGGGGGAGGAGCGGCTACCAAGGTGCGTTCATCAGGCATATGCGGCCCAACCTAGAGGGAAGATGTTAGCACCGAATCTCTCATGCATGCCGCGTGGTTGTGCGGGAGGGGATCGTACCTGAATACAAAACAGCAAGATTCCTCTCGTCGGTCGCCTGGTTGATGAGGTCGTTGACAGTGGCCGTCACGCTGAGCGTCTTTGACAACTTCTTCCGCACCACCTCCAGAGCTCTGTCCGCTTCGGATGGCTCATTCACCACTTTTCGATTCTCCATCTCGCTCTGCTCGTCTGTTTCCGTGTCGTCCATCCGCCGAGCGTCCTGGAGCTTGGCGAGACGTACTGGCGATATCGACCACGAATACAACGGATCGTAGCGCAAGACGTCGAGGATGGTCATGATGGAGTACGTCTCCTCTCTCATGGCGTCCATGGTAAACTCGCAGCACCGCCGGAACACACCCTCCGTCTTGGTGATGCCCATGCCGTCTACAATGTCGCGCGTCATCCTGAACGGTACCAGCTCAGGAACCGGAAGAACACGGCCCATCTCAAAGGCCACACCCAAGTCGATGTGGACGACCTCACCAGTCCTTGAGTCCAACAAGATATTGTGTCCGTGACGGTCGCCAAGACCCAGTACATGGCCCAACATCGATATGGCCGCGGTTGACCGTGTGTATGCCAACCGTTTGGCAAACCATTCATCTGGCTCAGGGAAGTATTCCATGAAAAAGTATCTCATGACCGGATGGAAGCGCTCTGTTACTTTGCGGTAGGTGCTGACCCGGGTCTCAATCGTCTTGCTCTGAACGTTCGAGATCTCCTTTCGGCAGTGTGAGCCCTTGAGGTCCTTTGGGTAGTATTTCTCGTGAGCCGGCATCAGGTATTCGTGGAGCGGGATCGTGTTCGGGACGAATTCGATCAGCCCAGAGACAGCTGTCAAAGGGAGGACCTTGTATGTGCGAATGCCGAGGTTTCGCTGGCGAGTTGTTCTGTGGAGCTTCAGCAGCGAGGACACGGCGGCGAAGACCTGTTCCATGATGGCGTCTTGACGGAGATCATCGTTGCCACCTTTGACCAACTGCTTGAACCTCTCTCCGTTGCTGCCCACTGCAGTGATGATCTTGGGTGCGCTGACACCAGATGCGATGGACATGGTCGGTTCCAGCTTGGTCATCATAGGAACACTGGAATAGTCCTTGTCCGCCGACAGGTCTATCTGCAAGGTTGGTGGTGGGATCTGGTACTTGACAAGGCATTGCATCAAGGCCACACCTGCTTGCGACTCCTTGACTCCCATCTTCTGCCCCGCTTTGTAGCGGTTGGGATCTCGTTCGGTGGCTAGCGCGTGATACGCTCTGCTGGTCCTGTCGATGGCTTGCCAAATGGGTGCAACTGAAGCAGCCTTGGTGAGGTGATGAGAGATCTTTTCCGTGGCCTTGAATCTTCGGATGGCAACGTCGTCGTTCTTATTGTAACGCGTCTTCACCCCGGACCAAATCTGGTACATCGCATGATATGGGTGGTCGATGCATATGCGAAAGACCAAGTTGATCAGGAGTCGCTGGAACACCGAGTTCTGCTCTTGTAATCGAGACGTAAGTTGGTTCACCAGAGGTGCAAACTTACGTGTCGGCACCGTGTCCAGATGTTTTCTCACCGCATCGTTGGTTCCATCATCCTCGGACCGTTCAAGCCAAAGTGCCGTGAAGCGCAGGGCATCGTTGTTGTTTTCGTCCGACGCAATGAGAGAAAGCAGATAGTTCTCTAGACTGAGCCTCACGAATTCGGTGCGAGTTTGCTCTACTCGCCGGAGCTCTTGCTGATCGAGTTCGAGCCACTGCTTGGCTTTGGACAGATGGCTCGCATACTTGTTTTTCATCTGAGAATCCTTGGTACTGGCAATCAGGCTCTTCAGAGACGTAACCTCATCACTTTTGCCCTTCTTCAGGTTCTGCAAGCGAGCCAGATCCTCGAGCCCGTCTGGACTCTGAAGTTGCTCGTCACAGAACATAGCAAATTGATGGAAAACCTTTCCAGCCTCCTTCCCCTCACTCTTGCCCTTGAGCTCCTTCAGAGCTGGCTCCAAGTATTTCTTCTGAATGCTGTCTGGGCTTTCAAGTTTCGCAACGGATACTTGATGCCCGATCTTGGAGAGCAGGTCAGAGCGCATGACTGGCACAGCTTGCTTCTTCAATGCAGACTCCTTGTCTATGCTCTGCAACATTCGGATGGAAGGTATCATCTCCCCATGATCCCAGAGAGCGTTTGCTGTTTCCATCTTGATAGCTGCGTCAACATTTAGGCCCATTGCCTCGGTTGGATCAATCATGTCTGTCAGGGACGTAGCCAGGTTCAGAGATTCTTGTCTTGCATGATGAAAGCGATATATTCCGGATGACAAAATCATGCCACGAATCTCAACCAAGCGAGCGTCACCGGGCGATATTTTCATCTTGCCGCGGAGCTGATCTTGCCGACTCAGAGCCCGGAGGGAGGTCTCGCGACATGACAGGATCTGTCCGACATCTTCGTATCTATCACATGTGTTAGTGGAACGCAGATCTCTCAATCAAGGCAAAAACGTACCGCCCACTTAGCATCCATTTGGAACGGTCCTCAAACACGGACAACATCGATTCCAAGTCCGACTTTTCGTTGGCACTTAAGATGTCATCCAACTCGGTCAGTGCTGCCAGCGCACCCAAATGTCTTCTCAGGGTCGAGACATTGAGATTGTGGCTTGCAAGGTAGAGCATCATGTTTCCAAGGCTATTATGTACGGCTTTCTGAGCCATGGCCGCATCAGTTGCCTGATTGATGCCTTGGTAGGCCTTGTATAGAGTGACGGCCTGACTGTCATGAGCTGGCGGTGTTGGAAGATTCCAGATACCGAGACGCCGAGCTGTCGTGAAGGTACTGTCGAATGAGTCTGACACCCCCTCAAGGCTTTGTTGGGTCTGCAAAAGTGAATGTGAAAGCCCTGACAGTCCAAGATTACCTAGAATTTCTACCAGAGATCGAGCATCCCGACCTGAAGCCGAACGGCGCTGTTGCAGGTGGCTGTCGTATTGGGCGCCACGGAATGCGAGGCTTTTACTGCCGTCCTTCTCATATTCCAGCCGGGAGAGTATGTTAGAAAGATCAGGCGCTTGGGGCAGGCCATAATAGGCATCTGGGTCATCGATATTCTCGAATATGTCGAGAAGGACCTCTGTCGCATCAGTGCTATCAAGGTCTCGGGCTGCAGAAGATCTCCGCGAAGTGCGGGCCGAATCTGACATGGCTATCTCCGCAAACATGAGTCCAGTCTTGAACATGCCACATCGTGTTGCGGCGGCAGCGGCCAGAGCAAGGTCCACATCAAGCCACTGTGATCGGTCGGCGATAGACGATTCATTTGGCAGCGCTTGAGTTCTGAGATACACCACGACATTGATCAGTAGCTTGATATTGTCCCTTGCTTCCGGTGCCTCTGACTGAAGCCATGGTTTGATGGCTTCCGAGAGCATCCGCTTCACAACTTGCTGCTTGTCAAGCTGGAAGAACAGGACCAGGTGGATGATAAAGGGCAGAGCTTGATCCGCAAAACCTTTGACATTATGAAGAATCGGCGGAAGCACTGCAAGTACCACATCTCCCGGAACGCACCTCGCTAGATGCACTGCAAGATCCTGTGACCAAGTAGTGGACTCGATGCGGCAAGATTCGAAGACGTTGACTTCGAGACCAAGATTGTTGTCTGAACAGTCAGAGGGGGGCGTTTGGTAGTTGCTCCAGTCAGAGGACGCAAGAAGGGCTTCCGGAAGGCTGTTCTGACAAGCAAGGAGCACTTCGCTGACTCTGTTAGCGACAGCTTCAGTTACGATAGTCCTCAATGCAGACTCGGCAAGCCCCGCAGTGAACCCGTCTTTGTTAGTTGTCAAATCGCCGACGATATCAAGGAGCCCCTGCTCTGATCCGTTGTCTTTCCTAACAGCTGGCCCATGCCCCGAGACACGGGATTCCAAAAGGAGTGCCTCATCGACTTTGCCAGAGGCAGCGAAAGCCCTGCCGATAACACGTCCAGCCCAGGTCAGGTAGTCTTTCTGTAGCGATTGAGACCCGCAGCTTCTCCATACAGTTGCATTGTAGGTGACCGCATCGTCATCCGTCTCAATTATATCAGCTCTACTGGATTGGGGGGTTCTGAAATCGCCACAGAGCATGCCAAGGGTGAGGTCTTTTGCGGAATTGTTGAGTAGCCTCTGGCTGCCATCTCCATCCTTAAGAATCTCCATCAAAAGATTACTCTCGTGTGTGCCTTTTTCAGCGTTCCCGGACGTTCTGATGTTGGAGGCGGATCGAATGATAGACCGAAAGGCTTGCCGTTGTCCGTCGTTGCTGAACGTGGGAGAGTCGTAGCCGTTGAGATACTTGGTAAACCAGCCATGGAATAGCTGAGCCTTCGTCATAGTAGCCTTGAATTGACTTTCCTGGGTTGTGCTGGATTGACTAGACTCCAAGAACATACGCAGTGAGGCCAAAGTGGACAATGCATATCCGGCGAAAAAGGATGGACACTGGGCAAGATGGCTAGTTCCTCTCGAGATGAGATATTGTGAGATCCCAAGTGCATCGTCGGCGCATTCACTGTCTTGAATGAAGGGCCTAATCGAATGGAGCAACATCTCCAATGGGTAGGAACTCGTTGCTTGGGATCCAGCAAGACATATGAGCACCCTCACCTTCCTCAATACGGAGCAGGCGTGCAGGGACCCGAGGGCCGGATGGATGGTGTTGAAAAGCTTGCGAGCAATCAAGACTACCAAGGCCGGACTCCATAGTGTTGCCAATTCGTACTCGGTGCGGCTGCAGAGCTGCAGAAGCTCTTTCACTAGGAACTTGGCTTTGAACATGGGCTGCTGATTCGGAGGTAATGTGACTGCCGAATGCCCAAATGACTTGATCTCTGCCATGACCTCATTCGCATACTGGAGGCTCGCTTCCTTGGCAAAGTACTTCTCGATGGGATCTTCTTGGTCGAAGAGGTCGAAGAAAAGCGCGACAATATCGACAAAGTTGAGGTACAGACACTCGAGAAAAGGTTCCTTACCGAGGAGCTTTCGCACCCGGCTCTCACCAGTCGGTATATGTTGATCCTTGGGCACGGCCACATCGTGGGCAATGCTGTAGGCTAGGATCTTCGTGAAGTTGTTCTTGACAAGTTCAACATTGGCCACACCGAGCATTTGCGACAGAGACTTGACCTGCTCATCTTGGCCTCGCATGATCATGAGTGCAGAAGCCTCTGCTTGACCGAGTTCAAGCAGTGAGTTCAGGTCTGGGAACCCGAATATCTCATATGGGATGTCTTCTATGGAGTCTTCCTCGAGCCAAGTGTAGAGAAGCTGCGGGGCGAAGAGTTTGAAGAGGCTCCGGGCAGAATCAAGAGCGAGTGCCTCGGCAATGACGTTGAGGCATCGAGAAGCGTACTTGGTACAATTCTCCAATCGCCCTGGGGTCTCGAAGATGTGATAAATGCAGCGCCTGAGAAGGGTAGGCCATTTGCAGGCCATACCAGCAAGTGACAGGAGGCGCAATGCGATACCCTCGATCTTCTCGCCGTCGGAGGGGAGACTATTGAGAATATCAATGAAGATATCGTCGTGCACTTTGAGCACAAAAAGAGCAAATATCTTGGGTAGATCGGTGCCAATGAAATACTTGACCAACATATTGCCCTCTTGTAGAAGTTTCAACAGCGAAGATCGACATGAAGGCAGCCCAAGATCGTTTCCGTACGCCGGTCGGATCTCTAAAAGCCGGTAAAGAAGCCTCCCAAGCCGGATCTGTGCGATGGGCGACAGACTATTCTTGGGTAAAGATTGTTTGATCAGATAGGTGTAGAGATCGCCCACTCTTGCGTATACCTCAAGCTTCTCTTCAGTCCAAAGGCTGATCAGTCCTTCCATCACATCAAGGCATAACCCCAATGCTACTTCGCAGCACGAATACTGGTTTTCGCTTATTATTCCACCCGCGCTTTCGACAAGCTTGAGAGCGTCGTCAGGGGTGATCACAAGGTCCGACGCAAAGATGTCTTGGAGGAAATGACGGCATAAGATGATGTCTTCTTCGGGAAGTGACAGTAGCTGGTCCACGAACATGCCGCTTAGAATGCCGATCTGATCATCTTCATTCAGTGTTACGAGGAGATGTAAACGTTGCTCAGTGACGAGATAGAATGCTTCCGAGTTGACGGCAAGTGGCAGATCTTGACGTGGATGGTCAGAACTTTTCGCAGCCGAGCTATTCTGACTTGCCTGCGATTCAAACTCATCGTCCAGATCCATGACATCCTGGTGCTGTGCTGAAGAATGCCGTAGTGTCCGCTCTTTCAATGCGGCAGAGATTTTCTGCAAAAGCTTCTGCAGGGCCGTGTTGCGTCTGAACCAGCTCTCGAGTGAAGATGTGTTCAATGCTGGTATGTGTACGGAGACAGCACCTAGACAAGTTTCAAGATAGCCTTGGTTTTGCCCAGAGTCCACAAGAGAGCTAGCTAGATTGTCAAACAACGTATCCATCGTAGACTCTAGCTGTCTCGACATGGACGAGTTCAGGCCTTGCAGTTGCGGGACCAGCAGAGCTGCGGTTATGCAGAAGGAGACCAAGGCATGCCAGCGTTCTGTTGATAGCTGACTTGCTGCTTCTGTGCCCTTTCGCACCCAGCTTTCCGTCAGAAGGAGAAATTCCTCCGCCACAGGAGACAATAGCTCCAGGATTAATTTCTTTGCTGAATTGGAATCGGCTGGATCAGTGGCCTGCAGTGGGTTGCTTGCCTTGAAAATTTGGCACATTGCACCATCTCTGACCGCATTTGCCCGGGGCGTCTCAAGCATGAGGAGATACCGCATCACTGGCTCGAGCTGCGCTTGTCTGGCCCATGTCTGGCATATTAGACCACCAGGGGGGAGAGATAATTCGCAAATACTTAGAGGCTGGTCGCCAATACATGCCATGAGCATGTTGACAATATCCACCGGACTTGCGTGGACGGAGTGCACAGCTGCGTAGCTGGCGTCAACTAGGATGGTGTCAATGGCAACAACACTCGGTTGCTGGGGGGGCACGGGGTCATACCTGGTTTCCAGTTCGAGAACATCCATCGAACAATGTGTCCACAAGTGGCCTGACTGGCGTTGGGCAGGACGGAATTGCGCATATGAAGAAGATGCAGCATAAGACTGAGAGACGAGTCCACGAGCGAGGCAGGCCCACTCGTGTCGGCTGATGTGATAATGTTGTTGATGTCGTCCATGATGGAGTGGGGGGGGATTAACTGAAAATCCAGTATAGTATGCAAGACAAGACAAGCCGCTCGAGTGCCTCCCGGAAGACCCATGCACCGTACTGACACCTGCCAAACCTGCTTCCATAGAGTAGCGCTGTCCTGAGCAGTTTGTGTCGATTGTTGCCCGTAGCTAATCATGGCTCAGCCAATTTTCTTTTGCCCACAGGGGTGTATCGATATGGACTTACCATGCACAGGCAATCATAGCCCAGGACGAGATATTGGCCTGCTTGTGGCTGATCATCTCCATCATGTCTGGGAGCAGCTCCGCACAATCATCTGGGACCTTCTGTACTTGAAAGGTGATAACCTGAAGTCCAGTCAACTGCACACCCAAGTCTGATGAGCGGATGCTCTCATGAGATTTGCTGATTGCCTCAATGACACGGCGTCTTTTGCGAGGTTGATCATCGCCCTCCGGACGTCGTTGTTGGCGATTCTTCGTGGCTCGAGCATGAATATTGTCCAATATCGCAAGGATTTCAACCACACCCCATCTTCTCTCTGCACCAATGTCAAATCGTCGAAGCGAAAAGGTCTTGGTCAGGAAAGGGCTGGTGGGATTTGGAACGAATGATAGGTCACCTATCTGCAGGCGGGTTCGCTCATCCCTTTTCGAGTACTCTGACCACAAGGCATCCAAGACATCTTCCACGTGTCTTTCCAGGGTTTCATCTTCATCTTGGAGAATGAGAGCTTCTAGATTCAGACGTAGACTGTATAGAACGCATAGGATCTGATCTCGTACCGAGTTGATCGACTCACTCTGGGTTGCGGAGGACGAAGGGTACCACCAATGGCTGAGAAGAGGGAGAAGATCTCGAGTTAAGCTGTTCGTCAGAGAAGACTCCTCGACTTGCACAGATGGGATGATATGATTCAGGGCGGTGAAAGCGGCCCGATGTAGCCAGCTGAGGTTGAGTTGCTTGAGATGCAGCACTTGGACGAGAGTGTTCATGATATCCGCGCTTCTGCAGGCGAGAGGAGCGTTTGATGCCGACACCAAGAGGAGGATACCTTGGACAAGGTCCTGTAGGACAAGCTGCTGGCTCTGCGAGGTCGACCTATGAGTGGATAGAATACTGGATCTTGCCGTGGACAGAGTGAGCGATGGTGTCAAGGCAAAGCTTGGGGCTGGCGATGCGCGGGTTGAGAGTTCTGTATCGCGACCGCCATTTCCCAAATACTGGGATATGGCATCAACCAGAAAGTCGATGCAAGTGATCCACCCTTCGCCCTCCAACGCAGCAAGCTGCTCAACATTGGCCGGCTGTCCAAGCAGTGCTAGTAAAGCTTTTAGATAGTCCTTCATCAAGGGCTCGATATAATCTTGATTTGGGCCCGGAAGTGTCTGGGTGATGTGGTCGATGATGGCCCGCGCCATCTTGCGCTTCATCCTAGGAGCTCCATGTTCCACAGCCAACCTCAAAGCCTCCCCACATTTGGTGAGCTTCGTAGTTGCTGTCGACTTCGTGGTTTTCCTAAAGTAACCTTGCTTTTCAGTCAGGGTGCACTGAAACAAAGCCTCGAGAAGTCCATGGTAGGCATCGCTGGCCAAACTCGGCCTACGAGTTGTCAGTCTAATCAAGTCAGACATGGGGAATCATGAAGCATACTGATTAGGTGTCTGGGCCCTTTTCCTGAAGAATTCGATCAAATCTACCCCATTTAGTATTTCTCATCGGACTGAGTAACCCGGACGACATACCCTGGAGTGCCTTTGACCGTTCTGTCGAGGTGCCACTTAGTATGGATACTGCGTCATCAAAGTCAGCGGGTTTCATGATAAACCAAGAGGCAGACGGACTGCGAAGAGACTCAGCATTGGCATCCCGGCCCGATCTTGGCTTGGCGGGGCCCATTGCACCGTCCCCAAAGCCAGCTGGGATCGGAAGCCCCAACCATGAGATAAGCAGCTGTCCGGGGTTGAATTTGGTAACCAGCCAGAATCCTGGGGACTGTGGTGAACTTGCAGTGACCGGGTGGAGTTTGAGCGGCAGTTAATACAGTCAGGTGATGTCTTCCACTGAAACAGCTGTATCCCACGCTCCAAAATCTCTGGGTGAAGCAGTGACTGTGTTGTTCGTTTCGTCAGATATCACTGCTGATTGATTGTCCACCTTGAGCCGCGCCGATGAATGATCGCATGCTTCACCTCTTTCGAATACGTACAGTCAAAGAAAAAGGACTAAAGGAACAACAAATTCGGAAGGGAAACTTTCAAACCGTTACAAATTCATTTGCCATGGCAATGAGCTAGCGACGGCTATTATCCTGGTCTCTTTGGCAGTGAAAACCTCGCTCCCAGTCAATTCCCCTGTATAAATACAGGGTCGCGCCTTCAGGTGAGCTTCAGCTCAATAGGAGCTCCAGGCACGAAAGTCGGGCAGAATTTCTTCACCGCCCAAAGTTTTGTTGACTACAAGAGCGGAGGATACCCCACCGCCTTTTCTTCCAGGCTCCTTTGGTTGCCTACGGTCATGATAGTGGGACGTGACGGTTCTGGTTACCGCCCAATAACTGAGTATTCGATTCTCAGTGCACTGATCCCTAGTTAGAACCCGGTACCTTTGGCACCAGAATTCGATGCCCTCACTGCCTGCCCTCTTGCCTCCTTTCTTCTCTCTCAATTCCCTTCCTGAAAGAGGGAGACGAAGTGGAGCTATGTCAGCATAAGTGTTTCAATGGCACGCACATACGAAGTACACCTGCAAATTGGAATGATGGGTCGGCGCCAGCGATCCGAGATGAGCTGCCAACTTCGAAGCTAATTGTAATTCTGTAGTGACCCACCATGGTATGAAACGAAGCCATCTGGTACTCGTCTTGTAGAAACCTCGACCCGCTACCACAGGCCCGCGCCTCTTAGGGGTGAGACTGCTTTTGATCTTACGAATAGCAAGGTGATCGCCTCAGAGAACCTTTCTGGCAGTGCTCCAGCACATCAATGCCGGTACGCAACGAAAACTCTAACTCACTGGAATACATGCATAAGTTAGGAAGGCCTCGCGAATTCGCGCATACGGACGTCGGGACCAGCTGACTCACTGGCCGCGGCCGAACTAAGTATGGTCGAGAGGTCGAAAAGTCCGGGAGGGATTCCGGGCCTCGGACCCACATCGGGAACGGCAGAAGTCGGCCTTGCGATCGGGCAAGTGGTTGATCAATCCACAATAACATTACAATTGTATCCTCAGCACTGGCGAATCGTCATAGTGTCTCCGGAATACGGGTATTGCATTTATTTTGTCTCTTCAACTGTGTCTAGACAGCCGTGTAACCCGGCTTGCACCTAATTAAGGTTCACCCAAGGTTGTAAACTATCGCTGCAGAGACCAAGATTAGAAATAGTATGCCCATATTGACGAGGGGAAGCTGTTTGGGAACAAGTTCGCCTGGAGAAAGGTACGCCGTTCAGGCCCGAGGAAGCTTCCCAGTCTTCGGGTTCTGGCGGGTGTTGTAAAAGATCACCACTGCTCCTACCAGGAGGCAGGCAATGTGAGGCCAGATGTAACTTGGCGCAGTGATTAGCACTTGGCCAGCTACCAAGCGTTCATCAAGTTCACGTGCCCTCTTGCCAATTCTGCGCCCCTGTCAGTGAACAGATTACGCAAAGGTAGGAATGCATTAGCTCTTGCAATAGTTTTGGCATAGATTGTCAAGAGCTACAGGGCTCAAACGTAAGAAGCACAACCATTGCTTCCGGTATTGCGAATTCACCGTGATAATGCTTGCCTTTTTTTGTCAGGTCATCTTGGTCCCTCTTGTCTGATAGTCAGGCATAGCGCGAAAGGGCCTGCCTCTCGTCGAAAGTAGAGAATGCTGAAGAAGTTGCCAGTGATCGATACCCGGCGTGCTAGATCCCGTCCTTCACCATCCAGAATGTCGGCTGCCTCAGAGCCTATGGCTTAGCCTCCCGGCCTTCATCATTGGCAGCTTATTGTTACGACTATCCGAGCTTCGGCGCATGAGAGTTTCTGTCTGATGGGAGATAGCCCACTCAGTACATTTTGTACTGATATCCCTCTTTTTGTCTCCAGGACAACCGCCTCAGGACTTCTGTGGTAGACCATCAAGTGTCTCCAGCCAGCATCATCGGCGGCTTCTTTAAGGTGCGGACCCCATATGATGATTGTTTCGATCTTTTTGTCTTATAGGATCTCTCCACGGACCATGGTTTCGGCAAACAGCGATGATAGACAATAATGGCAGGCAAACAAGCTAGTCTTGTCAGAAGAACAAAGCTGGGCACCGGCCTTGGTCGAAATTTTATTCGCCTGGTGTGGCACACTTGTGCTGTCTTGGGGGCGGATGGATTGTTGGATCTCGTTTGCAATGCCAACCTTGGGTAATATTCTCAATCGCGAAAGGCAAGGATGGGGGATGGGGTTGCCTGGGGATCGCCTGGGGATCGCCTGGGGATCGTCTGTGTATATTTGATGTGAATAATAAGACGGAAAAGAATACAAGATCTCATAACAAAAGCTGCTGTGAGTACCAGGCCAAATTGTGTGTGTGTGTGGTCGCAATGTTGTTGGCGTTGGATACGTCTGTCAAATGTGGTTTCGGCATCTCATCATGAGTGGCCTAAAGCGGGAGAGTAGCTTCCCAAAAAAAAAAAAAAAAAAAAAAAAAAAAAAAAAAAAAAAAAAAAAAAAAAAAAAAAAAAAAAAAAAAAAGAAAAAAA